CCGAGATAGATCTCCCGTATTCTCGTTACCATTCCTTGTCTCGCCACGGCACCGGAAGCTACCATTCGAAACATGTTTCGCATCATGCGCCTTTGAGTACCAAACTGCCTGTCCGATGCCACCTCGGCAACAGTTAGAACTCAGAAACATGTCTTAAGATTCTCGAAGGAATACTAGGGAACACGTGAAAGTGAATACAATGAGCAGATAAGACTGGAGGACATACAACATCCAGTCATATGAATTGGGGGGACAGAAGGGTGAAAAGATGTCATTGTGGAGCCCATTGCATCTCTTGATGAACTTGCGAAGGGTTAGAGTTTTTCCGTTGCCAAGACGCGAGGAGCAGGTCGAGCCGTTGATTGCCGCCCCGCTTCACGTGATAAAAGCGGCTGCTTCTTACTGCCTATCAGAGAAGCTGGATGGAGTTGAGACAAAGAAGGAAGGAGTGAATAACAAAAGCATCCTGCAAGTTGTTTAGGCATCGGCTCACCAAGAAGTCTGAGGTGAGCGACTGCAGGAAGTGGGGATCTGATGTGGGGTTTCCACTGTCTTGGGAGGGCAAGACTTGCTCAAGCATCAGCAAAGTCAATCGCAGCCGACACAACAGCATCATCTAGATCACCAATATCGAGTTTGCAGCGCCGTTGCTTTGGTTTTGCTGCCTTAAGAGCAAGCGCTGCGAGAATGGCGCCTGTGAGGGACCCGAATACCCTGTCCAACTACCACGAGTGGCGGACCAAACACACCATCGCCAACTTCACCGTGGACTTTGCCAAACAATGCTTGCGTGGTTCTGTTATCCTCGAGCTTGAGTCCCAGACAGACAAGGCCAGCAAGGAGATCATCCTGGATTCCAGCTACCTTGATCTGGCTGGCATCAAACTTGGCTCGACACCTGCGCAGTGGGAGGTCAAGGAGCGTGCCGGGCCCAATGGTTCACCTGTGCACATCTCGGTACCGGAAGGTGCTGACAAGGGGGAGACGGTGACGCTTGAGATTGATGTCGCCACGACAGACAAATGTACGGCGCTGCAATGGCTCACACCGGCTCAGACCAGCAACAAAAAGGCACCCTTCATGTTCAGCCAGTGTCAGGCTATACATGCCCGCTCCATCTTCCCTTGCCAGGATACTCCTGATGTGAAGAGCACCTATGAGTTCAATATTCGCAGCCCCCATGTTGTCGTGGCCAGCGGTGTTCCAGTGCCAGAGGCCACTAAGGATGTTGACGGGGAGAAGGTGTACAAGTTCGTTCAGAAGGTTCCAATCCCGTCTTACCTGTTCGCCCTGGCATCAGGTGATATTGCTATGGCGCCCATTGGCAAGCGTTCGGTGGTTGCTACCGGCCCGAATGAGCTGGAAGCGTCTCAGTGGGAGCTCGAGGAAGATATGGACAAGTTCCTGGATGCTGCTGAGCGCATTGTCTTCCCCTATCAATGGGGTGAGTACAATGTCCTTATCCTTCCGCCGAGTTTCCCGTATGGGGGCATGGAGAACCCAATCTTCACGTTTGCGACGCCTACCATCATTAGTGGTGATAGGCAAAACATCGATGTCATCGCCCACGAGTTGGCCCACAGCTGGAGCGGCAACTTGGTGACGAGTTGCAGCTGGGAACATTTGTATGTCCAACCTTACTACACACTCCGGCGACGGACGAGGGAGTAGCTGACTATTGCATGCAGTTGGCTGAACGAGGGTTGGACAATGTACTTGGAGAGACGGATTCTTGCTGCCATCCACAAAAACGATGCCTACTTCGACTTTTCCGCCATAATTGGCTGGAAGCATCTTGGTGAGGCCCAATTCAATGCAAAAGCATTAGCGCACATCATTGCTGACAAGCTTTAATTTTTTTTTTTTTTAGAGGAGGCGATTGAGGAATTTGGTAAGGACCATGAGTTTACGAAGCTCTGCATTAGCCATAAGGGGATCGATCCGGATGATGCATTCAGCACGGTTCCTTACGAGAAGGGCTTTCACTTCATCTATTATCTTGACAGGCTCGTTGGAAGGGAGAACTTTGACAAATTCATCCCTTATTACTTCAAGAAGTGGTCCAACAAGTCTCTGGACTCATACGACTTCCGGGACACCTTCCTGGAGTTCTTCAGTGCTCCCGAGTATGCGGATCTGAAGGACAAGATCTCAGGGATTGACTGGGAAGGACGCTTCTACAATACTGGGCTCCCACCCAAGCCCGAGTTCAACACATCACTTGTAGATGTGTGCTTCGAACTGGCGAACAAGTGGAAGCGGCGAGACTTTGAGCCCAGCCCTTCCGACACAGCATCTTTCACTAGCAACCAAGTCCTGGTGTTCTTGAACGCTATCCAGAATTTCGAGGAGCCTCTGACGGTCGAGCAATCGGTGAGTTTCGACAGAGGATCCGAGGATACGCATCTCAATGCATATGCTAACATGTGCGCAGCAAATTCTGGGCAAAGTCTACGGGTTGACAGAGTCCAAGAATGTCGAACTGAAGACCGCCTACTTCCAGATCGCCATGCGAGCCAAGGATACCAGCGCCTACCCTGCAGTTGCCGAGCTTCTGGGCAAAGTTGGACGTATGAAGTTTGTTCGGCCGCTCTATCGGAGTCTGAGCAAGGTTGACTATGACCTTGCGGCAAAGACGTTCGAGAAGAACCGCGACTTCTATCATCCGATCTGTCGCCAGCTTGTGGAGAAAGACCTGGGGCTTGCTGAAAAGAAATTGTGATGCGTGGTGAAACAATCGTGATTTAAAAGCCGTTGTATATATGGCTTGCCACCGCCATTCACTCGCAAGTTTGGATGCTGTTGGTGCCTACCTCAACCTAGCTTAGATATATGAAGCACGTCAGAAGCAGTGGTGTCCGACGTCTCGATGACTCGTGCGACCGCCTGTACCTAAGGCACATGAAAACCATCCTGATATCCCATATGGATGCCTAACCACAGGACAGATTGCTTCCATCGCTGTATGTACGGACTAAGCTCTGGTCACTGGTCTACAGCGTACACCTGGTAGTCGAGAATGTCCAAGTCGTCAGGACAGGCGATTGATCCTCACGGGAATGCCGATGCCTGCAAAGGTTGCAATGTAACTTGCAGATTGTTATTGTTCCATAAACTTGAAGAAAACGCGAGCTTTAAAGCGGAATATCTGGCAGGGAGGCCGCATAAACCTTATAAAAAGCTCGACTCTTACTATGTGGTAAACAGGCAAAAGCGCCGAGGTGGACTTGTGGAAGTTGATTGGGGGATTTCTCGGGATATTTCCACGTGAAAGGGAGCTCACTCTCCAACAATGACGACGGCAGCGGGGCAACCAATCAGGAGCCCCGCCTGTGAGATGGCCCAGGCCCCTGCAGCAGCGGCACAAGCACCAAGCAGCCCAGTGCCTGACTGCTTGGCTGCTTGCTACTGCCCACCTGGGAGGAGTTGTCGCGCAGCGCGTCGGTAAACTTGCTTCCATCCACAGAAGCTTAGGGGGAGCCAGGGTACTGGGGCTGCCCGTTTCCAGGTTGTCCCACCCTCGCGGTCCACTGCAATTTGTTGACACCAAGACGCACTCGACCTCTGTATCGATTTCCATTCCAAGCATCTACCGTCCATCTACAACTCTTGAGCCCGTGTCTTCGGCTCGGCCGGATCAACGCACACACACACGTACAAACAAGTAGCCAGTCGTGCTATTCCGACAAGGGATACTCTCGTCCTGACACCGACGACACCCCGGCAATACCAACGCCCCGACGCCCTTCCACCCCGGCCATAAGTACCACACAACCTCGACAGCCATAATCAACACAGCAACGGTAATAAACATTAAAAGTTTGACGCGCTGGCTCCCAAATACCGCCCACACCGTCCTTGACCCGGCGATTCGACAGCCCCGGCGGTCAACAAACTCAAGACCCGACCCTCGCCCTCACACCGATCCGCGACCCCTCCGTAACCCCTCCGGCGCACTTACACAACAGGGGCACGCGGCGCGAGGATGCGCCCGGGTGCTGTCGCGCAGGCCGGGAATCTTAAAAACGAAGGCTGCTATCGTACCCACTGTCAAGCTGCAGTCGCCGTATAGGGGTAGCTAGCATCCAGCTGCTCAGTGCCTTCTCGCTGTCTCTGTTGCCGTCGCAGCTGCTGTCGAACTCTCTTACCATCATGGCTCCCGCCACGTCTTCCTCCTCCGGTGGAGGAGGGAACATCAAGGTGGTAGTAAGAGTGCGGCCATTCAATACAAGAGGTGAGCGGGGCTTTACTAGCTGGTGCTGGTTGCGGTGATCGTGAGGATATGGAAGGCTGATCCTGTGCTGCTCGCCACAGAACTTGACCGCGGTGCAAAGTGTATCGTTGAGATGCAAGATAACCAGACCATCCTGACCCCTCCACCAGATGCTGGAGGTAAGTCAGCCAAGGACCGTGAGCCCAAGGTGTTCGCCTTCGACAAGTCGTACTGGTCCTTCGACAAGAATGCACCCAACTATGCGGGCCAGCAGCATCTGTTCGAAGATCTGGGCAAGCCACTGCTGGACAATGCCTTCCAAGGCTATAACAACTGTATATTCGCCTATGGTCAAACTGGCGCCGGCAAGTCGTACTCCATGATGGGCTATGGCAAAGATGCCGGCATCATTCCCAACATCTGTCAGGACATGTTTCGCCGCATCAACGAAATGCAGAAGGATCCCAATTTGCGCTGTACCGTCGAGGTCTCATATCTCGAAATCTACAACGAGCGCGTGCGTGACCTGTTAAACCCGGCAAACAAGGGCAATCTTCGAGTCCGAGAACACCCCTCCACGGGTCCCTACGTCGAGGACCTGGCGAAGCTCGTCGTCACGAGTTTTCAGGAAATTGAGCATCTCATGGATGAAGGAAACAAGGCACGCACAGTCGCTGCCACCAACATGAACGAGACGTCAAGTCGTAGTCACGCCGTTTTCACCATTATGCTTACGCAGAAGCGCTACGATCCTGAAACCAAAATGGAGATGGAGAAAGCTGCGAAGATTAGCCTTGTTGACCTTGCGGGCTCGGAAAGAGCGAACTCTACCGGCGCTACAGGCGCACGGCTCAAAGAAGGTGCTGAGATCAACCGCTCTCTTTCCACGCTTGGTCGTGTTATCGCAGCCCTGGCCGATCTGTCTACTGGGAAGAAGAAGAAAGGAACAGTGGCCCAGGTTCCTTACCGTGACAGCGTCCTGACCTGGCTGCTCAAGGATTCCCTCGGTGGCAACAGCATGACTGCCATGATCGCAGCCATCAGTCCAGCCGACATCAACTACGACGAGACCCTTAGCACACTGCGATACGCCGACTCAGCGAAGCGTATCAAGAACCACGCAGTCATCAACGAAGACGCCAACGCGCGCATGATCCGCGAGCTCAAGGAGGAACTGGCGCTGTTGCGCAGCAAGTTGAACAGTGGGGCTGGAGGTGGCGGTGGCATTCCCGTGGATGAGGTGTATCCTCCTGATACGCCACTGGACAAGCAGATCGTGAGCATCACGCAGCCAGACGGCACGGTCAAGAAGGTTTCGAAGGCGGAGATCGCGGAGCAGTTGATGCAGAGCGAGAAGCTGCTGAAGGATCTCAACCAGACCTGGGAGGAAAAGCTCGCCAAAACGGAGGCCATCCACAAGGAGCGCGAGCAGGCGCTGGAGGAACTTGGTATCAGCATCGAGAAGGGCTTCATTGGCATGTCGACACCTAAAAAGATGCCTCATTTGGTCAACCTTTCAGACGACCCCCTCTTAGCTGAGTGCCTTGTTTATAATCTGAAACCTGGCCTCACGACGGTTGGCAATGTTGAGTCGAACCAGGATCACCAGGTCAACATCCGACTGAATGGTACCAAGATCCTCGAGAAACACTGCGTCTTTGAGAATGCTCCCGACGGAACGGTGACCCTCACACCCGAGGAAGGGGCCGCGGTGATGGTGAATGGCAAACGCATAACGGAAAAGACCAGGCTGCACTCGGGCTACCGCATTATCCTGGGAGACTTCCATATCTTCCGTTTCAATCATCCATTGGAGGCGCGTGCTGAACGAGCCGAAAAAGCAGAACAAAGCCTGCTTCGACAGTCCATTACAGCGAGCCAGCTGCAGGCCCTCGAAAAGACTTCTCCGAGCCCGTCAAGGATGGGTCATGACAGGACTCTCAGTACGGCCTTATCGGAGCTGAGCGACAGTCGCCCTGAGTCTCCTGCAACCTGGCAGCGAAATACAAAGGAACTGGACTGGTCCTTTGCTCGCAGAGAGGCCGCTCCGGCGATCCTTGGGACCGACCAAAACAACCTGTCAAAGCTGACAGACGAGGAACTCAATGCTCTGTTTGAGGACGTGCAGCGGGCGCGGGCTGAGAGAGTCAATGGCCGCGAAGCCGACGGCGAAGAAGACGGAGAGTCGACGACGTCATATCCGATTAGGGAGAAATACATGTCGGCTGGTACGATTGACAACTTCTCACTCGACACAGCCTTAACCATGCCGTCGACGCCCAAGCAAGGTGAGACGGGAGATGAGCGGCTGCGGGAGATGAGCGATGAGATGCAGGGCCAGCTCGAGAAACAAAAGGAAGAGTTTCAGGAGCAGCTCAAAAATGCTGAGGCAGCAAACGTTGCTATGGAAGAGATCAAAAAGGAGAAGGCCAAGATGGAGGAGACCTTGGTCCAGCTCAAGGCTGATATGCAGAAGAAGCTGGAGGAGCAGCGGCGCGAGTATGAAGCCAAGATCGAGAGGCTCGATCCGCTGCGTCGGCCCAAGCCGAAACAGAAGCTTTCTCCCGAGGAAATCGAGCGTGCCAAAGCGGCTGTCAAGCGTTGGCGGAGCCGCCACTATGTGCGTATGGCGATGACTGTCTTGCAGCATGCGTCGACGTTGAAGGAAGCTCAGATCATGAGCCACGAGTTGGACGAGCATGTTGTGTTCCAGTTCACTGTCGTCGACGTTGGCCATGTCGTGTGCTCGTCATACGACATGGTGCTCAATGGGTTGAGCAGCGAGGGAGACGACATTGCACTCGAAGAAGCACCGAAACCATGCATCGGTGTACGCGTCATCGACTATAAGCACAGTGTCGTCCATCTTTGGAGCATCGAGAAGCTTCACGATCGCGTCCGGCAAATGCGGCAGATGTACCAATACCTCGACCAGCCCGAATATGCACAGCACCTCAGCATCGATAACCCTTTTGTCGAGGCATGCATGCCGCAGTACACACTTGTGGGCGAGGCCGATGTGCCTCTCAAGGCTGTCTTCGAGAGCCGCGTCCAAGACTTTACTCTTGATGTCTACTCACCGCACACGCAGCAGGCCATCGGCATCATTAAGCTTGCGCTGGAGCCTTCAAGTGCACGTGCGCCGTCCAACACACTCAAGTTTAATGTCGTGATGCACGAAATGATTGGTTTCGCTGAGCGTGAGGGCACTGAGGTACACGCTCAGCTCTTCATCCCCGGTATTTCTGAGGACGGTATCACAACCACGCAAATGATTAAGGACTTCGACGAGGGCCCGATTCGGTTCGAGAGCGTTCATAGCATGAGCGTACCCCTGTTCGCGCCCCCGCACACGACGCTGAGAGTGGCTATATTCGCAAAGGTATCGGCCACGCATCTTGACAAACTTCTTAGCTGGGACGATATGCGCGATGCTGTACCTGCTTCGCAAGGCAAGCCCAAAGGCGCACGTATCAACGAAGCACACTTCTACACGGAGGAGAAGCATGATCTGCTCGCGCGGGTACAGATCCAGGAGATGAACGAGGATGGGGAGTACGTGCCGGTCGAGGTAACACAGATGAATGAGATGGACGCTGGCACATTCCAGCTGCATCAAGGCCTGCAGCGTCGCATTGCCATTAAGTTGGTGCACAGCGCCGGCGACGCTCTACCATGGGACGACGTTGTTTCGCTACGCGTCGGCAAGGTGCAACTGCTTGACAGCGCTGGGAAAACTCCCGACATGTCCTCCAACCAAGATATGCTGCCGCTCAAGCTGGCTGCCAAGCCGGTGTTCCGCACAAATGCCAACGGAACCCGTAGCATCACCTTCTATGCCCAATGGGACTCAAGCCTGCATAGCTCATTGCTGCTGGATCGTGTCACTCCCGACAAGTACCGTGTACAGATGACTCTCGCTTGGGAAGTAGCCTGTGCCGAAAAGCTGGCTGAACCTGTCCGCTTTTCCCTGCCGGTTTGCGTTCAGGTGGTCTCGCGCTCATTCGTACGCCAGACCTCTATGTTCGCATCGCTGTGGCAGCAGATTAAAATCGTTCACTCTGTCACCGGCATATTCACCTTGCAGCTGCGCCCCGCGCCTATTAAACGGGTGGGCGATCTATGGCGCATGAACTCTCAGCACGATTATGTCAAAGGCGAAGAAAACCTGACGGCATGGACACCCCGTGGCGTGTCCCTCGTGGCGGACTACATTGCTGCGCGGAAGAGGAGGCGCATGGCGGCTGAGATCATGGCGATGCAGAACTTCCTGAAGAAGATTGGCGCCCTCGAGAAGAAGCCCAAGGAAACTCAGGATGATGATATTCCACCTCCCCCGCCCGTTATCAGCGACAACGATGAGATTGCGGAACTGCTTAGGGACGACGATGAAGAGCAATCATCCCCCAAAGCCGACCAACAAGAGGCCGATCAGACCCCAGATCCAAAAGATGGTACCATATCTGAGCAGCCCAACAACACCACTGAACCGACCTCCGAATACACTCCCGAGCAGGAAGCCCTTCTCAAGCGCATTCTCAACCTCTGGCAGCGCTATCAAGACCCAACTCTCAAGCTTCTCTCCCCCGCCAACACGTCTCCCCCGGAAGATGGAGCCCCCGCCGACGATGATGACAGCCACTCGCCGTGGTTTGTCGCCACAGTTGTTCGCGTGCCGAAGAACCCATCAGTGCTGCGGTCTGGCTACCTTCTCGTCCCCAACGCCGAGGCCACCAGATGGGTGAAACGTTTTGTGGAGCTTCGGCGTCCATACATGCATGTGTATGGGGTGGAGAACGGAGAGGAAGTGGCCGTTGTTGGGCTGAGGAATGCCAGAGTTGAGAGTCAGCCCGGGATCTTGGGGCTGCTGAACGTGAGAGGAGGGGCGGAGGATGATTATGGGCTGGCTGCTGTTGAAGGTGAAGGGGATGCTGCATCTTGCTCCGCCAACACAGGCCCAAATGGCACCCCTCGGATAGGGACTGTATCACCAACCGCATCCACAGGAAGTTTGATATCCTCGCTCTGGCCGACCAGTACTACAGGTAGCCCCAGCCCGCGGTCAACGCCATCTGGGAACCGCCCCAGGCGCGATAGTGACGGGCCGGGCATCTCTCGCCTCAGCGAGCGCCTGCAGGCCGGCGTGTTTGCCATCTATGGGACCGACAACACATGGCTTTTTGCAGCTCGCAGCGAGCGTGACAAGATGGATTGGGTCGCTAAGATCGACCAGTGCTTTGGCCCAACACCCGCTTCGTCCTCAGCCGGCCCCGCGAGTGTCACGGCAAGTGGGAGGGCAAGTCCCAACTTGGGACCTCTTCCTAACAGAGGGAGGTGGTGAGCTTGTTTCTTTGGAGGTCTTTTTTTTCAATTGTTCCAGACGGATACTGGAGTGGAATAATCTTGCTGTTTGGCGAATGGATATATGGGATGGACCCTTTGTTTATTCTTACGCGCTCGCTTTCCTGGGCCTCTTGCTTCCTTTTGTCTTCTCTCCTTTTACTCAACCCTTACCGTCCCAGGATAACCACGTACACAAACGAAAGGGCGGATATAGAGAATCATGGCGCTGAATGGAAGGGCTGGTTGCTTGCTGGCTGGAATGATTCTGATAATTAACGAAGTCTCAATGATTGGATTGAAAGAATAGGCCGTTTCTTTGGAGGTTGGCTGCTGGGAGGATGAAATGTGCTACCGACTGAAATGATGCTTAGACTCACTTTATGATTGCGAGATCAGGACAGAGAGGTTAGAGAAGTGGTTCCTTATGCTTTCGCTTCTAAGGTCTTAGGGATACCCAGGCGGCTGATGGAATTGTTAATGTCATTCCGTCAGCACAAATGATATTGAGAAAAGTTAGGCGTCCTTGACGTACAGGCAAGAACGGCAACCGATGCAATCATGTGAGAAAACATACCAACTGAGCTGATGCAAGGAGTGGTCAATTACCCAGTAGGATTGTAATTAGGTACGGTTATAAAAGATTGATATCCTGTAAGCTGTCAAAGCTGGCGATGTACTTCGTTCCCTTTGTTTTCTGTATCCCCGCCAGTTATATACCTATTCAAAGTCCCTGACCCACACTATATGCACTATCACCCAAAGCAAGCCCTTCCTTCAGCCATCATTAACCAAAGAACCGATCGAAGCAGTTACCGAAGCCATCGACTGCCCTATCCAAGCGCATGCATGCTTGCATCGTCAAAGAGACCTAAGAGAGTAATGTGAACAAGCCGGGCTCCTCTGAAGACCAACACAGCAGCTAGTTTTGTGAAGTTTCAGAGTTAAGGACTCCTCTTCCGCCTTCGAAAGGCGGAAAAGCAAAACGAAATTAAATAAAAGAAGCCCGGGTATCAGGGAAGATAGAGGGGGGTAAGAGAAGAAAACCACAAAACGTGAGTAAATCTCTATCGACATGACGATGCATGCGATGCGATGCGATCAACCCTGCAATGTTTGCACGCGTGTATGTCCCAACCAAGATCGCTGCTCCATGTATAGTGTAAACCAAGAAATATGCCAGCCGCTAGAACGACGATGAAGCAAAAAAAAGAACAGTTATCCAAGCCAACCACCTGACACTTCCCCCTTCTCCGCCTCAAAAAGGCATTTTTCTTACTCATCCGACACAGCGCCAAAGCACGTCTCCATGATGATACCGGTGATCTGGTACGGATCGGCGTTCGACGCAGGCCGGCGGTCCTCAAAGTAGCCATACCCCTTAGCGGCGACTTCGCGGGGGATGCGGATGGAGGCACCACGGTTGGCGACACCATAGGTGAAGGTGTCGATCTTGCCGGTCTCATGACGGCCGGTCAGGCGCTTCTCGTTGCCCTCGCCATAAACGGCAATGTGCTCGGCGTGGCGAGCCTCGAGCTTCTTGATGGCAGCCTCGATATGCTTCATGCCACCCTCCTCGCGCATGTCCTTGGTTGAGAAGTTGGTGTGCAGACCCGCGCCGTTCCAGTCACCCGGGATCGGCTTGGGATCAAACGACACCTTGGCGCCGAACTCCTCAGCCACGCGGTGCAGAAGATAGCGCGCAATCCAGAGATGGTCACCCACTATTGTACCATGGTTAGCATGCTGGGCACTCATGACCGGATAGTTCGGAAGCTCTGGGAAAGGGTTTTAAAAAACTTACTTTCGATGCCCTCGCACGGGCCGACCTGGAACTCCCACTGAGCAGGCATGACCTCGGCGTTGATTCCCGAGATCTTGACGCCAGCATAGAGGCAGCACTTGTAGTGGGCCTCGACAATGTCGCGCTGGACAACCTTGCCAGCACCAACACCGCAATAGTATGGGCCCTGGGGAGCAGGGAAACCGTTACGAGGCCAGCCATAAGGACGGTCATTGAGGTCGAGGAGGGTATATTCTTGCTCGAGACCGAACCACGGCTTCTGCTCAGCATGAGCAGCCATCAGCTTGGCGCACTCATGGCGGTGGTTGTACTTGTTAGGAGTGCCATCATTGTTCCAGCACTCAGCAAGGACCCTTCGAGCTGTCAGCAAAAGTTTACAATTTCTCTTATCTGCGCATCCTGATGGCTGCACAACTTACAGAATGTTGGGGGTACCCCTGAATGGGTCAGGGAAGACAGCCACGGGCTTCAGATAGACATCTGAATTGTCACCAGGGGCTTGGCCGGTTGATGAGCCATCAAAATTCCACATGGGAAGCTCATCGGGAGTGTAAGGGGTCTCCTTCTCTGGAAGTGTCTGAACAAGCAGCCATGTTAGCAAACCAAGTTTTTGATGTCGAGACCAAACAAAATTTGAGCCATGTTTTTTTTTTATTTCAGATGCGCGCTGCTGCCCGAAGCTACCGTCTCCGGCTGCGACGGGTAAGGATTTTGCGTGTTGCTATTTTCATGATTCGACAGGGAAGTGAAGAATATCTGGGCCGGCCTAGAAGCAGGTGATGCGCAAGGTGCCGTTATTGCCGGGTCTCCTTGACCTGGTAGGCTGGCGGAGTGGATGTTCAGTGGAGCCAGTTCCGTTCGCGCCGTGGGTCTCGTGGTCGCCGAAAGGGGCGAGGTCGGAAGAGGTCGGTGCCGTGGAAAACTTCCAGTTGCAGCTTTCATTGGCTGGCTGGCCATTGGTGGCGGAGCAATCCAGGTGGCCGGGTCGGTCTCGTGTCGTCACAAACGCTCAATGCGCAGAATAGGGAGCGCGTGTGACCTCGTCGTCGCCGCTGGAACGGCACAATCCGAAGGTGAACCAGCCAAGCCATTGGCATCGCGGCCGGGCAGCAGTGCAATTTTGGGACATAAAGGAAAAAAAAAGGATAATAGAAGCAGCCATCAAGCAACCGCAGCAGCTCAATTCATACTCACCCTCGCTTTTGACCGGACGCCACCTTCGCTGTCGACCCAAATGTACTCGGCGATAATGTTACCCCTTTGGGGTAACCTCATGAACTTCTGCAAGTTCTCGGTGTAGGTGACGAAAGAAGGTTCATGGGCCTGAAAGATTGTGTGTTAACATAGGTCTGTCTTAATAGACCTTCGTGATCCGTGTTGGATAGCGCCCAAAAGCCCATCAAAAGAGTGTTCGGCGCAGGTCAAATACAACACGGCATGAATGGAACTCACCATTTTGACGATATGAATGTGTGATGCTGTGGGTGCAAGACAACCCGGGATGACTCAAACAATAAGTGAAGGCACTCTCTGCTTCAAGCTTGCAGACCGATGAACAGAAAACACGGAAAGCGAATGGTTGAGAGAGTAACAAGGTGAAATAGGTAAGGAAGAGAAGGGAACGAGGTTTGACAGTAAAGAATTGAGTCTGTGAAACAGCGGGGACAGAGGGTTTTTATGTGCTTCTGCTTGCAGCCCACTTCTCAAAGGTACGAACCACATGTACACGACCGACTCAAATCTCACCGTGTCCGGTCCAGTGCGAAAACTATTTCTTGGAGCCTGGGGCAATCGTTCCGCCCCATTCGACTCCAAATGGCGATAGCAAAGCCAGGAACAACTTGTCAGGGCACAGGGGTCTTGCCGTCGGCTGGAGGCCACAGTGTGTGGGTTTGGTGGAGCTCTGCGCGGGGATCATGAAAGTCGTGAGTTTTGGGGAATATACTCACCAGCAACGGCCGTCTGCTCCCGTCTCCTTGACGGCCTGGAAGGCTCGACGACGTCCGCGACAGCACTACCACAGAGAATGTGGAGCAGGGGGTGTGCGTTGTGGGGTGCTGGAGGATCAGCCAGGCCAGCCACTCAGTCAACGCTTCAGGGGTATGTAATGTCATGTGCAAACAAGGCGGGAAGAGGCTGACAGATTGATGATGATGGCCAGGCTGTATGGGGAGAACTTCTACGAAGCTCAAGTGTTGACCATGCTGATTAACAGGGTGTTGCTCAGTTGTGCTCAGAAACTGGTAGACGTTGGCTTTGGCTATGAGACGTCAATCAACATCTGTCTCAGAGCTGAACCAGCTTTTTTTTTCTACACAACCAAAGACTTCATGAGTTGATTTGTTTCTCACAACCGCATAGGCACTTTTTTCATGTAAGGTTGGTAGGTCTGACAAGTCCAGTTTATCCTTTTGGTTATCCTTCCAGGCACCAGATCGAGTGGAAGATCGGTACTCCATAGCCTTCTACATGGAAAGATACGACAATACGCTGTTTCACTTGAGGGATCATTTCCTGGACCTTCACCGATCTCTGAACCAAGTCCAGCTTCCAGCGGTCTGTTTTAACATACGTTGGTGGCCATTCCTGGCTGTAAGCAGCCATGCCTCTTTCGTGCCTGTTATGTAACTCAACGCTCTCGGACTGGACAGAACGTCTGAAGAAGTGCATGACATTACGAACAAGTACCTAGTTTAAAGGCCCACGCGTAGGTAGGCGCCCTTGAGGTCCAGTGTTCAGTCCCGGTTACTCAGGACCGCTCTACGATGGTTCTCGAACTCAGGCTGGATCGAGGTGTCCCGGCATTTCTGCTTCCACATGGCAACCAGCGCGTGCCCGTCAAGATTGGACCCCGCGGAAGCGGAATCGACTGCCCATGCTTCCGCTCGGCTGTACGCAGTCTGCGCCTCTTGGACAAATTGAGCCATCAAAAGTTTTTTTTGCGGCTTTTTTCAGGCACGGGGGTTACCAGGAGAATGCCTTCGTGACACCCCCAACATCCCCACGACTCTCTCTTCCCTCTTCGTTCCTCTCCTCATAATGACCGTAAAGTATCATTGAAACATTAAAACGGGAAAGCTTGAAAGCTAAGCACAATGTCCTTCCCGTACGACGGAGGGAGAACTTAAGGGTAGTGGGGTAAACACGCCACGGCTCAATGACCGTCTTCAAAGAATCATGGTGAGTCGAGTCATTGGGATGAAACAATGCAATAAAGCGGCTCCTCCAGCTGGGAGAAAAGCTAAGTCGAGATTGTGACTAATCGTCCCGGGTTCTTCGTTGTAAGTATCGGCTGCATCTTGGCAGGTCAGAAGTTCACACACAACAATCCAGTGCACCTTGCGTAGTCGCACCGGGGATATTAGCACAGTGTGAATTGGACATGGCTGTAAACTGCTGGCTAGCCAGCCATGTGTTTCATTGGCTGGGCTAAGAGCCTCAGCCCCATGACTCAGCCACATGGAGGGTTTGGCCTCTGACATCATCACTCTGTTTGCCGCTGCTTGCGGCCAAGTCCTCAACACAACCCTGGGAACCTCTAATTTTGTGTTGTACCGATCGTCGATGCTATCAGCCTCGGTCCCTCGGCAGGACTCGGGCTCTTGGTAGGAAGTCACGAAAGGACCAAAAACTCGCAGGTAATTGTTGTGGTCTCTTAATCAAACAACGATTCAACCTCACGAGCTGTAACCCATCTACCTATTGTACCACCAAGTCCCTCCGAGACGCGCACGCGCACTTTTTTTAACCTTTAATACGAAAAGCGCGCTGTTAAACATACCTAGTACGTACTGCTCCCCACAAGTATATCTGTGGATCTCAAGTTTACCCGCAAAGCAAGGGTGTGTGTGTGTAGCACAACACCGTCGGCCTAGGCAACTTTCCAGTGAAGGGACCGATACAGAAGAATCACTGTACACTAGCTAGGTGGGTAATTTACGCCAACAGGCAGATCCAACTTTCAAAAGTGTTTCTCGCAAAAAGCTCAATGTGTAGAGTAAATCATTGGTATTCAATCCGGTTACTTGCTCCGTCCTACTTCGGAAGCTAACGCCGTTTCCCTTTCCGTAGCTTGTGATGACTCAAAGCACGGACACGTTTCGTCAACGCTCCGTTTGCAGCATTCAATCCTGTCCTCACCGCCAACTTCGGGTCAAGCAAAGTTCTGTGAAACATGGCATGGCTCTGCTTCCGTACTCTCCATTCGGCTATTCGTAGGTACAATTCGCTTTCTCTACTTTGTCGCCGCTTCCAGGTTTTCTGGGTGCAGCAAACTACGAACGATGGCATGGCGACGCGTTGCGATGCAAATCCAGCGAATCGCAGAGCTTCTCGTCACCTAAGAATATGCCAATTCCATCAACCAATCTCGGTGGCAAGAAGAGTCATCAACCAATAATATTTTACGATCTTCACCGTTGGAGCCGACCGTTATCGCAGCCTGTTGATTGGCTTTTATCGGGATCCGCCAGAAGCCTAGAAGTGATTGAGAACACTGGGATCCCGTCATGTGGGTCCTTCTCAGCCCTTACGGTGTGGATCCTCAAGAGTGGATTCTTCGGCGGCGAGTTGCCGTCGCCGCCGCAACTATTCCCGTCTTCTCGGAGTCCCCGCAACCAAAAGATCAAGCTGCATCATCATTTTAGGGGCTCAGTCGGGCCTTGCCGGCCAACCTGCCATCAGTGTCATGTTGTGATGCATTGCATGAGCCTGCAGACGGGAAAGGGTTGTTTTGTTTACGTACTGGATCGCTTCTAGAACCCATGAGAAAGGAGTAAAAGCTCTTTCCGTCTCGCCTAGGTCCTCGGGTGCCTATGCTCTTACTATCCGTGTCATTTTCGCTTGCACCGGCTTCACGCATGCATCCGGCTTGGTTTCGGAGGGTTTTCCTGCTTTTGCCGGAACCAACTCGACCGGCGCCGAAGCGGGTATCCGATTGGACTTTTCCCAAGAGCACGATCGTGGCGTTGACTCTCCCGGAAGGGAGGCTTCTGTGCTCTACAAAGCATACTCCAATTCATTCACATATATAATCTCTTAATAAATAGTAGGTATGCATTAAACAGGCGCTGACAGAAGTTCTATTAGAGAGCGCTGAGGTGGGAAGCTTAACTTCAACCGCTGTCGACTTCAGCAATGGGGCAGCGATCAGGTCTTGGTGTAAACCGAGTGCAGTCCAGCATATCTTAGACACATGTGCTTTCAATCAACATCTTGATTCGCTTCAGCTTTTCAGTACCAAGCAGCTCACACTCAAGTTTAGTGGGCATTTCGTTCGCCCTTCCAAACACTTAACTACCAGTTCAGCTCTAACAAACCTCAGACTCATCCTGCGATATACATAATCTTTATTTACAAGCAGGGTTCAACAAGATGCCGTCTAGGTGGTTCAAGACAATTTGAGTGGAAATCTTGACTTGGACGTATTCTCTTCTTCATCCACGTCCTCAATGGGGTCGCTACTGTAGTTGGGTAAAGCCCTAATATCTGCCCGGCCATCGTTGGCCCGTCTTCTTTGGCGCCCTTGACGACGCCTGGTAAGGCTGAGACCAACGCTCGGCAGTGTCGCCCGGTTCCAGAGTGACGGATTCGAACGCTTGCCAACAAACAGCTTGGGCGGAACGAACCGGAAATGCTCCACTGGTGTGGTTGTGTCACCGACCCCCACGTTAGATAAGGCGGGTGCAGCCGCCATCGACGTGATCATGGAAGGCGGGCCGCTGCTTAAACACGAGGCACCGCTCTCCGCACTCTCCACAGATCTTGGCCTGCTGTCATCCAAGCTGTCGGTACTGCTGTTTATCTCTGAAGGAGCGTAGGTACCTGCATTGGCCTTGAGGCTTGAGATTTCGGTAGACTGTTCCGAGGTGGAGGAGCTGAAGTGTGTCTCAACGGATGAATAGTGATAGGTGGCTTGGGCAGAGGCCTCGGTGAGTGCCAATATGGCTGCAGACTCTGAAGTGCCATTATCATCGCTGAAGCCAACATCCCTTTTAGCAGTAACACGAGTGCTGGGAATCGTGTTGCTACTGTCCAAGCCTGTGCTTGATGTCAAGGCATCTCGTTCTTGCATGTGTGTAGTCCCAAGTGTTGCAACGTCGCTGTTCAACTCGAACTTGGATCCCGTCTGACTTTCTTCCGCATACACTGTACCCATGGTGGCCATAATACTATCGGCATCAGAAGGTTTATTCTCCATACCGGCTGATGGGTTATCGGAAGACAGCATTTCTTTTACTACGTCATGTTTAGCTTCTCCGAATGCTGCCTTCTCAACCTCGTCGCTGGCTTCATTGCCGAAAACGAACGACTTCCATGCTTGGTCTGGATCCATGTCCTCAACGTGGCGGCGATCCAGTTGAACAGCTGCTGGGATTGGCACAGATGAAGCATCTGATGAAAAGGAAACAACTTGGTGTCCCGGGTCTCTGGCACGGAAACAGTTGCTCTGACCTCTCAAATTCATGTCGACCATTTGAACACGGTTTCCTTCGCATATATTGTCATTGATAACTGCGGACTCCTTTTCCCTCTTCTTAAATAGCAGATGTCCTATAGGGCCTTTGTTATATGACTGCTCTTGGACAACCCTGTTTGCTGACCAACTTGAAGCCTGCGTTGAATCCGACTCCCTAAGATGTCGAAGCTTGGAAACGATTTCTTCGTATTGAGCCAAGGCCTGTGAGGAGTCGCTGCGGATATTCATAGGACGTGCATCCGTAAAATTTATTTCGGCTGATTTTTCCGAGAGCATTTCGTCAAGACGGTTCGAAGACCGTAGATGCTGAAAATTGTGTTGGGGTTGGTTGAGCTCGCTAACACCAGGACTGATCATTAGCTCGACGGATAGTTGGCTGCCTTCAACTGTCGTCAAACTGTTTATGGGACTACTGGGTTTGTAAAGCCAGTTTCGCCATTTGTCATTATCCTTTTCCCGGGGAGGCTGAATGAGAGTTTGATCGTAGTCAACATGAGCTATGTTTGTGCCCGTATTGTCAGAAGCATACACTTCGAATCGACTGACCGTTTTCAGAAAAGGGCGCTCCGGATAAGGCTGCAATGGTTTTATTCTCGTAGACACCATTAAGTGACCATCCTGTTCACTCAAGATGTGTCGTGGCTTCTCGAACTCACTCTGGTCACTTTGGTCACTCACTAACTGCCCCGTGGGCAAAGTTGATTGCATTTCAATTGAATCATGTTCCCGACGAGCCAAGCCTAGATTTTATCGTACGAATACGTCATCAGCAATACGGACACCAAGACGAAAGGGCACTCTAGTTTGGGGCCTTGCCTTCACACCTCTTTGACAGTCGCTCAAGTACGTTGCTCGATTGCGTTCGTGACTGGTGGGTGGAGGGGGTTTGTATTTCATTGATGGTACTGGTGCTGTCACCTGGATGGTTCTCTCGACTACCAATCTGAATCCTGACATCTTCCCAAGCAAGAGCGTAAGATGCAGGCCCTTGTCGGTGACGTTTGGCGAGATTTTCTCTAATGCCTAGCATCTGCGGCGGCCTCTTCTTTATAAGCTGTGAGGTCTCAACAGTCCTTTGGTCTTTTGGTTCTGAGCCATGATTTCCAAAGCGAGTTGCCAAAGGATCGCGAACGGTTCCCTAATCCTTCTTCGCGAGTAAGTTCTTTCGCAACCGCTCTACGGTAGCCTTATCATATTGATGAGGCAGGTCAGCAGCATTTTCCCTCTCTGATTGTTCCCGGAAGAAACGGCTGATAGTGGGCAATGGACTGTCATCTTGATCCGTGGCAGTCCTATGTTGTAATTTGTTAGTCATAACACTCCAAAGCGTCGCGGTTTAGGTCGGATGATCTTCCGGGGAGTATCCAGACCGATTCAACGCATGAGAACTTCGAGCGCTAGGGGAGTTTGGCTCCAGGTAAGAGATAGGTGGAGGGCCATTCTCCCTTGCTGCCTTGATCTCAACTGCATGGACCCGGGCTCTGGCGAAATATGCCTTCTGCTGCTGTCGGAGAGGATTGACTTTTCTCAGACGGCTACGACTGTGGCGATACAAGCTGCCCTCAGTCCAGTTCATTGTAAGATGAGGTGAAAGAGCCCAGGTATCTTCGAGATAAGATGAACAACCCTTCGAGCATTAATAACAGACTATTGAAAGCTCGTCCTAAACAGCTTTGAACTCGGAGATAACTGATGATTCAGGCGCAATATTTGTGTTACAAGCATGAAGGGGGGCGGTTAGATGGTATCCAGTTTTTATATAATTGATGTGCCAGCTGAGCCTATTTCCACGGGCTCAATCAAGCTCCAGTGGTTCCTTCCCTTTCACCGGTATGAAACTGAGCCATCGAGATCACGCTGTATCACAGTCAGGGGCTCCTGCCGCATGGGAGCGGAGGACTCGGGCCGGAACTTCCTGGTTCCCGATTCAGGAACCGCACAAGAGACCCACTTTCAGATACCCCGCCCCCGCGCCGAAGACTCTGAAAGCCGTTTGCAGCGATACTCTCGGAGCACGAGTCTCAACCCCGCCATGCGCCCATCATCAACGACGTGCTGGAGGACAATTCGGGTCCTCGCAAGATCGCTGCTCCAGCCGCTTTTACCACGACATCTTCATCTGAGACAGCAGCCTCTGTCCGTACTTCCTCGATCAACCATCTCTCCCTTTGGCCGCCGCACAATGGCTACCTCCTCATATCCTCTCCTCCTCAAGCAGCCCGTCAAGCTTGCTTGTGTGCAGCTTGCCACAGGTGCCGACAAGACGGCCAACCTAGCCCATGCCGCTGAGAAGGTACGAGAAGCGGCCTCCGCAGGCGCCAAAATCGTGGTGCTGCCCGAGTGCTTTAACTCCCCTTATGGTTGTGACTACTTCCCCTCGTACGCCGAACAGCTGCTCCCGTCGCCGCCAAGCCCAGAACAATCTCCCTCATTCCATGCACTCTCCGCCATGGCTCGCGATAATGGCGTGTATCTCATCGGCGGCTCGATTCCAGAAATCGAGGTCTCTGCCGACAACAAGAAGACCTACTACAACACCTCTCTGACTTTCTCACCGGCGGGCGAACTGCTTGCGACACACCGCAAGGTGCACCTCTTCGATATTTCGATCCCTGGTGGGATCACGTTCCGCGAATCGGACGTGCTGTCGCCAGGGAACAAGCTGACGGTTGTTGACCTGCCAGAGTATGGGCGCGTGGCTATCGCCATCTGCTATGACGTACGATTCCCCGAGCTGGCCACTATCGCTGCGCGCAAGGGCTGCTTCGCGCTCATTTACCCTGGGGCTTTCAACTTGACTACGGGACCCCTGCATTGGCGTCTGCTTGGTCAGGCGAGGGCAGTCGATAACCAGGTCTATGTTGCTCTGTGCAGCCCCGCTAGAGACATGAGTGCTAGCTATAATGCCTGGGGGCATAGCCTGGTGGTAGATCCCATGGCGAAGGTGTTGGTCGAAGCTGGCGAGGGTGAGGAAATTGTGAGCGCCGAGCTTAATGGGGAGGAAATCGAGAAAGCCAGGAGAGGCATCCCGCTGAGAGAACAGAGAAGGTTTGATGTGTATCCAGATATAAGCCAAGGGTATGAGCTGAAGAGCCCGTAATTTGAACTCTGCATCACTGGGAGATGCCTTGTTGCCAATGGTCACAATGATCATGTTTTTTGGATAGACCTTTATGAGATGTCATTTTCATCTTTTTCCATCCACACGAAGACAAGGTATATATGCCTATTTTACACCTTAGCACTTGTCTAGCCGCCAAGTGAGCATTTTTGTTTATGATCCCTTCCCAACGGCAACGGCATCTTGCGTCTTACCGACGTTCCCATCTACATGTGGGCGGTTGCCTTATTGACCCCTCGTTATCTGCCTTCTCCAAACTACTCCCCAACCCAATCACTCATGCTACCAAGCACATTCATCCGTTTACTGCTCCAGAGCCATCTGGGCGAATGTAGGCAGGACAAAGGCAGCCTTGTGGATCTCAGAATTGTAGTACTTGCACAGTCTGCGCTCCTCCTCCTTGGACCAGGTGCGCAGAGGGACCTTGACGTCGCGGTTGGGGTCCTTGCAGCAGACCATGAAGCCAATCTGGCCCGACGGGTAGGTCGGGATGGTAGTGTAGGCATACTCGGCCACAGGGAAGATCTCGCTGCAGTCCTTCTTGAGCTTGGTGATGAGAGGGAGGTGGAGCCATTGGTTCTCGGCTGTAAGCCCATAAGTTAGTGATCCGGACAGCAACCGTAGGAGACGTTAAGAACCAAAAACAGGCCGAGGCCTGCATGACGGAGAGTGGAAACTATGAGGGCCACAATTCGGAGGGAGAGTAGAATGGGGGTGTTGGGATAGGGGGCTGAAAAGGAGAGACAGTGGAGTATATGAAAATAAACGAAAGCTTGTAGTGACGCATGTGATGAAATCCGAGACCAACTACCACTTGGCAGTCTCCTGGGAGAAAGGATCACAAGGAGCCTATATCATGCGGAGTGTCACTCCCAAAGAGCGAGGAGGGGCCCCCTCCACGGGGTCTCGGAATTTCAAGAGTAAATGAGACATACAACCTTGGGTAGTAATAACACCGCCATCGCGGAGGGCCTCATAGAGGAGCTGAAAGTAGGGCTTCTGGAACAGAGACTCGGCGGGACCCTCGGGGTCGGAAGAGTCGGTGATAATCACGTCGAATGTGTTCTTATACTCGGCCAGGAACTTAAAGCCATCGCCAACGTGGACCTTGACCTTGGGGTGGTTGAAGCCAACAGCCATATTGGGAAGATACTGCTTGGAGAGGCGAATGACAGCCTGTATCAGGGGTCAGTATCAAGAGCTTCTTTAGTACGAAGTTGTGGGAGCCATGTACCTCATCAATGTCGCAGAGGATAGCCTCCTCGACGCACTCGTGCTTGACGACCTCACGCAGCACACCACCATCACCGCCGCCAATGACAAGGACCTTCTTGGGCTCAGGGTGAGAGTTCATGGCCAAGTGGGTGATCATCTCCTGGTACGAGAACTCATCGCGTTCAGTGCACTGGATGACATTGTCCAGAACCAGAACACGGCCATGATCGGTCGATTCGAAGATTAGGACATCCTGATACTTGCTCTTCTCATGGTGCAGGACCTTCTTGACACGGAGGGTCATGGCCTGGCCTGTTGAATCAGGGTCAGTCTGGCGGGCCCCAATTAATTCTAAGACATTGGGTCAACTTCTGTTACTTACCAGCCCACATGTCCGAAATCTCACGGAACCAGCCATCTGCACAAAAATTGCTTGGTCAGCATCAACGCCCTACCGGTTAGGCCGGGGATAGCATCATGAAAGTCCCTAGCCAACGCCAAGCAGCACAAAGACAAGATATAATCTGATTGCTAAGATCCCAATCACGCAAACTGCCACGGGTGCCCCTAAAGGCTTGTATAAGGCGCAACATGGCTAGGTATCAACGCTTCGTAGGACTGATGGTCGTAGCAAAGGCTCATGGCTGGTGGCCCCGCTCCGGAAGAGCTGTGATTACATCCAACAACGCCAGGTCATGGAAAATGATGGCAGAGCCATTGGCCCCTGAAATGGATGTAGAACAACGCGACAAAACAGAGCAGATATTTGAAATAATGAACCGCGGAAATGTTCAGAAACGGTGACATCTTCTCCCATGGAAGGGGAGAAGCAAAGGATGGAAGGGCAATGATATTTCGGGGATAAAAGAACGTACCCTTGATGGTGGGATGCGTAATTTCTCCCTCGCTGCTCATTTTTCGGATTTGGCTAAGGTTTGACTGTTTTGAAAGTGTAGATGTGACAAACCGATGAGAGCTCCTGGCAATGGAGACAGGCAAAGCAAATCTCGTGAGACGGGCCAGTGAGGTGGAGGCGGGGTAAATGTTGTCGATGATAGCGATGGAGGAAACTCTTAAGCTCAAGCAAACAGGAAAAGTGGGCTTAACATGCACAAAAAATTTTGTGGCTCGTTGGAAGACAAAGGTTCCCGTTCTTTGCATATGAGCGAATTAAAACGGGTTCTACAAGTAAGAGAGGTAGAGGCTGGGACCAATTGTGGAGAGGCATTCGTGTGCGTAAAAACCCGAAGCAGCCGTTCACCTTCTGGGTGAGGCTGGCCGCTGGCCATTGTTAGACTTAAACAGCCCCGCAGAGCGCAACGATACATCGAAGGCAAGAAGAAGGGAGTCGAATACCGACATATCATGTCATGTCCAGACACCGTTGTCAGAGACAATGCTTTCCTATGTTTATCGCCCAGCTTTTGGTAAGTTCCATACTTGCACACCAATTATGCACCTTATTGGAACAGTATTCGTCAAGCAGATATTCCCGTCTAGACGCTGACTGGCAACGTTTCACTCACGGTAAACCTTTTTTTTGAAACTTATGATGAGGTTGCGTAAAGCTACGCCCTCACAGAGAGCAAGGAGCAGGGGCTCTCGGCAGAACGCCGCTACAGGTGCGGCGTGCCTTGAGCTGACTCTTCGATTTGCCATCAACGGTCACGACCACCTGGGCGGGGCTCATGTGGCTTTGCCAAGGCTCAAGTGGGAGGGAGGGGAACAACTTCGCCAGTTCCATCCAAGATGCCTGTCAGGTTCCAGCTCTTCGGGTATGCACAACAGATCGAATCGCGAATCGAGAATCGCGGGGCTGCGCTAGTGTTGAGCACAGAGCATCGCGCGCACAAACATCAGATCTCGCTTCTGGTTGCATAAACAACCGAATACGGACGTACGTTCGCCAAGCCTGCAGAATCTCAAATCATTTTGCTGGGCATTGACGACTTCACTGGAGAATCAAGGTTGAGAACATTGGGCGACGCTCTGACCTTCATCATTCAGGATTTCGAAGACGACGCTGTCTGATGCTGGATGAATGCTGTCAGTGACAGACAGAATGGAATGTTTGCCAGCGTTGGCCGTAGCGTTCAACTTCTAAACATGGAGATCAATGGCTGAACTATCTTCACCTGTTCACCTTCCCAACATGAGAGCTTTCGGTTCTTGCTCGGTGCTGAAAGGTGCGGATAGCTAGCTGATCATGAGCTCTTGGATACCTCTATGCTGCAACAGACGGCCACCAAACGGCCTATGTGATGCCGTATTGCCCAGCATTTTTTTATCTGGAGCCTAATCCCTTATCAGACTTTTAACATTGCAACCACATACCGACTTTGGTGATGACGAGTGCGGCGCGCTCCACATCGGACGCTCGAACGGTGACTTTCAGGCATGTCGAAGTTTCTTTTTCCTCTTCAAGATTTTGACGACACCATCATAGAGCACCATGGGCCAGATTTGTGGTTCGACAGTCAGTTCCCTGATCATGCAGGAAGTTCCGGCTCAATTCACAGTCGTTTTCTTGCTGTATTTGTGTAAATGAAGATACTTGAGCAGCTGGCGACACACCCATGTTAGCGATGCCATTGCGGTTGCTTATTGTGTAAGCACACAGGAGCTAAACCAGCTTAGCATCCCGATCTGTCCATGCAGGCGGAGCCTAGGAGTGGGGGCAAATACCCAAGCGTCACTGGCTGGCACGCGGCACCTAGCTGCCACTTGCGCCAAGTTTGTCAAACAGAGAAAGACTGACGAAGAATTCGATGACTGGAGAAAAAGGATGATGTCTGTGCTCACCAGCCGCATCCACGGTCCTTTGGCAGCGAGTTTGCGATTGGTTGGCTGCAACCCTGACCCGCTTCCTCATGTCACCGAAGCGGTCCATGCTTTTGCATCGATCTAGGCCAAGGGGGAGGGTTCTTTACTGTGCGCAGAAAGGGGCTCGGAGAAACAACCACAGGGTCGGTTTGGTTCGAGTCGCAACTGTGGCGAGATCTATTTTACCGAGTCCCGTGATATGACCGTTCCATAGCAACGAGAGCAGGCCGTATGCTCGATGCACGCTCAGACCTGAGGAGTAGCTCTTGGGAGGCCTGAGGCTGTCAGTCACCGGCAGTTGTGCATTCTGCTGGCTGACTCTGACAGGAAGGATCCATTGTCAATTTGTGTTCACAGACCTGAATGCGGACAGGCTCCTGGCAGCAAGCAGGAGCGCAGAGTCGTCAACCAAGCATGTGTTGGGACTGATTGCGCCTGATATCACAGGTATCAGTGCGGGCGGCAGATCAGATCACAGCAACCCTTCCAACATGCCTGCATCAGCCCAGGCTTTTTGATGGCTGGAGTTAGATACTGTTCTCTCGGGAAGCATCCGGACACGCTAAGGACGAAGCCAGGAGTATATCTACGTACCTTGAATAGGGGTTGTGGCTGGGCTGGAGACTTCGTGAATTGAGAGGTTGCTTTCGTTGTTGCTTGACTATTCTCTTCAGTCTTCTTAATAGTATGTGCCGTCACATTCTCGTCACATTCTCATCGTTACCGATCCGTGCTGGCGGGTTCAGTCATTGAAAATGTTTGAGGCCAAAGTGCCTCATTAAGAGGGGGCGTAAGTGTTGTGTCTTTGAAACATCTCACATAACCGGCAACCACTGTACCATCATGGATTACGATTGCCGAAGCAGTGAATCCAAGCACTGTGTACTGTCCAACTCAGTAAGGAGAGGCTGAGCCCGCGTGTTTAGAATCTGGGTCAGCTGTTTATACAAATACAAGATGAACTATAAATTTTCTACATGCGGTAAAGCATGCTCCATGGTGATCACGGCATTCAGCCAGCATTGGTGTAGCGGAAAGCATGCAGTTGAAATTTTGATGCTGAAGCTCCAATATGGCTTCGCCTGGGGGAAAAAGGGATGCACAAAACAGCAGGATTGGAGGTGGGGATGCGAATCTCGACACTAACAATTTAGTCAAGACCTTAGCTCGCGTGCAAGTTGCGGCGTCTCTCCGGTTGGGCTCCACTTCCCAGAGGGGGCGAGTCACCTCCACACAGCAGGGCTGGCAGGGATGCATGTCGCATGTAACAAAGGGTGCAGATAGGCAATTCATACGCCACACGTCGCACTTGTTTTCTTGCGCCCACCGTGTGCGTTCGACTGAGGAATGCTTCCATCCTGAAGTTGTCGAGCTTTTCTCAATGTTGCGCTACCAATCATCCTGAGCTGTGCTTCGTCGCTGCATCTACTGGGCCACACATACCTGCTTCACAGCCAACTTATCTTCAATCGCATTCCTTCAACATCCAGGTTGATGCTTCTTCACCGAGTCCACTCCTCGTGATCCCCGCCAGCAGCCAGCCAGCCCACCCTTTATTTCCAGCAATTGAATTCACCTCGGCCACCCGAACCGAGAAGCGCCGAGCCCTGCTATGTCAGTTCTCAACGACGGGATAAACTAAACAAAAAGTAAAGATATCTCCGCCGTGCAGCTGGCCTAAGTGCATTACGCCAAACACGGCACCCGCAGTGGATTTCTTCCACTTTCTCGAGCTTGTATCTCGTGGTCTCTGCCGATCGACCGGCTCCTGTTTTTAAGATCTAGCCGGTGTCTTCGACGAAGAGCCGGCACTATTGGCGAGCTAGACCCTCTGGATTGGACGTTTCAAAGAACAGATACCTGACCTTGGCTCTTCGCTTGCTTCTCACCGTCATTCCCTTCGCAATCGATTCACGCTCGTGGGCGCCAGCCCACCTCTACACTGCCTATCCTGATAACTAGCTCCGCTCTCGAACAGATTGCTCCCTGGTCGGTTGTTGGTGACATACCTAGACTTAAAGGCCCCTCAATCTTGGCCGAATTTCAGCCACCCTCCTCCCCGGTTTGTTGCAACACAGCCATATCACTACAATGTGCTTTGGCGGCCGCGAGAAGCGAGTCGACGAGGTGGGCGCTGCCCGCTCCCGCGACATTGACAAGATGATCAAGGCCGATGAGAAGCGCATGCAAAGAGAAATGAAGTTTCTGCTGCTGGGTACAAACTCCTCCCCCCTCCTTGCACGAGTGGCAATACCCCTCCCCGCAACTGACCCCTCCGCTGACCTTTCTGTTTATGCAGGCGCTGGCGAGTCTGGCAAGTCAACTGTACTAAAGCAGATGAAGCTCATATACGCGCAAGGGTTTAGCAAGCATGAAAAGATGGAATGGAAGCCTGTGGTGTTCGCAAACATCATCCAGTCATTCCGGTTGATATATGATGCTATGAATGAGATGGGCATCAAGTTTGAGAACCCAGAAAACGAGGCACGCATCCCAGCTCTTCAGTGCTTGCATGGCAACCCTGGTTTAATGGCTAACCAGTTCTGCAGAAGCATATGGCCCAAATTATGATCGATTATGAAATGACGGCGGACGAGCCTTTACCGATAGAATACTACGAACCATTGAAAAGTCTCTGGGTTGACGCCGGCGTCAAAAAAGCCATAGAGAAGGGCAATGAATATGCGTTACACGACAATTTAGACTAGTAAGTCCTAGACCCAAAGAGCCCGAATGATTGTGAGTCAGTTATCACGTCAGAGCAGGTGAAATGCTGATATCACTGTTCAAACAGCTTCTGTGACGATCTGGACCGACTTTGGGACAGAAACTACGTGCCCACGGATCAGGATCTGCTGCGGTCAAGGTTGAGAACAACAGGCATTACCGAGACTGTCTTTGACCTTGGTCAGCTCACGTACCGGATGCTCGACGTGGGCGGCCAGCGGTCCGAAAGGAAGAAGTGGATTCACTGCTTCGAAAACGTTAATTGCTTGCTGTTTCTCGTCGCCATCTCAGGTTATGACCAATGCTTGGTTGAGGACAAGGATGGGGTGCGTTCGTTTCCTTATTTCAGAGCACCTCACAAAGATCGGGAATCTAATACTATTTGCTCAGAATCAAATGAACGAGGCGTTGATGCTTTGGGAGTCAATCGCCAACTCCCACTGGTTCGCCAAGTCGGCGCTGATTCTATTCCTCAATAAAATCGATCTATTCCGAGAAAAGCTGCCCAGGAGCCCCATTACAGCACATGGCTTCACCGATTACCACGGACCCCCGGACGACGATAAACAGGCCAGCAAGTATTTCATGGACAAGTTCCGTGCGCTGAACCGCAACCCGGATAAGGAGATCTACGGACACTTTACCAATGCGACCGATACGAACCTGCTTAAAATCACGATGAATTCTGTCCAGGATATGATTATCCAGAGAAACCTAAAGCAGTTGATACTGTAAGAGGCGCACCATCACCTTGCATATTTTGTTTGCTTCAATCGGACCTTCGCTCTCTTCCGCAGAGGGATTTCCCTTTAGCGGAGTGCGCCACAACCACCCAAAGCCGTTATTCGCAACCCCTTTAACAAGGAGGGATATTCGGATGTGGAATTTTTCTTGACTGGATTGCAAACGCTGCAACTAGTCTGGATGTATCCTTAACATCTTTGCTTTTGTGATTTTCCTCCGTTTTTCCGTCACCTTTTCCTTTTCTTTTTTTAAAGCAGGCTGGCCCTAACATGTGATCTTAATAGGGTCTGATGATGGTCGAGCTTATATATGACCCGATACCCGTCGTTTGTGACAAATACCCCACGAAATAGGGGAAAAAGGGGTCAGAATTTTCTGTGTTATGCACTTTTACTTTCTTGTATTATCCTACCACGATTGCCCCCCTTTCCTCTCTTCGCTTCTGTTGTTTATATTCTACATCATATTATTTATACCAACTGGGGTTGGTTTTCTTGGGGGATCTTGATATCTTCAGGATGCTTTTTCGCTATCTTTGGTTATTCTAAGTGTTGAAGAGCTCACCACAATACAGGGGAGATGATGCTACTAGCGGGCCTGGCGTCAGATAAGCAAGGGTCCAATTCTGGGCATCAGGGTCGATACAGTGGAGAAGCCAGCAAGCCTACGCCTCTTCCTCTTTTCATTGCATGCCTCTCCCCTAGGCTTGCCTGGTTTTCGTCGTGAACGACAACTGCAGGTTGAAGAAGCAAATGTGTGAAATATTGATGGTGAAAGGAATCCGAGGGGTTAAGGATATGCGTTCAGATACCAATCAATGGAGTTTTGCACTGAACCCTTTTAAGTAATGTATCAAAACCAAATCTGCGACAATGTTTCGGCGTTCAGGTATGAGCATGGGGGCAATGCTACGGATATCACTACTCGGCAGCTGGTCAGAGAAAGGAGACTCCCTGAAGAAGCGCCGTCCACATGTTTTCCTCTCGCCCGGTCTCTTCCTTTGCCAGTAGAAAAACTTGACCGCTGATCAGTTCACCTTATCGGCTAGGGCTGGGTTCAAACGGTGATCAGTGGGGCAGACATAAGCACCTGGCAGCGCTTTGGTGGTCTTTTTTACATGACCTTCCTTCCAAGTATGTACAGTGTACGAGAATGCTACACGGTCACCGCCGCTACGCTACCTAGCTGTGCTACCTAGGCGGGTGTTTTTTCATGGCTTCCACGTGGCATCCAGGTTGTGTATCGCAGAGTATATCAGAGTATCCCTATCGGCTTCCATATTTTTTTTTTGGCTTCTAGCGCGGTGGCAGCGACATGCAGCTTGCTGACTTGGATGTGGCTGATAGCATCAGCGTTTGTGAGGTGTGTGGCGGCCACTGTTTGGTTGAATTGGGAATAGAAACGTTGTCCTGCTATCAATGATACACTCTACTTGTCGGGAGTATGGCATGCGCTGCAGGGTAGTCGAGTCGGCCGATTTGGCAGGCTCGACGAGGATAGTGCTTATGGGATGTTATGGTCGGTGCGACGTTATCAAGTGCTGTCATGATCAGAGAAATTGTTTCATATTCCGTCAACACTTCTTTAGACAACTTGATTCAACCCTTTGTTACCATGTTGGTGAATACTGACAGAATATGTGCTATGCACACTTTGTTGTGTTGTGGTTGTCAGTCTGTTCAATTTTCTGTTGGCATTATAGGGACTTTCAAGGTGATTCTCCTCGTGCGTTGTGCTCCGCAATTAACAGGTTTCTGCAGCAACAGCCGTGGACCTGTCGCAGTGCGTTTACTTGGATAATGGAGGCTGGGTTAAGGTCTTATGTAATCTGTAGAGCACATGCTTAAGATTGGGTTGGACAGAGGCAAATGCACATGTACCAGTCTATGTCCTAGGTTACCTAACCAGGAAATTCATGGTATGGGCCTAGATTGTCTGTATCATGGCTAGAGCATCTGTATCTTCTCGTCCGGGATGATCTCCTCACCTCTTGCGTGATGAGCGCTCTACTCGAAGGTTCGAGGGCTACAGTATGCCATTCGTAACCGTGTTTGTATTCTTACTGTTTCTTCCAACCAAAGTTGCGGATTGCGTTTGACAGCACCTGATTCGTTGTAAGCGAAACAGATGCTTGTATAAATAAGCCACACACGACTCATAAGTCAATGACACCTAGAACGGCATCCAACCCCTTGACCATGTTGAAGAAAAGGGACACATCTTCTGAGCTATATCAATTGGCTGTGAGCATCCTGGTATATTAGCTTGGCCAGTTATCGGAAAATCGCCAGAGCGCCGATATTGGGGCCTTCAGGTGTCTCTCTTCCCTGTTTGCCGACATCATCAACACCAACGCCCAGACCTCAACTCCTCCCATTTTACAAAGTTACAGATCGCTCACGTTCAGCCTCAAGAATATTTGCCGATTCCGTGACACAAAAGACTGTCTACAGACCAAGCTAGGGTTATCTTCGTCTCCTATCCAGAGTGAACATGACGCCTAACCAGGAAAAACACCTCAACAAATTGGGTTCATCCTCGTCTGCTGCCTTCGATGAGATCCGGCCTACCCTCACACACGCTGCAACAGCAAACCCGCAAAGATCTAGTTGACTATCTAAGATTACACAGCGCTTTCCTTTCCTTCGTACAAAGCGTGGGATCGCTGTGTTGATCATCATCATCCTCCTCATCGTGGGTGGTGGCTTGTCAGGGCTGGCTTCGCTGCATAAGAGCGGAGGGAAACAGGCTGTGAATGAAGTGAGAGACACCGACGGTGTGATAACCGACGATGTTTATTTCTACGGTCTGTCCCCTCCAATTTATCCTTCGCGTAAGTTTAATGCCTGCTATTTGGGGAACTCCTTAAATACAGTAGAATGAGGCTGACAAGTGCATATAGCGAGCATGGCCGGCGTAGGGAGATGGGGTGATGCATTGCTGAAAGCAAAAGCCTTGGTCTCAAATATGACACTGGCAGAAAAAGTAAGGCATCCATAATCATAGCTGGGGTCGCACAGCAGGGTCTAACTGTGCAGGTCAATTTGACTGCAGGTGTGAGCTCAAACACAGGCTGCTCTGGGTTTCTCCCAGCCATTCCACGTCTAAATTTCCCCGGTATGTGTCTTGCTGATGCAGGAAATGGCCTTCGCGGAACCGATTTCGTCAGCACTTGGCCCAGCGGGATTCATGTTGGTGCTAGCTGGAACAAGAAACTAGCTCGGGACAGGGGAACTGGTATGGGAGGGGAATTCAGAACCAAAGGAGTCAATGTATTGCTTGGTCCTGTCGTTGGACCGGCTGGCCGCGTTGTTCTTGGTGGCCGAAACTGGGAAGGTAGGGTAAATCGCCGATATTTTCATCGAGAGCCCAATTGTTGACCATCTGCGTTGACCATCTGCAGGGTTCTCGAGTGATCCCTATTTGACCGGCGCCTTAGCTTTCGAGACGATTTCAGCTATCCAGGCTGTGGGTGTTATAACGAGCACAAAGGCAGGTATGCTCGCCCCAAGTATTACACAGAGTGTTGCTAACTACTACCAGCATTACATTGCCAATGAACAAGAAACGAATAGAAATCCTTCCGGTAATGTCCAGTCTGTGTCATCTAACATCGATGACAGGACGATGCATGAGGTCTATCTCTGGTAAGCTTAAGCTATACGATTTGCAAAATTATGCTCCGCACGCTAACTCAATGCAAAGGCCTTTTCAAGATGCTGTTCGCGCTGGGACAGGGAGCATTATGTGTTCATACAATCGAGTGAACAATTCATATGGATGCGCGAACAGCAAGATCCTCAATGGCCTCCTGAAGACCAAACTGGGCTTCCAAGGTTTGGTGTTGAGCGACTGGGGAGCACAGCATGCCGGAGTTGCTACTGCGCTGGCGGGACTGGATATGGCCATGCCTAATGGAGATGCTCTTTGGGGCTCACACCTGGTCGAAGCTATTACCAATGGCTCTGTACCAGAGTCCCGCCTTGACGATATGGTCACGAGGTATGGAACCTGGCCTGCCAGCACATTGTTTGTTCCTGACCAGTTAACACAGCATAGGACTATTGCTGCGTGGTATCTGATGGGTCAAAATAGGGGCTTCCCTGAGCCCGGAATCGGTATGCCAATCAACCTCGTCCAGCCTCACCGAGTGGTGGATGCGAGAAATTCGTCATTCCGGTCTACACTTTTTGAAGGCGCTGTAGAAGGCCATGTTCTTGTCAAGAACATACGAAATGCTCTCCCACTGAAGCAGCCAAAACTGCTCTCTATATTCGGTTATTCAGCGAAGAACCCCGATCATAACCATCCCACTGGGGGCTTGTCGGCGTGGCTCTGGGGTTCAGAGCCCTACAGCTTCTCAGAGTTCAGGGACGCGTTTTACTGGGGTAAGGCAATTCAGACCCCCATTGCCTTCAATGGCACACTTTACTCGGGAGGTGGTTCCGGTGCTACTTCACAGTCACTCGCGGTCTCTCCTTTCGATGCCCTCATTGAGCAAGCTTATGATGACGGAACCGCGCTATTCTGGGACTTCTATAGCGGCACGCCAGATGTCAATCCTATGTCGGACGCATGCCTGGTGTTCGGCAACGCCTACTCGACTGAAGGTGCTGACCGTCCTTGCGCACGGGACGATTTCACCGATAACCTGATTAAGCACGTCGCTGACCGGTGTAATAACACTGTTGTAATCTTTCACAATGCTGGTATCCGGCTGGTTGACCAATTTGTCGACCACCCCAATGTCACAGCGCTCATTTTCGCTCACCTTCCAGGCCAGGCATCAGGCAAGGCCCTCGTCTCTCTCCTCTACGGCCGCTCCGATTTCTCTGGAAAACTGCCATACACGATCGCGCGCAACGAATCCGACTACTCTGTCCTCGGCCCGGACCTGCCACAAGGCATCTTCACATCATTTCCTCAGAGCAACTTTACTGAGGGTGTGTTCATTGACTATCGCCACTTCGATGCCCACAATATCACACCTCGGTACCCGTTCGGGTTTGGCCTCAGCTACAGTTCGTTCAACTACAGCAATTTGGTCATTCAAAAGCGTGAAGAGCAGGACTTTGGCGAGTACCCTACCGGCCTTATAGTAGAAGGCGGTCAAGAGGATCTCTGGGACGTGTTGATTCTAGTCTCAGCCGACGTCAGTAACGGCGGTGATGTGGCTGGGGCCGAAGTAGCACAGCTGTATCTGGGAATTCCGGCAGAAGGAGCACCTATTCGGCAGTTAAGAGGGTTTGAGAAGCCGTTTTTGAATGTAGCAGAGACAGCAACAGTACGTTTTGAGTTGACTAGGAGAGATCTGAGTGTGTGGGATGTGATAACACAAAAGTGGAGGCTGGTTCGGGGCGAATTCACCGTTGAGGTGGGAAGCAGCAGTAGGGACCTGCCACTGAAGGGCAAGTTTGTGATTTGAAGAAGGAAATATCGCCATATGGAAAGATGACTGGATCCCTCGCAGGGTAGTGAGATATGCACCCAGCGGAAGTCGGCGTTTGACTCGTGAGGGAGATATAATATGCTTTAGCTGGTGGCCTATCTGTTTGGTACAAGGACAACGAACCATCCTATGCTTCCTGATTCAAGGTCAATAAAAATAATCCTGTATGGGCTGCAAGGTATATAGAGCCAATTCAGAGTCCTGTCTTATGCTTGCCCGAGAACGTAAATCGAAAAAAGAATAATCGTGTCTGATGCATAAACAGCAACATCTGTGTCGTTAGGATGACATGGCTACAGAGCCTACACATACCCGAGAGAGTAACCACTTTATCCGGCAGGCTCGGATGACATGTCAACCCAGGAACGATTTCACTGTAGAACATGGTCTCTTTTGAATGACCCGTTATAATAAATCCCCTCACATGGTCGGATCATCTATGTAGATTGATGAGCAAGCTCATTAGCCTAGGTTGTGTTCCGAGAGTCGTGCAATGATAATCTGCTTCTTGGAAAATTGAAATCGAAAAATGGTGCCTGTTCCTATGTCAAGTTGAAGATTATAGTACCGGAGTCAAGAACATATACTGACTTGATTCCTTCCTACTAGCTTGCCGTTACTTTTGACTTGTCACAGTGATCCTTACTTTACTTCAACCCAGCTTCACCCTGGAAATATGAGGGAGGGTATAACCACAAAATGAATCTCCCCCTCGCCCTTGCCTTTTTCTTTTCCCAGGACATCTTGCCAGCCTCGGCCCAGCTTCACTGGTTAGCTCAGCAGGCTGGTCTTGTCTATTTCGGCGCAGCCACCGACACTCCCTTCCAGCGTGAGCGCGAGCCATGGTCAGCGGAACGGCACTCCCGCTACAAAAAAATCATACGCAATCCAAATGAATTCGGGCAGACAAAACCTACCAACGGCCAGAAATGGCTGTTCACTGAGCCCTATCTCCGCATATTCAACTTTACCGAAACTGATATCGTCACAGACGAAGTAGCACGGAAAGAAGGCAAACTGCTACGGTGCCACGCGCTGGTGTGGCATAACCAACTCGCTCCATGGGTCGAGGGAAAAGAGTGGACAAAAGAAGAGCTTGCTGAGGCCATTGAGAGATATGTGAGGGCCGTTGCAGGGTACTATCGGGGCCGGTGTTACGCGTGAGATGTGGTCAATGAAGCGCTCGACGAGGATGGAATTTACTGGCAAAGTTTATTCTACTGCGTCCTTCAGGAGGAGTACATCCGAATTGCGTTCCAAGCGGCGGCGGACGCGGATCCTGGGACCAGGCTGTGATAAAGCGACTATGTGACTATGGAATCGAGAGACCAAAGCCAAACAAGATGGCTGGCGTACACAAACTAATCTGTATGCTAAGACAGCATGGTGTGTTTATCGACGGTATTGGCATGCAGGGCCATTTTGTTGCCGAAAACCATCCTAGTGCCGAAGAGTTGAAGGAAACGATGCGGGGGTATATAAAGCTGGTGGATGAAGTGGCGATCACAGAACTTGATGTGCGAATCAAGCTTCCCATAGATGAGCAAAAGCTCCAATGGCAAAAGGAAGCCTACCAGAAGGTGGTAGAGGCATGTGTGAAAGTCAGGAAATGTATCGGAATAACGCTCTGGGATATCTATGACCCTTTCAGTTGGGTGCCCCACTATTTCCCAGGAGATAGGGAGCCTTTGCTGTGGTTCTGAGACTTCACAAAGCACCCGGCGTACGATGGTATCGTTGAGAAGTTCAAGGAATCAATTTCCGCCAACAGGACGAGGACCTAGACGGTAGGCATTGGCCAACAGTCATCGATAGCAATGGGGGTGAGGTCTTCGTTCTCTTAGACTCAGGCGGATACAAAATTGAGAATCTCGAAATATTTGTAAATCTCAGCAGCCAGGTTCGTGACGGTGCTAAGTAGTCAGTTATTCTTCTCTTATGGTGCAGCAATTTGGTTTGTTGAGGGAAGGATGGCCAGTCACGGATGACGAGGACTCGAGGGTAGACATGTGTAGGCTCTTTGCCAGCCTAGGAGCCCTGGACCTGCTCGCCCCGAGACCAGAACAGGAGCTCGGGTATTGCCACGAACTCCACATGAATCATGGATTCCTGCAAGTTATCTGAACAACCAGAAATTAGCAGCGGGTTTAGCTCAGTTGGGAGAGCGTCAGACTGAAGTCGAAACTTCAGGAACTCAATCTGAAGGTCGCGTGTTCGATCCACGCAAACCGCAAGCATCTTTCCTTTTGCCAAGATGCAGGACCTGTGACTTTTTTTACAAGCCTTCACCATGGAACCAATGTGGAAAAGCTAGGTAAGAAAAGGCTTGCCTTGCATTAAGGGCTTGGGTGAGTACTATCTACAAGCAGTCGAAGAATAAATTGGTAGATATAGTGACTTTTTTTCTCTAAAGTGCAAAAACTAGGTCTCATGTTTACGCGTCCTCCCGACAAAGGGAGGCGATGATTTGTAAAAAAATGTTAAAATGCAACAAAAAGTGGTGAGCTACCCCATGGGTGGGGAGAAAGCAAAATAATCGATCATGCTGGGACTCGAACCCAGAACCTTTACCAGCCTGAGAACACATTTCTGTGTTTGAAACCGGAAAGTAACGCGCTACCATTGCGCCACACGACCGCGCAATCTTATTTGTTGAGATTGGAATGGAGAGCGGCTGCTCTTGAGCTGTGTCGGTTCTTGTTATCGGGATATGCCAGTATTTTCGTGATGGTGGGCTTTTGTCACTCACGAGAACGGGGGCGGGGTCGGAGAGTTTTTTCTGACCTAGCCCCACATTACCCCTCCTTGTTGGCATCGACCTCCAACCCTGGGCTTGCTGAGTGATGGCTTCGGACCACAAAACAGTGGACTTTTCTCCCACTGCCTGTAAAAGTTTCCGATACCGCTTCTCACCCTAGCGGTAACCCCTCGGAGCCACATCCGACTTGATCGGGTATGGTGTAGCGGTAACATCGTTGACTCTCACTTCTCAGGAGTGAGGAGGCCTCAACAGCCCCGGGTTCGACTCCCGGTATCCGAGTTAGATGTTCAGTGGCGGGTTAGATTTTTGTCCCTATTTTTCGCATACAAAGTAGTTTCGGTTTTGCCTTTTAGTTTTGCTGCCCGTAATGTGCAAGCCAGAATGCCTGGTAGCAACTACATGGTCTTATGGACTCAAGGATGATAGGAAGCTTGAAGGTCAGTCGAGGCACCTATCATTCGACGGCGTGTTGTTGATTGCGAATGTAAAAGGTGTTGGAGTTTCGACTCTCATTTTTCCATATTTATCGTATGAACTATCAATGTAAAAGACAACAAAACTAGTATCGAAGTGATGATGTTGATCATAAGGTATATAACTGCATGCCAAAGTAAACTCGAGCTAAAAAGTACTATAGAAAACTTTGGCTGCTCAGGAATATACTCCAAGTACCCTTGCATTACACTTAGTAAGATGGAGGAAAAGGTTATCAACACACCCCAACAAACCCTAAACCCTGCTTCGTCTACTCCCCAAGATACTCTCAATCAAAGCCCAACTAGATACATCAAGTATCCATAGTCATTGGGTATCCTGTATCCCTCCACAATAAAACTTGTCATTCACACGCCCCTAAACATGCGCACCACCAAGAACCACATGGCACCTAGGAACTTAAACGCCGACAAACCAGCCACCGACCACAAAACAATGCTAAGGTAGATGTTTGCGCGTTCGCTCTTCACCTCCTCCTCAGTACGACCATCGTCGCCTGTCACAATCTTCTCAACACCGGCCGAGGATAACACAACGGCGCACAACGCGAAGTTCATGATCATCCAGACAAGCACAACAACGGTACGAACGCCGCGGTAATAGTCCTCCTGGGCCTCCGCTTCTTGTTTCGCCGTCGGTGCCTTTGCAACCTTGACCTCGGGACTACCGAAGACACGCAGTTCCTTCTCATACTGCGTATTCAAGTCGACCTCGTCAGGCAGATCGATCTTACCCTGGCCGTCCTTGCCCGTCTTGGCGTCAGGAAGCTCCTCGGGCTTGTCATCGCCCTTGGTACCCCAGGTGATATCGTGCGTATTGCAGAAAGCATAGACGTTGAGAACGTTTGTGTAGGTCGGCGAGAGAAGCATGTATTGGATAAGGGAAGTGAACATGTGCCATGGGTCGAACATGAGCAGTGAGGCGATCAGCCAAATGCCGTATGTGGACATCACCGAGACGATCAACGTGTAGAAGACTTTGTTCCTGAAGAGCGAGTCTACACTGAAGCCGTTGGTGTTGACGTCGGTGATGATGGCGTTGACAGCAATGTAGATGGCAGCAAACATGAGGTAACTAAGGCATGTTAGCTACGACCTTACAAGCCGAACATGAATGAAAAGTAGATAACTTACACGAAGAGAATCGCCCAGAAAATGGCCATTGTTAGGTAGTACGGCCCCGAACCAGCCGGACGGTTACCCATGGACAAGACGAAGCACGACATGAGCGACACGCCGTACAACCAGGTGAAAATAACACCCAGAATGCGCCCAACGGTGCCCAGTAGTTGCTCATCTCCCAAACTGGTAGTGAGGATCTTGAAGACCAGGAAGAAGTTGCCGATAGCGAACCAGGAGAAGATCATGTTAACCGTGTTGAAGACGAACTCAACGAAAAATGCGATCTTGCGTAATAAGGAGTGATCAGAGCGGAAGAACTGATAGAAGTGCACGATGGCATAGATGGCGGCGAAGAAGGAACCGTTGAGCCAGCGGCGGCGCTGAAGAATAAGCTCCTGAATAGTCTCGGGAACATCGGTTTCACCCGTAGCCGACTTGACGTATTGTAAGATCCAGTGGCAATTCCGCTTGGTGACCAGCTCGAAACACAGAATACGGTCCTCAGCCAGGTACATGTTGGCCGTGAAGATACCGCCCTTACCGTGCATGAACTCGCCGGCAAAGTACTTCTCAAGCGGGCCTTGTCCGTTTTTGTCGTTTTGAAGGGCAATATAGCGGTACGCTGAGAAGGCACCCGGCAACACCGAGATGAAACCGAAGGCAGACTCTAGCGGCTTGTCAAGGATGTTGCTCATCTTGTACTCGAAGTTTTGAGCCGCTACCAGCGGGTTCAGCAGGTTCTTGCCTCCTTTGCCAAGCATTGCCTTGATTTCACCGCAAGCACCGGCACACATGGGCTCCAGGTCGAACGCCTTCCACAATTCATAGATAGACGTTGGGCCGGGCTTAGTACCGGCATCGATCAACACGCAGATGTTAGGGTCAAGAACGCGGCCAAACGCCTGGAAGAACCAGCGGTGCGAGTTGATCTTCTTCTTGTTCTCCTCCTTGAGGCAGAACAGCATTTGGACCGGCTGCTGCTTGGGAATAAGCTGTACGACACCGTTCCTGATCGCCAGTCCCACCTGTGTGGTGTATTCGTAGATATGTGCCTGGACCTTCTTGCCGTTGACTGACTGCTTGGCGATACCCTCTTGATACACACCCATACCAGCCAAAAGCGCGCGCGTCCGTGGATTAATCTTAGCACGACCGTCGCTGACAACGCATACGACGATTTTCTTCCAAGCATCCTTGCCCCACGTCCTGCTATCGGTCTTCTTGCACATGTACTCGATGTTCTTGAAGACACCGATCATGGTCCGGGCAAACAGAATCTCATCCTCGTTGTACATGGTGACAACAATGAAAAGCTCGGTATGACGTGGCTTGCTGAAGAGCTTCTGGCGCAGAGTGAAGTTGTTTTCGTAGAACTCAGATGGATCGCATGTGGCGGCCGAGTAGCGCATGTGAGTGAACTCATCGCGCTCGCCATGGGGAAGCTGATTCAGTAACTTCGGGGGCACTGGGCAATCCAACACCAGGTTACCGCGGTACAGCAGCACCTGCTTGACCGTCTTCCATCTCTTGATGGACGATTTGTTTTGCTGCTGTTGCTGCGGTTGCGGGTTGTCACGATACGGTTCTTGCTGGGCGTGATGGCCAGAGTTGTGACCTAACATGGGGCTGCGGTCGTCGTCATAATAGCCATCATTGTTGTAGCCTCCCTGGTGTCCGCTGCGGTTGGGCTCGTACGGCTGGTTGTAATAAGCATCGTGGTGAGCTGCGGGGTCGACCGCGTAACTACCCCCGCCGCCGAGGTTGTCAATCGATTGCTGGCGCCTTCAGTCAGCTTTGCGCCACGTCTATTTCATTCTCCCCCCCATTTCCGGAAATCAAACTGGCGGGAGGACTCACTGCCGTATGCATCTGGTACTCCTCGCCCGTGTACCGTATATCCTGTTGTGAATGCGAGTAACCATACGGGTGGTCTTCGAGCTGGTACCCGTGCTGCAATGGGTGTCCAGGAGAGGGTGACCGCCGAACCCTATCCATGGGGTGACTGTCGTAATAATCGTCGTCTGTTTGAAGGAAAAAAATTGGTCAGCACGACTTTCAGGCCAACACGCTATCGACCAGCGATGTGCGTGAGGATTGGAGTCGGAGAAGAGGTAAAACAGGCTGTGCCACGTAATGTGCCACGCTCCTCTCTCTCAACACCTGGGCCTAGGTTGCGTTTGACGATCGTGCGTGCTACTTAGGGGGGAGTTGTAGCTCCCTCACGCCAATCAGGAGAAAATAATGCAGCGCTCAGAGTATGCAACGCAGAGCAAACGAGCAGACCTCAGGCGACCCGAGTGGGAGAAGGAACACGGCACAACGGGGGCTCAAAGCCGCCGTTCCTGTTGAGTGCCGGCAACTCAGAAATATGAAACGAGCGACAGGGAAAGGAAGAAACGCGGTTTGCTGTCAGAGGGGCAGGTGGTCCAACCTCAGACGAAGGACGGTCCACTTGTCGTCCCAAGACTACGAGACTAACGCTAGCCGCAGAAACATCCACTGGATGGCGATGGGAAGGGAAGAAGTCGGTCAAGACCATCCACTTACTCAATCGATTGTATGACATGGTTGCCGCCGGTCAGGAGGACGTTTATGGACACAGTCTTCAGGAATGTAGAAGACAACCGCGCACCGAGAGAACTAGCGAGGGAGACGCCTGCGCGTCTCAGATTATGTTAAATTCCAACGCCTGCCGCTCCCCTTTCTCTTGTCGCGTTGCGCGCGCCGGAATGGAGGGCCAACAACTCGTGGGCGACAGTTGTCCGTCTTTGACCGTTACGCCGCCGCAGCCGTGCAATCGGTCGCTCTCGTTTGTCAATCCGAAGGTTGTGGACGGTTGGTTGGGGGTGCGTATCTGAGGTGTCTCCCCCTTTTTTGATGTTCTCAATTTTGTCGAGCCCCTGCAACGTTACCTTATCCAAGTCGACGCGCGCCGCTTGTGTGAGAGGGCGGTCCGTTATCTCGGTGTAGGGCGTGCCGGTTGCGACTTTAAGGTTGGTGTCTTGGATACTCCACCGTTCGTTTGATCGGGAGGATGGGCTCTCGGGGCTGTCTACACAAGAACCTGCTAAAAAAATAAACAGTCGTTCCCCGTTTCTGCGCCCGACTGCTTTTTCCCCGAAGCGCTCACTGCGGCCTTTGCAGACAAAGGAGAAAGATTATCGGGCTGTCCGTGGGATGGGAGAGCAAAGCTGCAGTTTCAAGATGCCGCCTTTAGGCTGTGACTTTTGGGGCCCTTCCTGAGCTTAATGGGCCGCCGACAGGGGGCTTCGAGGGGCAGCCAACGAATGAAGGGTCCTGCCCGCCGGGAAGATGCTGGCGACTCCTTGTGTTTCAGTGCCCGATCAGGCAAGGTGTGGTGTCCTGTCCCTGTCAACACCGCACGCTGATTGGCTGAGTGGTTCCGTCCCAGGGGCGATATTTAACGGGTGGGGTTCGGTTTCTCCAAGTTCTTGTTCTCAGCGAGTGGAGTCTTGCGGAAATCAAGCTTGAAATGCGCGTAACGTTCGGAAACTCTTTGCGTAAGATTCATGAACAGGATATCGTCGACATCAAAGCCTGTATTTCTACCCCGGAATATCTCATGGTGCTTGTCAGGTAAGATTCTTATGACAATAGCTGCGGGGATCTGCGCTATTGACAAAGACAACCAAGAATAACGAAGTGGCAGCTGAGAACGAAGGCCACGACAGGCTCGATATCATTGGGTCGCAAACCTGAGGCTGTGCTCGCTGGTGACCACAAAACTGCCTTGTCTGCCACCAAGATCCATGCTGGTGATGTTGTGGTTCTGCTGTCCTCGTGGCTGGCTTTATCCGGGCCTCCATTATCAACGCTCTGCTTGCCCGCCTAGCTCTCTCACACAACGTCGTTCTTCAAAATAGTCCGTGGTCCACGGCGGGTGGGCCTGAAAATATTTTTCTAAAAATCGACGCAAAACGCTTTCGAAGCTCTTCTGGTCCTACGCAATATCTGATCTGGATACATATGTTTAGCCCCACTATTCGTTGTTACACATTGCCAAGGTGAGCCTTGATTGACCGCACAACCGGAGAGTATTGGAGTTGCAGAGCCCCTCGGCGTGGTGGCCATTTCTGACCTCCCCGCCTGCAGCAGGATTCCTGCTTCAACGCGCTTGCTGCTGCACAGGAAAACACCATTCGGGCTCAACTAGTGGCAACCTACGTCAGCCACAGTCCCGTAGTCGGCAACTGGTAGCCACTTCGGAAAGCTAGGTGCGAATGTATATAGATATATATGTATAGGTGGTTGATCCCCAAAATCTGTGCAAAAGAGGTGGCGAACCATCCGCAGTTGCTCTAAGCTTCACTTGCTCTATGGCGAAAGCAACCTTCATGAGTATTCAACGAGGAGTATCAGCGGTCCTCAGAAGGCCTATCAGCAGTAGTGGAAACAGAGCATTGCGTCAGGGATTGGGTAATCGGGGGTTACCGGCCTGCCGGAAGATTTAATTAATGTGCATCAGCAGCAACGTCAAGCCGAACGTAGGATTGAGTGCCAAGCTGCGTCAAGATTGGCTGCTTGTTCCAACGGCGTGACATCTGGAAAGTCAGACTATAAGCGTCTGGTACAGTTTCACCGGCCGCGTTATCCCGGACGGTGTACTTTACGCGAGTTGTACTATGGAGCTTGATACAGGATTACGAACATATCTGAGTCTCGAACATTATTGTAAACGCGATGAGGCTACATATGGCTGCTTGTTGGAGCGGGATACCAGCACATGGTTGTATGTCCATTGCACAACCTAGGATATCTCTTGTCCCAGGCGCTCCAGCTCCTCCTTGATGAATGTTGTCGCGTTGATCAACTCGCTGGCTCCATAGATCACTCTCCGTTTTGCCCGGTCGCCGCCCGTGCGAGCTGCCCACTCTTGCAAATTCCCGTATTCGTCCATTGACCCGCCACCGACCATGAACACGATAGCCTCCGAAAATCCCTGCCGTCGCTGGCCAAAAGTAGCTCCTGTTCCGGGTCCCTGTGCAGCAAGCCCGGACCCGGGCAAGCCACCGGGAGCCGAGCCTGGAGCACCGACAGCACCAGCACGAAGCGCCGAGGGCTGGGGCATCGTTCCTCGCGCGTTGGCACTGCGCGGATCAAAATATAAGTAATGCTCTGTCTTCGCAATGGCCGATGAGCTTGCGCTCGAGGGGTCCATGATAGACTCAGTGATCTTGGTCACAGTCAGATCCCTGTCAGCGGGAAGGAAGTTCTTGATCCCTCCCAGTAAGGATGCGACGTTAGAAGTGAGGGCATTTGTGGGCACTCCTGTTTCTTTGAGGCGATCGGTAAGCCTGCTGGACAGGGCTGAGAAGCGGTTAAACAGATCAGAAGAACCAGACTGTTGCTGGTTTGCTGCCCCTTGGTTATTGACAGTAGTCAACTGTGTCATTTTGGTTGTTGCCCGGACCCTGTAATGTGGAGGATTAGCAGACAGACACTTAAGATGCCAAACCTTAACAGAGAAACTCACTGTCGAATATAAGCAAGCGACGTCTTATCGCAACCTGCGGCCACCAGAGCTTCCTCGAACTGGCCCCACTCTTGCCGAGAGACATCTTGCTCTGTACTGAGGTACCAGATGATGAACAGGCGCAGCTTATCTGTAGGCTTTCCTTTGTCAGTCGTTTTGATGAACTCCAACATTTGTGCCTTGGTCTGTTTCATAACATCCTCCTCCAACTGGAAGTAGTTGTCCAGCTGCCGGCTTTGGATTTGCTCAAGTATTGCGGCAAGGATATTCATGTGCATATCCAATACGGCCTTGCGCTCCCGCAGCTCTGGGAGGAGGGTAATTGCCGCCTTGAGATGTTGCGCGCTAGCACTTGTGTCGGTTTGAAGGTCTTCAAAATTATTGACGCCCGTCTTCTTCGTAATGGCCTCTGCCTCTTCTTTGTACTTGGTCAATTCAGCGTCGATGTCCTCTGCGACTTGTGGAAACGGTAGGCAAGCGTTCTTGGCCCAAAAGAAGTCATTGGTGGCTAAATCATAGGTTTTCTTGGTGGTCCCTTTCGCAGGATTGGTCGAGTCGACGGGCGTTTCAATAGTGATTCGATTCAATTCTGACTAAGAAGAGTTTTAGTACCAAATGTTCTAAAGTTGCGGCCTCGTCCACCTTCATTCTTACCTTGAAAATATCAAAACACAAACTCTGATAGGTCCATGAATGCGATAGCATTGGTATCAAATCAACGTTGCGATCTAATATGATCAAGACAGGTCTTGATGTCGGGGTGCCAGCAGTTGCGTGGCTTGACCGTGATTGAGCCGTAAACAGATTGTCTTTGGAGTTGAGAATATGGTCCCTTAGCTTCCGGTCCAATCTCGTTGCGATCATCTCAGCCGCAGCACCCCTTGGACAGCGTATCTGAGTAATTGATTGGGGTTAGTCACTCTTCTGTATTTACAACGTTTCCATCATGATGAAGGTGAACAATCAATGTCGACATACAATTGGGATAATTCCTGTGCAAGAATGGTCAGTCAGGTTTGCCACCAATCGCCAGGAAGCCAAGACGTACCCGATGTCACTACAACGCTAAACAAGCCACTGACAATGCGGTCGATCACGCGGTCAAGCTCTTCGTCTTTCGTCTTTGCGCTGTTCAGAGCCCAATATGTATGCTCTTTCTGCATCCCTAGGCTAAAGAGATCCGGCTCAGTCACGATAAAATTGAGATATTGGTCGTACACCTGAGCAATACTCTCAGAGGTTCCTGCAGCAGCAGTCTGTGCTGCGAAATCCTCGAGTAGTGGGCGAGATATCGACGAAAGGAAGTTTATGTATGCTGAGCTATATAACCCCTTTTGAAGATCGTTCGTAATCGCACGCAAGTTGGCAGGAGTTGGCTCAACAAGGTAGATAGCCGGTACATCGGGGATGGGAGCTCGTTGCGATGCAATATGCCTTCCTGTGTTTAGCTCAGATGCCCAAGAACAACAAAGCTTGGGGAAGTGTGAGCTCACATGTGCATGGTAACCCCCATGGATCGCAGGTCAGAAACTTGGAGAACTGGGCTGATGACATCTCGGCCGAGGTCCTTTGAGAAGCAAAGAGTCAGCATCAACGTCCTGCAGGAAATAAACTTGGAATCATTGGAAATCGCCCTTTGATGAGAAGGGCAGACCAAGCTTACATCGAAGATCAAGAGCTTCCAGATGGGAGTCCCATCTTTCAGGATAGGTGCCGAAGGGGGTAGAAAGCCGTTGGAATGGGGATCATCCTCGTTTGTTTCAAGAGGCTCATTCAAGTTAAGGATCTTTTTGATGGAGACTTCGGGATGTTAGCCAGGAAGCTTCAGGAATGGCACAAGAGAAATTCTGCATACGGATCTGCTTGTCGCGCAGTGAGTTGCCCCGCGGCGCAGCCATCATGACAGACGCGCTACTCGACGCAACACGTCTTTATTTTGAACGAAACTAACCGCAGAACCCAAGCCAGTCTGCAAAGATTGTCTGCGCCCCCCTAGGTAGCCAGCTTCCAGGTTGGAGGAGGGTTGGCCCTTGGTTGTGTCGTAAGCTCCAAGCCCAGAAGCAGCTCGTCAGTAAGTTCAAGCTCGATGAAGGGTTGGCGCGATTTGGGTCATCCAATCGAGCTAGCTGAAATCGCCGCCGTATTCCCGATACTGCGGTATACTTCAAAGGGCTGGGTCTGGCGCAGCAGCAGATGGATCAGACGGGTAAACGACTTAATGTGCAATTGCAATGCTGTTCTGAACTTCTACGTTCATTAGTTGAGACCATCATTGACAGCTGGCTGCCACATGTTACGAAGCTTCCCCACATGCCTTCTGTCCATTGGGGAGCGAGCTGGTGGGACTTGAAGATGAGCTTATGCCCCACATATTTCCAAGTTGGGGACATCCCATGCCCGATCCATTGTGACCCCTGGCATCCATTTGGCGCCTGCCACAACGCACAGACCACCTGCAACACAGAGCCCCTGCCACAGGTAGAGTGCTTCGCCACACGCACTGGCCATCTCAAAACTCCTTTTTTATTGGTAGGTGCCCCATGCAACAGCTGATTTGACTGGCGAGAGCCCGACTTTTCTCCTTCATCGACAGTCGTCAGAACCTTGGTGGTATCCTTTTCTTCATCTCTTTCGACCACCACCAGCCCCAAGCCATCAGTCAGACTGCATCACCGGGCTCCTCAAGCCCGGTTGCGGCTTTTCCGTATCTCAATTTTTGCCTGCTCGTCACCGCAGATCTTCAGTTGTATTAAGGCCATCACGTTTTGACCCTCGACTGTTCTTTGACTGTCATCACCTGCATCCACAGCTTGACACGGGCAGCCCTCGATCTGCTCCTCTGCGCGTCTCACGGCCGCCAGGGCTTTGGACATCACAGTTTGCCAAATAGCGCGTCTCTATCAGTCTGATCTAGGTATTCCCGGGAAATGTTGTAAGGGTCCGGTGAGCCTTGTTTATCGTCGCCCGCGAAGAACGGCGGCCATGACGTGGCTTCTTGCGACACACAGCTAGAAGTGGACGTCGCGAAATTGTGTTGCAGAAGAGAAACACAAAAGGGTATGCATAAAATCACCCGTTCCCCCAAACCCAAAATTGTCTTGAAAGCATGATGTCCGGCCCTTAACCATCACCCTCCTTGCAAAATGCGTGCTTGATCAAGCGGCCTAGATCTCGCAGTGCGCCCGATCTGGGAGGGAAAGGCTGCGAGACCAACAGCGGAAGCCGGCGCGGGCGCGCTTGGGTGACCACCAAAACAGCCAGAGCGCCAGCTGCAGGTAACACTTGAAAAATCCTGTCGGAAGGCGGGGCGGGGGTGCAGGCTGGGTACAGCACCGGGCAGGGCTCGGGCACCCTTGGCACGCTGGACAGCCCAAAGCAGGCAGGCTCAGACACATTAATGTGAGGGCTTTTGGGAAAACGGCCAAAATAGGCCATACTGCGGTTCTGCAAACCACTGGAAATAATCATCAATGCCACAGGCAACCAGCCGGTCAGCCAAACAAGACACAGCCGTCCGATCCATCTTCGTCACAGTCGTGGTTGATTGCCCCATGAAATGCGGGAAACACGGGCAGAACTGGTTCTGGTGCCGCAAAACGCCCTTTGACAGGGCGGAGCTGCGGGGCAACCTGCGCTACCCCAACACCCTTCAGGGGTGTCTTGCAGCCAACACCCAAGAATGAAGATGGATTTGAGATTGACTTCCGCTCCTCTGCCAGTATGCTGCAAACAATCATTGGTGGACTGGTTAGATGGATCGCTGGAATGAGAAGAATGCAGACAGAAGTCTGATAGATGGCTTGCAAGAAAAGCAAGACCAGAAAAGGGTGTTGTTTCTTTCAGTCTCCGGGAAGCGATCAAATGCCAACTGGAGTGGGAATCAACCTGACGCCTGCCAGTGGCGACCAGAACTCTTAGACTGGGAAGTTGAGTCTTCGGCTGGGCTGCAGAACACAAAGACTCTCGTCCTTCGGATTGCGCGGAACTCGATAATTCGGTCGGTGGTCGATTGCAGATGCATCAGAGTCGTTTCTTCTCAACAACAGCTAGCACTGATCTGTCCAGGGCTGTCTGAAGATCGTGTTACGCTACCCGCTCCGCCCGGTTGCTGTCCTGCCCCGCCTTAGACTGCTGTTGGGATGGATGGGTTGATCGATTGCTTGGCGCTCGGTCGATCGTTGTGGTGGCGTAAGGAGGGATGACAGAGGGCCCGGTCTTAACATTTTTTTGGGACTGCGATCTTGGCGTGTTGTGCTGACATTTATTGATCTAGCTTGCACACTAAACCAAATTTGGAAAACAGCCCCACAGCCCCGTAATCCGGTCCTAAACCAACGGCCTCTTTTATTAGCTCGCACAATCGCACAATCGGGGTTTCCAAAACCTCGTTTGAAAACAAAAGTCGGCTTTTTGCAAGGCTCCCACCTCCAGCCAAGCGAAAGCTCCTTGAACCACGCATGATTCCTGTTTGATGTTGCTGCGTTGCGCGTACAGTATGTGACAATCTAAGCTGTTGTCCAGGGACTCGCTTACTTACATACACGCAGTCCACGTGATACCCATCTTTATACTCCCCAAACTTGATCACCATGGATGCCAACCATGGTAACAATATTGCTGGCTGGGACACAGGCGCCTTTGCGACTGGGACGTGGGACCCTCGTTTCACCCATTCTCAGCTTGCTTTCGATCAAACCAGCAGTGATGCCAACGAATTGGCGAGTCCGGAGTATCTTGCAAATGCCCCAATCAACACCCAACTCCCAGCACAAGATGCTCAGAATGGTGTGTACCGCCAGTTCGATTATTATGGCCAACCTCAAGTATGGCCAAATAATAGCAGTCAAGCAACACCAACAGCAGCAGCAGCAGCAACAACGCCTGCGACAACATCGTACGGCCAAGATGTTTCAATCAATGCGGCATACTTCCCTGGCCAGCATCACCAAGCTGATGGGAGCACGGCGGTTAACAATCGCTTCGACTTAAACATTCAGCAGCAGGTTACTGAGTTCTCTGCATCTCAGATTGATGCTAGTGCCGGACAGCAACCAAATGCCCACCATGCTTTTGGCAATGCTGTTTCTGCTTCCCAGGTCTCGATCCCAGAAAATTACCCTTCTCAAGATTCTATCCCACAATGGCAGGGGCAAATGCCCACTGGGTATGGCCCTAGCCATCAGCGATATGCGGATTCTATCCCTCCCGCTGCCCAACCCTCCGTGATGTCTACCATTTCGAACGGACAGCCTGCCTCATTTTATTCAGGTCAAGGTCCATACCAGCCAGATGTACCCCAGCATACGCAAGAGGATCTGCGTCAGACTCAGCCGCCATTCCATTCGGTTCTTAATGGTGCTCCAAAGCAAGCCTGTGTCGGTGTCGTACAGCAGCAGCCCACTTCTGCCAGGAATGTTGCATCTTCAACCGTAAATCTGCCACCAAAACAGGCCCATATTCTTAAGGCCCCTCAGCAGCTGGTGCAACATGTATCTCAGCAGATCCCTCAGCAGGCATCTGAACAGATGCCCCAGCAGCTTCCACATCACGTTCCCCAGCAAGTCACAAACAAAGGTGCTCAGCAAGTTTCGCAACACATTCCTCAGCATGTTCCTCAACAGACCGCGCAGCAGCCTGAGCACTCGACCCATCACTCTGCAGGCCAACACGATGCAACTCAGGGAATTGTGCTGCAGCAGCAAGCTAGGCAGGCGCACCCAACTCAGCAGGTTCACCTCTCTCCCGAAACAAATGCAGTTGCTGGGGTAAAGCGCTCCCTTAGTTCAGAGCCACAGACGATCCCGGCTGCCGTGAAAAAGGCGAAGGTTGTTGCTGTGGGGGCGGGAACTTCTCCCACGTTAATGAGCCAGTCACAAGGAGAGACACAAGCAGAGCCTCAAGTGCTGCTATCGTCTCAGTCCCAACCACAGACCGAGCAGACAACTGTCAAGGTCTTTACAGTAAACTTTACAGATGAAAACCTGCTTGGTGATGCACAACGTCAGCCCGAGCGCGTATGGGCAGGAGTACCGAACCTTGTTATTGGTTCATCTCCAGTGAAGCTGCAGATGGCTCCTCCAGCAAAGCGTTATGTGGTACTCACCTCAAGGGGGTGCGATGTGCCACTATTCCCTGACCTTTGGAAGGGATGGACGCCAGCTGAGAGCCTTGGAAATCATGCAGAGGCATACAAGGCCTCAAACAAAGAGCACGACCGTCAACGGGCTGATATCCGTTTGGAAATTGAGACGAAACGTCAGAAAACAAGTGAGTTGCGCTGCCTTGTCTGGTGTGATGTCTTGCGCTCAAGTACTGATGTTCGATCTAGAGATCCCAGGCGACTGGTGGCAGAAATTATCGGTACGTATCTGCCCTTTTCGTTCCTCAAGTGATTGCCAGTGTTACTCTCATAATCCTAGATGAAACTAATCTGCTAATTCTGTTTGTGAGCAGTCCTCTCGACCTTCTCTCCCAGAGGAGCCAGAATACAGTGCGCTTATGGCAGCTGAGTGTGCACGGGTTCACCCAGCACACATCAAAAATGCAACAATCATCAATGAGGTGATCACTGACCTCAATGGGCTTCTTGTTCAAAAGGTCACTGCCCTCAATGAGCCAAGGAAGACTTTGGCAGAACGTCAGAGGTTGAAAAAGAAGCAACAGCGACCTCAGCAGCAGGGTGGCCCCAATGATGAGGAGCTACAGCGAACAATCCAGGAGGCTGAACAGTGTCTGGAACGGACAATTGTAGAAATCCTTCAAGTCGCCCCGGAAACTGTAATCCGCCAGCTCACCACTCAGCGAGGTACTGGAAGTCGACTTGCTGTGCAGTTACGCAACTGCGTAATGCATCTGATCAATGACGGGCAGAGCAAGTTGAACTGGCCCTTGCTCAAGCAATGCCTGCTTCTGTTCTCTCGAATGGACGTGGCGCAATCGTGGTTTGAGAAATTGTCTTGGGGACCTCTAATGGATAAGGTTGCTGGATGGGAAGAGGGTGAAATGAAGACAGAAGCCCTGGCATTAATGGCGCAAGTGCAGGAGATAGGACAAAAATACAAGGCTCCTGAAGAGCCTGAAGGTGAGAGGCAGAGTGAAGGAAGTGGAAAAAAGACCACACAGGCGAGAGCGCCCACAAAACAATCGAATCAAGCAACCGATTCGAAAACAACAGCTGCAGCGGCGGCCAGTCCCTCAATTTCCAAGCCCACTTCCACTGGCACCAGCAAAAAGCCATCCGTCCTTGTAACAAATATAACACAACAAAAGTCGATGGCTTCTGGTGCCGAGACGAATGGCAACAACAACTACACCAAAATGATTGAGAAATCTGCCGAAAAGGTGGCCTCATCTTCCGCTGGCGTCAAGCGCACCCGTGAAGATGATGCTCCTGCAAGTGAGATTCGGTCATCCAAGAAGCCAACCACAACCACTCCGTCTATTATTACCACCAGCGTGACTTCAGGTGGTCAGAAGGCCTCTGCAAATGCTTCAGTCAAGTCGGCTAGCACCAAGCCTACAGCTACCAGCGCTTCAGGATCGACAACAGCCCCAGCGAAACCGCGGTCCACACTTTTGCTCCCGGGCAAGACCCGTCCTGCCGCCAAACCTGTCAACAGGGCCGAGACTACAAAAACAGACAACCTGCAAAAGACTCCAGGAAAGCTGGAATCAGGGGTACAAACTCAATCATCGAAAACTGAGTTGCCTAAACAGTCGCAGCCCTCAAGAAGCCAGACAACTCAATCGAAGACTACCGCGGCGACAATCACATCGACGTCGGCCTTAACGACCGCAAAACCAAAACCGACAGAATCGACCAAGCAGACTTCGTCTGGCCCATCGCGGATTGCATCTTTGATGGCTGAGATCGATGAGCCGAAGAAGGTCAACGCTCCAGATGTTACGAAGACCCCGATTCTTCTGGATCCGAACGAAACACCAGAGCAGCGTGAACGTCGCCTCAGGAAGGAGAAACGCAGGGCTCTTGGTCTCCGCGTGGCCTTCAAGAGCGGTGACAGCCTGGTCGAAGTGCGGGAATTTGTACCTTTCCCGGAGGAGGTCAGCAGCACAGCTCGCAGTGTCAAGGCGGGCGGGCGTGACAAGAATTTCGAAGAGAGCCAAATGATGCGGCGCTTGAGTGCAGCAAAAGGAATTACAACAATCGACATTGATGATCGCGAGTGGCCTGATCTGGTGCCCCTCAACTTTGCTGCCGAAATTTCTCAGGAGCAGCGAGAAAAGACGCTCGAGACTCGCGGAGGTCTTAAGACATTTGAGACTGAGCAGCAGCGTGTCATGAGGGAGCGTGAGTCAACAGAGCTGATGGCAATCTACCACAGTCGTGCCGATATTCCGCCAAACCCACGCTCGCCGCCTTACGATGGACCTGCTTACCCGGGTGGTGTGGAGGTGCGCCTGTCGCCTGCGAACGCACACTACGACGAAATGATGCAGCGCGCATATGAACGCAAGCATTGGGGCCCATATCATGCCGCTCGTGCCGCCTTGGGTCGTCTTGCCAACGCTCGGTCTCAGCAGTCGGCTCGGACTCCCGAGCAATGGTACGATTCCGATGCCGCTGTACGCCGCGACCAGCAGACACTTGAACTTCTTGCTTCAGACCGTGCTCGTAATTGGCAAGAACGGGAGCCTCATAATTCGACTCGTTACCGACTTACAGAGGAGGAGATTGAGAGGGATCCTGCTCTCCGACAGGCATTCAACGCAGTCAAGGCTGTTGTGGAGAAATTCCGATCCGAACAAGCTGCCCAAGAGACACAGCAGCAACAGCATGGTATATCACAGTCTAGCTCTACCGCATCCCAAACGGCTACTACAGCGGCTCCTGATTACTCGACCACTTGGGCTCAGTACTATGCTGCTCAGCAACAACAGCAAGCTTGGTATGCCCAGCAACAAGGGCTCTATGCACAAGCGGCTCAGGCCTATGCACAACAGGCTGCGCAGGCCCAACAAGTAGGCCATTTGCAACAGCAACAACAGTCTGCCGACGTCAACCAGCAAATTGTCACTATGCTTGCTGCTCTCGGAAATCAGAATGTTGCCCTTGATCAAAACCAACTTCAGGCCATTGTGGCTGCGCTCTCAAACACCCAGGGCCAAGCTGCGCAGCCCGACCCGCAAACCGCTCAGTACATCCTCAATGCGCTTACTTGGGCCCAGCAACAGCAACAACAACAACAACAACAACAGCAGCAGCAGCAGCAGCAGCAGCAGCAGCAGCAGCAAAACCAGAATCAAAACCCCATCGCTCCCCAAGCTTTTCAATATCAGCAACAGCAAGGTCGCCAGGTGCAAAACTATCCTGGCCCTCCTTACGGCGGCCCTTATGGTGGACACACTGACTTGTACAATCAGGCCTATGGGGCTTCCAGCGGCAGCGGTCACAGCCAGGAGCGTGATCGTGATTGTGACGGAGGCTATGGCCGTGATTGGGCTGATCGTGACCGCGATCGTGAGGAGCGCAATAACTACAGCGGCCACATACGGGGAAGTGATCGTGACAGGGATCGCGGCAAGAATGGCAACGGCAATGTTCCTCGAAGCCTGATCGGAACCAAGCAGTGCACATTTTGGGTCAAAGGTCAGTGTGCCAAAGGCGACAAGTGCACCTTCCGTCATGACTAAGTCTAGGCATGGTGACAATCACGGAGATCTGTTTTTGTAGAGTTATCTTGGTTTTGGGGGGGGGAGGAACAAATGGACTTCGGTTATATTCCACTTAATGCTCCGAAGAGGTTGCCCGTCGACACTGGAAGAACTACATGCAGCTGCATGCGCATGCTTAGCATTCTGCTGTCCCAGATCATTCTCTTTTTAAATGTTATTTTCGTGGTCTTTTCTGTCATTTTCTCACTGAATACTCGATTATTACGGGGTATCAGCATTCACTTGGGCTCATGGGCTGTCACGAAAGAAGGCTTCATTACCACAAGTCTCTTCATTTGTTTCATTTCATCGGGCTTGCATTGGGCGGTGTAAATAATTCATTGAAGGAGATGGATGGTTCTCGTGTGGCAATTTCGGGGTTGGGAGGATTGTGCTTCTCGCACGGTTATTGTCTTGTTAGACTTGTTTGTCTCATGTATGGCTCCATTTGTTGCATCCGTAGCAAGGAACATGGAACTAGGGCTAGTTCGTTGGGTTTAAAATGATTGTTTTGCAGTTTTACTAATTAGGGCAGACCTTGAAAGAATGATCAAAACTTTTATCATGGGAGGCAACAATTCCAGGCTCCTAGGTAACGGGTAAGTAGTGATTCTATTCAGTGCATGGTTTGGTCATATATTTAGGGTAAGAAGCTGCGAGTGCTGGCTTTTACAGAAAGTTACGTGTACATGAAGTCGAGTGGATATGTGGGTAGGTACCTAGTCACAAATGGATACATTTATATCGAACTGTGAATTAACTGGAGAATGTCGCTTCGGACCGTAGCCCAAACGCACCCTACCATATCACGTAAGTGCTCTTTCCTATACAAATACCGAGGCCTTACGTGCCATGCTGGTCGTGAATGTATTTCTTCGTTATCGTGTGTCCGGGGCTACTGTGCAAAACGACATTCTCATTAGCTACTTAGACTATGTAGGTCGTTCAGGTTTGCTCGTGTATGTGGTTGGTCTGCCCAGGTTTCACCCTAAACACTATGGCAAGAAAACAGTGGGTTTGGATGCCCCTAGCTTCATATGAAGCCGTTCTGATGGAGTAGGCTGTCTAATCCAATCCTCGTTCTTCTGGAGCAATTCCTATTCTTTTCTAAGTTCGTCCAGAAGTTCCCTGCCCCGAGGGCACTTCTTAATATGCCACATGAAATTCTCAATCAGGCAGGCCTTGTGTTTCAAGGCTTGCAGCCCTGCAATATCGTCGATGGCATCTTGTGGGACCAACTCGTTGATGTCCTGAGAGGAATTGCCAATCATATGGTCCTTCCATGTTTTCATAACAACCCCAACACCACACAACATCCCGAGCTTCGCAGACGCTGAGATCGATGGGAACGGCATTGAGGCTACACCGAAAGTCATCACAGGGAAGTCAATTCATCCTCACCATTCCCAAAAAGGCTGTGTTCTCGGATGACTGGCTCGTATCTTACAGAAAATACTCGCCAGCAATGAAGTCTCTGATCTGAAGACCGTTAGTGAACATTCCCTCCCCAAAGATCCAGTTGGGCACGCGCTGTCGGAATTCATCAACATTTACGTCAATACCCAGGTCCCTGGCTTCGACAGCGTTGACAAGAACACAGCCCACCTCGGTCTTGCGTTTCTCTGTTCTCACCATGTTGCCGGAGCTAGATCCAGTACCATGAATGCCAAGAACCGTGTAATATAGATCCAAGTCCTGTTCTATGTCTCGGGATACAAGGCAACTACTGCACCGCTTTCGTAGGCTTAAGAATGCGGAACTGCCCCTTATCATGAGGCAGGCCCAGCAAGCTCGCTTGGCTGAAGGCAGAAACAGGTATGGACCGAATGCGACGTGCAATGTGTCACAGGTTGTCGCGCGCAGGGCTTTAGTGCAGGGTCGCAACCAACTGCCGGTGGGCTGTACCAGTAGCGTGGTACGCGGCTTTGAAAGAGGAGCATGCCGCCACAGAGCCGCATATTCAGGCTGGGCACGGATGTGGTCGTAGGCAGACTCGCACGAAATTGGAAACAGAAGCTAAGCTAAGGTGCAGAATGACGAGAGACAATATCTCGGCTGGCAGCTTGTCGAAGACTCCAAGCGAGGAAGGCTTGTCTCCATGGCTAAGGGAAGCTTCAGAGCCTAAATGGAGCTTAAACTTGCGTCGAGCATCTCAAACGAGAGCTCCTGATATTCACGCCATGCCAAATGCTTCAGAATGTTGTCAGCAGTGAGCGCAACCGACATTGCGCTGGTCATTGATCTTGACAAAACTGATGCAGTCAATTAATGGAGATGAGTTGTGCAAGAGGTGGTTGTTGACGAATTGGGTTTGCTTCGGTTGTTATATCTGTTCACACCCAGAAGACATGATCGTAAGTATTAAAGTTATTGTAAACATTGAAAGTATATGAAGCTGATGAAGTAAAGCTTTGTCAATCTTGGAAAAAGCAATAACTACCTAAACAATTGATGCACGCCCCCGATCTTTAGGGAACTGGGTTACTGAGTCTCACAACTGACTACTAGATCCTAACAAAGATTGTAGACGCTACAGAAAGCAAATTATATTCGGGCGTATGGTCTAGTGGTATGATTTCTGTTTTGCATGCTTCCTGCCGAATGCAAATTACAGACGGTCCCGCGTTCGATCCGCGGTACGTCCATGATTTTTTCCGATCCTTCGGATGCCTGTATCTTTTGATATCTGCGTGAAGCTCGATTTTTCGTACCAAGTGTTGATCTTCTGTACCTACCCACATACCGTTGGTCTTAATGCCAGCCATAATTGAAGTCATCAGTCAAAGCAGCACGTGCTGTGTTTTTCGACAAGCGCGTCACAGGTTGGTGTCAAATTCTACAGACATCTCGATGGATAGGCCAATTGACCGATATATATATGGAACTGTTAGCGGATGGGAATGTCTCCAACGATTGATCATCGTCGTGCTATCTTCCACGGTCTAACATCCACTGGAAACAACATTGTGCCAACTGCAAATTTTGGCCCGTTTTGCCCTCGAAATTGTGTGTGCCCTATGACAATCGAGTGGACCGAGGTGGATTGCCGGATCGCGACCGTTACAAAGGAGAGATCTTTGTCTTCAGGGCGAAGAAAATGTGGATCACTGGCGAGACCTGCCCGAGGTTAAGACTCCATTTAATGACTCGACGCGAATATTTTGGAGCTTTGTTGATGAGTCAAGTCTCACAATGGCAAGCTTTGACAGCACGTGTTGCCTATGTTGACCAGCATTCGTCTTGGACTCCAATGTGCCAAGGAAACGGACTTGGTATGAAGTGAGAAAACCTGTACCCCGTGTGGTCTCGCAACGACCTATGACAGCCAACACCACGAAATTTCACCAGCCTTGTCAGGGATGCCGTAAAAGCGAGCCCTGACCCAGCCAACCCGGGAAGCACGCAATCCCACTTGTAACAAAGGTTTTAACTTCCAAATCCGTTAACTTCCTGGGCACTTGAGCACAGAGACAGGGCTTGCTGCATGGCCAACGATTTCGCTAGGGCTGAGGAGGAAACCTGGTCTCGTGAGGCTGTCAAGTGGCAGACCTTAGCTTTCGATTCTGATGCGGCTCGGTTTCGGCTTGCCGAATCCCGATCAGAGAATTTGACTCCCGTGGTCGACGACAGGGCAAAGGGTGATAAAAAAAGAGCCCCATGATCCCTGAAAATCCGGGGTTGGCGCTATGGAGCCGCCCGGGAAACCTTTTCAGGGACAAGCGGCCCTGGCGGGCCTAAGATGGGACGGCGAAGCGCAAGGGCAAACGCTAGAAGAGTCAGGCAGGCCAAGCCCTCACGGGAACAGCAAAATTTGCAACAAGGACCAGTCACAGCCAAACCCTGCTCATCCTGCTGGAAGCGGCCGGCATCGATGCAGCTGAGATGGTGTTGCGCCATACGCAAACACCGATTGATGTCCGGATTCATCCCAGCTGCTGCGTGTGACGTGGAATGTTCGTTGTGTGGCGCAAAGCCAAGCCCAACACATTCCACGTCTCGCCAGTAAAGTTTTGAAGCAACAGATGCTGCAGCTACACGCTGGAGATGATGACGAGCTCCCGCCGGTGTCACCGTAGTCCTGAGAGGCAGCATGCCAAGACCAGTCCATTTTTGTTCCTTGCATGACTGGTGGGTCCTGCCAAGCGTGATTGAAGTACCAAATTGCTGGGACACACAGCCAAATGGTACCTGAGCAAGGTTGTTACCATAACGTAAAGAAGAGACCATGTGACTGCCGGGGGAGTTTCCATGAGCTAAGGGAAAGATCGGACAGCCAGTCGGCTGCCAAGTTTCTGACCTGGGGCCGCTGCCGAGAGCCCCAACAAGCCCACAGGGCAGTAGCCTGGCCTTGCTAAGCCCAGAGTGAACACCTGACGCCATCGCCCAATGGGCCGTTGGACCCTGTCGAGAAGCATCCACGAGTGACTTCCCCGCACTCGGCCTCTCCATCCAACGCTTTCCATTTTTTCTGTGCCGCCAAAATTTTCCCATCCACCTGACAAGGCCTGACGAAAGGGGAGAGCTGGGAAAAGAGCCTGGCCAGTGGCCCTCGCCTGTCGGCGCTGGGAAAGCGGGGCGGCAGGAGAAGCATTGCGCGCAAACTGCAAGCTAGCGCCAGGCATCGTGGTCATGCGCTGCAGCCCAGAAGGAAAAGCTTGAGAATGCAATGGAGACCGGCGACGGAGAGGGATGGAATCCTGTTGAAGAGCATGTTCTCGGACGTTCCCTGGGCAATTGTTTTTTTTCTCCTCAGCCGCGTTCTTAAAGAGTCCACCCCCTCTTCCCTCTCAAGCCGTTGGAGACCCGTGTCACCTCGAGCTTAAAACATCAATAACGCAACCAACCAAGTTACGAACGCAGTCTGCTACTTGACATTCCTCGTCTCACATCAATCATCATCTTGCTCTCTGCGACTTGGAGACCTGAACTCGCCCGACTATAACCACACTTCTCCCATCAACACCTTCTCCAGAACCACGTATATATTTACACCAACCGCCAAAATGCTGAAGGCCACGTACACCGTCACTGAGCCGCACCCCACGGTGCCCCAAAACAGCTACACTCACGCTGGCCGCGGCGGCGCTGGCAACTTCTTCCGTGCTCCTCGGACTACCCCCGCCAGCGGTATTCCTACCCCCGCGGACCTGAAGCCTGTCACCAGCAACTCTTCCACTTCCCGCCGCTTCTACTCGGGCCGCGGCGGCGCCGGCAACGCACACCCCATTGAAATCGCCCAACCCAGCCTGTCCTTCGATGAGGAGTACAATCGAGCCGAGGCTCGCGAGCAGCGTGTTGCTCGTGGCATGGGCTACCACGTCGGCCGTGGTGGCGCTGGCAACATCGCCAAGAAGAATCTTGAGGTAGAGAAGGAGGAGGTTGACGGTGGCAACATTGCTCGTGTCAGCACTGCCAGCACGGCAGATAGTTTGAGGTCCAGCCTTAGTGGCTTCGGAGGCTTCGTCAAGCGCATCATCAGCCACAACTAAATATTTCGGACATCCTCTCGACGAGACGTGACCCCGCTTCTAATCACTACCTACTTAATCATACCTTCAACGGGACGCACAATCTCGCCTGGATGAATGACTCAACTCTTCATTCTTCGATTCATTCTACTCATTCACGCCCTTGAGCAGCAGGGCTGTCTCGCCAGCATGGCACTTTTCCTTTGTCTTTCACAACTCTCTATGATGCTACGAAGTTGGGTGCTAATGGGTTATGACAACCGGTGGTCGGATGTGATACCAGCAAAACCTTAAATGTGTTTTCTGGATTGGTTTCTTTTTGAGCAAAAATGCAAGGCGCTGGGCGGGAAGGACGGAACTGGCTCTGTGTGGGAATTATCTGGGAAAAGCGATGATATCCATGATACCTTGTTTGGGATTGGGAAACACTTAGGCTGGGAAATTTGGGAAGCATGGGGGTTTGAATGACTCCGAGGCGCTTCTGGCATCCCAGAAAAGAATCCTTTCCCGAGGGCAAGGATTGCGGAGAATAGGTTATGGTTTTGTGATAGCTTTGGGTTGGCTTTCAGTTGTAGCAATATACCCCCACCGTGATCATTCTTGCACAATATTCGCTCCATAGCTTGCTCTTGTCTGTCCTTGTGTGCAATTCGTATAGCCCCTGAAATGTCACCCCATGTTTAGGTACTTATATTTTCAAACAATAACCAAAGAGCCAACGGCATGCAGCAGGCGAAGGGCAATGGGATGCTACACTCTCCCAACGCGGATCACAAGCCAAAGACTGGCTAGCCCAAATTAACACTGCTCAGCGATGATGCAATGATGCTCATTAACCAACCATGGGTATCATGCATTTCCTTCCTCTAACAACGCACACAACAAGCTTCTCTACACAAAGGCTTTGGGCACAGTTACTTGCACATCCCATATCGGTCTCTCGCCCCTGACCGTCCAGACGCCTTTGCTCCGGCCCCAGCCCTGCACCATCTACCATCATCAGCCCACACACCACACAGCCCAAAGCTCTGCTCTCTTTCTTCCTTCACACCTCGAACAACCATCATTTTGAAATTGTGCACTAGCATTAAGATAAGCCTCCCCGCCATTAGGCCAGGCCCGGGAATCAGCTCCCATACGCCATCATCTCGTTAGTTTGTCTCCTGAAAAATGGTCCGCATCTCCACCCCTGACCCTGCTTAATGAGATGCGTGGGACGACTGTGGTGGTTGCATCATCACGTGGCTAGACAGACCGCCAATGAGGGTGGTACAAGGAGAGCGGAGTCAATTGTTGCGCATGTCTCAATCTAGGCGGTCGATGCCCAGCGCGGGTGAACTCTCTGCTCTGCGAAGAGGAGCCGGCAGACGAGGTATTTTAGGTGAACTTGGTATGAATAATATCCGGGTTCTCATGCCAGTCGTCGATGCTGACCCACATCTATTCGGTTTGGGCTCTGTCAGCGTGTGTTCGGAAATGGAGAGGGAAAGAGAGGAGAAAGAACAAAACCGACCTTTCTGAATGTGCTTAAACCAGCCAGAATGCTACCGCCGATCCAGGTCGAATACTTGCGCTCGGGCGGCGCAAAAATCTTTATCCTCATGTCCTTGACGGCCACACGCTGCACTTCGCTCAGCAGACGGTCACCGAAGCCCTTGGTCAGGGTGCTGCCACCCGACAGCACAATGTTGGAGTATAGATCCTTGCGCAGGTCCAGGTCGGTGCGATTGATCGAATCGACCACAATCTGGTGCACACCTGGGTACTCGAGACCGATGATCTCCGGATCGAAGAGGATCTCCGGGGCGCGGAAGCGCTCGGCGCCGATCTACACGTAAAGGGATGTTAGCTCACACGGGCTCTCAGAGCGAGCGTAAGGAGTCTAGGGTGGTTGACCGCATGCCTTCATCCTGTTGCCGTCCGGCAGAACATACTCGGCTACCTTCCCCTGATCTAACTTGGCAGCCGCCCACTCCTTCTCTTCCTTGCGCGGGTCCTTGGCCACGTAGCAAACGGACTCTTTGATAAGGCGCACGACCTCCTTTTCAGCGCTGGTGTGGAAGACGTAACCGCTCTTGCGCAGCAGTGTTTGTAAATACTCGGTCACATCGCGGCCACCAACGTCGATGCGCCGGATGCTGTTAGGCACCGTGAAGCCCTGGTAAACGGGCACTGCGTGTGACACGCCGTCGCCGCTATCCAGCACTACACCTGTCGTCCGCCCGCTCGCATAAAGAGAGAGCACTGCCTGGATGGAGCAATAGAGTGCGGGCACGTTGAAGGTCTCAAAGAGGATCTGCGCGGCCGTGTCGCGGTTGGAGCGCGGGTTAAGAGGGGGTTCGGTAAGGAGCACAGGATGCTAGCAGAATCTGTTAGTTTGGTCTTTTATCGAGAGAGCGAGCTAAAAGAGTAGGGTTTACCTCTTCGCTCAGCGTCTTCAGCCCTTCATCGTAAACATAACTCTAGAGAAATGGAACGCCCAATGTCAGCTACCCGCCCCCCGCCAACACACGCCGAGTAGCAGTTGCAACCAACCCAGATGCGTTCCATGTCATCCCAATCCGTCACGATGCCATGCTCGAGAGGATAGTTAATCTTAAGCAAGCCGCGTAGTTCCGTAGCAGCCTTCTGGCCGATAAAGACCTCGCCCTCCAGAGCGCCAGCCAGCACGCGTAGGTGCTTTGGTCGGCCGACCCATGAGGGAAAGACACACTTAGGCACGTCCTCGCCGGCGAAGCCGGCTCTTATTGTTCCCGACCCGTTGTCAAGGACGATGGGTGCGTTGTGAAGCGAGTCGGCCATGGCGGAGATAAATTATGTTTATAGGCAGCTAGATGTAAGCCGCGAGGTGAGGCCTCGGCATGCAACGGCTTTCGAGAGTCTCTTCTTGTCTTTTTGCGGTGGATAGGTTTGTGGCGGTATAGAGGCGGGAGCGTGACTATCGCGGGGTTGTTGAGGTAGTTATCCCATCCGTTGAGGGACAACTGAAGTCGGAAAATGTGCTTTTCAAGAAGCACTTGCTACAGGATTGCGTCAAGGGCCGTCGTGTGGCTAGATGGTATTGCTGTCACTTTCGAGACAGTGGTTATCGAGCTTCGTCTGTTGACTTGACATTCAGCAACTGATTAGCAGGTGGTCCACCAAACACCAAACGCGCGCCGAGTTGAGGATAACCCATGCCTCGTAGTCAGGGGCGAGCAGCACGGGCCAATTGAGAGCCGAGGCTGGGCTTTTATCGATAAGCCATCTTCGATACACCCCAACCCCCTCATCAATGTTTCCAGTCAAAGGGAACTTGGCACTATGCTGGCTCCGTTACCTTTTAATCTTGTTCTCTTGAAAGGGAGTTGTGTGTTCCAAATTTCGTGGACAGCTTCACAAGCTCGGTATCTCCAGAAGCCGTTTTTCAACGGCGACAAAAAAGACAAGTCTATTCAACCATGGGTCCAACTGTCGACGAAGTCTTCCCAATTTTTTGCATTAACTAAGTAGCTTGAAAGATGGATGTTGTAAGGCATGGCTAAAATACCATCTATAATTTAATCTCTCTGCTCCCTTCGAACCAGGTTTCTGACGGTTCTCCCTGGGACCCTTTAATTCTCATCTTATCCATCTTTTGATTTCATGAAGACCTAGTTTACTTTAAGTCACTTAATGCGGTTGAATGATTGGGATTACTATCCATTCTATCCACAGCCATGGACGAACTGAGCGCACTTCAACACACTTGCTCACAAAAACCCATCGAGATGCCTAAACAATGTTTCGTATTGCCATATTCATTTCAGATATGCCTCCATATCCAGGCCGTCACCGACGTTTGTGTATACAACCGGTATGTGTACAGCGAAAACATATTATCCAACCCAAAATGCACCCCATATAAACGCCGACCCCGTCGCCAAATGCAATCCCATCTAAAAGTCTGTCGTGTTATTATCCTGCCCATCGATTGTTGCTTGATGAGTTGGAATCTCGAGGCATGATGCCACTATCTTTGGTAAAAAATAAAAGGAACAACCTCCTTTTGTCACCGTTTAAACGTGGCCGTCAACGAGCTTGTACGCAACGTACGGCCAGCCGAGCAGGCCGAAGGCAACCAGAGGATAGCTATTATTGATACACTATCAGCCCTGATTCAATAACGCAAATGATATAAACAGGAGGATGAGGACAGAGCATACACAACAAGCTGCTGGCTGACCCGCTTGACGAGCCTGCCATAGTCAGCCGGGGCAGGGTTGCTAGCTACGGGCAGGCGTTGGAATGGATGGGGCTCGAAGCCACGGGCGAAGTCACGCAGGCTGCGCATCAGAGAGACATTCTGACGGCGGATGAGGGCCTGGCGAGTGGCGTTGGCCGGGAGGGCAGCAGCCGTGGCACGGGTAGCGGCACGGGCGATCATTTTGACAGATCTTATCTGGTGTTTAGAGGGTTGGTTTAGGTTGGTGTTTGGTTGAGTGCGCAGTAGAAACTCGACTCGACGGGCGGAGAGGGGTTGCTTTGGCTTGAGGGAGCAGAGAAGATGGAAAAAGAGACGGACGGATAGATGGGAGATGTTCCCTTAGTTTTGTCTAAGACGTCGATGAGCTGGAATGGAGGTACACAGGATAGAAGATGATAGAAAGTAAAAACCGCTCTGTTCCAAGGAATCTCCTGATCTTATATGTAACACCAATCCCCTATTTCCAAGCTGCCCGTCCATCCGCTGGCGGCGGTCACAACCGAGCCATCTCAGCCATCCCTCCGGAACATGTTCGTCCCAAGACCCCTCATCGTCCAATCCCAATTCTCGCAAAGCAAGATGACCTGCCTTGCGTCTCCATGGCGTCTCCATGAGATGTCATTCCACGACGCGGCGGCGGGTGCAGGCGAAGACGAGAAAAGCGAACGAGTACAAGACTTTCATCGTCAGCCAGCACGGCTTGCAGGCGTTGCCAAAGACATCCAGCCAATCGCGTGTTACGCTGGAGGCCGGCGTGGCACGATTTCGGACTGGGAATCGCGCGGTCGTGGTGTGATGCTTCGTGGTACGTACCGCGCCCCTCTTGGCGCGGTCGCTGGAACCCGGGCTCGCTTGAGGGTCTTGGCCCGCCAAGCAGCGCGCCTGGCTCGCCTACGGCGGCGGTAGCCGGGGTGGGGCTCCAATGTGCCACAGTTTTGCTGGATCGATCACCATGTTGGTGTCAATCTGGCTTTCGATGAGGGTGGAGGGCGTGGTGAGATCTTGTGTGATGGTTGCGTTTCTCAGCTGGGGAAGACGGGCAAGACACACGCCACGGAGGTGGATTGGTGACAATTTGGAACCGATCTTGTGAGATCCAGAGCATCGGGACAGGAGAAAAGGCATGCAAATTGACCATGATGATGCACATCATGGTGTGTGCCGCGTGTTCGCGGCTGTTTCCGGCAGTCGGCGGGATGACGCCATCGTCAAGGACGCCTCGGGATTGGGGCAATAATTCTTAAGAAAGGGAGAAGGAGACGGAGGTGATGGGAATTTGGTTTGCCTTGTTTGACAGAAAACAGATGTTCAAGAAACAGCCCTGCCAGGCACGGAGATATTCCGATCGATCGAAAGAAGCTTGATCTCATGCAGCAGTTTGTGTCTCTTGGCAATGTTTGAAGCCAGCCGGACCGTTCAACTTCACCAGTGAGTCTCGGATGTTGCCGGGTAGCACTCTAGCACCATTCATGCCATCGGAGAGCAGCAGAAGCAGCAGTAGAGCAGCAGGACCGATGCTCGTGGAGGCCATCAGTTGGGTATCACAAGTTCTATTACTTTTCGGTCTTTTTCTTCCTTTCCCCCCATTGCCACCACCAAATCTAGTCCCGCAACACCTGGGTGCCGCCCTCGGCCAGCTCAAGCAGGCGCCAGCTGCACTGGATGTTGTTAGCTCGGAACTTGGCAATGATGCTCTCGGCAATCTCGTTGAAGTTCGCGGTGGCCAGCGCCAAGATGGTGGGGCCGGCGCCGGACAGGCACACGCCGAGCAGGCCGGGTTGTGTGGACGGCGTCATGGATTCGACGATCTCCGTTAGGCCCGGAATCAAGGTCTGCCGGTAGGGCTGGTGCAGCTTGTCCTGCATCGCCAGGTAGATGAGCTCCGGGTCAGGGGGGGACTGACCCAGCGCCACGGGGAGCAGAGCTATTCTCTGGAGGTTGAAGGTCTGTCTGGGGTTAGCTCCCTGTTGACATAGTGAAGATAATATTATATAAGATATACTCACCACATCAAGCCGCGGGTACTGAGCCGGCAACACTTCGCGAGCCTTGGCTGTCGGGACCTCAAAGTCGGGGATGATGACAACGGCCTTGATCTCAGGGGCCCAGGGAAACTTGATATGATGACCGATGCCAATGGGCGGCTCGGGGGGCTTGATGCCCGTGTCGATGCCGCCGGCAGGAGCCGGGAGGACCTCGCTGAGCGGGATCTCCTTACGTGCTGCATCCTCGGGCTTGAGCGGCATGAGGTAGGTACCGACAAAGCCACCAAACAGGGCAGCGCCGACGTTGTCCGGGTGACGCTCTAGAAGCCGGCACATGTCAGTCAACCACTCACTCACTCCAATCACCAGTATCCGTCAGGCCGCATCTTATTTTGGTTCCACCACCAACGGGAGAGCACGGCCCGGCCAGGGTGCACAGTACACTCACCAATCATCAAGCAGAAGTCAAACAACCTCTCCCGGGTGAGATGTTTCAGCCCGCCGCACTCCTTGCCGAGCATGACGCCAGCAACGACAGCAGCACCGCTGGACCCAAGACCGCGGCCCAGCGGAATAGGGTTCTTGATATGCACATGGGTCTCACAGGGAAAGGAACGCTGGTCGTGGCAGCGCAGCACGTACAGGGCGACACGGGTGAGCAGGTTGACCTCCGGGTCAAGAGAGATCTCGTCGGTGCCCTCGCCCTCACCCTCGTAGGTGATGCGGCAGTTGAGCGGGTATGTCGACGTCTTTTTGGAACGGTCGATGGTAACGTGCAGCTCCAGATACATAGACAAGGCGAGGCCGATGACGTCGAAGCCTGGGCCAATGTTGGCGGAGGAGCAAGGGGTCTTGATGATGAAGGACTCGATGGCCATTGTGACGGTGTGACTGACCCTGCCGTGCCTTTTTTTTATGTGTGACTCTGATTCCTTTTTCAAGTCTTTCTCGTCTGCTTTAACCTGTAAGGCACTGAAAGTTCCTTCAGAGTAAGTTTATTATGACAAAGTTTTTCGCCCAAAGCCCTGCCTAATGATGCGCACCAACCTCCGGGATGGGGAACAAGGGCTGGGGGTGTGTGTCAGGATGTATGAGGGTGTGAGTGAGCAATGAGCGTGATGGATGAAACCCGACTTGAAGAACCGGCCCGGCCAAACTGCAAGCCAAGCAATAGGATGTGGACTGCAGTGTCTTGCAATGGGGTCACCACCTAGCTGATAACAGAGTTGCCACGAACCTGTAAGGTTGTGTGTGCGATTGTGGATTTTTTTTTTTCGTTGGGACCCGGGCCCCGATCGCGGAGCGGGGACCCGGCCAAGTCAACCCTGACGGTTTGGTCTTTGAGCACCCTGGGACCATGGAGAGGGGGGGGTTCGAGTTGTACACAACGGGCGTCGCCGCTACTGAAAGTTGAGACTACAAAAGCATGCTGATGGGATTTTCAAGGGAACTCAGTGGTACAAAAAGAGAGATGTCATCAATTATCAAGAGCTGGACTTGGGTGATAAATCTTTAATGTTGTGTTCCTGGCGAAACCCTGGTCCGGGCTAGGCATTGACTCAACCCTTATCGGGGGATACAGATTAGGACAGCTAACAACCAGCCCAGTTACTTACTACATTCATTATCGTCATCGTCATAGAGGTAGAGAACCCATTCTTTCGCATTCGATCGGTATCATCATAAGAGACTCTTCATCATAAGCCGTAATAACAGCTACCGTAAACATCAAAAGTCTACAAAAAACCGAGAAGATATAACAAGCCCAACAGACCACTCATCCACCCAAGACAAACCTCCTCCAATCCTCCGGTATCATCATAATATTTTTGGTCTTTGTTCTCTTTTGGCCATGAACTTGCGCATCATACCATCGTCATACTCTAATTGGTCCCTCCATATAAAGAAGACAGTCCATCCTCCCCTCCCTATCTTTTTTTTTTCAAACTCAACACCTCACCAAGGCCAACCAGCAGCCTAACCCATCATCAACCCCTCGATTTAAGGAGAGAACAGACCCCTTTCCCTCCTCCTCTCCTCCCGACCACTAGGCGTCATCGGCCTAGGCCCACTAGGCCTGCGATTGACAGCGCTCGACTGCAGAGCATTGCTCAGATTGCGATTCTCCAGCTTCGGGCTGCTGCCGCTCGTGGTCACACTGCCGGCAGCAGGAGCACTGCCGCTGGTCATTGTGCCGTACCCGCTTTCAACGCTGTAGCTGCCGCCAGTCTGCTTGCCCTGTAGGGCGGTAACGCGCTTATGTTGCGCAGGGGTCGACGACCGCGAGTCGGACATAGGCGGCATCTGAACGGGGGTGCCGCGGATCTGACTGAGGCCACCGGGGCTGGCAGGAGGGGCCATCGCGTTCGGGTCTTGGTAGTCGAGCGGCTCCTTGGGTGGGCGCAGCGGCGGAGCGCTCAGATTGGCGGCCGGCAGAGGCGACGAGCTCGTCCAATGGTAGTGCTCACCGGGGCCAGGGGAGACCGAACCGTAGCTCTCGGGAGCGGCCGGGAAGCGAGGCAGGCTCGTAGTGGAGGCACCCCAGTCGGCCGACTTGGGGCTCATAGGGGAGCCGACATCGAAGCCAAGAGCCTGGGACTCTAGGGCAGCCTTGAAACGCTCCGTCTGGCCCGGCCGCGGCTGCGGGTGTTGCAGGTTGAGGGAATCACGGTGCGCCCGGTACTTGGGGTTCTCGGGAGTCATGCTGTGGGTCATCCAGTTGCTCTCCGGAGGAGGAGACGGGATCTGGTCAAACACGGTCGCCGGGTCGGGCTGCGGCTCCTCATGCAAACCGCCGTGCGTAAGATCCTGCTCTGAGAAACCGGTACGCAGCTTGTCACTTTGGAATGTCTGCGGCTGGGAGAACTGGTAGTTGTCTTCATACTGATACGGCTCAGACTGTGGCGGGGCGGATGCGTTGTTGACAGACTCGTCGCGGCTGGGCTGCTTGCTATGCCGAGAAGACTCGGGGACACTGCTGGATGTCGTCGTCTCCGACCACCGTGAGATCTTGGGCAGGCGGAACCAGCTCGACCGACCGGACTTAGTCTTCTTGCCACTCTCCTCGGTCTTTGGAGTGTTATCATTGGTGCCCTGAGCAGCAGGCGATGTGTTCAGGGGTGCCGCGTTAGCGGGCTGGTTCTGAGGAGGAGTCATTATGTTCATATCATCAGCACGCCCCCCGTGGTCGTACTCGTCTTCATTGTCCTCCGGTACTGTGCTGATCCTGTACGCCGAGGGCTTGCGGTCATATCCAGGTCTGCCAGATGCACGGCTCTGAACTGAAAAGTGGCCAGACTGAGAAGGATAGCTTGTGGTTGAGGTGCCAGCATGGCCCTCCGGCTCGTAGCCTTGATCCTGCTCATATTGGCCCTCAGGCTGAAGGGCCTGGTACGACTGCATGTCAAGATTGCTTGGGGCCATGCTGCTTTGCATGTTGCCTCCGGCGGTCTGCGCCTTGAGGGCGTCGACTTCATTCAGGAGCTGCATGAGCATCTCCTCAATCCTGGTGAGATCATTGGCACTCTTGGAGGTGAGGCCCTTGAGCGCACGCCGGAAAATGCTCCTCTTCTTGGCATTGATGTCGTCGCTGATAGTGCCGGCTTGCGAGTTCCGGGAGCTGCCAGGATAAGGGCGTGGGCCACCGATGGCACGCTGGACCGTCTTCTCTGTGTTCTCCTTGACCTCGGTGATAATTACATCTTCGGTATCGGCCAACAGACGCTTGAGGTCCTCAAAGTTGTTGCGCATCTCCGTGGCAGCGCGGACCAGGGTCACCAAGAGCTCTGTGTCGCGTGCGCTGCGTTGGGCATCGCGAACCATCAGCTATGCCGGAGTTAGTATCTGCTTCATCGTCATACCATCATAGATGACAACAAGCAAACTTACATGCTGCATCAGAGCAATGATATCCTTGGACTCAATGTTCTCAATTCCCGTACCAGTGGCGGCATCATAGAACTGATTGCCCATGCCGCTGGACATGCCGCTGAAGTTTCGCGTGTGCTGTGGAGCAAGGAAAGAATCGGAAGCCCCAGCAGCAGATCCTGCCCCGGCCAGATCGAGTCCCTTACCCTTGGCAGCTTGCGGGTCGGGGGTCTTGTTCGGACCCTGAGAGATGTAGCCCTCATCAACCTTGGTGTGGCTCATTGGGCTGCGTGTACCATAGAGATCGTCAAATGCCGGGTTGTTGAAGGCGCCGCTGCCCAAGAGGGCATCGTTGATAGCGGGCAGGTTGGCAACCGGGCTCGATCCCTCATACGGATTGGTGACAAGTGTGTCACGCTTCTTGTCCTCCGGAGACCGATACCATTCACTTTGCTCCGGGGTAGCCTGGATGCTGCGGTCTGGGGCATCCCCTCGCTGCAGGCGAGGAGTGGCATCAGCAGGCCAGTGTTCTTGCTCTTCCCGACCACTGTCGCCGTTGAGGAGAGAGGGGTTGGTCAGCATGTCATCATCTTGCCATTGACCAATTTCCGGCAGAGGATCATTGGGGTCGGGGACACTGCTGAAACCGAGCTTAGGCTTTTCCTCCTCGTTGCCCTTGCCGTTGACCAGTTGCTCAGCGCTGGGGGTCTCGATACCAGGCTTCGGACCATTCAAGTTCTTGGTCCGCTCCTTGAACGACTTGTTGCGCTGAACACCCGCCGGCTCAAAGTCTTCCTCATCCGAAATGACATGCGGTTGCTGTTGCTGTCGCTGCTGCTGCTGTTTTTGCTGCTGCCTGAGAGCTGCAGCGGCAGCACCGACAGCAGCACTGGTGATGGCAGCCTCCGACATCGTAGGAGCCTGACGGTAGCGAGACATGGGCACCTTACGCCCATACTCATCCAGCTCGTACTCGATATATTCGCGAGAGTCCTGGCTTGGGGTCTCTCCGCGCTCATCCACAGAGCGCTTGGAAGGAGTGCCATGGTCTCTCGAAAGCTCTTCCTCAACGGTAGCCATCGACTCACGGACATGGTTATATGTATGGTGACCAAGGGCGCTTGATTCACCTGTCATAACGGAACCATCGAGCATTGAGCCGTCAACAAGTGACGCAACATTCGACTCAACAGTAACAGGGTGCACGAAGTCGGGGTTCTTGCTGTCAACGGCACGAACAGCCTTGGCCGGAGAGGGAGGCTCCAATTCGCTGCTCACCGCACTCACAGGCTGCTGGTCACGAACAGAGCTGCGGGTGCTCCGATCTTCGTCTAGATAATCGTGGCTTACTGCAGAACCGGCTTCGCTGGCCCGAGGGTTGGAAATAGAGTCACGATTGGGTTGCAGGTCGCTTTCGGTGCAGCCCGAGACGCTCGGGATTGGGCTGAGGCCGCGGCGCTCAGGCTGATACGGCACATATCGCAGAGGAGGGGGGACATCCTGTGTGCTGTAATAATCGTAAGGGTTCTGTGCACCATAGGCATCGTCGGCGTCATCGTACTCGTCTTCTTCGCCGCGGTAGCGCCGACGCGGAACCTTGTTTCCATAGTCGTCTAGCACATACTCATCAGGTTCGCCAGTCCGCTGCTTTGGTAACAGCTTGAGATCGCCATGGGACACCTGGGAGAGCAGGCCTGGCAGAGCAGGAATGTCGGCGAGCTTTGTTGGCGTTGGTGTAGAGGTGTCGGACCGTAGGTCGTCCGGGGCACCGCGAGCGGGGGTCCGCTCTTGGGTTGCAGAAAGAGGCCTATCGCTGTCAGCCGTCAAGATGGAGGCCCTCGTCACATCAGAGGGATTCACATCACTCATCAGTGGCATTGGAGGGACGGGAGGGCTTAAGTCGGACTCTTCATCGTCGAGCGCATGCTCTGACATACGGCCACGCATCTCGGCACGACGTCTTCTCCTGGCTTGCTGCTTATCATCCGACGGCGACTTTTCGTAGTTAGATGGAATTCTTAGAGGAGCAACAGCACGAACAGGGGTGTCAAAATCGTCATAGTCTTCCTCTTGACTGAGGCCACCACTGCTGTCGCTGAACTCATTACGAGCCTCACGATCGCGACTCTCCTTACTCCTCATGCTATCACGAGGGTTCGACTTGTCAGCGCCAGCGCCCCGGCGCTTATCACTGGTAAAGTCATCTCTTGACGCCGTTGTTGTGCTTGTGGAGGTCAAGGAATCGCGACGGGGTTTCCGTTGACTCTGCTCCCGCTTCAAAGCATTCAGCTCAGGAAGGATGAGGCGGCGAATTGCATCCTCGACCGTCTCCAGCAGTTTGGGGTTGTTGATAGACGACGCCTTGGAGGCGCCCGATCGGACTGTGTGCTGTGAGAAGGCCGAGGAGACAACACTAGAGTCTGCAGCCGAGACAACTGAATCCGAATGACCCTTCGAACGCCTCCTGGGCGACCTAGCACGCTCGGTGTGTCGGTCATCCTTGCTGACGCTGCTGGCCCGGCTCTTGCTCGATTTGTGTTTGCGTTCTCGTTCGCGTTCTCTCTCCCTTTCCTTCTCCCGCTCCCGTTCACGCTCCCGTTCACGCTCCCGAGTTTTGGAGACAGACACCCGCTCACGGTCTTCACGGTTCTTTGTCCGAGACCTATCGCCAGCAGACGCGGCACCCATTCCAGAGGCTGTGCCGGCAACGTAGTCAGCTGTGCGAGACGGGCTCTTGCTCCTGGCGCTCTTGACATCTGAGTACCCGAAGGAAGTGGTCGGACCCGACCCGTCAAGGAAACTGTTGGTAGGAATGGCCGAGATTTCACTCATGGTGTTTTGTCCGTAGCTGAGCTTGCTCTCATCCCCCGTCGGAATCAGGGGACTGGCTGGGCGACGACGACGTGCGTTCGAAGGCCGGTCGATATCAATATCAACGTTTCGACTCACAGTGCTCTCCTCTGTAGCAGAGGCGTACGAGGTAGCGTCGTCGTTATCCTCAGGAGCAACCGAGAGGTTCTCGGGCTCGCTCTGGGCAGCGCTCTTATGAGCCGAACGGCGGCTGACACTTGCTCTCCTCAATTTAGTTTGCGTGATCTCAATGCGACCGCCCGAAGACCCCTTCGATCGGTGTTTACTGCCCGGGGTAACACGGACACGGACGCTAGGCTTGCGATTGTCACTAGCACCGGAAGTAGTGCTGGCCCTGCCGCCTTCGAAGTACTCGATCAACAGAGATGCCCGTGACCCGGTGGCGCGATGGGTTTTGATGGTAACAGGAGTGCCATCCTCTGGGAGTGAATAAGATGACTTGTCGTCCTTGGAAAGATCGGTCCCAGTTTCGCTTGTGGTTCCGGTCAAGCTGGTCGAGTTTGTATCGGTCGGCGGTGGTAACGGCGGCGCCGTTCGCCTTTTACTCTCGACAACCATGGCTGCTTAACCCAGGTTGGGCAGGCTGACGTGCAACTTTGGGGGTTAGGCAATCAGGTATCAGAGACCTATCGGCTGGGTTCGGTTGACCAATTAATCTCTTCCACGGAGTCACTTGCTTCTTGTCCGGCAAGTACTGAGGCAGAAAGTTATTGGAGACTGGCACGAAGTAAAATGCTGAGGATGGGGGGCGGAAAAAAAGACGCAGAGAAAAAGTGATTCGCTAGGCAGAAGTAAGACCGTCAGGAAGAGGATATCAGGCGCAATCACAGTTAACCCTAGCAGTCAACGAGTGACATGTGAGCAAACAATCATTCCAGAAGTTCCCAAGCAGACTCGAAGACACATCATGCAGCAGTGCTGCACTCTGAGTCTCTTGCGCAGCGCAATTCAAAAAGAATTAACGGCGCATCAAGAAAACAATGCTGCACTTCGACAAAGCTGCACAAAAAGAGAGATAGGTGCGACGAACGTACGTACATGTATAGCAGGCAGTGGCAGTGGCAGTGGCACAAACTCTGGGCGGCCTGTGAAAATGAAGGGAAGTGAAAGGCGGCACAGGCGGTCAGAAGACGATGGGCAGTCCACTGTGATGCGCAAGTCGCGTGTTGAAGCGGCAACGAGAGTCCGATGTGCCAACCTCACTGGCTTTAGCGGGGCAGCGCACAGCAGGCGTAGGCCCAATCGCGATGGTGATAAGAGTCCTAAGGAGAGACTTGGCTTGAGGCCGGTTGCCGGAGACTCGAGAGTCTTTTCAGGTCTTTGCAGTTCCGTTCCAATGTGATCAAAGAGCGAAGATCAGAAGGCCAGCCACGAGCCGGTCAAATGAAAAGATGCCAGCAAGAGTTTGGCAGTTGGATAGGCAAGTAGGCAGAAGCCTTTTGCTTCTGCGACAAGCTGTGCCTCTCCCAGTGAGGTCCAGGTTGCACTGGCGGTGGATTGGAGATTGTGGGATCGCGGATCAAGCTGGATAGGACAAGCAGGAAAGCTGAGTGACAAGAGAGAGTATGTGTGTGTGGGTTGGAGCCGAATCCCGATTGCTGCGGCACCTGTTGCTCGCACAACCTCCAATCCAGAGGCCTTGCTCACGGTTCACCCAGCCTCCGCAGCACGGCACAGATAGGCTCGATGGTGATGGGAGGAGGGGAACAGGCGAGCGAGCAAGCTGTAGGGCAGGCACGGCAAAAACCTGGAAGGCGGGTTGAGATGGCTACACGAGGCAGAAAGAAGCCAAGCGGGAATCCTTCTCTGCCGTACGTGCTGCTGTGGCCTTTTTTTTTCTTCTACCAACCGGACGCAGCCCGGAGGGAGGAACCTATGGGAGGAGTTGGGATTGTCCACAAATGGCCAAGATGGGTAGCGTCGATGTGCTGGCGATGCTTGACGGGCCCGGGCCAATTGCGTGTGGAGTCCAGAGTCTCTGGTGCAGCAACGTGCAGTGCAGGAAACGGCGGAGCGGTGCGTGAGCGGTGCGGGCAGGAAAAAGAGACAAGACAGGCCTGGGAGGTCTTGGAGTCCTGGACAAGCGGAGGGTGGTGTGGGTATGCAGACTGCGCAGGCGGCGGTGCGGGGCCACGATGCGTGGAAGAAAAGAGTCCCGATCGTCAGCTCACACTCACAGCTTCACACAGCTCACCTGCAGCCCAGTTGCTTCAACTCGCAGATCAACCGAAGACAGTCCAAAAAATCCAGATTTCACTCGATACTCACAGAAAGCATCTCAGCTGCCAAGTGTGCAGGCCGAGCCATACTACAAGGATTGTCAATAAATTGACGATGGCTGGGAAGGGCTGAGAGCGTTGGAAGCGTGTGTGCTAAGTGGTTCCGGCGGTTGTGTTGACATTGGATGCCCTTGCAACGCCAAGAAATATCGACACAACCCTGGTCCGTCACCCTGGTGGCACCCCGCGGCCATGGAAGAGCGGGACCGGCCCTGCGACGCTGGATTGGGCTCAAGCAGATTCACATCAGGCAACCCGACTGACAACTATCATAGCAGACGGAGACGGGATTCAGTTTCTCTTTCTCGCAAAGAAGCTTAAGGTTCTCCATATCTCCCAAGGTTCTGCTCCACGGGGACGATCTCATGGGAATCCAATCCGGTGGGCCCACCGCCCACAACGTGCCACTGTGCTGCCCTGTCGCCCAATAGCGCCTCGCAATCGCCACCAAGCTCACCAACCTTCCAGCTTTTCCTCCCATCCCCACTCCCAACCACCCGCATAAGGCGAACGCAACCTAAGTTTCCCGTTCTCCGATAACCTTTGGCGTTGCACGAATAGGGGGTTCAGGTTGCGAGTTACATCTTCTGCTTGGCAACTTGGATCCGCCGCTCTGGGCACACGTGGAGCACAGACAGGAGTGAAAAGATCCGACTCTGATGATGTAAAGACTGAATCCATCTCAAACACTGGGTGGGCCTATTCTCGAGGTCCAGTTTCTATTAACAGATTATATTGAAACCATGCCTGATCACTTTCAGCCTGTCTTGCCCGAGTCTGTCCGTTTGATACGCATAGCGATTCCCATCCAATCAAAGGCTGTTGTTATTTGGCAACTTGTCAAGCTTTGTTCTTTGATCCAACAGTGCTCCTGGTGTTTTTGAGGTTGCTGGCTCTTCGAAACAGCAGCTGATTGTGCCGCTTCTCTTGCTTTCCAGATCCGTGAACGAACCTATCAACGCAATAACGCCAGAGCCAACAAGGATTGGTACTGGGTAAGGCCGTTCACGGGTTGTTCAGACATCCCAGCTGCCCAAGTTTCGTCCCGCTTTTGCTGCTGTGGAACAATCGGTTGAATACTCTCTTTTCCTACCGGAGCTGGCGAGGATAGACCAGGAGCACAAATGTGAACATTTGCTATGGTATACCTCTCTCACAACCATTGACTGGGACACTAATTTCCCTTAATACCTTTTGCATAATCAGATAAGTCAACATGTCCTACTGCCGTAGCCACCCCAATTCAGCTGACTGTTGCAATTGGTGCATCGTGTCTCTTTTCAAGTGCTACATGCAGAATGATACTACTCCAAAACCCTTCTAGAAACCATAAGCCGATGATATCAATCTCCATGTCTCACAGCTGAGCATAAGAGTACCTATTCTATCACTCCTGAGATCCCAGTCTGAGCGAAATCTGAACTCATCAATCGGCCAAAGAGATATGAGAAATCTATCACGTAGCCAGATCAACAGCCTCTTGTTAATTCCTCACTTTCTAAACTTCTTGGCCGGAGTAAATTCAACATCCGCCCCGCGGAAGAGCTCTCTAACAGTTGGGTTCTCTTCATAATGGACCAATAATCCTCCACCAAGCAATGTCTTCAGAAGCTCGGCCCGGGCCCGAAGAAACCAGGTATTGATCACTATCCACCGGTTCGGAAGACGAATCTTTTCACGATATCCAAACTCAGCGAAACCCCCATCAATTTCTTCTTCTGCAGTTCCACCCGTGTGTGGATTGCCCCATCGGCCAGCGGTCGAGTACCCGGGACCCTTTCCACGCTCGACCGAGGTGACAATGCTGGAAAAGTTGGTCCGTACGTGGCGACGGCCTTTCTTGGATATCGTCTTTGATGAGTCACGCATAATCTTGGCCATTTGTGTCATGATGCGATGCTGGTTGTACGCCGTGATGAAGCTCTGTCCAGTCTCTTCCTCTTGCTCACGGGCGGCTTCGAACAGCAGCGCAAGGTTCGCGCCGGCATTCACCTTGACGTCCGAGTCTGCACTATCCAGCTGGTCTAAAAATGACTCCACGGCTTCTTCTCCCTTTACCGTCAAGTCGTCCACATGCGTAGCGAGAAACGCCCATGCCTGCAAGGCAGCTGTGACCACTGACCCATCATCGGGAGCTCTGACCGAATCTCCGTCAGTTGAAACAATCTCCAGGAAGAAATCAAGCAACTCTTCGGTTGCGGCATTGTTGCCCCCGCCATAGATCACGGCAACACAGAGCGCGTGGATAGCATCAATCTTGACATTATTGTCTTCCACGTCCTCACACACAGTCTTCAAAGCCGAAATGGCCTGCTCGTAATCTTTATCGGAAGGGCAGGTAAGAAGTGTAAGAGTGAAAGCCTGCAATGCGCGCGCGCGCTCCTTGTTGCTGCGCCCTGCCCGGATCTGCTTCAAAAAAGTGGGAAGGATATCGTCGAGGACAGAGGAAAGATGCTCCTCTGCGTAATGGTGTCTGAGAATATGGCTGTAACCTGCAAGAGCCAACTCGCGATCTTGGACACTCGTGCGCTTCTGGTCTTTGTGGCCTTGAAGCTCGCGGATGAGATCAAGTAGACGGTCTGCCCAGGTGAGACCCTCCTCCCCTGAAGAAGCCGAAGCTGAGTCCTCGAATCCAAGGTAATCATCGCCTTCAAACTCATCATCGGATCCATAGTGACTCGCGGGGCGCGAGCTGAGTCGTGAGCCTGGCCGTGAGCCCGGCCGTGAGCTTGGCTGCGATACTGCAGGAGAAGGTGCCCCAGAGGCACTTGGGGACTGAAAGGGAGAGAGCCCGGCCTCACGCTTCGCGCGCGCCTTTTTCGACATTGTTTTCTCTCCCTTAAGTGCGCGCCTTTGTAGTTGGGACATGATGGCAAAGTGTTATGGTGTTATCGGCGCTCAATTGTCTCAGGCTGGCTCGAGATTTCGAAGTCGACTGCTTAACACGGCCCGCGCCTGGTTTCTATGTGTTTAGAAGTAATTATATAAGGCTCGGCCTAGAACAGCTCTTGAAAAAATATGCTCAGTTGGACTTTGCACTGTTACGTGATATGGGTGGCGGAACCAGTAAACGGCTGGAAATAAATTGTCTTGTGATTTGGGTTTGTGCGGTGCAGAATGTCCATGGGCAGAATGGACGTGCAACAGAAAAGACCTAGATGGGAGCGGCGTCTAGTGGTGACGAAGAGGAATATATGTCAGAGTCAGTGAAGGTAACCTGACTTCAACAGCAACATGATCTTGAGGTTCGCGTAAAGAACCGAGAGAGTTCAAGCTTGTTATGTTAGCGTACAATGAAAAAACACACTAGAAAATGTGTGCGTGGTTTGAGCGGCAAGTGACGCATGACACGCCACAGAGGGGATCTTCAACCTGATTGCGGGGAGCTTCGGCCGTCCTTTTTCCAGTTAGAGAATCACATGGTGGATATTATGATACTGCTCGTTTGGCACAGTTTTATAGTAATAAAACTCAAAATCATTCACTAAATGTCTGATTCACGTCTTCTAGCACTTCTTATATAAGTCGTAACCTTTCATTGCTTGCATGCCTTCTTCTGTAAACCTCTTTTTCGCCTTACGAGACTCCTGGTCCTACCAAATGCCTGTCTCGTACCTGGAGCCTTTGCACGTTATCAGTGGCGGCGTACCACCTGGCACGGAAGGCCCTTGCTCACGTTAAGTGGTTGCATGGGTGACTAGCCTAACATGGCTAGCTGCATCCATAACTAGTATGTGGGGTGTCAGTCGCGTAGACGCGACTTTGCCCGAGCTTCGCGCTCCTAGAGCTTGGAGTGAGAGAGCTCAAGTTATGATAATTGTTGCAAGCAGCTAAACCGTTGTTCATTCTTGCTCATAGTAAAGGCTTGAAGGTGGAAGGTTATCGGTATGCAATTGTATGGCTATCCTAAGCTCACCTTAGCTTACTGCGGAAGCTGCGGAACGGGCTTCCCGCGGAACACACCTCCACTTCTTCGCTGACGTGGTGACATCACAGTAGTAAACTTGACCATAAGCAGCACTCGAAAGCGTATCGAATCGAAATCTCAACACTAAAAGCATCTCAGTGCTGCTAGTTCAATCTTTAGAGGATACACCGTCTTACTAGAGCATATTAAAATCTCACTTTGATACGCACCTTGGTTCGGGTCATCTGGGCAGTTCTGTGACGTTTTGCTTGCCCATAGCAGTACCAACAGAGTTTCCGATCAGAAAGCCCCACTCTGCCTTTCTGCCTTGTCTCTTCTTCAGCCCAAACTTGGCTTACTGATGTTTCCCCCATCATGTTTTTATAGCATCAATATCGCTAGTATTATGAGTGTAACAACAAATGGACTCGACTATGGCATTCGACAAATCGATACACAAACAACTTGGGAAATGCCGGATGGTAGGCCTACGAAAGCCATGAACGTATAAGACGGGTGGGTGCACTTCCATGGTTAAGAAACGGGGAGCCGGCGGCTGGACCATTCCACCCCGCATGGTCACCTGGCAAGCCCCGCGGGGCATTGAAGAATGATAGCGACTGGTAACTCGCCATGATGATCATACCTCACACCAGGCTCTACTCCGGTAGCAAGGTTTCCAACCTGATCTTTATGCAACCTGAAAATCAAATAATGTGAAGATCGCATTTTGTTTCTGCTTGAAAATATGTGCACATTCCATCTCGATAGCTGCCCAGCGGTCAAGTTGAAGTGTTAGCTCCCATAGGACACTACAGCCAGAAGGGGAGCAGGATAAGGAAGGAACAGTGTGTTGTGCTTGCCTGCCCTGTGACTTCTCTCCCACGGGTACATTCGATGCTTGTCTGCCCCACCTTCCGAAACAGTGGCAGATCTCTCCCTCCAACCAACGGCTCCCCCCTTCTGCAACTCTTGACACTTACTTTCGGCTTCCTGCCTGATTGCTTCCTCTTTTTCAATTTTTATATTTCTCCAATTCTCAAACCGCCGCAAGTGATGCGAGTTGTGGCCGTGTGAAGCCAACATCCAACTGAATAAAGCGGGGAACGAACACAGCCAACTTTACCAGGGCCCAGATCGCCGTGCTCAAGCTTAGGTTGAGTTCATTGTTTCGAGCTGTGGCCCAAGCTTTGTCTGACGTGGAAGCCTCTTTACCTATTCTCCTCTAGGTGGGGGATCTTCCCTTTTCCTCTCGGCACCAACTCTTCCAACTCCCATCTCTGTTGACCTCCCTTCTGCACCATAACTGTGAACGCCGACAACAAGCTAGTCCATATTCACAATGTCCGCAGAGATGTCTTCTCGTGACTATGGTTGGTTTCCTCGCATGCTCTCTATCGCTCTCGAGGCACTGCTAACTGCAGTAGTGATGGTCAACTTGAATGTTCTGCAGATGCACAAGTTCACCTTCTCTTTTCCTGAGCGGCAAATCAAGTTGACCCCGGAGAACCCAAGCATTATCATCGGGCGTGCTTCGAAGACATCATCCAGAGGTTATGATCCCGCACCTGATAATGCATGGTACAACAGTGCGGTCATGTCACGACACCACGCCGAGCTTACTGCAGATTTCTCCCAAAAGGTTTGACTGTGACAACACATGCCTAATATCAGCTTCCTACCTAGCTAATGTATTGTTTTTGTTTTGTACAGAAATTGAAAGTGAAGGATCTCGGCTCCCTTCATGGCACCTTTCTGAATACGAACACTTTGGTTCACAAAGAAGGACCGCAAATCATTGGGCAGGAGGATTTTCTCAGATTCGGGGTTTCCGTTTGGCGCGGGAACGAGGAGTTCCCCCCCGTTATACTCTGTGTCACATATGAATTCCATACCCAGTACGTCTGCTTGCGTTTGGGACTGTCATGTTTGGTGGCTTACGAGTTTGCACAGGGACATTTCCGAAAACACTGGGAACACCACTACCACAGGTACCTTTCAGGTACCAGACGGCTCTGACGATGAGAGTGGCGGTTGCAGTGATAGCGACGATGAGGCCAATAATCTGTGCCAAACTGACATCGAGAGAGCAGCCAAGTTTGCTGCCCCTTCTTGTTCAAAGCTGAACATCGTTGACTTAACTCCAGACGCCCGAAAGCCAGAGTTTATGAACAAGGCCATCCATAAAACCCAAACGGATCCAAAGGTCATTGATCTGTCTTCCACTTCTGGAACCACCACACCCATCAACAAGGGTTCTCCAAGTGTTAACACTGACAAAATCAAGTCTTCCGATGCCAACATCATGACCAAGGCGGGGCCTTCTCCGCCTAGTTCTGGGGACGTTAACACTTCTAGTTCCATTTCTGGTGATTCTGATGAAATCCCATCTCCTACTGGGGGCTTCTCGCTAGACGCCGATGACAATGGACTTGATGATGCTGAAATTGATCCAGGCCAGGATCTGTCAGAAGACATGTCTGATGTATTTGATGAGTCTAAGGACGATGAAGATGAAGATGGGCTTGAGGATGGAGAAAGCATGGACATCGTAGACTTGGGATCTGAGGACAATCTTGATCTCGGCTCTCGAGGTAAGCGTTCTTTTTTCAAAATATTACACATTCTGTAACTGACTGTATTTTCAGAAGCTGGGTATGAGCCATCGGACGACTATCCTGAAGTCGAGGACCTTGTCAACCCTCAAGACTCACCTGTTGTTCTTTCTCCGCTTCCGCGAAGGGAAAGGGCCCCAAGGAGTACATCTTCGAACAGGATCGAACGGCGGCTCAACAATGACGATTCCAGCGTCTCGTGTATCGCTCTGCCCAAGCCAGAGCATTTGTCAAAGCAAGCAGTCCCTCGTCCAGATGCAGCCTCATATCTACCTTCCCATACATCCCCTTCATTGTTGCAGCCTGCCCCATCGATGGTTGAAACTCTTGGGGCCAAGACAGGGAAAGTTGACTACTTCGAAGCTCGCGAGGTCAACAAGATGATTCTAAGCGCTCAAAGAGCAGCCATGCCTCGACAGATATCATCCGTCTACGCACTGTGCAACGAAGAGTCTTCTGCGGATAGAAGCCACAGCAGTTGCGCGTTTGGGCCTGCCGCGTATATCACAACTAACAGCAGGCCCAGCAGTAAACAACAAGTTTCTGCTGATAACAAGGCTATTACGGATGCCTCAAGGCCCTCAGCTTGCACCGCTTCTGCAGTGTCCCCTCCTTCTGCTAAGGTGGCTGAGGGATCTAGCACTACCATGTCAACTGAGACTCCTTCTGGGGTTGCTGCTGTGTCCTTAAGGAATCCAACTTCTAGCTCATCGCGGACTTATGTGGGCATTTCTGATATCGTTAATAGCCCTCAACAACTGCCAAACAGTCTGAAGCGTAAGGCAGATGACATCTCCGATACCACTCAGCAGGAAGAGCAGTGGGCAGCCAAAGAAACATCACCCCAAGTGATGAAGGACATAATGGATACACCTCTCGAACCTGTTCGGCCCATCTGTACACCGCCACTCTCTCCTGCTCTCTCATCGGAGTCTTCGCCGGAGCGTCCTTGCGATATGTCTAAGCCTTCTGCCTCTCTTGCTCAGGCGATCCCTACTCCATCAAAGTCCATACCAGCTACTCCCGAGCCTGCGAGACCTTCCAAAAAAGCCAAGTTGCTAAGAATTGCCGAACGGGTGGGCTACGCGGCACTGGGAGGGGTTACCGCTGGCGCGATGATTGTTGGGACGTTGATCTACACTGCCCCAACATTCAACTAATATAAAACCTGAATCATGACTTGCCTCGTGTCTCTTTCAATTTCCAACAAGAGCTGCTCATCGGCCTGTCTTTTTCTCGGCACTGGAAAAATACCATAATGATAATTGTGACCTGAGCGACTTGCAACAACACATGGAAGCAGCCAACTTATGAGGTATCCGGCGCAAGAAGTCATCACAATCAATGATCGTATTTATGTTTCCTATGATGTCAGCTCATTCGAACTTTCCTTTGTCTCTCTAAATATCGAATTTGGGATCGGAGGCTGGAAACAAAGGGGTCTGTAATAGTTGGGGCCCGGAAAGTATCTCTCATTCCTATGGTTCTTAGGTCTCATACGTCTTTGATGTCTTGCTTTTCTAAGGACTGTGGAATTCTGGTTTTATGGGATACGGGAATCACATGTATATGGTGGAACCGGTAACTGATACCAATTGAATGGTATTCGGTGCAAGGAGGTTGCAATGGGCAAACCAGAGGTTTGTCTGGGCAGCTACTTGGCTGCTCAGCCATTTCTCTGCTTCTTTGACCCGAATGGACATAAAAATGATATGAAACCAGAAAACGAAGATAGGTCATGTCATTATCAGTGATGAAACGGATCTTCCTAGCTTTCATTCGCTTGAAAGGATGGTTATTTAGTTCGTCTTTGGGATTCAGTCTGCTTACTCAGTGCTAAACCCCCCTCTGTTCAAAATATATAAACTCGACTTGGCTCTTGCGCTTCTAGGGAAGTTGTGAACGACGAATGTCCTGCATTTAAGTCTCTATGGGTACTCAACTTTGACCAAAGATCAACCTACAAGACTCCTATCAGTAGCAGTCATGTCCGTGAACATGTGAGCTCATGGGGTGATTTACCTGTTCGTTGATAAGGGTTTCAATAGTGAGATTGACTCCTGACAGCGGGTTCAAGCTGACGATGAAGAATAATAACATAAATCTGAGACATCTGGATAAGGCTGAGGCTAGGGTGCACTTTGATGCGAATCATCCCGACGGCTTGCGGTTCTGCACAGTGACAAAGCACTCTCATCCAAGGCAACCCTCCTTCCTGGGAAGCCGGCGTTGGGTCAATATCCGATGTCTACCTGGAAGATAGTCTTTTACCATCCAGTCCAGCGCAGTCATGTTTAAGCTAATCTCTTTTGCTAATGGGCCTTTGTTCAACTCGAATCGATATCAGAGTAGGTTGGGCTGTGAGGGAATTAGTTGACCAAATGCCAAGTGGTTGACAACAGCATGGCCTCTGTGTGTACATATGGCAGTGACCTTATTGGAGGGAGCTCATAAAAGACTCGATGAGAGGCGTTCAGCCAGTATGACCCTTGTCTGTAGCCGCCGAATGGTAGTACTGCCGCGATCCCTCTTCCTGACCGCCTCATTTCTTTCGGTCAAGGAGCTTTTCTTTTATCATACCTTGGGAAAGTACTGAAAAGTACCTGTAGGTACTTGGTTAACTTCATCAAACGGAAACCGATGTTGTTGAATGGTGATCTTGAGCATTCAACTCGCAGTCGGTCAAGCGATACATTTTGAGACCCCGCTCAGGCTCCGAGGTTCCCAATGGCCTTCAATAACCGTGTCTACCCCGTCCGATAAGCTCCGGGTTTTAGAGAGCCTGTGTATATGATGCGACATTTCACTGGTTCAGCGTTGGAGTGTTAAGAAATAGAACGGCAAGCCAGCAACTTAGTCGATTTCTGATGTCAACCTGATCAATTGGATAGGCTTATGGCATTGTGATTTACGATAAAACCGGATCTATAGCTGAGTTGATGATGCTCACTGCATATACCCTTGGCGTGGTGCTTTAGCTGTATTGTGAGGGGCGTAAAGAGCGTTCTGAACGGAAGTACCCATGTTTGATTACCATGGTTGGTGTCCTCTCTCGGAACGATAAGAACGGAAAACCCAAGAGAGCTGATGAAACGTGTGTTCATTCTACTTCCCTAGAAACTTCCGGAAAGGAAAGCCCTAAGCACTTGGGGAAGAGCGAGGAGAAAGCCAAATGGGATGAGGGGAAAGAATTCATGTAGAGGTCATTGAACACAGTTGCGTAAGCCACCCGCGGTTCCCATGCATGTAGTTCTACCTCCCAACTTCATCGAGTCTGTAATAGGAGAGACCGGTGTGACTTGTCATTTTCTCTTACACATGATGACATGCTTGTTCGATCCTTTCCTCTGTTACATCTTCCGGGGATCGAAGTTACCTTCATATGCTATCACCTCGAGCAGATGGGACTTCGAAACAGAGATATGCAACACTTGCTGAAAGACCCGTGCTGTTCACCGAGGAGAGTACATGGCAACGGCGCCTGTTGGGCATTGACAGGGTGGTTGCCTTGTGAGCCTGACCCTCGAATAGTCGACCTGCATGAGCCAAGCACAAGGTTTGGGAAGTTGGTAGTGGTAGGCATCTCTTTCAACTTATCGGCACGCTGCTGGTAGCTGCAAATCATTCACTCCGCATGGCTCACTCAAACATTATCTGGCAACACTTGTTGACTGCAATATCCATCTTGGGAAGTGGAAAAAGATGATGGCTTCCTAGGGCTGGAGTACCTTTATGTTTCACCACACCATATCAAGGACAAGGACATCCCTCAGAGAGAGTGATACAGTACTAATTGATATATCCTCGGCAACTGTCATCCGATTAAGGATTGTGAAAAGTGGACATGGCGGTGGCGGGAAAAGGGATAAGCGGGCTTGGATGTGGGTTGACAACAATGTTCATCCGAGGGATGATGTCTTCACCGGAAGCTTTGGACACATTGTGTGTTACCCTTTACCCCTGCAATCACCAAGCAGATAACGTCATTGTGGTTCACTTCTGCAAAGATGGCTTACATTGGTCGGAAATAGTTCCATATACGGTCTCCCAACTGGCTGGAACCGATTCGGTTCTTCGCATTTTTTGTCGGCTTTGTGGCAACCTGCGAGAAAGCACAAAACAGATTAACTAGACTCGGTAGCAACTAAAACTTGATCATCAATGTAACAGTGTCAGCAAAGATAATGGTTCATTGGGGTTATCCGTGTAGAGTGTGTTCTCGAATGGCTTAACTGCAGGATGTCGACGGGTAGCTGCCTTTGGCTGCGGACTCAACGAGCCTTCGTTCGCGGAACTGAGAGTTGTGGCGTCCTGTAGAGCCAACGTGTCGAAGCAGCACTGCGGCTACTTGCATGGTAGCACACAGACTGAGCGACTTGTCATTCTCATGTAATTCTTTGTTCCTTATGAAAGCCGGCAACTCCAGGTCTCAGCGGCTTGGATAGATGGTGCCAGAAGGCAACCCAATGGAAGAGCGGTAGTCCAACAAGCAGTACTAGCAAAGATGCATCTTCAGCGAGACAACTTTAGGCCATTCAAGTTGCCGGATCTGTGGACTTATGGATGTCTCACGAGACAGTCAAGTGAAGTTTGCCGATGCCATCGCGCCATGATTCTAGGAACGGCCTTACGCTGACATGCTATGCTTGGCGGTAAGAATGGTCACCAGACCGGGCTGTAGCAACAAAATTGCATTCCATCATTGGTCTGTGTCAGGATGACTAGGAGGGGTTAGCGGATGGAGGGATGACTTCTGCTAGCAGTGTGCTTGATGTCGAAGAGCCAAAACGACATAACAGGCTCCTGAAGGCATCGAACCCAACGACTATAAAGTCTCAGGGCCACCCTGGTGGTCCACAGTTCTCTTCTGGCCAAGAACAAAGCAATTCCAGTACTTGAATCTTCTCATCAGTTGTTGCTTGGAAAGACCATTTCACTCTCAGACCATCAACACTTTTTCACAAACAGTGGATGTTAACAAGTCCACACACCTATCTCGTTTCTCCCGACATCCAATATCTCAATCATGAGCACGTCTTGCAACTGTGTCCCCTGGCCCGGACGTCAAGGGTTGTATGAACTTGTTGAATGTGGAACCTGTATGGGTAACATGCGCCAGTAAGTTGCTGGGGTATACTATGTCAGTCGTTATCATGCAATGCAAAATTGACACTTTGGAAGGGCCTGCATCGCCTGTAAAAATAGAAAAACGATCCCCAAGCCATGCCCTCATGGGATGTCAATGAAGTCAGTCTCTACCGCAAACTCTATTGGGTCTACCAACGGACACGGATCCGAAATGTTCCTCGCCCCAGCTGGGGGTCCAAGCTGAAGGCAGTGAAGGACACCGTAGCTTGTCAGTCGTTCATCAATAGTGCAGGACACGAGGGGGCAAACGTGATGTTTACAATGACCAAAGAATTGGGGGGAGATTTGAGAGGATTTGGCTGAGCCGCTTTCTTTTGGACGGATATGTTACTGTCTAGTTTCCGGATGCAGTTCATGATATTCTGTTTTTCGCACTTAAGAAACCACGGGGTCGGCGTCAGTCGTTTTGCATACTTACTATTAGGGACATTGCATTCAGTCGTTTGCATACAAAGGGAGTAAGGAGCGGTCGTTCTGCATGGTTGGCATAAGTTACTTAACTGTATTGTTTCTCTTCTCGCTTTGTCCACTTAGCAAACTTGACGAAGTTTCTTCGGGCTTTGCGAACTTCTGGTACGAATTCCACTTGATTAAGATACCAAGTTCATGTGCAACATCTAGTTACCTGTAACTTAGGCCAATATGGTTAAGTATACTGTATAGTTTACCGTGTCAGCAGGAGCAAGGAATGTACCTCAGGTTTTGAATGAAGATCTTGCAGCTATTTATGAGATTGAAATGCAGATTTCTTGAATGGTTTGCATATGTCTTGTTTCGAACGGCATCTGGCAGCGAACGGACCGACCCGTTTTTCCTGTATTGTCGCTGAAAGATCCCGATATTGATCCTCGCTCATGGTGGTGTGAAACCACTTTTGTCTGCTTCTTGTTATGTTGATACCGATTGGACGCCACTAATGGCTATCGGAAGGAAGATGAAAAGTGATAAAGAGAAAACTTCAAGGATGGCCTATAGCTGGACGCAAGACTTCTGCCGAAGCAGCGGCAACTGTACGCAAAGCATGAGGCTGGTTTCACAACCTTGCACTCCATTTCTGGGTGTTCGTCCGGCAGAAATTGATGACTTGCTGGCTTTGGCTACGGATCATAGTCAATGGAGATATTTGTTGATGCTATATCTCATATCCAATATTGATGAAATCTTCATGAAGAATAGTATGAAAAATAACCAAAGCTGTGATTGTCATGGGCAGTACTACACACATAAGGGATTCTTTCCTCAGCAAACCACGACTCAGCCGGTCACTAGACTCTCAGAAACCATTGACTTGATCAAGACCAAACAATTATGGATCTCACTAAATACTCTCAGAAATGAATGTTTATTCCACAAGCTATCAGCAAAACTCGATGTGATCTGGCTAACACTTCTGTTCCTTTCATTCAGCAACAACAAGGCCAAAAATTATACTCGAATTGGCATGTGAAAAGTCCAACTGGTGGTGGGGCAGTGTTGTGTGCGAAGTGGGGTCACCCCTCGTCGCAAGGATCATTCCCTGCCAGCCGGGCTGTGCCCCAGAGCCCCACTTCCATGTGGGGCAATGATGGGCTTCGTTTCCGAGCAGGATCGAAGAAGCAACTTCAAGCTTCGAAGCTCACAACGCTGTCAGACAAACTTCGGGCTCTTGCAATTTGGACATGGTATATAAGCTCCAGCAAATATGTCAGTCATTCTCTGCACAGGTAGGCGATCATAATGGCATCTTCAGACTAGTGTTAGAACGCTCATTAACTCTGCGCCTTGCAGCGGGCTACGACCATACAATCCGGTAAGATGCTTATCAAACAACTTCTTGCGATCATACCTTGGCAAGGGCGCTTCCTCGATGCGCTTTTTATCTTGTATAAGACGGGGCCTGCTGACATGTGCTGATAGGTTTTGGGAAGCCCTGACCGGCATCTGCTCAAGGACTATCCAACACCCAGACTCCCAGGTTAATCGCCTGTGCATCTCCCCCGACAAGCGCTACCTTGCTGCGGCTGGACACCTCAATGTGAAGCTCTTCGACATTCGCTCCTCGAACCCTTCCCCTTTGCTTACCTTCGAAGGCCACACTGGCAATGTTACAGGGGTTGCGTTCCATTGTGAAGGACAATGGATGGTGACAAGTTCTGAGGATGGGACCGTTAAGATTTGGGATACACGGACTGGTGCCATCCAACGCAGCTACAACCACGGCTCGCCCGTGAATGATGTCGTAATCCACCCCAATCAAGCTGAGATTATCAGCTGCGACCGCAGCGGTAGCATCAGACTCTGGGACCTGACGGAGAATATCTGCGCTCACCAACTGATACCCGAAGAAGACGTGTCAGTGTCAGGAGTGACTGTGGCAGCAGATGGTTCTTTGCTTTGCGCTGCAAATCACACCGTACGTATCTTCCATCCCAAAACTATGTATTGGTGGCAGAGGCTAATACCCCCCAGGGCAATGTTTACGTCTGGCAGCTGATTCAAGCTTTTGACCGCACCCAGCTGGTCCCTATCACGCACTTTTCAGCACATAGGCACTACATTACTCGAATCCTTCTTTCTCCCGATGTCAAGAAGTTGGCAACTTGCAGCGCAGACCACACCGCCAAGATATGGGAAGTGATAGATATGGAGCCTGCGGGACCCGATAATTCTGAGCCGAGACCATTCCCTCTTGAGGCCACGCTGACAGGCCATCAGCGCTGGGTGTGGGATTGCGCTTTTAGTGCCGATAGCGCCTACCTTGTTACAGTATGCAGCGATCACTATGCCCGTCTGTGGGAGCTCTCGAGCCAACAAATCATTCGGCAATATAGCGGTCATCACCGTGGTGCTGTCTGTGTCGCCTTGAATGACTACTCTGAGGCCCGGTAGGAATGAGTCCTCGGATGCATAGTGGCATAAACGGACAGCAGCCAGGTCACAAACGTGCCTGAAGCTTGGTTCTCGAAGAGCTTGCGCCGACGCCAGACACACTCATCCAATCCCTTTGCCAGGCTCCTGGCCCTAAATGAGGACAAATGCCTGCACATCATCGCATTAGGCATGCTGTCAGTCTCAAGCCGTGATAGAATCTCATATCCTCAACGTTCTCTGGATTCCTCTCTTCCACTAGCCCTGTTTCTGTCAGGGGGAGAGTTGGAATATCAGTTAGGCACCTGGGGCTCACTCCTAGCCGCATGTGAGCTGTCCAGGCGATCCTTCTGGCTTAGAGGCGATGAGCGGGCTGAGGGGGTAACGCTCGACTACAGTTTTTGAGGCCAATGTTTTGTCTTGGATGGTCAGATACTGGTCGAGGGTATTCGTATCTCTTTGAGTATCTGGGCGTTTGGATGGGTGTGTTAGCGTTGGATTACCTCGCTAGCGAATCCTTGGCCGGACTTGTGGTTAATGATCTTTTCTCTCTTTACCAGATGGCTGGGAGTAATGGCGGACTGGTGATGACGAACGACTAATGGAGCACGATCTTGATGGGATTGATGTCTTCTAATGAAGGATACCACGGCTTAATAATGGATGGTAGTCACCTAATGGAGTGCTTTAGGCGAAATGAATACTGTATGGCTTTGATCCTCCTTCTCTGGATCAAGTTCCTAGAACTTACATCAACAATATCGCTGTATGCGCATATTTGACCTTCGCTTACGTCGGAGTCGTCATAATCCTGACTTATGACAGTTCGAGCAACGGCTTGTGAACTTAATGAGAAGCCATAGAACTCAATCCACCACGAAAACTTCATTTATTTGCCAAGGTATCTACCAATGTGTCTATAACCCCGCAACTCCAATATCCGGACTCCTTCTATCACGCTAGCCAAGGGGGTTGCCTCGTCTAAATACACAACGAAACCTCATCATCTTTCGTGCCTCTACCAACCACCCCACCCCTCGTCATCATCCAACGACTCATCCTTCGGCTTCATATCAATTTTCTTCGCCACAACAGGTTTGCTTTTTGCTCCTGCCATGCTGGTCGTCTTCGCGCTCACAATGGTAGTCGTTGGCTTCTTGGCACCAGCACTGGAAGCAGCAAGAGAAGAGCTCTTCGCTAACCCCTTCGGTAACACCTTCCCCTGCTTCTTCTTCTCTGCTTGTGCAGCAAGCCAGCCCGCGAAGTCGGGCTCACCGCCGTCATCGAAGGGAGTTGCCGAGATTTTGGTGCTTGTTGGCTTGGGCTTGGATTTGGCGGCCCAGGGGTCTTCGTCTGTTTCTTGCTGGTTATTGGCGTCGTTATTATCGTCATCATAGATGTCATCCATGCTACCCCATGCGTCGGCGCCGTCAAAGTCTTCTTCAGGCGGAGGGGAGAAGGCCGATTCCTTTGCTGACGGTGAAGAGGTTGGGGCTGAGGGGGTTGGGGATCTGAGGTTTCGGTGATGAGTGTTTGCGGTAGATGAGGTAGAAGGAGATGTCGTAGGACACGTGGCAGGTTTAGATGGTTGTGTGGATAACGGCCCATTGGACTTGGATGCTGCTGAAGCTGACTGGATATCCCCTGCTGCAGCAGAAAGCTTGTTCGTGAATGATGAGATAGCCCAGCCAGCCCACGATGCTGCGGACGAGATATCCGGCTGTGGGGTGCTCATCCTGGGAGTGGCGCCGGCATTCGATGCCGCAGTTTCTGACGGGAGCGCGGTCTCCGGCATGTTAGCCGCAGCTTTGCGCACTTTTGCCAGATAGACTTCGATGGTCTTGTTTGCCTGGTCTCTGACAAGCTTTTCCTTGTCGATGAGAGAAGGGCAGACCGCGGGAAGGATACGGACAGCACAATCCTCTTCCGTGAAGTACTCCGCTGTGACGGCAAGTGCCATTAAAGCAGCGTTTCTGGCGTGCACGAAGGGATCGCGAAGTGAGCGGGTGAAGGCAGCAATCAGCACCTTGGATCTTGACGAGTTACCCAAGTATTTGGCGATCTTGCCGAGACAAATGGTCGTGTTGGTGCGGATGCCTGGTTGCTCATCGTTGGCAGTCTTTGCCAGATACTTCAAGAGCTCTCCGTTGACGGTTCTTTCAGAGAGCTTCGGGATGAAAGTGAGAACTGATTTCAACGTTTGTTCTCTTACAACTGGCTCGACATCCATGAATCCGGTGACCTGATCTAGGTTAGCATAGGATACCCTTATAACCGCCGTTTATGCCGGAAAACAAACTTACAGCTTGAGGCCAAATCTTATCATTCACGACCTTTGGCGAGAGGCGATCGATCATTTGGGGCAGGTGGTCTAACAAGCAAACCCGGATAGCGCGGTCGGGATTTCCAAACAGCCGAATCACAACAGGGGCGACCTTTGCATCAAAGTCGTCACTTGACAACTTAGTTGCGACCTTCATGACCAAGCTAAAAGCTTTTGGGCCACCGCCGCCGAATTCGACTGATTTCAATAACTCGGGCAAGATCTTCATCTTGAAAAACTCCTCCGGGAAGTCATCGCTTAGATGCTCCAGGTCACTGTCAACTAGTTAGCATACCTCACTCCCGGGCACCGAGAGAAATCAAACACGTACTCCAAGAAGGCATCTCGTTCTTCCTCAGACTTTATGCCGAGGTTTTCGATGCCATCTGTTACTTTGATTAAGGGGGTGTCGAAGAATGAGCCATTCTTCCGGCCTTGTTCCAAGAAGTGAGCAACGCTTAATCGAACCTTTGGATTAGCATTCGCCAAGCGTTTATAGCTGGAGTGCATGCTAGGTGGAATATTTTTGGTCTGGCCGGCCTGGTCACTCCCGCTGAAGGTGCCATTAAAGACCTCGAAGATGAGAGCAGCGAAGTCCCAAGCATCTACAGCTGAGTGCGGATTGCGTTTGATGGCATCCCAGCCTGACTTGGCCAATTCAGGGGGAGTATAACGTCCTGAGTCGGGCAAGAGGCTGCCATAGGTCTACAATGTGGTTAGTCTTGAGTCGGCAGGTTTATTGATCATGGTAGGGGATGGGCAGCATACATATATGACTGCCTCGTCATCCTTAATATTGCTGAGCACCTCAAAGCCGCCGAGTTTCCATTCGCCGCTTTCTGTTGTGTAGATTGACGCAACCTTCAAGTTTCCATGGACGGACGAGGCTTCGTCATTAATGAACTTTACTGTTCTCTGCAGATCTGTGTTAGCCGAAATGCTTCGTGCCCACGATCAGAACGTCAATCCCAGGGCAACTGACCGCAATGTTGTAGAGACCCCATCTCGCCGTCTCAGGAGTCAAGCTCTTCCTCTTCACATGCCAGCGCAAAGGGACCAGCCTCTCCGTAGCAATGTAGATGTATGAATCTGTCTTTCGGGCATATCAGCCCCCGGCACATGCCCACTCTTTTCAGCAGTCCCCATACCTCAACTGTATCTAGCACCCTAATTACACCGGGATGGCGCAATGTTCGGAGTTTCTTGAGAGCGTTCTTGGCTAGGGGGAGAGCGGAACGGTTTGAAGAGACCTCGAAGGAGAAGATGCTGCAAGGAGAACCGTCTTCCTGTGAGGAGACTTTGGTCAGAGCCAGGTCATACAAATCCCAAGGCTATATATGTCGATACTGGAGACGTATTTGGCGGCGTACTCGTTTTGTTCCGTTGTAAAGGGTCCAAATGGAGGGGTCCATATCAACCTTGTCGCCAAAGGTGTATGGGAAAGGGGGGCCTTTGGCGGCAATGGCAGATGCGACAGCTGATTTCAGGAAATCCATGGTGGGCGTGCGGTCGCTGACTTGATATCCCGGGTCGCGTACAATTCAACGTCTCGATCCAGGGGCAGCAGTTTGCCAACTACTACTTGGCACTGCTGGATCACGCTCTATGAACGTGTTCGTCTCGCACCTCGCGTTGTCCTTGCTGGCAACGCTGTATGGATGACCTTATCGCGAAGTGCTTCACTGGCAGGGGTTCAAGACGCTAGCCAAGAAAAGCAGGCGGGGAGACGTCGCCGATGCAGGCATCAAAAACACGGTCCGCATCGAGGCACGTGAGTGCTGGTGCACGGATCAGAGGATCCTGGCTGCAGGTGCCCCACTGCAATGGATCTACCCAGTGGACTTGATGGCTCTGACGATTTGGCGCCGGCCTCGCGATTCCTTCCCCACGTTTTCTTTGCCTTCTGCTTGTCTACCTGCGCCTTGCCTGCGGTCCCCGGCCTTTAATTGCAACCTTCACCTTGGTGACCGATGCGGATTGATTGTGGCACAGCTTTCAAGCCCAAGTCTGCAATTGTTTATAAGTTTATGGTAGGGCCAGTAAGGCTACCGAGTTCCCAAGGCCTCGGGGCGCAGGTTCTTGTTTATGGCCGACGACTCGGCGAGCGCAGAGCGGCTGCAAACAGACTGGTGTTAGCCGTGCAGCCTTACTCATACAGTCCGGACTATCTTTACATCCAATAGGTGAGTGCCTATTCGCCTCATCTTACATCTCATTCCTGCTCTCTCAAAGTTCATTTTGGGTGTCGATGATGAGCAACGGTAAAAGGTCAGACAGCTATACAATATCTGGCTCTTCTGGTTTTGCGATTCAACATGGCCCAGCTCATCAGCGGCGCCTTGGCGCGTCCACTTGACGATTTGTCAGTCGGCAACTCACTGCATGCCGCCTTAAGGACGTAGGCTGCATGAAAAGAGGGTTGGAGATAGCAATGTTGATAACGGTTTGTTTTCAACGCTGCCACTTCCCGGAGGCCTGGCATTCGACTCAATGGAGACCAGGTACAAAAGGCCGTGGCAGACATCACTTCTTGTATAGCTGGCCGTGGAGAATCACGAAGCCGCTGTGGCTCAGCTGTGTGATGACCACTGAAAAGACCTGAGACACCTTTTCCTACGCAAACATCGTAGCTGTTTGAAAACCAAATGTACTGTCCCTCAACATTTCGCTAATACACTCAATTTCAGTCGCAGGATCCCCTCATTTCAAAGCATATGCAAGTCTGTGACAAGGACTAATAATGCCCCGGTGTAAGCGGTGCAAAGGGGGAGCACACAATCGACTGGCCGCTCTTCGAATGTACCTGTTGCCATAGCTATTATCATTCTGCATGCCATCGGCCTCATCCAGACGAGTCCATGTAGGTGTTATTTCATCTTGTTTTCCTTCCGTCCAAGACTCAAAGTATATCCTACATTTCGTTTTGTTCTATCCCAACACATCACCTTAGTTTTATTCCCGTTATTTCCATCATGTGTTCTCATTGCCACATCAATTGATTCCTATGTACCATATCCACAACTCAAAAGTGTATAAATGTCTAGCTCTTGGGCTGCCAGCATATTACCAGAAGGGCCTACTTTTAGTCTCAATCTACATTTGCCCAAACCCTGCTTTTGCTACCCACCCCATAAAATTGGAGAAGCCCTATATTCAACGCACGATGTCCAATAAACCTATATAGAGGCATCTCCCCCTTTCTTATACCCCCACGTGTACAGAGCGTTTAGTCTGCCGTACCCAGCCCCTTTACAGAAACCCTTACCCAAGATTTTATCCGTGCACCTGCCTGGCTTTACATCTCATCACTACCCAACCTTCTTTACTCTTTCCTTTCGTTAACGTTTGCACTTGTCAGTTGACACCCGCGGTTTTATTCAGATCCCCCCTCCCCATATACACCGCCTCTCACCTGCGATTTCTCGACTGTTTTCTCACCTCCAACATTGTTGGCGTAAAGCCCGCTGACGCAAAATAATCAGAACCAATTGGGTCTGCAAGCGCTGTCTTGCGCAAGACCGCGGGGCTAAGAGACCGTTGCGGTATCGGTACAATGACAGCAGCTCGAGCGCATGGTCCTCACAGACCTCGCGGAGCACTTCTCCAAGCGGCACGAGCCTTGCAGCAACCCTGGACAATCGCCTACATTCCGCCCAGCCCGTTGCTATGATGGCTGCCACCGCCACAGCTGCGGCTAGCCAACCCTCAACTCTCAGCAATGGCAGAGCCAATGCCCCTGCTCCTGCTCTCTCTTCGAGCGCACCATCTCCATTCCTTGCTCAGCGCAACCCCTTCAATAATGCCGCCATTATCTCATGCTCCTATCCAGGGTGCGTCAGGCGGATCGATGGGAATTCCACTCCTTTGTGTGAGGATCACTTGCCAAAAACGGTAGCCGAGAATGGGCAGCGCCGTGACTCCATTCTCTCGAACTTCTCAAGCGGCACACAAGGCTCTCCACCGCCCGTGGGTAGAACCAGCACTACATCTCGGTCCCCTCCTCCAGCTTCTCCAAACCCCAAGAAGTTACTCTTGTCGGAAGGCAGGAGGCCAATCATGAGACGGAAGACAGCAGGTGGCTGGACACCCAACTTCATACACCAGCAGCCAACTCCCAGCAACAGTGCACCTCCATCTCGCCCTGGGAGTGAGTCTCAATCAACACACGCTTTTTCTTTACCGAAAGCTTTAGGGCTTCGTCCGCAGGTCCACTCACCCCCTGCTAGCCCGCGTTCTCCAGATGGCGAGCCCTCGAGAAAACGGCAAAAAATCATGTCAACGCCACAAAGGATAGCACCAGAAGCAATGTTGAGCAGAGATTATGAACAGAAGCCGTCACCTTCCAGGATGATTCAAGAGCCCAAATCAGTTGCTCGGTCTGTCAGCCCAAAAGCTAGTCGTCGAGCATCCGCCCAATCACCAGGAGTTGATAAAGCTCGAGAGGCTGAAGTCACACAGGTCCCAAAGCAAAAGGCTAAGGAGGGCCTGCGGATAGCGCCCCTCACTCTGGCTAGTGTAAAGTTTCTGGACAGTTCCCAGGTTCCTACATCAACATCACACTCCTCTGGAGAGCTCGAGCTCGGAGTGAACGAGAGTCCTCTCAAGCAACACGACAAGTTGACCTCTGGTCCTTCCCTTAATGAGGGAATCAAAGGTTATTGGAATGAGAAGGTCAACAGTGGCGCTGATCCATTGCGCTCTACTTCCAAGCTTTCCGTTCTTCTCAATGGACAAGGCAAAAAACCGTTGCTTGAGCGGATTGGCTCGACGAGCTCATCCTCTCGAGAAGTCAATGACAAATCGCTTGACGGCTTGCCACAGACGTTACATTTCCCTTTTCCTGAACCACACCCGTCCCCTGGGATGATTAAGTTCCAACCGAAGGGTCAAACAGAACCGAGAACAATAGATGTCGAGCTCTTTGACTCCCTCATATACTCACAAGAAGGCGCCTCTTCACCACCGCCCGGCGTTAAACTACGGAAGATAGATCAATCTTCATCCTCGAGCTGCAGCCAACAACCCTCCTCCCAGACTAAAACCTCAACAAAGCGACCTCTCAAGACCGAAGACCAAGACGAACCTTATTACGCCCCAATCGACCCCCGCATCCACTGGCCTCAGCGCCATTCCGAGGACTGGCTCCTCGCCAAGAAAGAGGAGATTGCCCGACGTCCGGGGCGTAAAGCCAACTTCGGCCGCGCCGCCGATTCTTTGCGTGCACGTCTCCGTGAGCAACAGGAGCAGGCTGGGAATGATGCTGGTCGAGCATGGCTTAACACACTGCCGGAGAAGATCGCGGCAAACCCTGCTTGGGTGAGGGCGTTGAGATGGTTGGAGGGGTTGCCCCCCCTATTAGAAGGGGAATGTTTTGGTGAGGGTGAGGGAAAGAGTGCAGGCGCCGAGGGAGAAAAGCAGCCAAGTGCGAGAGGAGGAAAGGGAGGGAAGAGAGGGGGTATGGGTAGGAGGAGGAGGAGGGGGAGCTCGAGCAGCCGGAATGGGAATGGGAAAGGAAGTGGCGTGGTTAATGGGACGTGAAGTCAATGGTGGTCAAGAAGGTGTGGATGGCTTCATTAAGACGTAAGGCGTATTTTATCGCATATGGTACATATGGATTTTCATCTTCTGGGAAAGGAGGGTTTCGATAGTGTTTATACATCTGTTTTTGGACCGGGAGTTCTGTCAAGAGGGGAAAAGGAGGGAAGGATGCCATGGGCTGGAGTATCCGGAATGTTGGTAATATATAAGGCTGGATGAAAGTTTGGGCGGGCGACCTGGCCATGGGTTGATTCGGGGTTTCTACCGGGCAGAAAGGGGTTTGAATGCATGCCCTGGCGCCGTCGGAGTATCAGGTATATTAGCTCCTAATTCAAGAGGAAGCTAACGAAAATACGTTGATATTTTATTTGATAATCTACTGTTGGAAGCGTGTTTTCAGCCATCTCGGTCTGTAGTCTCAAATGCGTAGTGGCAAAGCATCCCTCTTCTCAAATCTATACACCCCTACAGAACTGAGCCGGAACAGAGCAAGTTTACCAGTTACAAGCTGTCACGTCCCTTCGCCGTCCTCAGACCGAGTCTGAATTCCATTCTCAGGCATCGGACCCCACTGCCTACCCTCCAGAGACCACACCGACCACCCCTGACAACTTTCCCTCTTCGCACCTTCGAGAGAATATATGTTACTTCCAGCGCTGCTCCTCCCAACAACCAGCCCCTCCTACTTGGCCAAACGGTCAAGTGGTACGGTACGTCGTCCGCCTCGAGGAAGCTGGAATTCCAAAGGGCCCAAGCGAACAGAGGGACCGATTGTTCTTGTGCTAATTTCTTGCGGATATTCTTGTTTCCTTTCTGTTGGAAACGGTCAGTAATGAGATCTTCAGTTCGGGGAGGAAGAGATGGTTGGCAAAGGAGAGTTGAGATGACAGTTGAGGATTTGTGACTTGTCTTTCCCAGTGGGCGGTGTTTTGACTTCATTCCATCCGTCGCTTTTGCAAGGAATGGTAGGTGAGGTTTATGATGTTTTCCATACTCACAGAGATTAGAGACAAAGGCGAAGGGTATATGCAGTTTTGATTCTACACACAGTCTGCCTACCAGCTCTATCCGCATGTATGTACATTAAATCCGTTTTGTTAGGTATCCCCGCCAACAATTTCAATGTGTTAGTAAACCAGATTTGCCCGCTTGACTCGATCAGATCATTCATGGAAGAACCACCCTCCTTAACTTCACATCCCCTCTGCACTCCTTGCTCAGTTCAGCGCCGCGTTCTTCGCCAACAGATTTAGCGCGCTACCAGCCAGGATAAATTTAGCTTGGTCCTCGCTGACCTGGTGCTTAACAGGGATCTCAAACACCTCGCCCGTCTTATGCTTCGTCACGCGCAGCTTGACATCACCCTTGCCGCCATTCTGTAGCATCTCATACAACCCAATGGTATCGACGATATCACCCGCCCCAATCCTCTCATAATCCCGATCGGGCTCCTCAAAAGTAAGCGGCACCACACCCTGCTTCTTGAGATTCGTCTCGTGAATGCGCGCAAAGCTCTTGCACACGATCACCCTGGCACCCAAGTACCTCGGCTGCAGGGCGGCATGCTCACGGGCGGAGCCCTCGCCATAGTTATGCTCAGCGACGACGAGCCATGCCTGGCCACGCTCCTTCCACAAGCGGGCCAGCTCGGGAATCGTGTACTTCCTGCCGTCGAGCGGATGGTCGTAGGCGGCGTTCACTTCACCCGTTTCGGCGTTGACGGCCGTGTTGAGCGTATTGGCGCTGATATTGGGCAGGTGGCCCTTATACTTGAGCCAGGGGCCAGCCGCGGAAATGGTGTCGGTGGTGCACTTGCCGGATACCTTGACCAGTACGCGCAGGCCGGTCAGGTCGCCGGCCGGGAAGGGGTCGAAGGGCTCGAGGAGAGCGAGACGCTCTGAGCTGGGGGAGATGGCGACCGGAACGGAAGGATCAGGGGGGTTAGAGGCAACACGGAAGGTCTCGCGGCCTTGGGAGAAGGGCGTCTCGGGGCCCTCCTTGCCGCGTGGGGACGGGAAACGGAACTCCTTGCCGTCGGGAGTGGTGATGGTGTCGGTGATGGGGTTGAAGGTCGTCGAGCCGGCGTAGGCCATGGCGGTGACGATCTCAGGTGAAGCCAGGAAATTCAAGGTGGCTGGGTTACCGTCGTTGCGGCCACGGAAATTGCGGTTGTAGGAGGTCAGGATGGCGTTGGGTGTGCCCTTTTCAATGCCGTCATGGCGCTTCCACTGACCAATGCAAGGACCGCAAGCATTAGATAGGAGGATACCGCCGGCCTTGTTGAATGTCTCGAGGGTGCCGTCGCGCTCGAGGGTCGAGCGAATTTGCTCACTGCCAGGGGTAATGTAGAAGTCGGCCTTGGGCTTGAGGCCAGCCTCGTGGGCAGCCCGCACGATGCTTTCGACCTTGGTCATATCCTCGTACGAGCTATTGGTGCAGCTGCCGATGAGGCCAGCAGAGAGTTTCTCGGGCCAGCCCTCCTTCTGAACAGTCTCTTTAAACTTGGATAGAGGAATGGCCAGATCAGGGGTGAAGGGACCATTAAGGTGAGGCTCAAGCTTGGACAGATCGATCTCGATAAGTTCGTCATATTGAGCGCCCTCATCGGCTTTAAAGCGGAAGTAGGCATCCTCGGCCGCACCGGCGCCGGGCCAGGTCTGGAAGAGAGCAGCATCCTTGGCAGCCTGCTCGCGGCGGGTCGCCTTCAAGTAGCGGGCCGAAGCCTCAGTGAAGGGGAAGATAGAGGTGGTCGCGCCAATTTCAGCACCCATATTGCAGACGGTGGCCATGCCAGTCAAGCTGAGAGTCTCGACACCAGGGCCGAAGTACTCAACAATGTAGCCGGTGCCACCGCGCACAGTCAAGAGACCAGCCAGGTGCAGGATCAAGTCCTTGGGAGAGACCCAATCATTGAGCTGGCCAGTGAGTCTGACACCCAGAATCTTGGGGGCTTTCAGCTCCCAGGGGGCACCAACGAGAGCCTCGACGGCGTCGGCACCACCAACACCAATGGTGATAGTGCAGAGGCCACCAGCATTGGGGGAGTGGCTGTCGGTGCCCAGCATCATCATGCCGGGGAGGGCATAGTTCTCAAGGACAGTCTGGTGAATTATACCGGCACCAGGAGGCCAGAAGTCGATACCGTAGCGTTTCGCCGACGACTCAAGGAAGTCGAAGACCTCCTGGTTCGTGTTGATACCCGCTGCCAGATCCTCTTCAGCACCGCGTTCGCCAATGATCAGGTGGTCGCAGTGAATGCTGGCGGGGATGGCGGTGCGGGGCACATTGCAGGATATGAACTGCAGAAGAGCCATCTGGGCCGAAGCATCCTGCATATTGACGCGGTCCGGGCGCAACTTGAGGTTGGCCTTGCCGCGGATATCCTTGCCGTTGTTGGTATTGCTGAGCAACGACTCCTCTACATTGTCCAGATGGCTGTAGAGGATCTTTTCGGCTAGCGTCAGGCGCTGGGCGCCCAAGACACGGCGCACTTCCGAATACTTGCTGTAGAGCTTCTCATATGTTGGGGGCAGCGTGCCATTGGGGCTGGCGCTGGAGTATGGTCGCGTGCTTACGGCAACACGGCGAAGTTGTTGGGCTTGGAAGGCCCTCTGGACGTGTAAGTGGTCAGCTCTTTGTCCCTTAGTTCAACAGCGTTGCGATGAGTGTTACTGGCGCTTGGAAATAGGCTGGTCACGTCGACTTACCCTCAGGGCGGCGCCTGACCGACCGACAAGCTCGATTGGCCTCATTTTGACTGTCCCGGCCTATGGAATAGCAAGTTGGCGGGGTTTGCAGACGCAGGAGAAGCATCAGAAAAAATATCAGTTGCGCCATCTCGTCCCTCTCGGTTTCAGGGGTCCGATTGCGGACCCGAATCTGGGGATCTGGGGTTGAGCCCCACCCCTGAGCAGCAATAATCAGCACTGTGTTTCGATGTTTGCTGGTGACAGTTCAGTGTTTCTAGAGGACTAAGCCATTGGATCTTCTGTGGATATATTGAACAAAAAATGACTGCATATGTTTTCTGCAAGTTATGTATAATGAAACCAAGGAAGAAAAGTCTTGTGGCATGATATATACTGTCAAGCTTCCCTCGAGGGTACCTGAGGAGACAGTAAGAGAGAAGGCGGCAGCACTGTTGATCATGGAACCCATCGCCCGGAGATTCGACTAAGAGACCAATCATCGCCCTGTCAATGTTAAGCATCATTTGGCTCGATCCAATCGTGCATGAAGGCGATCGACAGCCAGCCTTTGATTGATTTGTTGGGAAATGTCGAAACGAGTCTGAGCTAGATGCTTTTGTGGAACTGCTTCAATCATCTAGGTACTTGTTTGTATGCTCGGTATTACTCCTCAACCAGTTAGTTTCTACTTACACCGAGACAAACTGGTCTCAAAGTAACGAATTTACGAACACAACATGATTAGGGACTCTGATCAATCCCCTCGCCTTCAGTTTGGAACAGCTGGCTTCTACTGGACGAAAAACTCTATCAAGTTTGGACTATCAAAATGTCAGGTTAAACTCACATGGATTCACACAACGAAGTACTTTACTCTTGTTCTCAGAGACCGTTGAGAACGTTAAGGTAAGAAAAAAAACATCCCCTCTCCATAACGCTCAACCTAGCCTAGCAAAATCAAAGCAAAATATGCCCAGCAAATGATAGCTCCCTAACTCCCAAGCCAAAACAACGCCTGCGTGATTAGGAATCTGGTTGTGTCCATCATCCCCAAGCTCCATGATGCAATGCGAAGCAAACTGTTGAGAAGAGCAATCAAGCGAGCAAGGCAAAATCTCCAATCAGATCCCTACGCCTGAACGATCCTAAGAGGTCTTCAACCTCTTCGAGTCTGGCCCCTCGCTCTTCACCTCTGTACCAGCATTGGCCGTATCACCCGGTGACATTCTTCCACCAGCTCCCCCTCCCCCTCCACCTGCTCCGTTACCGCTCCCAGCTCCGTTGATGCCAGCTGATGTCCCATCAGGATTTTTTTTCGTTGGTGGCCGGAACTGTGAACGGTTGGCCAGCGGGCTCTGAGAGGCTTGCGGCGCACCTATCTTCCTTGCCTGCTCCATATGCGGGTGGACAATATTGGGAGGGACGCGAGACACTGGAGGGCGTCCTACCCCTGACTGAAATTGATTTGGTGGACGTGCTTGTTGTGGTGGCCCCCCTGGCCCCCCTGATTTATTACTCGCGACTCCATTTGGGCCGGGCTTGGTCTCGGTCCCAGACCTGGCATCCTGAGCTTCATCCAGTTCCTCGTCAGTATACTTTCTCTTCGGGGCAACATGCGTTCCCAACTTGGATACAGGTTTCGATTTTGTGTGATCTATGCCGGGGGTTTTTGGAATAGACGGACTGTCGAAGTAAGGATTGAATGCTTGGCCTTCCTTCGGAGCCAAAATTCCGCTAATAACGGCTTCCTCAGGAATGTCTTTCAAGGCTTTTGCTGAGAAGAACCCGGGTGCTTCATCAGAAGGTGGTGCTACCGCCGGGGGAGGTCCAGGTGGAGGAGCTGGTGCAGTATGATTGGCCGGTTTTTGATTGTTGGCAGTTCCATTTCCGGGAGCAGATGGTCTATTCTGATTGAACTGTTGCTGGGCGAAGTGCTGCTGTGGCCGTGGAGGTCCTGCAGGCCCACGATTCTGTCCAACTCCCGGGAAGGCATTCGGGTGTTGTGGTCGTGGTTGCTGTTGTATGGGTGTGTGTGGTGGCTGTTGCCGCGGCAGATTGCCTGCTGACCCTGACCGCGTAAGAGGTTGAGCCGGTTGGTTTGTCGCGTTGTTGGCGATTGGCTCACTTTTTGCGTTACTGGCGCCGTTGAATTGGGATGTATCGGCAGCTGAATTTGTGTTCGGCAAAACGACCCAGTCGGGATGACCGTCATCGGTGATGTTAAAATCGGCCTCATCCAACTCTCCGAGAAAGTCATCATCGAATGCATCCTCGGCCACCAATTGAGCAGGCTGGAGTGGACCATTGTTCTCCGTTGCCTTCGGGGGCTCTGGCTCGACAGGCCCCTTTTTTACATAATCTGGGTGACGATGCAGATTGCTCTCATCGAACTTAGCTGGTTGTACTTTCATCCTTGTAACCTTCTCCAGGTACGACTTGTCGTAGATGCAATTGCCCAGGACATTGCCAAAGTGCCGTAGTGCCCGCTTGAGAGCATCCGTGGTGCCTTCTTTTTTGGCCTTTTCGAATGCAGTCGCCTTTCCCTTGCAGTTCTCGATGTGGCCGTACCCCAGGTCTTCATGGTATGTCCCATCACGCAGAGTGACACGCACGATGACAGATAGGCCCAAACTGATCCTCAACGTCTTTGGATCCTCATCTACGAAGTCGACCTGGATGTTCTGAATGCTCGAGGACCACCCATTAAAGCCAAAAACCTCATTGGCAAGAGTGATGCACTTTTCAGCGGTAATGTAGTGTACCTTTTGTCCACCAGGGCCGGCGCGTGTCGATATGTATTCGGGACCAAGTTGCTTATCGAGCCGGCTCTGTAGGGTTGCAATCTCTTGGGCCGTGTACTCAGATATCCGTTGTTGAGGTTCAGCAAAGGGATTGACAACATAAGTGTGCTGGTCGCCGGGACTGTGTGATGTTTGTTAGCATCATGTTATCGAAGGTGAAGGAAGGAACATTGCGATGAGGATTGAGTGTTTGGAAATCATACGCGGGCATCTTGAGCGAATCTAGAATCGCTTTTCGCTCATTTACTTGTCTTTAGCAGATCAAATTATAGAATATTTTGTGATTTTTAGTAGGTGTCTAGACCTTAAAGCGAATTTATGCAAACCGTCGGTTTACTTGGACAGTGGGCGAGCATTAAGAAAAGCAGGCACGACCATTGAACGAGAGACGCGCTTCGCGGTCCTCCCTCAGTCACGGTGGGGCACGTAGGCAACAGGCTGTCACGTGACTTATTGCCTGAACCCACGCGGCATTGCCCAATGTAGGTTCCATAGCGCAGAGCCATGGACCCCGCCAATCACAAAGTATCCAAAGAGGCTTTGGGACCCTGGGCAACAGAGAAGCTCAGGCGTCATCAATGTCAAAGCTAGAATGGGCCATTGCTCGATAAAATGATGGATGAAGTGTTAAATCCGGTTTGGGCCCTATTACTGGACCTCGTACAATATGACCAGATGTTGTTTCGATCGTCTATCAGACGCAAGCTGTATCCTGTACAAGATCCCTTCAAAATTCAGCTCCAGAACTCTAGAATTCCAAGTTGTTTCAAGCAGTCATCCAGCACAACCAAATTGAGACTTAATGACAATCACGACACAGAATGAATCTGGCATATCCAGATCCCTTGCTTTGTTTGCTTGCCTATTCGTACAGCCAGCGGCCTGGGTCGCGAAACTTTACCCATAGGTTGCATTAACCCTCCACCCTCTTATCTCCACTACGAGATGCAGGAACAGACACAGAATCGACGAGAAGCATGTAGATGGAGCGGGCTGGCTACGTGGCATAGCTTTCGGTTAAACGAACCGAGCTGTAGCCTAGAATCCCAGACAACACAACAGCGAAGCCACAACGAACAGTTCAGGCCAAGAACACATGCGGTTGTCGGGGAACTGACGAAGGTCAGGGCAAACGACGAGTTCACTACTTAAAAATCCGCGTAGGTAAACAGATAAAAATGGCTACTGATTCTACAAGATAATACATAAAATTTGTTTGCATCTTCCATTCAGAAGGAGGTTCCATAACTTAGGCAAAGATTTTCTGTAGACAAGGGCCAACCCTCCAAGGACACACTCTCTCAAAGACAACAAACACGACAGATGAAAGACGTACAAAACCTGAGCCCATGCCATGTATGTCATTGCCCAACCAGCCTATTGCTATATGAAGGGAGGGAAACGAGAGTACCATGTAAATGCGGAGAGGGCAGACTAAGATCTCGTCCCAACATAAGAAATGGCTTAATAATGAGGGATATCAGAATAATGATAAAAAAGTAAGAAAGAAAAGAGCAAAACGAGCAACAACGCCGTAGACATGACACCTTGTAAAAAGGAAATTGATCCCAGAATCTATGCCACCCTGACCACCCAACCAATGCCCCATTCGCACAACAAGATGAAAATAGCCATAATCATGCCCCAATCCCCCCTCTTCCTCCTAGCTCTTATTGCTTTTGCATCCTGAAAGGCACCACCTTTGCTCGCCCGTATAACCCGAGGTCATATTAATCCTCTTCCTCCTACCAGTAATTGCCGAGCTCTTATTACCATGGCCCAACGCGGACAGGCGAACCGTAAGTCCCGTTAAGAAGTTGGTTCAGGATTGAGCTTTGGTCGGACAGAGGAGCCGGGCTGCTCTGGTAGACATTCCCATTATTGTTCCCAATCCAACCAACATGAGTGACCAAAGCGTTCATGGCCAGTCCCAGCTTGCCGCCCGACCGCTGATTGTGCTTGGCAAGGCACTGATCCCAGCCAGCACTATGCAAAATGAAGCCACCACCACGCTTGGCCGCCTCCGTAATCGTCAAAGCCCAAGCATTCGAAATCTCGTCGTAGGCATTGTCCTTATGATGGTTGTACTGTTTGTTATCCCAGTCGGGCAGTTCGTGGATGATTTTTGTAGCGCCGTCGAGGAACTGAAAAGAGTGGTTGACCTGCTGCTCGATCGGTGGAAGGAACTGCGGAATGAAATCGGAGATGGCATCAGTCAGACTGATGAGGGCCTGCCTGACTCGGGAATAGGTGTAATCAGAACTTGATTCTCCGAAGGGGAACGCTGCGCGTAGCTTCTCTTGATACTCGCTAAGGACTTGAAGGGCGGCTTCAGGGGACGGTCGTTCTGCGGTCGTAACAATCTCGTAACTAATTTCGGGATGGCGCTCGCAGATCTTCTGCAAGACTTGGCGCAGTTGTGTAGTATTGAGGGTCTCGAGTAGGCGGTGTAACGGGAGAGGACGCCCAGTTATGTCGTTGATAGGCCTTGTTCTCTTCGGCGGCCTTGAGGCTAGTTGTCTCGAGATTGTTGGCGGCGAGTTCAGCGGCGAGACGGACATCTCGTCCTGGTCGTCATCGACCTTCCGCTTCCTGGAAGCCATGGCGATTTGGGACGCTGCAGACGGGTCAGAAAAAAGGCGACCCGAATTTCTCGCACGGTGAAGAAGAGCCCTTCTTCGATCCTTCTCATCATCGAGCGAGGAGGAGCGAGAGCAGGAGGCAAGCATACCAGAAAGAGGAGTTGGGCAGCGAGCTGCTTCGCGCTGATGGGGAAGAACAGGCGGCTGCGGCGATAGAAGGACGTTCATTGTTGTCAGAGATCGATCAAAGGCCGGTGGCCACGATGGGCTTCAGGGTCGAAAGTGCGAGAGGGAAATGCAGTTCTGGAGCAGTGTCGCCCAGGCAGGCGGGGCTTGGGAGTGTTGTGTCGCTGGGGTTACAGGAGTTGGTGGAAGAGTCAAGAGGTACAGGTCAAACCGGGCTGTGGATGAAGGGAAAAATGAGGGAGCGGAGGTGCTGCGGAGAGAAAGCAGCGATGCATCCAGGCGAACCCAGCTTCAAAGCTTGGCCTTGGCCGCCAGTCAGCGAGTGATGTGTGGTCGGAACACTCCTTTGCAAGTCAGTGGCCAGTGCTGCGTGGCGCCCGGTGGGGCAACTTGTGACCCAGCGCTGTTCCCAGGGGCGGCATGCTGGGGAGGCTAACCACAAATGGCAGTAAATTATCGCCTTTCTTTTTCCAGCACATCACTGTTGTCCATGTTCGTGGATTTCTCGCAGCGCATTGGGCAGACTTGGGCCTTTGGGTACCAACCGAAGCGGAGAGCTCTGTTGTCCAGGACAACATCATCAATGCCGCTGATTTTTCAAGCCACGAATCGATTTGGCTGCCGACAGCTTACTGTTCCTGGATGCAAACAGGCTCACATCCAATTGCAAGCTACCTGCAGTCGTCGGCGAGTAATTGTCCAGTCGTTGGGCAGCTCCAGACTAGCTAAGAGAATTTCGACCCCATTGTGCCAAGACCCCGTGAATTGTGCTCTGCGTGAACAGTACAGATTCGTAATGCTGTGCAGGCTGTTGGTAGTCCACTGCATGAAAAGACTTTTTTCCTGAGGGGGGAACAAAATGATATGCTTTTGATTGTTAACCTGAGCGCAAGTTTAATAGGTCTGACTGCGATCGAAACTAGCATATGTCTGTAAATATCGCATATTGAATTCGTCTCATAAAGATGCCTTTTCCATGTTCCGAAACTAACATCCATGCCCTCCCGTCATTGATAGCCGCGGGGTGGGTCATATCAGCCCCGCAATGACCAAAGGGGTTGGACAGTGTGCCTGGAGCGTGGCTCTTATCACTTATCGACAAGGAAATTTTCAAGCCTTGAAAGTTGTTTTACAAGCCTGTTCCAACAACCACGACCTTTGTTGTCTTCATGGCTAATGCAGATTAAAATTGAATTTCGGCATCATAATGGCGAACAAAGATGATGAGCTGATTCCTCAAGAGGAGCAACACCAAGCCACAACAACTGTCAAAAAGCGCAAGTCCGAACTTGCCGAAATCCAAGTCGACCTCTCTGCTCCTGAGCCCCCATCCAAGAAGGCCCGCCGTCTCCTCAAAAAGGGCAAGAAGTTACCTAAGAAGCAGAGCGAAAGCGGTGATGAAAACGAGGAACCGGCAGAAGACGGAAAAGCTGATGGTGTTGCTGATGACAAGAAGAAAAAGAAGGAACGTTCTCCTTATGGTGTTTGGATCGGAAACCTCCCATTCTCCGTCACCAAGGCCGATTTGCGGAAATGGCTGGTCGACAACTCTGGCGGTGTCATAACCGAAGATCTCATTACCCGTGTGCATATGCCAACCAACAAGCCCATGGCTGGGTCGAAGAGAACGTTTGAAAACAAGGGGTTCGCTTATGTCGACTTTGCAACCTACGAAGCTAACACAGCCGCTATTGCCCTCTCTGAAACAGAGCTTAACGGCAGAAGGCTTCTGATCAAAGATGCCAACAATTACGAAGGGAGGCCGAAGAAGGAGGAGCCTGAGGCTGCTGTGGCGAAGATTCCCGAGGGAAGGAGTAGCACAAAAATTTTCGTCGGCAACCTTGCCTTCAACACCACCGAGGATGACCTGTGGGCGCACTTTGAAAAATGTGGCAAGATTCGCTGGGTCAAGGTGGCTACATTTGAAGATTCTGGCAAGTGCAAGGGTTACGGCTGGGTGATGTTTGAGGAGCCTGAGGCAGCACAGTGGGCTGTCAAGGGGTTTGTTAAAATCCGCGAGACGGTTGAGACAGTTGAGGACTTCATGGATGGAGAGAGTAAGGCTGATGGCGACGGAGACACTGAGATGAAGGACGCCAAAGAAGACAGGGAAGAAGCTGGTTCAGAGGAAAATGCAGAAGATGGCGATGATGAGACGGACTCGAAGCCGGAAAAGCCAAAGAAGAAAGAGCTGAAGGAGCCACGCACCCGTATCCGTAAATGGTGGGTGAACCAATTGTTTGGGCGCAACCTGAAAGTCGAGCTGGCAGAGGACGATCAGACTCGGTACCAGAAGCGATTTGGTAAGGGAGCGAAGAAGAAGCAGAAGCAAGAAGTGTCGAAGAAGAGTACGAAGAGCGATACCAACGCTGCCAGCAAAGAGAAGGGCAGCAAGAGCAAGGAGTTGAAGGAAAAAACTACCAAGCAAGAGCCTAGCTACGCGACTGATATCAACGTTGCTAGGCTCACCGGCGCGGTGGTGGCGCCACAGGGCAAAAAAGTTAAGTTTGACGATTGAGACTGGGCGCCTTGTTCTGGCCTCTGTCGGATTGCTTGGCTGGGTTTTGTAGATAAGTACAATTTGCAGTCCTGGGGACAAACTAAGTGCTGGAGAACATCGCAATCCTGTTCTTATCTTCTTTTTGTATCTAATACCCTCATACCGCATCCATGAAACCTCGAACCAAGCAAATGCCCGTTGAAAATCGTTAAAAATGCCACTCCTAACTTTGGTTTGAAATAAATCAACGAAAAAAATTTTCCACGCGTAGTGGATAGGACCCGTGGGCAAAATTGTACGATGCTTGACAAGAGTGAGATTCGAACTCACGCCCCATTTCTGAGACCAGGAGGATCTTGAAGTGATAATTCAAGGGAATTCAGGTGGACCTGAACCTGGCGCCTTGGACCGCTCGGCCATCTTGCCGTAGATTGCTATAGCAGTGTAGCGGCAGAGGCAACATGATATTCTTTCCCCATCTGAACCTGAGCCAACACCATCTTACACCGGCATCTTCTAGTATCATAATGGTTATGCTGTAGACAACTCTGTACATGAACCGCCGGTCCAGTCATATCGGGCCGTTACTTGCATTATGTCGTACAGCATCTGTTTTGCGTGCCCAAAGCCATACATGGGTGATTAGGGCAGAAATAACTTGATAAGATTCAGAGCGGAAGTCGTCTTCTGAGCTATTGGAAGTAAGAGCTCCCAACGACCTCTCCGTCGTGAATGGGAGTAGCATCCGTTGGGTATGATATGGCATCCGATGCCCGGACTAAGGGAAACTTGTTCAGTGTGCAATACGGTAGTTCCTGGGGCCCTGGAGCATTATGATCCCGTATATCTCCCTCACTTCCGAGTTACTATTGGAAACGCATCTTGAAGCGCCGAAAGTCGGATTTTTGTGTTGGTTGAGGTGGCAGAGAACCAATCAAAGTTGGGAAGGCGCCCCAACGCGAGACGGCAATGCTGGCTGCCCTACAGAACAAGCCTGAGAACGGCAAACGGCGGCATCCTTCCAACGCAATAGGAGCGAACTCATCGCCAGTCTCAACCGAACTTTGTCTAACGCATAAGAGACAATCGATTGTCAGGCTCCTTTTTTATCTTGAGGGATGATAGGCGCCTCAATCACTTCCTCATCCAATAGTCCAGAAATAGGGTACCGACCAGAAAGCGCGATTGTGCTAATTTTTCCATGTTGCTGTCCAGATCTGACGCTTTTGCTATAGAGAAGACACAGAAGACACAAAAGAGGATTTAAACTGGCAGTTGCAACTGTGAAGATTGACTTCTGTATTTCTTGGCAGTTGACGGTTTATGTTCGTTTATATATTCATGATATTGGAAGCACATTCTCATGTTCAACGGGAGGTCTGCGTTTCCAAGATTCCCGTTGATGTCTATGAGAGGGGAGTGTGGCTGGTCTTGTTCTCTCTGCTCAGCGCAGACACCAACCCTCGGGCTTCTGGACTGCTTATGACACGCAGTGCGCAGCTTATCAGAATGATACAATTTGAGATAATGCATTGTGTGAGGAGTTGGCGTTGCTGAACCGAGACAACAAAAGTGAGAGCTTTCATCTCATCGAGTTTTCTATCCAACAAAACAGGCAGCCATAGAGTGTAAGTACGGGGTTGCGTAATAACAGCAGGGACTGGCTATTCGCACAGTAGCCACACACAGTGAACGTCACATTCTGTATAGTTTTTGGAGAAATTTGCACTGTGCAAGGTAACCCTACCGTCACCCTTCGACCCGATGCTACCTCAGCTTCCCCTCTGGCAGCAGCTGTCATGAGGTGGAAAAAGAGAAACGATACATGTGAATCTCAAGAATGAAGTTAAAGGCTTACTACGGACAGTTCTTCAAATCTGTCTCTGCTGCCCAAAGACTATGACGTCGTTGCTGGCCGCAGCAGTACACAGCGGCGGTCGTTTGTTACCCGATTTTGTAAGCCTTACGGAGTCATTACGTGGAGGGGCATGGTGTCCCCAGAAGCGAACAGTGGGCACACTTCGACAGCCCTGCCTGAGCTTTTGGATGGGATTTGGAACGTGCCTTGGCCTGCCACTCTGCGTGAACCTCAACTTTAGCTTATTGCTCCAACAGGTTCCAACGCTGCCCATCCGGATCGGAGCTGCGCTTCTGGGCTCTTTTTTTCTTGACCTCACGCTTGTGCGCGCCGGCTTTCCTCATCTCATCCCATTCCCCATCTCCTCCACATTTTATTCCTCTTCCCTTTCAGCCCCGACTGCACCCCGTCTGCCTGGCTTCTTGGCTGCTTGACCCAGCGCCGCTGGACGGTTTCCACCAACGGGCAGACTGTTACGGCCCAAATCTGCGAAGTTTTATCATCGTTATTATTATTATTATCCGCGTGGGGCGAATAGAAGCTGGGTGAGAGAGAGCTTAAGAACACGACAAACTGAGCAAACAAGAAGCTCGACAGTACGGAAGCCTTAGAGAGGGGCCAACCCGGCCAGCACCCGCCTGTCGTCTACCAACCCAGCAGAGAGGCTCAACGTCCTGCTCCACTGCCGCATGATCGAGCAAACCCGACGTCATCGCAGTTCCCTGCACCTGCAACCCTTCTCCTAAATTTTCCCGCCCAACTCGCTGCCGATCCGTCGCCAAACTTCCGCCATCGCACACAATGGCTGCCTCTGGTACTCAGCGTAAGAAACTCCTCGGCCATCGCCGCCGTATTGAGGATGAGGCCGATGACGACTGCGGCGTCGACTCCCCCGCCGACCTTGATGACGACTCGGTGACCGACGGTTCGATCGGTAGCGACGACCACGATCCTGTCGATGGCAGCGACACGAGCAATGTCGACGATGCGTCGCCCACCTCGCCCAACGCACGAAAATCTTTGGGTAACGGAAACGGCGCTGCAAAGGCCGGATATCGCCGTAACGGCAACGAGGACGACGTCAAGACGCCGCCCGCCGAGACTGCCCAGTCACCCAAACCACTCATCGCTGACTCCGACACCATGATGAGCCAGCTGACTCTGGGAAAGAAGGACGATACTGAGGTACTGCACTTTGATGACACTGAGCCGAAGCCAAAGCCCCCTGTAAAGGAGGCCCCGGTGATTGTAAGCTCCAGTGCTGCCACGCAGCGGCACCCTCAGCAAGAACTACAGCGGCGGAAGGACGAGGAGTATCGGCGGCGGAGGGAAGAGGATCCCACTTTTGTTCCCAACAGGGGCTCCTTCTTCCTGCACGACCACCGGCAGCTTGGTCCTGCCGGGAATGGCTTCCGGCGCTTTCCTGGAGGAGTTCGGGGTCGGGGTCGAGGCACGTTTGGCAACCACTTTGCCTCGCTCAAGTATGTCAAGTCCCATTTTGTCACTTTGCTCAGAAGGCCTCTATCGCGCCGCAGAATGCTAACATTTGCCTAGCCCAGTGTCTGGTGCTTCGGATCCCATTGTAACGGATCCGTGGAAGCACGACATGCACGAGATGGTTGCCGATTCTCTTCCTCAGCCGTCTCGACAAACTCGGTATCCCCCTGCTACTGAGGGGCCGCCGAATGGCAATGGCATCATCCCGACTGCACCTAAGCCCGAAACTCCGATCAACCGAGCCATGTCGACCGAGAAGGTCATCGGCACAGTGACCGTCCGGGTCTTTATTGCTGGCATGAGCGAGGCCAAGCTCTTCCCTGGTGTCACTTTGAAGCAGTACACCAAGCTGCCCGACCACCGGCCGCCTCTTCGTCGTGACAAGCCGGTTCGGATTTCCATACCCTATCATGATCCTCCCATCATGCCGCGGTACATTTTCCCGCACCAGGACCGGTCTTTTATCTTCATTCCGCGAGCCATGCGCCCTAACCAGCAACGTGCTCGGGCCAAGGCTCCTCGATCTGTCCTAGGCTCGGGAGTTTTCTCTCGTGCAGCGAGCGTTTTCGGCGGCAGCATCTACGGCAGTGTGTATTCACCCAGTGTGGCTCTTAGTCGTCGGTCTTCGATCGCCCCCGAGATTGGGAGGGAGGTGATGCTCTCACCTACTAGCTCTGCTATATCGCGCCCTCCACACTCGATGGAGGGTGGCCGCCCTGTTGTTCGTCTTCCCCAACCATCTGTTACTGCTGCTTCTGCTCCTCCCCAGCCGAGCGGCCCTGCGACGGCCCCAGCTCCCGCTGAGTCTTCTGTTAACGAGCAACCTCAATGTCAGACACACGCACTGCCTCCAAAGCCTATTCCTCAAGAGGCGCGACCAAACGTTCCTGTGCAGCAACCACGTCCTCAGAAGGCTGTCTCTGCGGAGAGCATCGAGACATCTGCTCAGCAGGCGTCAAATGCTCCTTCGCCCTATGAGCAAGCCTTCCATCAACAAGTCCCTCCTCAACTCACTACCGGCGGCTTTAGCCGCGACACACATGCTCAAACCGCATCTTTCCAGTCGCAACTCGCTGCTTCGAGTATTCCGGAGCGTGCCATCCATGCTGCTCCGTTCCAACCCGCTGGTTATGCCCAACCTGCACTCTACTCTCAACATACTTATGCGACTGTGCAGCCCCAACAGGGATTCTATTATCCCGCGCCGCAAACCTACACGACCAACATGCCCCCTAGCGCAGCCACAGCACCTGCATTCATCCCTGCCGCCCAGCAAGCCGCCACGGCTGCTGCTCAACCTCCAACCAATCCAGCTGACGTACCCGGCGGCCCGCCACCGCCTCTTCCTCCTCCTGGTCCTGCTCCTGGGCCGCAAAACCTCGTCGCCCAAGAGATTAATGGCATGGTCTACTACTACGATCCATCGCAGCTCCCAATGCCGCTGCCCCCTCCTCCACAGTTTGCCCCTGCAGCCCCGCCTGGCCAGGGCCCCCCTCCGGGTCCCTATGGTGCCCCCTACGGTGCTCCCCCGCCTGTAGGCATGGTGCCTGGCCCTGATGGGTACTATTACCAGCAAGGAGTGCCTGCCGTGCCGCCAACGGGAATGGTGTACTACCCCCAGTAGACAAGGGGGTGGCCTGTTCTTGGTAGCGGTGGCATCGGCGGAGGTGTGGGTAGCAGGGCTGGAATAATGCCGGTCATGTCGGTGCCAGTGATACCGATGCCGATGCAGACGCACATGCCGGTCTCGATGGTAGAGAAAGAAACGACTTTGTCAGAGGCCGCTCCGGTCGTGCCGGTAGCTATCTCGCCACCTACGCTAGCGTGACCACGATTTGGAGGTATACGATGATTTCTTGTACCATCACGCTTGGGTCTGCAAGAGATGACGTTTACGAGTTCCCTAGGTTTATGACCTACCTACCTTACCCCGCTGCTTCTTTTAGTCAGCGACGGGGAACACTTTGAAGTGGATGGGGCTTGTTCTCATTTCCCTCTTATTGCTCTCTTATTGCTATGGACGATGACAAATGGCCAGACGGATGAATGGTATGGATGGTCTGCATGGATGGCTATGGGTGGATAGCTTCTTTGGTCTTAACAACTTTCCTCACTTGCTATTGTCGTAACGAATGATGGAATGGATGGATCATTGGCTAGATTCGCTGCTTCTTCTGCGAAACAACTCTGTCATTTTTCTTCTCACGTCCTCTTTTATCATCTTACCTACATTGGGTTTTCTATTGGTTGACGATGCCTTCTTATGGATAGGAAAGGACATGGCCGTGAGTAATTTTTGTCAAGAAAAAGGGCTGCTTGTTTTTTTTGTTTTGCTTCTTTTCTTTCCCTAATGGAATTTCTCTTTTCTTACTCCCTAAGTTCTATACAGGTTGCCGGCGGGTTTTGGCATTTCAACTTCTCTTTTCGCTCGTTTTCATCCCGCTATTTTGAAAATTTTATCCTCGTCGCTTTCATCCGCTTCATTCATGAGCAATCCAAACTGATTCCCCGTCTGGTCAACTTCTTTCCCTTGCGTATTATCTGTTGCTGCCCCTTAGGATATCTCCATGGCCATTGGTTGCGTTTTGATAGCTCCGTGGCTGATTTGCTATTTTCTTCCATTTGCCTCTCATATTTTTATTCAATGGAGTCCGTTTGGTGCGGTTGGAGTTATGGGTATCTGCTTTTTGACTATTGTCTTATCTTGCCTTAAGATGCGGGACTGGAAGAGAAAAGAGAAATAAAAATAAAGGTTTGGACGGGATGGTTTTGTCTCTTTATCAGCTGTTTTTCTTTCTCTTGACGTGTTCTAGTTCCCCGTACGGTGGATGGGCGCATAGTCCAGGGAAGTGTGGTAAAGTGAAAAAGCAGGGTACCTTTATTTCCCAAATCCCTTGCTTCAGATTAGTGCCTCGGTGAAGTATTGGAAAGGGGTGTGTGCTAGGAGAGGAAACATGAGATGAGTGAGGATTCAGAGACTCCCGCAAAGGGGTAGGCTGGTGATCGCGTCGTCAGGGCAAGGTTTTCACACTTTGCCATTTCATTCGTTGTTGTCTAGTTCCCTTGGTGATTCATTCCTGAGTTTCCCACTTTGCTTGCCTTCCTGATTTTGCTGCATGGCGTCAACGGAGTCCAAGACCCCTTCGCGTTTGGGAATTCCACTTCTGCAGTTATTTCTTTTTTTTCCTTACCTATTTCCACAAGATTTTACCATTTGGGTTCCGAAGAGGGCGCGGTCTTGGTGAAAGGGGGCCATCCAAACAGACATAAGCGGCCGGCTGGGTAACCTAGATTTCACCTACACACCAGGTCATTGATTCTTTGGTTATGGAAGTATCAACATTAAGTGGTAGTTGAGCCCTAAAAGCAATTTTGTGTTGGATATCCAGTTCCCTAACGGTTGGTGACTTCTGTGTGCTTGATCATGCTTTCATTGCTTGGTGTTGGTGGCGCTGGTTTGGTTCCTCGGCCAACAAAACGACTTCGTCAGGTTGGCAGAGCCCTCGGTTCAGGGGTTGCCCGAGTTTTGAAACGGCGTGGCGAACCGGTGCTCCTCGACAGCAAGTTCGGTGACGCAAGACTACCGTACAGAATTTATGCTATTTTTGCAATTAACCTATCACCCGAAAGTTCTAATGATCTTTTAACGAAACTCTATCCCTACGTTACGCGTAGTGTTTGCTACAGAACCGTTACAAGCAGCTTGCGTAGCCGCGGGAAAGCGAGGGCTCCTTCATTTCAGGGGTTAGCGACAATATCTCCGTGGATTTACCGGTCTTACACCTGCCTTCCGTGGAGAAGAGGGCCCAGCGGCCATGTGGCCAGAACGGGTTTTTCCACCCTCGATACGAGTGCGACACGTCGAAAACACTGGAATCGGCCGAGCTTGTTTCTAGACGTTCACATTAACAGTCCTGGCATCAAAAGAAACGAGAACGAGGGTTCTTGACGCGTGACTGTGCTTGCTGCTTGCAAGTTGCCTCTTTAGGTACCCCTGACAGGCTGGCAGCTGACCCATTCAGCGCCGCAGCAGCGCTGTAAGCCCAACTGAATTAAGCTACAGGGATGTTCCAGCCTTCCTGATTTGGGCCATCGCGTCGCGTTTAGGGACGCCGGGCTGCCGACTTACATATCACTTACTTACAAGGGCAACCAAGCTTTCCAGCGTCTCCATATCAAATTCGACAACTGCAACTACCCAAATATACACTCGAGAAGCGTCATCTGAGCCTTGACTGCGTTGATCTCACACATAAGCTACCATATGGCACCAGGCGTTACCAACGGAGATGGGCCCAGTGACCGATTGGGCATCACTGTATTCTCTGGGGGTATGTGGAGTTGGGGTCATCTATGTCCCTCTGAATGAGTCACCTATAGAAAGGAGTGCTGACACCAGCAACAGGCACGGCAGCAAACAGCCTTGTCGATGTGTTCAACAGGATAGCTGAGAAGAGGCGCTGCAAGTTGAACTATGTCATTCCTATTAGTGATAACGGCGGCAGCTCTTCAGAGCTAATCCGCTTCATTGGCGGGCCGAGTGAGTGATACCAATCCATCGGATGCCTTAGACTATTCGGGATGAGACGGAGATGTTAAGGAGCAGCATGCTGACTGCGCACAGGTGTGGGCGATATAAGAAGTATGTGAGTTATGAGCACCTGCTCATGATTTCATTAAGTTCCTGCTAGTCTGTTGTCAGAGTGCTTATCTCTGACCATGCATTAGGTCGCCTTGTCCGGCTCATCCCAAACCAGGAAGATGACAGGGAGATGTCTGCGCTTAAACTGTTGTTCGAGCACCGGCTCGACTCTGACCCGCTGAAGGCTAGAGAGGAATGGCAGGACATTGTCGAGTCACGGTCGCTACTCTGGAGCTTCATTTCCAGCCCCAAGAGGGAGCTGATCCGGTCTGTCCTAAACACGGTCAACCTCGAGATCGTCAAGCGAGCACGGCCGCCAAACGTCTTTGATTTTGCCAGTGCCAGCGTCGGCAACATGTTCCTGACGGGGTGAGTAACCCTACACCTTCCCCTGTCTCAACCACTTACTTACCACCAACCCCCCCTTCCCCCAAAAGTGCCCGTCTCTTCACCGGCTCCTTCGAATCCGCCATCTACCTCCTCTCCATGATCTGCTCCATTCCACCTTCCATTTCCGTCCTCCCCGTCATCAACTCCAATTTCGCCCACCATATCTGCGCCGGCCTAGCCGACGGCACCATCATCGCCGGCCAGAACGCCATCAGCCACCCCTCGGCCCCGACCGCCGTCCCCGGCGACAGTACAACCACCCACCACCATTTGCTACACAATATCCCAACCCTCGCCCTCCACAAACAAGTCCTCCTCTCCCAAGCACAAGCCCAGGCTTGCTCCCATAGCCCACACACTACCTCCTCCCCCACCCCCAACACCTTCACCGACTTCACAGAAGACGACGATGACGAAGAAGACGGCGCCAACCTTCCCGGCAGCCTGCCCGCGCTCCGCAGGCCCAACATTGCCTTCTCCAAGCACCACAGCGCCGACGATGAAGAGGACCTGCCCGCGCGTATTGAAAGGCTATGGTATATCAATCCTTACGGGCAAGAAATTGCCCCCGTTGCGAACCCCAAGGTCGTCGAGGCGCTTGCGCAGAGCAGGGTGGTGGTGTATAGCATTGGGAGTTTGTACACGAGTATTATCCCGAGTCTTGTGCTTCGCGCTGTGGGGAGGGCCATCGCGTTTTCGGATTTGTTGCCTGGGACGGCGTCGCCTGTTCCAGGGAGGCTTGGGACGGGTACACCTGTCGGAGGAGATCCGGGGAGGTCGCCTGCGCTGGAGGCCCTTTCACATCCTCCCTCTTCTCACGGTGGGGGCGAAAGGGGGATCAGGCACAAGATTTTGATCTTAAATAGTCGGATTGATCGCGAGACGGGGCCGCGGACGAATCCCATGAGCGCGAAAGATTTTGTCGCTGCTATTGCGAGAGCTTGTGTAGAGAGTCGAGCGCCTGAGCTGGTAGGCAAAGAAGAGGTGCTAAGGAGGTGTGTGACACACTTGATTTATGTGGATCGGGAGGATTTGGTTCCGGCGAAAGAAGAAGATGGGGTGAGTAACAAAGAGGGGGATGGTGATGAGGGGTATGAGGAAGAAATGCCGCTGATGCCGAAGGTGGAAGTGGAGGAGTTGGAGAGGTTGGGGATCACGTGTGTGAAAGTTAGGGGGAGAAAGGAGATTGTCGCGAGGAGGGGAAAGAGGAGAGTAGTGGTGTTGAGGTATGATGAGCAGGCTCTGGGAGTGGCTTTGGAGAGGATTATCGAGTCGTAAGGGATCTGGGCTTCGTTTGATGGGAGAGCGCTAATGAAGGTTTGAGGAGTGTCTTGGTATCTTGATATGGCCTTTTTGGTCACGTTTTTTCTCCTGGCTCCAATCTTGTCCTAACGGAGGGTTTCTGTTCTCTTTCGATTCCTCTCCTAGTTAGCTATCTAACTAGAAGAGCCTTGCCGTGTTTATTGTGGCTAATCGGATAGATAAACTTATGATAGAGGCGCCTACATACCTACCTGACTTGCCTAATCCCTTTTCAGCGCCCTCATGGTGTCGTTCTCATGTCGTGGTAACCCAGCCAACGCGTAATAGAAGATGTAAACATGCATCCAAGCTCAACTCCTCTCTGTTATCTGCATTCCGTCGGTGTGTTGTCTCTGTGCTGCCCCTCCCCCCCTGCTGACTCGAGGCACCATCATGGCAAGAGTCTGAGCGTCTCCGAGGTTACACACGGCAAGCAGCGTCGATGTGTATGAGCGCAGGCGGGTAGAGCGGGCAAGCGGAGAGCATGGATACCACAGTCCAGACCAACCCACCAACCTACCTACGTAATACCCTGGAGAACCAAGATACCTACACACCGCATCTGAGACTCTGAAACCTCGAGTGACGCGGCCAGGGCGCACAGCAGAACGCCCAGGGGGGCTGACTGTCCGTTCAGAATGAGGAGGGCAACCGTTGTCCAAGAATATGGAAACAGCATGTCTGGGGTGTGGCCTGGCCTGGCCTGCTGGCCTGGATTATTGCTTTTCGAGGGCGAAACGGGCCGAGACTGGCTGACCTTTTTGTCTTCGTCATGTCGTGTTGGCCCCCAACAGGTTTCTCTGGTCGTCGGGGCCGTCGGTCGGTCGGCGAGATCGGGGAGTTCTAGGCCTAGCACGGGAGCGAGAGAGAGAGAAGCAAACTGCCGTCAGCGCCCGTTGACCTGCTTTGTGCCTTTCTGCTGCTGAAAAATACTACGGAGCTTTCAGTGTCTGAGGTAATCCGATGGCTGCCGAGCACAACACAAAGAGTACTACCGGACTAAGGGCTCTTTTCCAGCCGTGTGGGTAAATAAGAGTTATGCCGCTGCAAATGCCGATGTCTTTTGTCCTCTGATGCTCAAGATGGCGTGGAGAGACAATAACAAAGGAGAGAGACACAGGACTGGAAAGCTGAAGCTTGGACTGGAGGAGCTCTGGCACACTACTTTTAATTCATATTGTCCTTTTTTCCCCCCTCACCAACGGCGCATCGCTCGTTACAAGCGCCGACCTCCGATGCCGAGCAGCAGCTGAGTCCGTTGAGAATCCACAACCGCGCGGCCTGAAACAGGCCTCTCAGGTTGAATGCGGCTGCACAAGGATTCGATCCTCGTGACTTGCGTATGCAGACGCATCATCATCCATGAGGGACCCCCATCCAAGGCTCATCATAGATGGCAATTTGACGATCAAGGCACGGATGGCCGACCAAAGACTACGCATTTGCGGATGCATCGGGACTACGTAGACCAAAAAATTTCAAATTTCCAGCGCGGCGTCGTCATCCCCCTCTGATCGCAATTTCCAGCCCTGATATTCTGTAGGCTACCAAATTGCGCTCGATGGTCGATCAATAGATGGACATGTAACCTGCTTGTTTGCCAACATTGAAGGCCTGGATTAGACTTGTCTGATGACGCAGCAGATGCAAAAGGCGAAAGGCTGGAAGTTGAATATGGCGTTGCTGATCGCTGCAGCAAACTGCAACTGCTGCAAAAAGTGACAGTGGAGAGTGGAGTCCATCTTGTTGCTGAAGTGGGGAAGCAAAACCGAGGTGAAATTTAGTGGAGCCAAGACTTGTGCCATAGCTCACCAGCCCAGTGCCGTTGCGCTGCTCCACCTTCCCTGCAGCCTTTCCGCTTTTCAAGGCTGGCATTTGCCAGATCGAAGGGTCCACTTCTTGCCTTGCCCCGCACCATAACCCCTGCAAGTCTTGCCCTCTGCAGCTGAGCTGTTATCACCCTCTCTAACATCCGTGGGGTCACTTACTCACGTCATGAGCTGTGCTGATATCGGGGTGAGCGGAGAGTTGTGGGTAGTAGATGACGCACTGGAACTCAAAGCAGGACTCAAAAAAGGTGTTTCGAGAAGCAGCTGAGTATGCGAAGCCCAGCTCTTAATAAGCTAGAGTCTGCAAACAAATTTGTCTCGGCACAGGCACAGCTGGGAAATGCTTGTCTCGGCTCAGCGGCAGCGGCGAACTTCAGGACCATCTCCAGGTCCGGACTATGATGGATAACAGGCAAACGCGGTGGTAAGGCGAAGCCCTTTGCCCGCACGATCAGTCATCAGAGCACAGTGACGAAATAGTGGCCACCCGCAATGCAATGTCTCCGCAGGCCCGGAACGTGGCTTTTCTATTGGCTCGGTCAGGTACCGAGGAGTTGTTAGCAACCCCGACCTGTGGCTACGGATTACAGTGGGCCTCTTTCGGGGTGCTTGGCCCGGCTTAACGCCGCCGAGGTATCGCTGACCGCCTTCTCTCAAGACACGCATTCACCGCTTGGAGCTGTTGTTGGAGCTGTCATTACCTCCAAGCTTCTGCTCTCATTCTCCGTCGCATTCACCTGTCCAACCACTGCACATTTCTTCACTTTGAGCTCATTCGCTGGGCCAATTTGCCTCCTTTCACGTAATCCATTTTCACCTAACCTGGTCGACCAAGTGACTACTTCCAGTGACCGACTGTCAGCCTGGACCCAAGTTGTGCTTATCAGGCCCTGGGTACATCATTCGGCTGATCTGTGTGCTCTGTTCATCCATTCAGTGTTCAGTGCCGCAAACACACAGGTGAGAAGCCGGCTGTTTTTTTCAATTGAATCGAGATCCGGTGTCTGGGCGACATTTGTAGGCTGCCTTTGTAGCCAGCCAAAGCACATCAGCAAAGCAAGGCAAGGCCTAGGACCCGGGGTGTGAGGCAACAAGGCCAAAGCTTCGAAGCAGGGCAAAGCCAAACCCCGGCCTCTAGACAGCTCCCCTGGCACCTGGCCTTTCTCTTCATCCATTCATATTCTGCCGCTGCCATCGTCCCGACTTTCTCCTGTTTCCTTCTTCTGCTTCCCCAACTGTACTGCACCTTGCAACCCGAGAGCGACGCCCATCTTCCCGATCCCAGATTCCACAACAGTGATCACCAGGGGACTCCCTTAACCCTGCTGGTTTCATACCGGGGACCTGCATCCTCTCTTGAATGAGGACGGCAGAGTCCTTTCCGATCGAATTCTGATTGATCGATTGATTGCGAAACGGATTACAAAGTCACTCTGAGCATCTCGCTTTTTGGTAAGTGACCTGTCTCTCGTCTCGCCTCCAGTTCCCCCGGCAAAAGGCGAAAGGAAACCAGCGGCTGCACTTGCAGTTACTGGTTACTGCAGCAGCAACGGGCAACTTGTTCCTGCTCTTTCGGGCTGCTTTCCACCTGCTGTTGCTGGTCGTCTGCTGGCATCGCAATCGGAGTGCTGGAGCCGCGCGATTGGCTTCGGTTGCTCCACTTATCGGCGGCCTGGTGGCTTCAGCATCGACCTGTGCACTGTATCAGCAGCACGCCCGCAGAGTCGCAGCCACTGGCCTGTCATCGTCCATCAGCCAGCACCCACCGCTCGGGCCAGCGCGCAGCTTGGAAGTCTGTTTGCGTCTCTTTACCCGCTGCACTTCCCACTGACCGACCGCCCTGCCTTGACCTCTTGTTTGCCTACTATCATCCATCTTGTCTGCTTTCCTACCGGTTTTTTTCTCTTTTTTTTTTTTCCCCCATCGACTGACCATCCTGTGCGTATCTGCAGTCGGTGGTCATCATCACCATGGCCACTCCAGCGGTGCAAGTCACTCCCGATACCCTTATCACCTTCAAGGTGAGCCTTGATGGCTCGCCTCGTCGCTTTAAGCTGCCTCTGCGCGATGTCGGCATCAACGTCCTCGAGGGCAAGGTATGTCTAGTTGATGAACTACACTACTTGCAGATACTAAGTAACACATTTGGTAGCTTCGTGCTGCCCTGAACATCCCTCCGGAGGTCGATGCCGTCTTTGAGCGCTTCTCCGACTCTGCCGCTGCCTTTGTCGTGCTGGACCAAAACAAGCCTGCCGTCTACAAGCAACTCTACCGTGCTGCCAAGGCGAAGCAGAAGCTTAAGTTGCGTGTCACAACTAAGAAGCCCGAGGAGGCTAACAACAAGCCTCAGCCGGCTGCCGTTGAGGATGCTCCCGAGCAGGAGGCTCAGCAGCCTGTCGAGTCTGTCCCTGCACCGGAGCGCGAGGCTGACTCGGCAACCGCCGAGAACATCGCTTCTGCCCCTGAGAGACCTGCCAGTCCCATGCCTGAGGAGAAGCAGGTCGAGATTACCCAGGCTGCCGCCGAGCAGAGCACCACCGAGACCAACAGTGCTATTGAGTCGTTCGGTGAGAAGCTGAAGACCAGCACAGAGTACCTGAGAGAGGTTCTCAACGAGGCCTCGACAGCGCCTGCTGCTGCTCCAGAGCAGCTGCCACCTGTTCCTGCACCGGCTCCCGCGGCTGTTCCTCTTCCCTGCCGCGTTGATTGCCCGCCTCTGCGTTCTCACTACGCTGTGTGCTGCAACAACTGCGACCGGACCATTCCCGATGCCCACTACCACTGCTCGACCTGTGACGATGGCGACTTTGACCTGTGCTAGGAATGTGTCGACCGCGGGGTCACCTGCAAGGGTGCTGATCACTGGATGATCAAGCGCTTTGTCCGCGATGGCGTCATTATCAACAGCACAACGGAGCGTCTTCCGCCCAAGACGAAGCCTGCTCCCACGGAAACCCCCAAGCCTGCGACGACGTCGGCGTCACCTCCGAGGACCTTCCCTACCGGTCCTGCAGCTCCCGTCACTTCTGTCACCCCTCCTATTGCTCCTCCGGTGCCGACAATGACCTCCGAGCGTATTATCCCCGTTTTCAACGACTTCCTGTACTCAAGCATGCGCACTTGCAACTGCTGTGTACGGGACTTCCCGGAGGTGGCCTTTGTCCACTGCACTACTTGCGAGGACTATGACCTCTGCCGTTCTTGCTTCGCCAAGAACCGCCACGGTCATCACCCCGGCCATGCCTTTGTTCCCGCCGTTGAAGGCACCAGGCTGGAGCCCGAGGTGGCTCGTCTCCTGGCCCCTGGCCGGGGAGTCATCCACAATGCCCTGTGCGATGGCTGCGATAACACCATCCGTGGTGTTCGTCACAAGTGCCTGAACTGCCCTGACTGGGACTACTGCTCTCAGTGTATTCTGAATGCCCCTGTCATCCATCCGGGCCACCGCTTCGTGCCCATCTACGAGCCTCTGGAGCAGGCAGACAGTAATGCCAACTTCCGCTTCCAGTCTCGTCCTGTACACTTCGGCATTTGCTGCGATGGCCCACTTTGCAATAACGGGCCCAACAGCAACCGATACATTGTTGGCGACCGCTACAAGTGCGCTGTTTGCCACGACACCGACTTCTGCGAGGCTTGCGAGGCCAGCCCCGCTAACACTCATAACAAGACTCACCCACTTATCAAGTTCAAGACTCCTGTTCGCCATGTGAGCGTCACCACCACCGGTGAGAACGAGCATGGTCGTCAGATGCCACCTATGGGTGATCGCAGGGTGCCCCGTCCTCGTGCTCCCGAGTCAGCTCCTCATCAGTGCCCTGCTCCCAGCAACGTTGGCAACGTCCAGACCGTTGTTGACGTCAAGCCGATTGAGCCAGAGGTTCCTGTCAAGGAGGAGAAAGTTGAGGAGAAGGTCGAGAAGAAGCCAGAGCCGGTTGTTGAGAAGGAGCCATCGGCTGAAGAGCTCGAGGCCACTTTCGTCCGCGACACTGTTCAGGATGGCACCGTCCTTGCTCCCAACCACCTCTTCGAGCAGACTTGGGTTCTGCGCAACACGGGCAAGGTCGCCTGGCCGGCTGGCTGCTCGGTCAAGTTCGTTGGTGGCGACTACATGGGCCGCGTTGACTCGGCCCACCCTGCTGCCTCGAAGGAGGTTGAGGAGTCTTGCGAGTCGACCGTTTGCGACCGCGCCGTCCAGCCCGGCGAGGAGGCTCCCTTCACCGTGCTCCTGCGCACTCCCTACCGCGCATGCCGTGTTATTTCCCACTGGCGTCTAACCACCCCGAAGGGTACCAAGTTCGGCCACCGCCTGTGGTGCGATGTTGTTGTTGAGAAGCCCAAGTCTCGTTCTCCTTCTCCTGCTCCCGCCTTCGTCGAGGAGAAGGCCAAGGAAGTGAGCCCCGAGCCCGAGCCGGCCACCAGCCAGATGATCTTCCCCAAGCTGGACAGAGAGTCGCCCGTTATGAGCGTTCATGAGGAGGAGGCCCGGTCGGAGGGTGTTCCTACTTCTGTCGCAGTTCCAAGCATCCAGGATGAGTTTGAGGACTGCGAGGACGTCGACTGGCCTGAAAACGGCTCGGAGGATGGGTTCCTTACTGATGAGGAGTACGACGTTCTTGATGCCTCGGATGAGGAGTTCTCCATGGGGTTGCACCCGTCGACGAGCAAACAGAAGTAAGGTTGACGTGCTCAAGCGAGAAGAGTTGGTCGATCCGAGTGAAGCTGGGTTATGAACACGAACTGGATTGATGGTAAATGATGGATGAAACGGATTGATTCGATGGATGACATGAATGGATTATGGGATTCTGCTCTTATCTTTGTTTTCGGAACGGGTGTGTCTTGTCTTTATGTTCTCCTTTCCATCTTGTGTTACGGGGGATGTGTACGGTTTGTTTGTTGTCTCCTTTCCTTTTTCGCTTCCTTTTCTCAATTCAAGCTCTCTTTCTCACTGTCTTCAGTTGCACTGGCACAAGCACTCCATAACTTGCTACCTGCCTGGCAGCCGAGAAAACAAAAAAAAAAGCTGCTCACATAGCACACACCACCATCCCTCTCCGCACTTTGTAAACATGTCTTTTGGTTGGTCAACTGCTTGGTCGATTGATACGGTTGGATCTTCCATCTCGAATGTGGGCACAAGAGTGTTTGTGCACCTCTTGTGCCCATTTTTGAGACTTCGTTTGCTTCTATCCCCCTGTACTTGCTTTACCTGCACTGTGTTCTCTGGACAAAAAGGAACGAAAAAAGATGGAAAAATCAAGGTCTGGCATAAGAGGCAGGACGTTATTGATATGACTCGTTGGCTCTTTATAGCCTCGAGTACCTGACTGGTCCGGCCCAAACTTGACCATTGAAAGGAGCAAAACAGTTGCAAGGACAGCTAAGGGCATGTTGCGTGTTTGCGTGTGGCGTGTATATGGAGAGGTAGTAGCCAGTTGATGGTGTCCATTCGACGGATGGAAATGGATTGATGGAATGAGTCCGGCACACTCGTCAGTCAGACTCTCTCAGACAGACAGAAAGAATTCAGATTGATCCCCTCTCTGTTTAGGTAAATTTCAAGGTTTACATATCACCATAAATGGCCGGATGATGATAGCCGTGGTGAATGTGTATTGATTCTCAACCTAAGACTACGGGCGGCCTACTAGGAGAGCGCAACTTTTCCAGGAAATTCTAGGTCGTAATATTTGATATAGGTAGTTCAGGAGACCATCAGTAGGGATTAAGCTTTTGCTCTAACGGGGCCTACACTCCGCTTACTTCCGTTTCTGGACAGGCTGGGGAGGAGTGATGTTCTGTGTCGGCTCAATCTTAGGCACCAGGCCAAAGCGTTTATGCCCCTGATCGAATATCTGTATTATCTCGTCAGCTTCATCTCAACCCTCTCATCACCACATGGGCAACTCACAGCATAAACAGACTTAAGGAACGTGTCCCCCAGAATATCGAACGAGTTCTTCCCCCTGGACTGCACCCCTCCGTACCACAGCTTCTCATCAGCCAGCCCATACAGCAAATCCTCCTTCTGAATGACAAATTCGTTTCTCCCCACGCCAATCTTGAACTCGGGTAAGTCATCCAGCGTCACGCTTGTCGGCACCACCCAGCCCATGTATTTGTTTGAATAGGTCGCGCCCTTGATAGCTTTATACAGTGCCTCGCAGACTTCATCGCTCATTAGTGCCAGGGTAGTACCTGTGTCGGCAATAGCATAGTTATTCGACCGTTTAATAGTGTGCCCATTAATGCTGACAGTGGGGGAAGAGAATTCCCAGAACCCGCGACGCGTCTCGATATCAATCCAAGTGATATCCTGCCCAGAGCTCTTGACCAAATCGCTGTCGATAAAGCCGAACGTGTAAAACGACTCCTTACTCTCGCTGTTGTCATCCCCATCACGCACGCTGTATAAAGCGCAAGTAAAAACCTGCGCATCCTTGGGCACATCCCCCTGCGACATCATGTTTTCCATGGGGGTGTTCTGCGGATCGGGCATGCCGTGGTTGGAGACAGAGTTGAGCTTGCGGAAGGCGAGACCTAACAGGCCGTCCATGCCGGACTGGGCGAGTTCCGGGGAGAGGGTCTCGGCAACCTCTATGGCTTGGTTGCGAATGAGAAGGCCGCCGACAGAGATGTTGTCTGTACCAACGAAGCCTGAGGCGTGGCTCCCGTCACCGTATTGGATGGTCCAGGATTTTCCTTGTTTGAGTGTCCAGGTCTTGGACTGGGAGGGGTTGAAGGCGCGGGGGTTGACCTGCTGGGCGTCAGTATGGTTGAGGAAATGAAAAGAGCTGTTGATGTCGTACCCAGAGATCTGAAGACCCAGTATCAAAATCCAGCATGACCTTCTGCTGATTGCTACCGACGAGTACCTCACACAGATACGCAGCGTCGTACTCGAAGTCCGAAGCTGGGACATAGCCTGGTTTCTTATCGCCCTTCTTATCAAAAGAAAGGGCACTCCATAGAGCAGCGAGAATTCCTGTCTTGGGCTCCTGGTCGAAGTACTTGTAATATGGACCTGGCTTGGTAGGCTGGAACTGGTAGCGCACTAAAGTCCGAACGTATGCCTTGGTGCCGTTGCGTTGGTACTTGGGGTTCGGGATTACCTTCACCTTACGGATGCTGGTCTTCTCGCGGAGTCTCCTTTGGGTCTTGAGAATGGCTTCATTGGATGGGGCATCTTGGTGCTCTTCGGCTCGCATGGTGAATAGACTTTGATGTTCTGATGAACGGCTGGAGTTTAGACGGAGTCAACTACTAAAATTCAAGAGGAAGCTGAAGGTTTCAGGGATTGAAAAATATGCAATACGTTGATGATGCAGCGGGTATGAAGCTTAGGATTCTTCAGTGTTTACCCTTTCGGAGTCGGGAGAGCATTTAATAAAAGCTTGCAGAGACTTATATAGGAAAAGGAAGGAATCTCTCGAGTTGGCGCCTTCGCACATGACTTGATGATATTAGCATTGTAGCAGTAAGGAGCAATGGGTGAATTATCAAAAGACTGTGATGACTGTTGCCATTCCGACGGAAATACCAGCCACAAGAATTACGAGGACAAATGATCCCAACTTCACTGTTCGAACTTAACATTTAGCATGCTGGGCCTATCCTGATATATATAGTTAGGTACTTCTTGGTTTCGGTTCTCTTCGCGTAAGTAACATCTACTGGCAAGATGGCAGTGGAATTTATGGACATATAGGAGGGTTCCAATTCAGATTGGATCATTGTTCACACAAGAAATCCTTGGTGGTTTGCACGGCACTGGTAGTCGTACGACTGTTGCATACAGTAAGCCCCTGGCGATCAGGAGAGGGCGTCTGTGCATGACTGACTTCCTGAAAAGGTTTTAAAGGTGAAGTTTCTGACCGAGGTTGGCTGACATCTTAAGGTGAGCGTAGGGTAACTCTGCCAAAGATAAATCCCCTAACACCGTTACTCAACCAGCACTCCTCGCCCTCAACTAGGGAACTGGCCGGGATTGTGGCCTCGACAGCCATGCCCCTGTTATTGGTTAGAACGTCCCAATCAAGTAGCACTATCGAAGATTTGCGTACCTTTTCAGAGCCCATCTTCTCGATGTACCATCTTGCCCACCGCTGCCTTTCTCCGCACTATACTCCTTACTTACAGCAGGTGTCACCCATCTGCCATCTCTCCAAAAATAAGGTGTCGTAACAGACCCCTCCATGATATCTCCCGTGGTTTCGGAGACGATGAGGACCTCCTTTAAATCAAGCAAACCGATCTGTGCCCGTTGCCTTGCCCCATCATATACAGCCCGCTTAGAGGTCTTAAAGTGGGTATACTCTGACCGAGCAGATCCCATCTGGTCAACCATGACCATATACTCAGGGGACTTTACTGGCATATTGGTGCTCGTTTTATCGGTTTTGATTCCTTCTGGAGGTGGAAGTACCTCTGGGAAGAGGTTTTCCAAAGGCGTTTGCGAAACTGGGCCGGTAACGATCTTGAGCTGGCCAAGTTTTGTGATGGACACCCTCACTCTCATAGGAGATGATATATTTTCACCCAAACTGCTCAGAATGAATTCCTCGAGACGCTTCAGGCCGGCCTCACCACTGAGAATGTCAATTGCAGCATCCCAACCCCAGTGTGTCGCTGCTCTGAGAATTCGGTCACGGTGGAAGTCAAGCATGTACAAGGGCGACCTATTTGCCCAGTTCCAGCCAGCATGAGTGAGATCGGAGCCAGCTACCTGAAGCAATGCCTTGTCATAACGGAGAGATGAAAAGAGTTCAAAGTCTTCGGCCATTGTGACTCGAACTCAGGTGAAGAGGGTTTGGAACTGTGGGACGAGGTTAAGAACTGATGAGTGATATATTAGACTCAAAACCCTAAAGTGGGGTAAAGGAATGCTGCTGAATATAAATATCAGTCATTATAAGATCTAATCCTTACTTACTGACACTAATATACAAGAATATTATATCGTATGATAAATTTACTTGAACCGACAGGAGCTTTATGAGAGTGAAGCTGAGAGCTTCGGACTGCATGAGTGAGCAATTGTGTGTAAATGAGATTGAATGAGGGGCCAGTCGGGGCAAGCACTCCGCCGTGGCAGGGCCAGTGCGCCCCTCGACGCCTATCAGGGAGAACTGGGTGAAACATGAAGGCTCGAGCCACTGGGCAGCGATAATATGACTCCACAACATGACGCTATGGACAAGCCAACAGAAGGGCCACCAAAGCTGTGATCAGAGCCACCACGGCCACAAGGGCAGACCTGGGGGCGGGCAGAGCCGGAAAAACAGCGCCAAGTTTCCACCGGGGGCAGAGCTGCGCTGTAATTGGGCCAGTGGGCACAAGGTGGGCAAAGTGGGCGCGCGTCGGTCCACGGGCCACGGGTGAGCAGCACGATTTTTTTTTGTTCGCAGGCTTCGGCCGAGCAACGGCTGCTATCTGCTCTGGGCTGGCTCTGGTACCGCACCGCACGGAAGGCCGCAAAGCCATCGCCCACTCCCAGTCCCACTGCGACCAGCTTTCAGCTTTTGATGCGAACCTGCATCATCGAATCGGCTGGGTACCGCGTCGGTTTACCCTGTCACCAAATAAGTTCATTGGCCTTTCGCTGCGTCGAGCTTGCTGCTAAGCTAGGGATACGGCCTTCACGGCTTCGGAACTGGGTCTCGTGGGACGCTGGGATTTTACCCCTCCACTCCCGTCACTGGACACTGTCGCGCTAAGTCAAGTCGCCTGCCAGCGAAGGTCGTCGTGCCGCTCTGCCGCTTCAACTACCACCACAGCCTCTCCCCTCTAGCTATCCTGTAGCCCTCTAACCCCTCCCCCTCCCCTTTCTCCTCTTCATAACCCGGATTAGTCATATTCAGCCATGGCTCCCGCACCACCCGCCGGCCCGTTGGGGTCCCCATCGGCGCCCGTGTCGGCCGATTCGTCGCTGTGGGATCGCATCTCGACTTGGGTCTCGGAGCACAAGGCCGTGGTCTACACCATTGCCGGTGTCGCGGTTGTCATTACCACTGCCGGCGCCGTCTACTACATCCGCAGTGCCCCTGACGAGGTCTGTCGCTTCTCCTCCAGCCTGCCCTGTTCTGTTTCGCCTCCTGCCTTGCCACTGACGCTTGACCCTCCCAGCAGGAGACAACACCACGTCCTAGCAAGAAGGAGCGCCGGAAACGGAAGCAGGCCGAGAAGGAGGCCGAAGCCGAGAAGTCTGCGAAGGCTGCTGAGGCTGCTCCGTCCGCCAAGGCTGCCTCCATCGAGGCTGCCAACGAGCTGCCCGAGATCGACGAGAACACGGTCCAAACGCTCACGGAGTCCCAGCGCAAGGAGTATGCCCAGAAGTTGAAGGAGGCTGGCAACAAGGCCTATGTGGCCAAGGAGTTCCACAGGGCGATCGAGCTCTACACGAAGGCCATCCTCTGCAGACCGGATCCCGTCTACTACTCCAACCGCGCTGCGTGCTGGAATGCGCTCAGCGAGTGGGAAAAGGTTGTCGAGGATACCACTGCCGCTATCAACCTCGATCCGGAATACGTTAAAGCGCTCAACCGGCGTGCTAATGCCTACGATCACCTCGGCCAGTACAGCGAGGCGCTTCTTGACTTCACCGCGAGCTGCATTATCGATGGCTTCCGCAACGAGCAGGCAGCCCAGGCTGTCGAGCGCCTGCTCAAGAAGTTCGCCGAGACCAAGGCGAAGGAGATCCTCAAGACCAAGCCCGCCAAGCTGCCGAGCTCAACCTTCGTGGGCAACTACCTCCAAAGTTTCCGGGCCAAGCCGCGCCCGGAGGGTCTGGAGGACGACGCCGAGATTGAGGAGGAGTCTGGAAAGGGTCAGCTTCGGAGAGGTCTGAAGGCTCTAGAGAGCAAGACGGGCCCGGGCTATGAGGAGGCTGCTGAGGCTTTCGAAAAGGCGTTGGAGCTGGGCGACCTTGGCGAGTACGAGGCTCTTGCCTACAACATGCGCGGTACCTTCCGCAATCTCATGGGCAAGCATGAGGAGGCCCTTGCTGATCTCACCAAGAGCATCGAGCTGGATCCCAGCCTGACCCAGAGCTACATCAAGCGGGCCAGCATGAACCTGGAACAGGGTACGTTGGGTATTTTTGGGCTATTAGTTTGGTGGCACATGGTTGCTGACTACTTCCCCTAGGCTCCCCTGAGAAGGCAGAGGAGGACTTCGCTGCGGCTCTGGCCAAGAACCCCCAGGATCCCGACATCTACTACCACCGGGCGCAACTTCACTTCATTAAAGGCGAATTCGCTGAGGCCCAGAAGGATTATCAGAAGTCGATCGACCTGGACAGTGACTTCATCTTTTCCCATATCCAGCTTGGTGTGACCCAGTACAAGATGGGTTCGATCGCTTCGTCCATGGCCACTTTCCGCCGGTGCATCAAGAACTTCGAGAGGACACCGGATGTGTACAACTACTACGGCGAGCTGCTCCTCGACCAGGGCAAGTTTACTGAGGCCATCGAGAAGTTCGAGAAAGCCATTGAGCTCGAGAAGGAGACCAAGCCGACTTGCATGAACGTGCTGCCGCTTATTAACAAGTCACTTGCCGTCTTCCAGTGGAAGCAGGATTTCGCAGAGGCTGAGAAGCTCTGCGAAAAGGCGCTGATCAGTATGTCCCCCTAACCATCCTCTTACGTTACACAGAATTGACACGGGAAAAACAAAACAGTTGACCCCGAGTGCGACATCGCCGTCGCGACCATGGCGCAGTTGCTCCTGCAGCAAGGCAAGGTGACGGAGGCGCTCAAGTACTTCGAGCGCGCCGCCGAGCTGGCCCGTACGGAGGGCGAGCTGGTTAATGCCCTGTCGTACGCCGAGGCCACGCGCACCCAGATCCAAGTCCAAGAGAAGTATCCCAAGCTGGCCAGCAAGCTGGCTGCGATGGGCCAGGTGATGCGGTAAATTTCGAGATCGGTACCGGGGGTGGGGAATCAGGTGATGATGGGGAGACGGGGGGCATGATGTGAGAAGTGGTGTGTGTATGTGACAAGGGACGGAGACAGGGACAAGAAGGTTGAAATGAAACTAGGTCCGGGAACAACGGGTGCGGACGGGTTCGGGTTGACCGTGTAAAAACCACCAAACCAAACAGCAACCCCCAAACACAACATCCAAGCACAACCCCAACAAAATGATTTTTCTTTCATGAAATGTGGTTATATACTTTCGGAAAGCCTCGCTTGATAAACGGTGGTTGCAGGGCTTTGTGGGGTTGAATAATTTTTTGTTCTCTTGATTCTATCCTTTGTATTGGTTTCTTGAGTTGACAGACGAGATACACTTAAGGGGCAGGGGTCACCAGGGGTATGTAAAGACATTCAGCTCTTGCTGCTACGTAGGTTACCACATTTCGATAGGTATACAGACGACCCTCGTTGCTCTAGTGGTAGCGAGGTGACAAGCTCCGTCTGATCGGTACCGGCACTGTAGTCTTGAGCGAAGGGGGAAGGCAGTCTCGTTTAGACGGCAGTAGTATAGTCTAGTTATGAACTTATATATGTACGGGTGGTGGTATGACATCTCTACGCTCACAATCCGTGGGTGAAGGGAGGTTTCGGGGAGGTGGCTTGAAATTGCACAAGCTATGGCAGATCTGATAACGTAACGGAAGCACAGCTTTATTTCAATTTTTTTTTCGAGATCTAGTCGGCCCTGATCTTGCTGCCGATCTCCGAACATGAGTGTCTATCAGGTGATACGCTTCCTACACTAGATCCATTACTGCTGGAAAAGCTATGAAACGCATGCATAACAACCAGGGTTCATCATTAAATATGTTGGAGTCATGTACATTACATATACTGACAGTGAGAGTTTATGATACCATTGTGAGAGAAACGAAACCCCATTTTCAACCCGACATACCCAAAACCATTACCCTTTTCGTCCCAACCCCCATATCCGCCGTCGTCACACAGCAAGTTAAAACGGCTGTGGTTCTATCCGATGATCTCATCCGTCAATCTTTGGATCTTGCATAAGCCCTTCCATCCGTTCTTACTCACTCATCCCATGACTTTTGTTGAGAAAGGCGAGACCCCTCGCTTACCAGGCTTTATTCACCAAACGCGCAAGAGGGGCCTGACATCGAGAGGACTTGGCTAAGGCGATCGAGAGAAAGAAAAAAAAGGAAAGATAATATCTCCCATGCCAATCCTCTCTCAAGCTCACCAAAAGTCACTAACCGTATGCGCTCACCCCTCAACTAGTAGCATTCTTCGTCAACGCCACACCCAATCCCACACCCAGCGCAATAGCAATGCAAATCAGCAGCACAATGCCAAGGCACCACCACTTGAGCTTGCGCGCGCGCCGCGCGTGCTGCACACCCTTCTCGATTTGCACGTTGGCCTGGCCTAGGTGCTCGGTTGCTTCCTCGGCCTTGATGGCCACCTGGTCGAGAGTCTGGCCCTGCAACAGGACCTGCTCGTTTAGGATCTGGAGAAGGTCAAGGAGTTCCTCGATCGACCGCTCGATCTTGACCATATCGTTGTGCCGGGCGCGAACGGCGCCGAGGACCGCGTTGGCGTGGCCTAGGCGGTTGGTGCGTAGCTGTAGGGGTGATGTTAGCAAATGCTCGCCATAAAGTTAGAGAAAGTGAAGAGTGAGAGCTTACAGCCTGCTGGAAAATACCCTCATCATCCCAATCAGCGTCCACAGCCCTCTGAACCTCCTCCTCCGTAGCCTCCGGATTCACAATCCGATACTGCCTAGCAATCTGTTCGCGATACCTCTCCTTATACTGCTGCTCCTCCCGCAAAAACTTCTGGATCGTCTCCTTGAACTCATTGTTCAAGCTCTCCCACTGGCGCTTCTTGATCGCAAAACTGCCGTCCGTCGTGCGCTCGGCATCCGACTTGAGCGCCTGAATCTGCGAGCGGATGGAGGTATTCTGCACCTGTGTGTTGGCCACCAGCTGGTCGAGCTGTGCTCGGGGGCCGGTAGCAACGGTTGTGTCGCTGCTAGCCAGGGCTTGCTGGTGCAAAGAGGCAATCTGCTGGATTGCGCCAGTCAGGCTGCGGATGTCGTTGCGGACGGACTCGACGCGGGCGAGGAACTCGGTTGTTGAGAGGACGGAATCACCGGCTGCGGCCCGTTGTTGGGGTTGAGAGGAGGATCGGCCGGCGGAGGAGACTGGATCTAGCATGGAACCATATTGTTGTTGCTGCGCTGGTTGTGAAGAATACGGAGAATCGTAGGAAGAAATGTAGTGAGAGGGTTGCTGGCCGTATGGCTGCATCTCATGCTGCTCCTGGAATGCCCCGCGTTAGCAATCGTGGGGTCTCAATTGTGAGATCTGAGCGAGCGCAATGCCCATCGCCGGCAAACACAAAAGCAGGCATGGATCGCAATCCACCAAAATTCCTGGTGTCGCTGGCATTGACGTCGCCTGCCGTGGTAGTCATAATACGTACTGGTTGGCCATAGGCATATCCCGACTCTGCCGAGGGGCCTTGGGCATACGGATTGTATGACATCACTGCTGTCTCAAGGAGCTGTTAATTGACTTTTAAGGGAAGCCGTTGTTTTTCTTCTCCTATCCTCAAAGTGCTTCTAGAGGGAAACAGGTGAAGGTTGTGTGGTCCGGCTCTAAGTACAAAACCAGGAAACGGAAACGATGGATATGGTGTGAAAGAGCTGCAAGAAAGCAGCAGGCTCTGGCAAAGATCAATTTGAAATCACTGGCCGTCCTGTCGCGGCCTTGCCTGTCAGCTGCTTCGCCCTGCTGACAGAGAACCGGTTGGGCGGGTTGTGGCTGAGGATCGGCTTACTGGAAAGAGAGGGCAGGAAGCCGCAGGAGGAGGCGTCCGAGAGTTTCATGAACCTCTCAAAGGCCGAACCTTTGGCCCCCACTACGAAAGTGTTGCTGGTTCCACAGAAGGCTTTCAGAACCTGTGAGAGTCGAGACCGGGCAAGTTTTTGGAAGAAGAACCCTGTCGGCGATCCACTGGTGCGCAGCCGATCATTGCAAGGGGAGTGCTCAAAAGAATAACAGAGAAGTGAGACATGTGAAGGCGCTGCTGGCCATGAAGTTGTTGCTCGCCATTTGAGCCTGGTACACTACCTGACAAAACCTCAAATCTTGATAGCTTACGGTATACGTAATAGTCTGGTATCTTTTTCTCTGATTTACCCGTGCATGCAACTTCTAAACTGCATGCTGTTTGGGCAAGCAGAGCTATGGAGCAATACGAGGACTAAAATATCCTTCCGACCTGCTGTGTTGTGGCGCGATGGGATGGCGTCACCCAATGAGGCTGAGGACCAAGTGGGGTGGAGCTCTGGGTGAGCACCAAAGATGTGGGATCGCCAGGCACGGCTCTTTCAGGCTATCAGCCCCCGCAAAACGCGCCGTGCATCGCTGGAGAAGCACAGCCCGGTTTGCGTGGCCGTCTGCTGTCGGTCAGGTCTAAGGACCTGGGCCCGGACTGATGTGGCATACTGGCTGGTACTGCGCCATCTCGCTGACAGCGGTGTCCCTTGGCTCGGTTAACTACCGACATATCTGAGCTGTCTCCTGACCCGACCGTCCCCGAGTCGTATGCGACACGCGGTAGACATGGCGTGAGACCAGATCCGCGCGTGGTGGTCCGTCGTCCGGGACACGGGCGCCGGGGCCGACCACAACGGGCTTCATATAGCACAGTGGCCGGTAACGCCGGATGCGGTGGCCGCAACGGCATACTCGCTGCAGGAGTTTGCGATTCACGCGACGAATTCGGCGCTGTACTTTTCTGGGGTGAATGGGATGGATCCAAAGCATTGGCCGAATGTGTTAATGGTGGATTATATTGGGGTGACGCGGAAGGATAAATGGGCGTGGGATCAGCTGAGCACGGTTGTATACTCTAACGGTTGGATTGAATCTACATAGTGAGCGAGAATTGTGGTGTTGGGACGTAGAAGTCACCACTGTTGACGAGGGGGATGGTATAGAAGTCGAGAGAGGTCACCACCGTCCAGAATTGTACAAAACTGAGGACCACGAATCTTAGCGCTCCATAGGCACTCACCTTGCACTAGACAACCGCAAAAAATTATAGCATACTGTAAACATCAGTTCCTTGATTCCCCGAGTCGGCCGAGACCCAGGTCTTGGTAGAGCCCTTTGCGTATGTACACGTAATTTTTTCTTTTTTCAAATGATAATGTGAGAAAAGGCGGTATTTGGAGATGCATCGCAAAACACCCAGATGACCAGGGCCATGTTTGTTCAGCGGAGGTTCAGCTTTTTCGGGTAAGCTGCTCCCTCCCCTAAGGGGACCAAATGATATAGAGATGTAGAGAGGATACGCTTAGTTCGAGAAGGTTTTTGAGGGATGTGTATTGTCTGAAAGATGAAATGACATGGGTCACGAGCTGCTGCTGCCGGAAGAATAGCCAAATGCTCAAGGCAAGGAGTTAGAATTTTGTGATAGCATCCTGCCTTACATTGCTAATCTCCAAGTTGAAGACGCAATCACGTAGGTATATCGTCCACCACTTGCCACACCTCCCGAAGCTACGTACCACGACTCTCTAGCACTCATCAGGCACATGCTCAGCGTGAGTAGGCGGCCGCGCATGCCAAGTATCTAACATATGGTCTTAAAAGCTTGAGCGTTCGACTCTCTGGTCATCCATCCTGCACCGCACTTGCTTAGAAAGAGGTGTCCCTCTTTTTTTGTGCACAACGAGTCCTGGTACTAAGGTCTCGTCTGGAGTAAGACCCTGGCAAGGGTTTTCGTGGCCGGTCTCCTCTTAAGGAGCTGGCCAATGAGCATTTTGCTATGACAACTTGCTAAAAACGCTTAGGTGATTGCTAGTCTGCACAGTACCCTGAGTGATAGATACCTTTCGCTTAAGTTTTATCGAATATTAATATGGGTAAGCCCTTCCTTCATGTATTTTTTTTAACGATCAACAAGGGTGACATGCGGTAAGAGCGGAGCCAGGCACAAAGGACTAAATTATAAGCAAAGAGGGAGAACATCCCGTCTGGCCAGCCGTTAGTTGATCCTGTCGGGGAACTCATCCTTCCGTCAGGGCTCATAAACATTGTTACTGTCACTGCGTGCACATCGGCGAGGGAGGTCAGAACGTGCATGCATTGGGGCCATGGATATGGTTAGGTTTCAAGAGCGGTTAGACATTATGGGCGGTTCGGGGCCAACCAACTGACCGAAGCCCTCTAAAACCAAAGCTCTGAACCATGATTTAGGTCCTCCAGCTTGTAAATGTCGGTGTTAGATGGCCAAGGGCTGGGTGTCCAGCTGTGACTCGAGTCCAGGTTCATTGGATCGTAGACCCGCCTGTCAATAGAAGTCGGCTCATGTTGACCCTCTGCTCGGGAGCCATCATTGCGCTTGAAAGAGACATGGACGAGACGCTTTCATTTGTATGATATGATCTCACACAGAGCTATGATGCTGGAAAGGAATTGTTATTTAGCGATTAAAGATCCAAATGCATCGTGAGAGCTATACTGAGGAACCTGCCATGATCTTTTATATGACTTGCAGGGATCACCTCCAGTCTGTTCCTAGTTGTGCCGGAGCATAGTGTTCCACAGTGTTTGTAGGATAATGTCTGCGGGAAAAAGAGAGACGGGCCAGCGGGACAGCCTCCAGGAGGACCAGAAGGTCCAAAAGACCAAGGCCAGTGCGAGGCGAGGCCTTGTGATAGTTTTTGGTTCTTCTAGCTCCTTTTCTTTGTTTTGTGACTCTTTGTAATACTCGTTGGGCATGCTTTCATTGTAATCGTTGGCGGAGTCGTCCTCCACTTGCTGTTCATTGTCTTTTTCTTGCTTATCGAAAAATCTCTCGTTGGACTTTTCGTCAATAAGAGGAGGAATTTGATTAGTCTAGTTTGAGATATTGATAAGTAGGGAGCACCTCTTTCTGATCAGTCAGAAAGGCACAAGGACTTTATCCCTATCAAAGGCATGGGTGTGCACTTGGTCACGCACCTGCTCCGGGAAAATGGGGTGACCCACGCTATATGGTTCAGCCTGATAGGTATGGTCCAAATTAACAGTCTTTATTTTTCCTTCAAAGTCTAAAATTGCCACTATGTATCTCATCCTTCCCTCTTTCTTTTGCCCAAGATACTTCTCTCATGCTCTCCGAGATAATAGGCTCTTTGACCGACCTGTTTATGCTCGTCTGCAACATGCTTCATCCACGCCTCTCTGCCTTCGATGACAACTCGTTCATTTCTTTGTCTCTGGCACTCAGAATTGTCAATGTGCTCTAGAGAAGATCTGTGTGTTCTCTGTTGGTGTGATAAGAAAAACCACTCCCGGGATAAAACATCCTCGTGCATAGTAAGCGGTGGGCAGATATTTCGTTTTACATCTTCTCTTTGCTAGGTTTGTCCAGGAAGTTTAGTGTTGGCGGATATGGCGTATACGGCAGACCGTGAAACTGGTGAATCTAGCTGCTCCAGTGCGTTGAATTCTTGATCATGCACGTTTGACCGTCCTGTTGACATCGAGGATATGGAAAAGCTTCGTCGAGTAGTCCTTTTTCAAAGTGTCTTCGCTGGTTATGCTTTGTTAATTCACGCTGTGCAGACTCCTCGTTGCAAAGTAAACATGTCCATTTGGCTATTTTGCTCGTAGGTATCGGCTTTTCGGTCTTTGTGTCAAACTCCTTGAAGAGGTCGTCCAATGTTATCTTCAACTCATTCACATGTTCCCTTAGGTACAGTGAAGGAAAGTTATGAATGATATGAGCTCGTTGTTGGCTCACGATATTGCTGTTCTGAAGGAATTACCCAATGCGCGCAGCTTGAATCGAATGGCTCGGTGACGTATGCTTATATAGTTTTGAAGATTCATATAAGTTATTTTGTGGATCTCAAATAGCTTAGCAATATCTGGAGGAATGCCACTAGTCCAATATTAGTCCCACCTATTCTATTGATCAGATTTGACCATCGGATAACAGAGCTTCAACAAACTTCATATAGCCATTCTCTGCAGCCAACTCAGCGGTGTTTGGCCATAATTGTCTTGCTGTTCTGGGTCAACGCGGCCATCAGATAACAGAGCTTCAACAACCTCCGTATGGCCAAGGGCTGTAGCCCAACTCAGCGGTGTTCGGCCTTCCTTGTCTTGTCGGTCTGGATCAATATCCTTGGCACGCATAAGGAGTACCTTAACTAAATTGTTGAGCCAATAGGCACCAGCTATGTGAAATGCATTCTGAGATGACATCAACCTACTGAATAGTCCTGAGAATGCTTTCTAATCTTTGAAAAAATGTCACAAAGTTGTACTACCACACTGACCCATTCTGGATTTATCAACAAGTCAAGCAGCTGAGGGGTGCAGAAGGAACAGGCAGATGCATGATGTCCCCAGTAGTTAACCGAATAGGTGAGGAGAGGTTTTCAAGTCGTTCACGCACCTCTTCATGTGGCATGACAGGACCACCGGAAAAGTCTTTGAACGAAAGGTATGATACGCGTGCATTTGCAATATCGCGGTGGGTGGGTGTTGGAAACCACCGAGTCAAAGTATTCTGGAAATATTCTCGAACTGTGTAGTCAACAAGTCGAATGATTTCGCTTTCTTTGTCGATAACAAAGAACTCGCAATCTGCCGAAAATATGCCTTCGGCATCAGGAATTATGGCTTCATCAAGCTTGTCCTCACTATCCTTGACAGCCCCATGTATAGTGAACCTCTATCGTTTTGAGAGAACGCTTGGCACAGATGATCTAGGATAGTATATGGTTGGCAAGCTCCTTGTGATTAGCCGGTTGCCGATTGACTCGCTCCATTGCGTCGTTATATGCCTGGTGTAATAGGGCAAGCTTTGGCTCTTTTTCTTGAGAGTTGTTGCAAAGCTTGTTCAATGTTTTTTACGGATACGCTTTGCGCTAACTTTATTCTTTAAGGACTCTAAGAAGAGGTGAGCAAGTAGGAACCTGATTTTGCGAAAAACCATATGCTCAATTGAATCAATAATCCATGGTTTGTAGAACACTATAACTTACATGCCATCTGCGACACTGGCAACACTACTAATGATCTTATGTCGAAGGTCTAGGTTATCTGAGACCGAGTGCCAATTGGTCATCTGATTGCGCATGTATCGCTTGATGTCGTCCTTTTGAGCCACGATCTCAATGAAAGAGTGCCAGTCATATGCTTCCGCAATGTCAGGCATAGGGTGGGATGTGGTCAGGAGGTTGATCTTAGTTCCTCTGGATTGAAGGTGTAGGTGCGTTTCAATGAACTTTGAATGAACATTGTTGGTCATTTGCCAATCGTCCAGCACATCAAAAACAACAAAGATCCCGTCCCTGTACGTTGCTGCAACAGCATGGAACATCTTCACGAGATCGCTCAACGATGGCTGTGATATATGCTTCTTGTGTTGAGTATAGGCATCCATGACTGCTGGTAGCGGTGAAAACTCATTCCTGAGTAGTTGCTTTATGAGGTTGGCAACGAGCTGCCCCACGGTTTGGTCGTCTACGTGCCAGAAGTTACAGTATAGGTATGCGATACCAATGTCATGGTTCCTCCAGTTCTGTTGGAGATAATGGATGACGATCGATACAAGGATATTCTTCCCAGCACCTGGTATGCCGGGGAAAAACAGAGTCACACACTTCCTTGACAGCCTGGTGGACTGATTAGCTTGAGGAAAAATATAGGAATGGGACAGGTATGAAGGAAACAAGGACTATACCATGCCTGAAAGTAAGGGGATTCTAGGAACCATTGTCCTGTGCCTTCTTCTCTTTGGCGTAGAAAATCAGCTTGTTGTGTCGAATAGTCTTCTTTGGACAGGGAAGAGAGCCAGTTGATAATCTTTGTATCTTTTTGTTCTTATGGAACAGATGTCAGCTCAAGATCGGCTACAAGACGATTACTTGCAAACATGGTAGATCAAAGTTCGGACAAACTTTGCTTGCTGACTTTACGGGGACCAGTATTGATAACACTAAAATTCTGCCCAATCTGGATACCAGTACCCTTTAGGTTTCTAAAATGAAACGTCTTAGACAGTGAGAGCTTTTCGATTATTTTCGCTTTTCACCCCCGAGCCCTATGTTCTGGCATTGGGTCAAAGCACGATATTTGTGGATTTTCCCCTAGGTTGGAAAGAAGCAGGACCTTGAAAGTCGCTCTGGTCTAGTTGGATGTATTATCAATATTGACGGAAGAAAGCACAGTGAAAAGAGGAATAAGGAAAGATAGTTATGTAGAAAGCTCGCTCGTATAACAAAGACTTTTGCATAGAGGAGATCTAACATGAACAAGACGAGAACATCTTAGCTCTAACGCGAACAGGATACAAGGATGCCTTTGGGGACGATACAACCAGAAGGCCGTTCAAACCATATATGCCTAACCAACCTGACATAATGATAGTGCGGGTATGAGGGTGAGCCATAGGCTCATCATGCTACACATCCGCGAGAGTTCTTTTACAGTTGTGCAACTCAAACTATGCTCTGATTAGCAATAGAAGCGCTGGAACTGCAGACCCCATAAACCTACTGGCTTGGCTTGCCCAATACCTATGAGTTACAAGGCTTCTATCCAACCCCCAGAAGGACGCATAGCTCGTTATGTCGGAGTGGTAACTGCTGTTCGAGGCCCAGCATATATAGTCCTGTGTCACAATGTTACCTGCCTGCTCTAGAACTTGATGTTGTAAGGAAAGTCGCGGAAAGGGCACTGCGTGAATAGATGAAGTTGGCGACCTACAAAAGAGCTAGGTTGGTCTGGAATACCTGCCTATCTAACTAGTTGGACGGGATGAATCGCTGTGGATCAGGTCGGGATGATCATGGCGATTGTGAGCCAGGCTGCCATCACAGCCGGTACCGATATAATTTGGACACTGCAGTGAATCCAATCAGCAAACACACGATATTGTTGTGAAAAAGCTACGTTGGGGATCTCTGTCCTTCAATATCAAAAAATAATAATTGAAAATATACTGTGTTACTATGTTGTACCTCACACAATTTTTAATGGAAGATTGAAAATGACCCATGCCACTTAACACTAAGCACCAAGGTACCCTCCGTTTGGGATCCGCTTAGGCTGTTCCAACATATAAAGATGCGATTAGCTTCATAGATGCTATCGTTCGACCGTGACTGACTGAGATCTATACCTTTCTCTGTTTCCTTTTTTCCCGACATTCTCCAGCCTGCCCACTTAGATGAGTAACCTTACACAATACTCCAAACTCCATACCACCCCAAACTCGCGAAATCCATGATCCATTGCATTACCTCAGTTGAGAGCTATCATGCTTGCTCGTAGATTGGTCCCGGGCTTGCATATATCCCATTGTCCCACGAATGCCTTTGAGTCTTGAATAACCACGCCCTGCACCAGCTTGTCCCCTCAGAAATAGTTCTTTTTCCTGCCGGTGCGAGTGTATTGGCTCAAATGCCACTCAACATCCGCATCCTTGTTCTCCAGAGTGCCCATGGTGATAGAAAATGGCCGCATGGTGAAGCGCGGGCCGACCTCGCTCAGTTCAACAGAGTTGTAGTTCGTCCGGACATAAACATGATGCCGCACCTCGATGCAGTCGTCCTGGTTCACGAACGTAATAACGCGGTTTCCTGACTTCGCGTTGTTGGTGGGATCGCGGGGAGGGAACAGGTGCTTTAGGATCTTGACCACACGCTGGCCGAGGGGTGTCCTGAAGCCCTCGAAGATCAGATGAGGGTAGCTTTCGCTGACCGTGCCCTTGATGGACTTGGGAATATCGGCGCGAAGAACGACGTTGTGAAGAGAAGCCATCAGGGTTGGGCCATGCGGGAAGTGGCTGATGGTAATGGCTGTCGGAGTACCACGGTGCTCGTGAAGAAGAATAATATCGCTGAGGCGTTCCCTTTGAGCGGACATGACGAGGTCAGGGAGGATGAGGTTACCACGGTTTAACCGGATTGCTGTCGGGAACATCAACCTAATCTCCTTCGAGAAGGCCATTAACCTAGAACTGGGGTCTCTGGATGTCGTTACCAGCACTCTCGGATCTAAAGAATACGGTCAGCGATAGTCTAGACTCCACACAAAAACGTAGGATGTCCGTACCAACAATGCCCGACAGCTCTGAGTACTCGTCGTCGATGTCAATTTCGCCCTGCTCCTTGGCAATATCCCGAGACACATCGTAGTCGAAGTCCTTCCGCAGTTCCTTATCGTTCGCAATTTTGGGATCCAGAGGCTTGCCAGACGCAAGCGCCGCCCTCAACTTGGCGCGCTTTTCTGCGATCTCAGCATCGCGCAGGAGGAGGGCGCGGCGGTAGAGATAATCTCTCCTTTGGCGGGCTTGTTTGCGCTGGAAATTCTGTCAGTTGAGTTTCCATGTAGGAGACATCGATGCGACCGCTTACAAGCATCTTGTTGTGTATGAAACAAAGGGTATGGGATACAATGTCCAAATCTGGGCGTTGCTAGGTGCTGTAAGAGGCTGCTTGAAAAAAAAATGGCCGGCCGCAAGGCTGAAGCTACAGGGATCTTTAGCGTTGAAAGTGGGGCTCCCACAGCAGGCGGGGCGTGTGGCAGCCTGTCCTGTCTATGATCACGGCAGCAGGGAGAAGCACAGACCATTAAGCTAGGTTTTCACCGACAAGCGTCTCCGCCACTTTCCACTTTCAGCAGCCGATCGACTCCATCCACGCCTGGCCCACGGCTGGGAACCACTGATGCACCACGGCGGCCAAAAAATCAAAGACAAAACCAACCCGCTGAGGACCAACGACCACAGCACCCCGCGCAGCATCGCCAGAATTACCCCAGCGAAGCCCTTAAGTCGCGCTGACTGACTCCGGCGAGCTCTCAGCCGCTTCAACCGCTGCCAGCGATGATGTGACAGTTTTTTCTCCCACAATCCTCTTCTCTACTCTCTTATAGACTCTGCGCTGTCCCGCGACCACCTCAGCCGCGCGGGTTCTGACTCTAGATTGTTTACCCCTTTTTCATCGTATATCTGCGACCATCCTAGTGGTGAAGCCCTCAGGTTAGCATCGCCCTTGTGTCCCTCTACATCCATCCGAAAACAGTCCCTTTCAAAGCCTGTTCCGGCTGTCGGACGCCCTTCGCCTCGACTTCCCTGCCTCGATGCGTCTTTCCCAAGATACCCCCCCTCAGCTTTGCCTATCTTGATAGCCTGTCTCTTCTCCTCAAACTCATCCCATCTATTTCAACCAGCCATCTGACACGGTTTTCTTTACACTTAGGGTGTCGCTGCCTCTCCTAATTTAAACTGCGCCATGGAGGGTGCTTTTACTCACCTAGGAAACCACCTTGTTTCCGACTCGGCTGCGGCTATCAAAGCCGGGGGCTCTGACGAGCTGTCTAACCTCGATCCGGACGAGCACCTTCTTTATGGCGTGCATGGCGGACGGGGCGGTGGTGCTCGCACCGGTCTGAGTAGTGCCAGGCGCCGCCAGGACGACGACGACAACGATACCGAAGTCCTGGATGACGATGACGACGAGAGCCTGGCTAGTGTCCCGGTTGAGGGCATGAAGGGACTCAAGCTTAAGAAGGAGGAGGAGAAAGAACTGCCCCCTCATGCTTGCGCGTGAGTACATCTGCTGCTCTTGCTTCTAGCTTCGTGTATGCTGACTCACGAGTCCAACAGATACTGCGGTATCCACTCTCCTGCCAGCGTCGTGAAGTGTCTCACTTGCGAAAAGTGGTTCTGCAGTGCCCGTGGCAATTCCAGCTCTTCGCATATTATCAACCACTTGGTGCGCGCCCGCCACAAGGAAGTCCAGCTCCACCCACAGTCGTCCCTGGGTGACACGATTCTCGAATGCTACAACTGCGGTACCAAGAATGTCTTCCTCCTCGGTTTCATTCCTGCCAAGTCCGATACCGTGGTTGTGCTCCTGTGTCGTCAACCTTGCGCTGCGAGCACATCGGCCAAGGACATGAGCTGGGATGTTTCGAGATGGCAGCCCCTTATTGAGGACCGATCCTTCCTCCCCTGGCTTGTCCAGCCCCCTACCGACGCCGAGCAACTTCGGGCACGTCACCTTACCCCTCCGATGATTGCAAAGCTCGAGGAAATGTGGAAAGAGAGTCCCAATGCGACCGTCGCTGATTTGGAAAAGAATAATGGCGTCGATGACGAACCGCATCCGGTGCTGCTCAAGTACGAGGACCCGTATCACTACCAAAATATCTTTGGCCCGCTCGTCAAGATGGAGTCCGACTATGACAGGAAGCTGAAGGAGGCTCAGTCGGAGGACAATCTCCAGGTTCGCTGGGATATGGGCCTGAACAACAAGCACTTGGTCAGCTTTATCCTTCCGAAGATTGAGTCCGGAGACGTCAAGCTCGCCGTTGGCGACGAGATGCGTCTCAAGTACAAGGGCGACCTCCGTCCCTACTGGGAGGGCGTGGGCTACGTTATCAAGATCCCTAACAACCAGTCCGACGAGGTCACTCTCGAATTACGCAAGTCACCGAACGACAAGTCTGTGCCAACCGACGTTACGACCTGCTTCTCGGCCGACTATGTCTGGAAGGCCACCTCATATGACCGCATGCAGGCTGCAATGAAGACCTTTGCCGTCGACGAAATGAGCGTTTCAGGCTACATTTTCCACAAGCTTCTCGGCCACGAAGTGGCAGTCGCTCCTATGAAGACACAGCTGCCTAAGAAGTTCCATGTGCCTGGCCTTCCGGAGCTGAACCACAGTCAGATTACAGCCATCAAGACGGTGCTCTCAACTCCGCTGAGCCTAATCCAAGGTCCTCCGGGCACGGGAAAGACAGTTACCTCGGCCACCATTATCTATCATTTGTGCAAGATGAACAACAGCCAAGTGCTGGTCTGCGCACCATCCAACGTTGCCGTTGACCAGCTTTGCGAGCGTATCCATCGTACCGGCCTGAAAGTCGTCCGTCTGACGGCCAAGTCTCGAGAGGATGTTGAGTCGTCGGTGAAGTTCCTGGCATTGCATGAACAAGTGCGTATGCACACTGGCAACCCGGATCTCCGCAAGCTTGCGCAGTTGAAGGCCGAAGTTGGCGAACTGTCGTCACAGGATGAGAAGAAGCTCAAGCAGTTGACGCGCCAAGCTGAACGGGAGATCCTTGCCAATGCGGACGTTGTGTGCTGTACCTGCGTCGGCGCTGGCGACCCGCGCCTGGCCAAGATGAAATTCCGGAACGTACTGATCGACGAATCTACGCAGTCGGCTGAGCCTGAGTGCATGATTCCTCTTGTCTTGGGTTGCAAGCAGGCAGTTTTGGTCGGCGATCACAAGCAGCTCGGCCCCGTCATCATGAACAAGAAGGCCGCCAAGGCTGGCCTGAACCAGTCTCTCTTCGAGCGCTTGGTAAAGCTCAACCTGACGCCGATCCGCTTGAACGTCCAGTACCGAATGCACCCATGCTTGTCCGAATTCCCTTCGAACATGTTCTATGAGGGTTCTCTCCAGAACGGCGTTACCCATGCGGAGCGCATCCGTAAGGATGTCGACTTCCCCTGGCCGGTCGCCGATATGCCCATGATGTTTTGGTCAAATCTGGGAAGTGAGGAGATTTCGGCTTCGGGTACGTCGTATCTGAATCGTACTGAAGCGGCGAATGTCGAGAAGGTTGTAACCCGCTTCTTCAAGGCGGGCGTCAAGCCTAGCGACATCGGTGTGATCACGCCGTATGAGGGCCAGCGTAGCTACATCGTTAGCACCATGCAGAATACGGGCACCTTTAAGAAGGAGTGGTATAAGGAGGTCGAGGTTGCCTCTGTGGATGCCTTCCAGGGCCGTGAGAAGGACTACATCGTGCTTTCTTGCGTCCGGTCAAACGACAATCAGGGCATCGGTTTCCTCTCGGATCCCCGCCGTCTCAACGTCGCGCTCACTCGCGCCAAGTATGGTCTGGTCATCATCGGCAATCCCAAGGTGCTTGCCAAGCACGAGCTCTGGCATCATCTTCTCGTGCACTTCAAAGACCGTAAGTGCCTGGTTGAAGGCCCGCTCAACAACTTGCAGACATCACTGCTACAGTTCCCTAAACCCAAGACGGCCTATCGCCAGCCCCGCTGGCAGCAACAGCAACAACAGCAGCAGCACGTTGCCGGTGGTTATCCCAATGGTCGTTATGGAGGCATGAACGGTTCTGTCCGTGACTACGAAACTGGCTCAATGGTCTCGTATATCCCTGATGACGTCTCTTCCATCCACAGCTCTGCCCTCGGCGGCGTCGGCCTTAGCTCGGCCTACCCACACATTTTCTCCAACTTCCATCCTGACCAGTGGCCCGGTCTTCCCGGCGTCCACGCGGGCGGCCGTCCTGGCACCAAAGGCCGTGGCCGCGGCGCAGAGAGTGTGGCTGGCGAGAGTGTCGCCCCTAGCGAATACACAGATGCCGGCGCCAGCGTTATCGGCGGTAAGGGCGTCGGCCAGGGCGGTGCTAGCTTAGGTGCCGGTCTTACTGAGACGGTACACACAGCTCGCCCTGCTTCATACAGCCAGAGCGATCGGCTGAAGCAGTATGTTGAGACGGGCGGTCGTATGGGTGTTGGCAATGGGTATGGTCGGCGGTATGATGACGATGAGAAAAGTGTCAGCACCGCATTTGCGAGCCAGATCGGCTCGGGGTTTGACTGAACGGTTTTTGCCGGGGAGGACAGGTTCTTCTTGATCCTTTTCAGGGGGCCTTGTTTTCTCACACTTGTTTTTTTGGGTCATTCCTCCTGCATAATGGCGAAGGACGGGTACGGAGAGATGCCTAGACAAGTGGATCATCCATCCTCTGGACAAGCAAAGAAGCGGTCTGTCCCGGTTTGCATGCCTCAATTGCCGTTCTGAATAGCTCGGTAGAGCGTACATGTGCAGATCGGGTTTGCAGCAGATCAGTGAGGATTTCTGGCCTGACCAGGAAGTGTTCGGTAGTTGCTCCCTCCCTGTTTCGAAGGTAGCACATCCGAGCAAGACGACACAGCTTAACTCGGAGGCTTACTGCTAACAAAGGCCTTCCGCGATGCTTCGGATCTCTACCGCTACGTCGTCGTTATGCCCGTATATACGAAGCGCTCAATCAATCCTGCGCCACCGTCGGTCCACCGGAGTCATGGCAAACGAAGCATCTCGCTTTTAAAGAGAGGGAAGGATTTTATTTGACTTATGGCTGTTTGCCATTGACGTGGAAACATAGCCATTACCTGCCTGGAGGAGAGCAAGCTGGTATCAGGTGATTGAGAAGTTCATAAGTGGCATTCCACAGTCAAGGAATCGGTGTCACTCTTCCTCTTGCCTCACATAGCTTTCAACGGCCGCCTCAGGTATGGACATATGGATGGATGGATTGAGATGTGGGTTGGTAATGGATAAGGGAAGTTTTTCATACAATCCTTATTCCAAGGAGATGATTTTGAGGATAGAGGATGCGGTGATGCCACTCATGCTCATTCCATTGTTTTCCATGCTTGATGCAGACAAGCGTTCAGCGTTTTCGCTTCGTTGACAAACAGGGAGAGGAGAAGGCGCTGATTTATTCTATGTAAATTTTCCTGCTTTACTTAGAGTTACTCGGCCGTTTTCTTCTCCCGTTTAGTCTGAATGGCTCTTCCTTCAGTCACTCGTTTTCTGGAGGCAGCCTAGATGTTTTACTTTTTGAGAGTTGATTGAAACAGAATGGACAGACCCAGCTGAGAAAAGTAGAGCAGAACAGAGAATAGCACTTCATTCTTTTCACAGATGGCTCGGTCAGGTGGCGCTGCGAGGTGAGTTGTGCATTTTGTTAGCTTGTATCCAGCAATGTAAGGTTGATGCAGGGTCGGAGGTTGGGTCGGAGACGTCCCCGCTGCGAGACCCGTGGCGAGGCCGCCCGGGTCAAGGTGTCGCGGGAAGACCAGACTTACCTCACCTGTGGCTTGATGTTCAGCTACGGTGGATCTCTTGAAGAGTTCGGCAGTAGCTTTGCAATCTCCGTATATGGCTATCTCCCCTAGTACTTGGAAGCGCTCGTTTCCCAGCAGAAAGGTTTTGAAGAGAGCGACGTTCTCAGGAAAGCTCCAAGAGAAGGCAGTCCGGTGTCCTGGGCTCGCCGAGGTGAAACATTCTCGCTGGCGGCCTCGTCTTAGCGCGCGACTCCTGAGTGGACAACGTCAGCAGCGCTTAATGCCTTAGCGAGCCCTCATGCTTTTCGAGGTTCTGGTGCTGCAGTGGTTTTGTTGGATTTTAATGCAGTCCTTTGCTCTCGATGGCGAGTGGATGCCACGAACATTTAACCAACTGGTCAGATACGTGAATAAGTCACTGCTTTGCTTTGTTCTCTACTCTAGTGGCTGGGTTGAGCTTGCATTGCTATTGGTGCCCAAATTCTCCAGCTTCCAGGCGGGATGAGAATTTGATTTTGAGGATGGCAATCTGGGACTTTGAAGTTTAAGCATTTATCTTTTCTACGGATTACACGCTATTCGACTTCCGTTCGGGTAACACGGCCCTGGGCACTGCCACCACGGCGCTGCGCGCTCGACGTCATCTTGCAGCTTCAGGACGAGACAAACAGTTGGCATCTTTAAGATTTGTGCAGGTTGTTCATTTGGTTGTCGCCGAGGATATAGATATTGGACGGAAGTGACCCTACTCAGGTTCTTTATCCTCCATTCATCCCTTGCGACCAACTCCAACTTCAACCGACTCATTGTGAAAGCCGGCTGGGGTCGGACATCACTAGGGAAGTTCCACCAGCCTTCTCTTTATTCACCACCATTTTACATCACTTTTTTTCCGCTCCATCAACCATCAACCTACCGGCAGAACACAAATTACAATGACGTCAGCTTCAAAGAGCTCCACCTCTAACGGAGCCGCAGCCGCTCCCAAACCAACAACATCAGGCCAGCACTCAAGAAAAGCCTCGGAACCGACTTCAGCACAGACCCCTTCATCGAGACTAACTTCGAGACCAACATCCCGACCGGCCTCGTCAGGCACCGGCACACCTTCAAGATGTTCCTGTGCCTGTGACAGACCCGACAGCCGGGAGGATGAATTGGCCAACGTCAACAACGAGTTGCCGTCGTTGGAACTCATCCGCCAGATTGACAACTACCAGGTCCTCGATCAAGATGGAAAGGCACACAGCTTCCGGAGTTTGTACACCGGGAAGCATGTCGCGAGGCGGGTGCTGATCATCTTTGTTCGTCACTTCTTCTGCGGTGTAAGTCCCACTCTGGCTCTCAAGCCCCGCTATCTCGAACAATGCAGGTTAACTTCGGTCCCAGAACTGCCAAAACTACCTCCGCACGCTCTCCGCCTCTATCACTAGCGAAGCTCTCCTCTCTCTCCCTCTGACAACCTTCATCTGTGTTGTCGGCTGCGGCGATCCATCCCTCATCAAAATGTATGCCGACGCCACTGGCTGTCCCTTCCCCATTTACACCGATCCCTCACGCCGCCTCTACGAGGCGCTCGGAATGGGCCGCACCCTCGCGCTGGGCGAGCGCCCCGCCTACATGCAGCAGCATCTGCTAGTAAGCAGCGCCGCGTCCGTTCTGCAGGGCCTGAAGCAATTGGGCAAGGGGAAAGTCCATAAAGGGGGTGATGCGAAGCAGGTGGGAGGAGAGTTTCTGTTTGAGCCAAAGTCACTTGTTGATGCGGTGAGGAAGAATGGGAATGTGCTGGGCGCAGTGGCAAGTCCGGTGGAAGGGTTGCCGAGGGATGTGTTGTTTTCTCAACCGGGAGATGAAATGAAGAAAGGAGGAGGGGAAAGGCCTGGATCGAGGAGGGAGGAGGCTAGTTTGGATGGGAAGTTTGAGCCAGATGGAGATGGCGAGGATAAGGTTGTTACATGGTGCCATCGGATGCGGAATACCAGGGATCATGCTGAGATTCCGGAGTTGATGGAGGTGTTGGGGCTAGAGGGGTATGGGCAACCGAGTGAGGATGAGGAGAGGTGGAGGAAGGCTTTGACCACGAGGAAAGGGAAGGGGATGAGTCTTGCTGGGCAGATGGGGCTGATTAAAGGGTTGAGGACTGGAGAGTGGAAGGATGAGAATGGTGTTAAAAAGAAAGAGGACGTGGTTACGAAAGAGTCAGAGACAGTCCCTTTGAATGAAAAAGCGGAAAAAGCGTCAGCATAAGGAGGGTCTGTTTTTCAGTTTCATAATGATAACCATTTCTTGCCCACAATGGCGTTCGGGTTATTATCGAGTCAATTATTCAGGGTTCTCAGTCTGGCATGAACACAAAGATACCAATCAGAATGAAATATACACCTGGTTTACATGCTCTGAGATAGGTTTATATCTCAGTCTGGTGACATGAATAGAATCTAGGTTATTTTGAGCATTTTAGGTCCTACAATGTTATCTGTTGTTTATCTTGATCAAGACCCATCTCCTGTGCGAGGATGAAACAAGAGAGGCAATATATACCAGTGATCCTATTGAGGAGTAATCTTTATGACGGACTATTATCTCTCTCCTTTCATAAGCGTACAAGCATAGGATTAGGTGAGGACATAAGAATTTCACCGACCTGCTCCTTCCATGAGTCTCAGGGGTATTGTTAAAAATACCATACAATCAGGTGTTACTTGACTTTCTTGGAACACGACTAGGCAGCACTCATTGATTTTTCAATCGAGTAGCAATTTTTGGCTCTCACTTGTTTGTTGCTTATCGAAGTGGGATTGTTTGACGTTTTGATCCTCTTTCGTCTATTTGTCGATGTTAACTCGAAGCATGTTGACAAGGAAGGGCCACAACAATCCATCTGGTATGCGTCCTTCCCAGGACAAACTCGACATGGAAGAGCCATGGGTAAAGAGAATTCGTCCAATCAGGTCCTGGAACAAGAAAAAGGAGACGACCGAACCTCGGACAAACAAGCTGCAGCCGGGTCGTCTTCCTTCTCCAAGAGACACAACCACCAGCAGCACGGACAATCCAAGCTCCTCATCAATTCCTTCTTATCCAGGGCAAAGAAAGGGCCCATCCCTTCGAGACCGTCTAATCGTTCCTCCGAAGCATCGGAATCCTTCCGCCCGGCATGAAGACAAGAAACCGCGCAAGGTCAGCATTGCTCCCCTTTTCCAACGCATCGAGGCCGCCTTCGAGGCAGGTCCGGCTCCTTCCACGTCCAGCTATGCGAAGACTCGGGATCAGAGAGGGCGGTCCCCTTCTCTGACCCCTGATGATCTGTTGAAGCAACTCAAGGGTAGGTAGCTCACTTTTTTACTCAAGAATCCGACTGACTCGTATTTAGAACACTATTTCCAAACGGCTACAACACTCCACGAGCAAGCTCTCATGCGGCTGGACCTCGCTCAGCAGAACCTCTCTCACAAACTCACCCAAGCCCTCAACGGAGACGAGGAATTTCTCGTCCATGCTGAACAGCACATCGAGCGGCTGGCCATTCCACTCGATGAGTTCATGATACAGTCCGAAAAGAGGAGAAAAACGACTATTCAAGACTCTGGTACTGGCACAGGGAGCAGCGACAATGCCGAGAACGGTGACGGAGAGAGGAATGTGGAGCTGAAGACTGTGTGTGAGTTGGTTGCTGATGCAACGGAACAAACCAGAGCGTTTGAGAAGGAGATGGAGGAGTTGTGGAGGGAGTGGGTAGTTGCAGAAAAGGAGGCCAGAAGGTTGATGAGGAGGGTTGGAGAGCCAGGAGCAGGAAGTGAAGGGGGGGAACTGCTCAAGCGGTATACTGCAGCGGTTGAGAAGGAGATCGCTAAGGCTGAGGAAGAGGTTACTGATCTGGGGGGGGAAGCAGTGAAGATGATGAAGGAGATCGAGAAGGTAAGTTTGCATGATTGGGTGCTTATGAAATTTGATAGGCTGACAATCCTCAGGACTTTCGGAAGGCGACGCTGCCGGACTTGCATCTGTTCTTTCAATCTATCGAGGAACTGTAGGATTGTGGCGGACTGTTGCTTTGATGTAAGGAGAACTTGCTCCATATATTGAAATCTTGGCAAGATGGGCTCAAACCGTGCTGCTAAAGTCAAAATAAACAGTTAACGCCACTTGAAGCAGTAAATGAGAGATTATATGCATGTCAATCCAACTCTATGGAGTGTATGCTAATGACCCATGGGTAACCAAAACCAAAAAACGCCACCCAGAACCCCAACCCCATTTTACGCGACACGACTAACAATCAGGCAAGCGGCTCAACCGGTGTTACGCTACTCCGCTATGCAACCAACGCCATACAAAGCATCTCTACTGCTGTTCCTCAACAACAACACCCCACGGGTGCTGCTCCTTGCCGTACATGATATTGGCCATCCACTGCTTGATCTTGGCCGTGTACTCGCCGACATCTCCCTGAGCCATTGGGATGTGAACATCGACATCGCGGTGGCGGATCTGGGAAACGGGGCAGATGAAGAACTGGGCGCTGTTAGCATCTTGCTCACAAAACCTCGTTTTTTCCACAAAAAAAAAACTTACGGCAGTGCCAGCAGCGAAAGCCTCGACAATACGGCCCTCCTTGTGAGCCTGAATGACCTCATCGATGGTATATTTGCGCTCAACAACCTCCAGTTCATCCGCAAGCCTCTCCTTGGCCAGCTGAACCACGCTTCTCCGAGTGACACCGTCCAAAATGAGCTTATCATCGAGCGGCGCGGTAATTAACTGAGTCTTGCCCTCGGGAGTCTTCCACACCAGGAAGAAGTTGCTAGCACCGGCCTCAGTGCAGTAGCCCTCCTTACCGTACAGCCATAAAATCTGGGTGAAGCCACGCTCCTTCGCCTCGTTCGTCGCCAGCAGGCTTGGGCCGTAGTTGGCGCCGACCTTGGCGTAGCCGAAGCCGCCCACCCACGCACGAACCATGTCTTCCGGATTGGTGTGCAGCTTCATGCCGCCCTTAGGGCTATCCATGCGCGGCATGAAGGAGGCTGTGATAAAGAGCAGCGCCTCCTTGGGCGTCTGCACACCGAGCTGCGGCTGAGTGCCGATGATGGCTGGGCGCAAGTACAAGAACGAGCCTGGGCGGGAAGCGGGCAGCCACTTTGGTCCGTCAATGGACATGAGCATGATGATGAGCTTCTCCAGCTCGGCAGGATCGAAGCCGGGCAGGGAGATGCGCAGCGTCGACATGAGCATGCGCTTGCAGTTCAGATCCGGCCGGAACAGCCGCAGCTTGCCGTCGAAGCCGCGGAAGGCCTTGAGACCCTCGAAGCACTCAGTCGCGTAGTGCAGCACCGAGGCCGTGGGCATCAGGGTCAGGGGTCCGTACGGCTTCAGCTCAGGCGCGGACCAGCCGGTCGAGGAATTCCAGGAGACGGTGATCATGTGGTCAGTGCAGACGGTCTCGTTGCCGGAGCACGCAGTGGCTTCGTCCGGGACGGGGCGAGCGGCAGGGTCAGCGCGGGTAATGATCAATTTGGATGCGTCCAGGGGAGCCAGGGAGCTGCCGTTGCCGGTGCCATTGGCGCTGCCGTTGGAGAGAGCGGGCTGCTCGGCGATCTTGTGCTCAAGAGCAGTCGCGGCGAGGTCCTCGGCGGGGCGCTTCTGGGGGATCATGGTGACGGTTGTCTCTAAGAGATCGGGGTTATATTTTAAGATAGGTTGGACGGTTGGTTGAAGCTGGAATAAAGATGCGGCCGACACCAGGCAATGGCCTCTTCTGATCACTGGGAACAACTGGAAGAGAGAAAGGAAGGCAACAGTCACGGGGACCGGGGGCCGGCCACTTCTTAAGAAGCTCGCCAGAATGGACCTGGGGTCTTCTGGGGCCGTGTTTGCTCGGCGGCCGATTGGTCAATGGGGACATGCCGCGCCGCCCCCGGCTTTTTGGGTGGGCTAGCCGGACTCCATCAATATCGTCTCGTCTACGGCAGGGCGTAGGGATCATAAAAAATTCGTTTCTTCGCTTGAGACGAGGCCTATCACACATTGTAACGCTGCAGCCACACAGCCCACGCAGAGAGATAGCAGCGGAAGCACCGCCGGGATCGCCGGGCCTGTGGACGAGTGCCGGAGGTTTCCGCACGATGTAGTCCGTTTGTCGGACCTCTCTGCTGGGCCCTGGGATGCGTTATGGCTTGGGGACCCGTTCCTTGCCGTCGGAGGCGGATGGACCGGGGTGGCCACGCGGATCTGGGTTAGGACATTCCAGGATGGCAGCCACGGCGATGCAAGATGGCACCTGATGAACGCATCGTGCATGCGGACTCTCCGAACCCGGAGGCAAAAAGATGAGTCTTCTGTTTCAATATCAATTGCTGCGCGTGACGCCACGAGTGTTTCAACAGTTTGGGAGTTGTCGTTCCTGACTCATCATTTGGCGTTGAAATTTTGAACTTTTTTCGGTGGATTTCGTTGCCGTCGCCCGGCACAATGAATCCACTTGGCGCGGGGCAGTGGACTTGCTGTGTATGGCAGAGAGACGCGAACGCAGCAATTGGAACGCACTCCAGCTCTCATCCCTCCATTCGAGCAAGCGCCGATTTGCTTGAAGATAAAGAAATGGCGGCGTGACCCCCCAAAGATCGAGCTAGCGCTCCAAAATGCCATCATAACGCCGATACAACGCGGTGCAAAGCGGCGGCAGAAGTGACATGGGCAAGCGCGAGAGGCGTGCAATTGGCCCGAAAATAGCCGCTGGTAGGCGCCTTAGGCGGGAAGATTTAGGCGGCCAATCAGAGGAGGCGTTCGTTTTCATATTGGCCCGAGCTTCATGCCTCGCAAAGCGGGGTTGCAACGGCTGTTCACCTTGGCCTGACCTCGGTGTCACACCGTCACAGCAACCTTGGGCTACCTTGAAGGCCGCCTGCCCTCGTCCCGACAGTCTGGATGTGAGGATATTTTGGGCAGGCTAGCAAACAGCTGTCATGCCACGGGTTGCAGTGCAGATTTGGTTTTATTCCGTTTGTGGTTATTTCAAGGTTTAGGCTGATTCCAGCTCGAAGTCTATGTAAAGTCCACCTCACTAAGCAACCTGAGAGGTGAGTTGATTTCCGGATTTGGACGGAATCAACTTCTCCCATGACATCAATCCGAGCTGAAGCCCATCCGAACGCCTCCACGGCCCGAATGTTGCATCCGGTTCCTTCCCGAGGAGGTTGCGCTTATATGAAATGGCAGAACCGTGGGAGCTGGAATAAAAGAGGATATAAAGCCAACAATGTCTGCACATCGACCCCTGTCTTCCAGTTGTCGCCAGTTTACTTGCAGGCTCTTTCGGGCCGAGGCTGCACGAAGCCTGGACTGCCAGCACTTCAGAACCACGTCGAAGACAGTTGTGATGATGAACGTGATCGAGTCCAGCGTCGCCAGCCTTCTCTTCCATTTTCTGGGACCGGCAGCGTTCCGCGGGGCCAGGGCAGACGGATAAGATGAGGTATGTAACGACTAAAAGACAACCCTAACGTCCTGTATGGGGCCCAGCGACCCCAGGAGGGCAGTCGAGCGCCGTTGCAGGCGCTCCTGTGCTGCCACGTCTGGCGCCGAGTTTTCACTGGTCGCGTGTGTGCCAACTCATCGCCCTCCTGAGCCTAGTTGACGCTTCGTCGTGAAACAGATCCCCCGGCCCCGGCAAATATTTTGACGTCTAATTACACGCAGTCAAGCGCCAATCGCTGGAGAGATGGACATGAAGATGATGCATTCACCCTTTTCCGTGCGGTATGAACGGATTCGGATTCCCGAGTCAACCTAAGGAGCCGAGGTGCACCCAGTGAACCACTGCTTGAAGTTCGCTTCCCGGTGACGCCACGGCCACGCCCCCCCCCCCCCCGGCTTGCCATCACAACACAGCACTGCGCAGAGCGCAAAGCGGGTAAATCGGCGCGTCCCCCGCCGTGGAACCGTCCACGGGATGGATCGAGTGATATTGCTGCGAAACGATGCCAGATGGCAGCCGACACCACGCTGATGCATGTCGACATCTGCCGCCGTGATTGGGTCCCGCATTCTCACAATTCTCCTCTTCGCCGTTCCGTGGCCTTGTGCACTTGTGGCTCCCCTGGCTTCGAGCCCCGGTTGCATCACGTTGCGTTGACGTTGTCGCCCAACTTCACGCCCACAACCCTAGCTAGCCTGGCCTAGCCTGAGCCGACAGCAGCGAGCCGAGAGTTGTGAATTCGCTGATTGCTCCACGAGGGTGTCTTGGTCTACTCTAGACACTCCCCTTGAAGCCCCGCTCGCCGTTGCTCGTGCCCGTGCTGCTTCCTCGTGTCAGCCAGGCAAGGCCTGTTATTTTTTTCCAAACCATTCGCTTGCTTCGCTCGCTGACTTCCTTGTGGTCTTGTTTTGTTGTTTGTGGTCGAGTCAACGACTGCTAGATTCACACACCGCCCCCTCCCCCTCCTCGGATCTTGATGGCCTTCCTTCTCTCACGCCTGTGACCTGCTGCTGATCACCTCCTGAGTCCCGGCTCCCCCTGCCCCGTTGTGGTCTGCCCTGTCAGCAGCGTGACAACATGTCCAAGGACCACAAGGACCTGAAGGGCAGGGCAGAGACCCTCCGCCAATTGCAACGAAAGGACTCGCTCACCTCGCTCCTCTCGTGGACTGCTGGTCGGACCGGGATCGGGATCCCTGTTGCGAGACCGTCCACAGCGCCTGCTTCATATTCCCCGTCTTCAACGAACGCCAATCCTCCCGAGAGCGGCTCCTTCAACAGCAACCACAATAATAGCAAGCAGCGGAGACATAGCCATAGCGGCCACACCAACAGCAGCGGCTCTTTCACTATCGATGTCAAGAAGAAGGCACGTATAGAATCTGGCACTGTTCGCCTCCTGGCGTCGATCAACCCAGCATTCCAGCAGAGACCAAGTGCTAAGACGAGACCTGCAAAGACATCCCCCGTTGTGAGTCTGAAAGAGGACAACAACAGTGATAAGATGAGCGTCAAGACGGCAATCAAGAGTGACTCAGAGAAGGGCAGTGCCCCGAGTGCTGGTGCTCGTCGTCCCAATACCCCTGTTCGGTACAAGTACCCGTAAGTGATCAAAACCTCCTTCTCTCGCATCCGCTCATACAACAAGTCTCGTTAACAAATCTCCCAGACACCACAGCCCTCAGCGGCCCAAATCTATCCTCCGTAACCCCAAACCCGACGTCTCCAAGCGGCCACGAACCCCCTCGGCTTCATCCTCCTCAGAAGAACCCGGCCAGACTACGCCCCCACTCTCTCCCTCCTCCAGCACCACGACCTCCTCCGACGCCCCGGCAACCCCTCCTCTCTCACCATCCCTCAACAATAAATTCCCTCAATCTCAAACTCAAAACAAGACACCAAGGGAACCCACGGTCCGCTTCGCCAAAGCCACAATCCACCACATCGAGGTCTACTCCCCCGGGGCGAAGCTCTTGCCCGTGAAGCGCAAGTCGCGGAGTACGCTGAGCTATTTAGACCCATCATGGCGCAGCTTGCCGAAGAATTTAACGCAGAATCCGGTGAAATGGAGGCGACATCAGGAGAACCAGAAGGCTATGGGACGATATTGGCGGAGAACAGAGGAGGAGGAACAGATGTGGCGACGGGAGATGGAACGTAGGGCGGAGGAGGAGGCTAGGGCGTATAGAAGTGAGCCTGCGGCTAGGCCGGGCAGTCCGGAATTGAATATCTGGGTGAATGGGGGGAAGTTGGCGAGCGCCGTCGTGGATGATAAGTGGCCTTTGGCGTCCGAGACTGAGGAGGAGGAGCTTAGGGAACAAGATGAGGAGAAGGATAAGCTAGAGGAGGTGCTGGCTGAGGATGAGGATGAGGTAGATAAGTTGGAGGAGGTCTTGGCGGAAGAGGAAAAGACTCGAGGGCCAGAGCAAAGCCTAGATGAGAAGAAACAGGAGGACGAAGTATCAGGGACGAAGTCCAAGTCCCAAACAGACGAACAAACACAACCGACACAACAACACAAGCCCCAAGCGGCCCCAACCCTCGACCACCCAACCAACTCCTACCTCCCGCTCACCGAGCCTCCTCAGCTCAGCTCACCGACATCCGAGCACCAGCAACACTCGACTTCCCCATCCTCACCATCCTCAACCGAGTCAACATCCCCCCCACCCAACTGGAACCCCTCCTCAACCCCGCTCAAAATCAACCCCTTCTCCAAACCTTCCGACGAGCGCCTGCCCCTCCTAGAACGGCGTGCCTCTGCACCAGCCCTCACAGCCCTGCGCACATCCTCATCACGCTACCGCTCCCTCTCCCGCTCGCCAGCACGCATGGAGCGGACGCACATGGGGATGGCGTCGCCTGTGTTGAAGCCTATTGCAATGTCTGTGCCCGTTCCCACGGGTACCACAATCACCACGACTACGTCGGCCAATGGGGTTACTACGACGACGGTGACGTATCCGACTATTACGACGACCACCGCGGGATCTACATACACTACCACCATGACGGTTGGTCCGGCTGCCCCTAGCGCAGGACCGGCTGTCTACGGACCTGGAGCCCTTCTCTCGCAGGAGTTGATCCCCTCCCCAAGTGTAAGCCCCATTTCCAGCCCGACGTTAGGTCCCATCCCGGGAAGTCCGATGCTTGGGCCGATGGCGGGGTTGAACCTCAACGGCTCAGCATCGGCTTCGGGGTCGGGGCTGAACATGGCCAGCCCTAGGATGCATCTTAGGAAAAGCAGGTTAAGGAATGCAATCACTGCTAAGTTGTGAATGCGCACGAAACATGGCTTGGTTTCATCAGGGATGGATGTTGTGGATTTATGAGATGGCAAGAAGGAAGAGGGAATCAAAACGAGTCGAACCAAACCAAAGCACCTGGGCATATGCCATATGGCCCATACCCAGGATAGGTGGTATAAGATTATGATGCCCAGCGTCACTCGCTTCCCACGCCAACATTTCCTTTGTCACACTTTCGCATTTACACGGTTCGTTGTTGTGTTGTTATGGCGTTTTGGGCCCTTCATAACACCATAGACCTACCAATTATAGGTGATGGAGTCGGCTGCACTCGTTGAACTAAATATTTCCTTTGTGAATCTATTCGGACTTTACGGTCTTGGTTTTGGATACTGGCAGTGCTGTTGTCGAAGTATATGTAACGGAGAACACTGGGGATACATTGTACGTAGTGGAGGGATTACATGATGAGATTAAGCAGGCTTGAGAGGAAACTGGATGAATGAAGAATGATGCCAACACAAACATCCAACTATCATGTCGTAAACATGGTGAAGCGTCAACTATAACAACGATGTCATTACTTTCACCTGGGAGGGCTCTCACGGAGCCACGAGTATTTACTCGTACAAGGGTGTTATTAACAAATATGTTATTACAATAAAATCCTACACATAAAGTCATAATTTACACGCCCAAAGGGTTATGCGACTTCTCAAATCGTTAGTAACCTCGTCCATATACTTTCTTCTTGCCACCCAACACCTCCAACGCCTCAATTCCTCCCCATAAAAATTAGCTATGTGGCCAATAGATGGCCAGAAGATATAACAACAAAGGAGAAAGAAAAAGTGATTAGAAAAAAAAGAATTGTCGCAACATTTAGTCCTATTAATCATATCCCAACACGCAGCAAAGCTGCTTGTGACCCAGTGGATCAGTCAGTCAGTAAGTGACGAGACTTATGATTGCTCATCCCCTATATGATAAGTCACATGGAGAGTGACTGTGCCGAGATAGAAACGATGTTGAGCATCTCCGTCTAGCTACCTTACTGGCGCATGCTGTAACGCTTGAAAATATCTTCCAGCTACTTTTCGATGAAGGTAGGAGTAGAGCTACCAGGCTACGTGAAGCTGGAGCCCGAATCGCTGCAAGGGGCATGCCGAGAGGCAGCAAGACCACGGACAGGAGGATCAGCAGGAGGAGTCTGGTTAGTCCAGGCCGGCTGGTCCTGAAGGACAGGAGGCTTCTGAGCAGCCACTTGCAGGACAAGAGTCTGCGAAGCAACGACGTGCTGGACAGGGGCCTGCTGAGAGATAACGTTGAGCTGGGAAACAGCCTCAGTCGACTGAGCCGGTGTACCAACCTGTTGAGCAGGAACCGATTGAGCAGAGACCGGAACGGGAATCTCCTGAATAGGGCCCGGTTGAGCAAATATCGACTGGATCGGAGCCGCTTGAGTCAAGCCCTGCTGAACCGGGGCCTGCTTGACAGGCACATGAACTGGAGCCTGAAGCTGAGAACCCTTGGTAATGATCCAAGCAGATGCCGAACGTTGCTTCGAGTCGCCAATAACTATTGGACTAGTAGCAGAAGTAGCGGAACTTAAGTCATTGAGGACAGGGTTAGGCGCAAGTGTTGAAGTCGAGGGAATGCGCGAAGTTGAGACCATGGAGTCTGGCGCAAAAACCTGGACAGCCCTCGAAATCTGAGCATAAGGATGCAACGAGCGACAAAAAGCATGAGAGGTGGCAGATAGAGAAGACGGCGTCGATATAAACCCCGAACCAGCTTCATCGGTAATGATGATGGAGGGAATCATTCCACCAGAAGAATGCTGGCCCGCAGTCTCCGGCGGAGGAGACCGAATCGTGAACTGAGAGAAGCGGTTCTGGATTATGGTCATGTCTCTCATGTTGGAATCCGACCGCCAATGGGGACTCTCGAAGGGAGGAGCGTACTGAGCAGGAGCCCATGCTGGAACACTGCTGTAAGTGTTGATTGCGGTCATAGGGAAATAGCAGTCCAGAATATGCTGCATACCCGCAAAATTGTGGACGTTTGTCTCAGGATCAAGTTGGGCAAGTTCCTGTGCCATGTTATTCCGGACCTTGTTTGAGTAAAGAGGGCCGGTGAAAGCGTTGTTGTAGATGACTTCGTTCCCGGTAGCCCAGCGCGATGCTTGTAGGCCTTTGTCTCCACGGGGGCAGATTGTCTTCGAAGAATCGTCAAAGCTTTTACCGCCAGAAGCAGTAGTCTCTTTGGCGGCATGTTTATCCTGCCCGAGAAGCCATTGCACGTCAGCAGTAGCCCGAGTCAACTGAGGCTCAAGAGTAACCTGCCGTGGAGTGGTCTCCCGGCGCCGCCTAGAGAACTCAGGCAATGGTGTAGCTGGTGCAATGGTACCCTCACGCATCGACAGCAGCTGTTCGATGGAGTAAACGTAACGAGTCTTAACGAATTGAGCATCAGCGACCACGACCTTGATCAGCTCCTTAACCTTCTCGAGGGCTTCCTTTGACGCACCACCGCTCCGTGCATTCTCAATAATGAATTTCGTCACACCAAGCTGGATGCCTTCAGCAGTTTGGCCGATCTCCTTCATGGTCTCACCGCTAATATTGTTAGCCAGAAATACTGATAACAGGCTGCGACAAGTCTGCTTGAACTCCCGGACAGCCTGCTCATACGGCAGAACTGATGCACCGCTACCGGACTTATTTGCAGGGCTGTCAAGAAAAAGCTCTTCAGACTCGGAGGAGCCTGCGCAAGAATTCACAGCATTTGGGCATAAAAATTTCCAGGAAGGCAGCTCCGGTGAGTTGGGCCTGGTAAGCAGGTCCCGAGGACTATCAAGATTGATAAGGTCATCGTCCTGGCAAATGGGTGGCTCAAAGCCTTCAAGCAAGAGGTCATGCTTCATGGCGTTGTAAGCCGGCTGAACTCCATTGGTAGCGAGCATCCCAGCATCAACTCCAGTGCTACTGCTTGACGAGATCGAGGCCTTCTTGCGAGCCCGAGTTGCGACAACAGTCTTGGTTCCAGAAGAGTCTGCAACAGTGGGTTGAACAGTCTTACCAGCAGAAGGCATAGTGGAAGCAACCGCATTTGACTGACAATCCTTCAACTCTTGAGCCGTGTTCCTAAACTCCACCATCTGGGCAGTAGTATCGAAGACTAAGTCGTAGATGTGGATGGTTCCATCAGGCTCGCCGAACACAGAACGAAGGTAATTGCTCTCGCCTGCCATGTGGTCTTTCCACTGGGAAATTGGCCAGTGGCAGTACTTGCGACCCCAAACCATCACAGTAAACATGACTTTGCCACCTTCATCTTCCGAGAGGTAGAGAAGAGCCGGCATGGCCGGATGGATCTCGTTCGTGAGAAAGCGGATCTTGTTCTTGTAAATGATTTTGTCTGGGGCTGTGCTGGACTCTATCGTCAAGAAGTCTTGCATGCGAACCGGCAAGGGAGGCTGAAGAGGAGGAGGGCGCGTCATAGATGTCGAACCTTGTTTGGAATTCTTGGACTTCACAAATATGTCAGAGCTGACAACAGAGGGGGCACCCTTCTGCCCGGCGTTGCTCTTCCCAGCGTTCTCGTTTTCGGCATCGTTACTCTGTGCCTTGCACTTGTTGTTCTTCGGAGCATTGGATTGGGCAACCCTAAATAGCAGTTTAGCATCACACTATGAAAGCAGCGAGCGTGTTACCCACGTCTGAGTAGCCTGGTTGATTGCACTCTGCTTCAAGATGCGCATGGTCAAATCTCGCGCCTTCTGCTGACGAGAAACGGTGATGTTCTTCTTGTCATAGATCCTAGCGCCACCGAGGTCATGAAGACCTTTGACACGCTCCGCTTCATCATCATCAAAGGCGCCAGATTCAATAGCCGCTAGAGTCTGTCAGGACTTGCACGAAAGTAACAGTAGAAGAAAACTGACCCTGCCAAATGGCCCCAAGGCTTGTGGCAACGTTGAGTAAAGGCTGATTGGCCTGGCAGCCACCATTATTATTGTGGTTTTGACCATTCTGGCGGTTTTCAGTTCCTCGATTCACCCGATTACGGGGATCGCGCTCCTCGTTTTCGTCCGTCAAATGAAGTTCGTTCTCGCGATGTTGGTCAAGATCCGCCTGTAGAGTAATCCAGTTAGTAAGGCCCAAGGTCAGGCGTGTTCAAACTACTCAACGTAGACATACCAGCATGGTAGTCTTCACGTTCCTCTCCCACTCTTCGGAGAAGATCTGGGCTACGGTCTTTCTGTTTTGCCGTTGACCAATCTGACTGTTTTCATTTTTCTTGTTGGCCATCATTAACAGTAGCTATGACAGTCAATGTTGGCAATCAATATCGAGCAGAAACAGGCCGGATCAGGTCGTATTTTTCAGCAAGTTGTTGGGCTGAGTGGAAGAGCTGGGCTCTTGGTGAGGTTGGGAAAGTTAAGAGGGTCAGGAAGGGTTGAACTGAATATTAAAGTTAGCCAGTGTCATATAAGGAACTTCGAAATCCTGATGTTAAGTCAGCCAGTGCCATTTAAAAAAATTCTAAAATCCTGCTATTTTGTGGGGAGATTGGAATATTTGAAGTCAGAGGTAGTTAGGGAAGGAGGCCTCAACAGTAAAGAGAAGGCAGCTGGTGGCAGGTGACAGCAGACTTCATGAGAAGTTCGGGGAAGGAGCAAGGAATGGCTGCCACAAATGAAGGCACACTTACAGGTTTTCGAAGAGTGGCATCAAGGAAAACAGCAACTGATGTTGAGGGAGTGCCTAAAAGCACGAGAACTGCCCAAATCGATGGATGGAAGCTTCAATAGTTTGGTGATGATGAAATAACCGAACTTCGGCAAGGAACCTGAAAAGGTTCTGTTGTTAGGAGCAATCAGTCAAAGAATTTGAGGGAAACTGACCGAAAGGAGTGGAGAATTGATGAGAAATATGTAGTAAGTATTAAACCGGAGCGTCCACCAGAAGGGAGGACTCAGCCCATAGAATAATCGACACCCGCTGGCCTCAGTGAGAGCTAGATTGGCAGGCGTCTCAGTTTAAGAGTGACGCTTGAGGAGAGAAGACAAGGTAAACGAGATCAGTAAGCACTAAGTAGGTAAATGGCAGTGAAGAGTGGTATCATTGGAGAGTTGTTGGTTCCGGAAAGGTTAAGGCTCTGGTAACAGAAGGGAAAAGTGTGGAACAAGTAGAGTCTGGCTGGCAGAAGCATTTATTCCTGTGGAAGAGTTTTGAAGATCAGCAGCGTGTTTCTCACGTGGATATCTTAGGGCTTTCCGCCGCGGAAATGCTGAGGGAATGTTGGGGTTGTGAGGGCGGCGTCATCAGCGCGGAGACGGAGGTAGGCCTCGCTGGGGGCTGGTTCCAAATGTGATGCCGAGAAGGCTGTGCCAAAGCGGAGGAGGTCGGGTGCCAATTGGACATAGGGATGGAAGATGGTAGGCCAAGGAGCACAGTGAAGAAGTATGAGGGGGATGAGAGGGATGCGGATAAGGAAAGGGCACAAATATTGGATCTTTAGTTAGCCTGGTGGTATATACATATATATTTCAAGGTGATTAACAGCGTCAACCCTTCCTAACAGTGATGCAAAGTCAAATGTTGTGCAGAGTTAAGACAAGCTGGTTCAGGAACCTGCAGGTCATGAAGGTGGTTCATCAAGCTGGAGCTTAAAAGTGCTTCCAGATCACCCTTACCTATACAGAAACATTCAAACTAGTAGTGTTTTCAAAACCTGGACGATTTGCCGTTCATTGCTCCAGTTTGCAATGTATTTTTTGTTTACTTTTCTCTCTTTTGCCAGGAATAATCTGATGGCGGATGTAGAGCAGTTAGTTGAACAGGAACTGTAGGATGACAGCACCTATTAGATGTTTCCCTGCCCTTTAAGTTGTTTCATTGTAGGAGACAACAAGGGTACCTAGGCAGATAGGATACTGGTGCTGTATGAGCCACATCACTTCATATTGCATCTTGCAACCTCCAGTTAAAAGCTCCTAGACCAGGTTAACTCCATGGGAATGCAGCACATGTGGAAAATCAACGCCAGCCAATCCATTGCTTGTTATTTGGGATCCTGGACCATTCTGTACTGTGAATTAAGCAGAACTGCCTAAGCATGGCACAGCATAAAACACTAATTGCTTGCTCATCTCTCCGCCCCTTACCCCAAGCATGCTTTCACACATGTCCAGCATTTTATTTACTCATTGCATCCTTTGGCATGTCTTCCAACCCTTCTCTCCCATATCTTTCAATACCACACGTAACATTCTTTCACTTAGGAGCAGGCATCAACTGCATTTCGAATTTCCTCATTCCTAACATTACCTGCCACCACATTCACACTTATTCTTCCTGCACTTATCACAGAGATCTCTGCTATTCTTAAAAGATATTTTCGCAGCTTCAACTGCTGTCATAAAAGTGTACATAAGTCGTTAAAGTCCAGCAAGCTTAATGACAGGTTCCTAGATAACTAGCTGTTTCTATGGGCCGATACTTAGAGTGTGAGAGGGAGGTATGACTTCTAGCATCAAGGATGATATGATATTTTGCCTTCAACACATGTTCCCATAAGGAATGCATCTGGCAGTCACAAATAAAGAGAACAAAGTGTTTTGGTTACACTTAACAGACCAATGCTGTAGCCAGAGCATGCACGGAGTGCCGCTATCTAATCTTGACTCATACCAAAAAGGTCTACTTAACCACATGTTTCAACCTTTCTTGCTTTTGTCTCTCAGTACCGCTCATGTCATCATTCTTTGAATCCTTTGCAGTTGGCTCACTCAAATTGGAGGTCATTCCCATGCCTTTTGAGACAAGTTCTGGGCTGATTCCAGCGCTTGCTGTTGTTGCTCTCTCCGTTGTGCTCCAATCTGCATCAGCTGGTGGTTGGTCTGGAAGAGGCATATTCCCCTGCGCTCGTTCAATTCTGTCTGCCTTGGACATTCTCAGAATTGATGAATGATTAGGAAGTCAGCTCTCTAGATATACTGCGATATGGTCATAACTCAACTTGTTGGTCCTTGACTATGATAAGAAAATGAGCAGAGATGCTAGAAAATATTTCATTTACAAAACCAGCTGTATCTTTCAGTCTTATATTTCCATCTGTCGAAGATCATCTGTCGGCAAAGTGCATGATGTCATCACGAGTCATATGGCAGTCGGGGCACTCAACCCTGAAAGCTCAGTGAACCACTGTGGCGGTATGACACGAAGCTGACAACAGTCAACCTGCGATGAGAGTAGCACCTTGCACACTACTGAACACCTCCATTCAAATCACATCGCCCATCTCAGCATTCCCAGTTATGTATACTTCTCATCCTCTCTCAAACTTCTTTCCTTTCTCTTCTTCTCATGCTGCAATGCTGACCTCCTCAACGGCAAAGGCCTGCATGCTTACCTTGGCCCTTTCTCGTCCTATGGGAGCTCAAGCTGGCTGAGGAAAAGAGTGACCACCAATTGTGATGGCTCATAATCACATAATTAACCTCTGATTGATTTTTTTTCCCTTTCCATCACTCTTTATATCGGTGGCAGCCCTCCCTCTCTGTCAATGGCGGGTCTGCACCATGGTCACCTCGGCCACTCTTCTTTTTCCATGGAGTTTGATGAGAAAAGGAAGAATCAGGTAGGTGTGACCACAAATTTGGGGCCTCATCATCGGCCTTAAATTGATTTTTCTGGTTCTTTAGGGATGGTTGTGGTGATGTTTGAGAGTAGGCATTGGGGTGGGGAGGTTGAGTGAGATTACAGAATGCGAGTCTTCCAACTATTGAGGCAAGATGGCCGAGCGGTCCAAGGCGCCAGGTTCAGGTCCACCTGAATTTCCTTGAATACATGTTCAAGATTCCTGGTCTCAGAAATGGGGCGTGAGTTCAAATCTCACTCTTGTCAAGAATCATTCACTTTTGTTCACAAGCTTTCCCTTGTTCATGTGGTTCTTTTTGTATTTTAATATCATTCCATGCTTTTTTTTTGCTAATGAAAATTATAGGTATTTTATACTGAATATCACAATAAGAACTCTGTAGTGAATCAATGTCCTTGTCCATGATGTGGATGCTGTCAAGACACCTTAGAGTCACGGTAGCAATCTTAATTGTGATAGAAATGTTCCACACAGTTTCTCAGGATCAAGAATTCATGCTGTTCCAAATCCTTAAGCTCCAATGTGATGGAAGTTTCGGGCCGATGCATCCGTCTATAGACTCGGGCCGTTTCAGGAGCTGGGGCTGGCGGTTCATCCCAAGTCATTTCCATCAGCTCTTCTGGACATTTTCAGCCCTGGGGTTCATTCTGCGCCTGATGGTTCAACAATACTGGGCTCTCACTGATCAAAATCCTGGCCAAACACACGCGTTGTGAGCCCCAGCTGACCTCAGAAAAAATAAGACCGCAGAATTTGGAGGGCAGATAGAAAAGCAAGAAGCAAAGAAACAGCCGGGATCTGCACACACCTTCTGAACCCTAACGAGACCACACTTATACAACCCTAACCCCTATGCGGGAAGTCCCGAAGCCACCCGACGCCGCGGCGCCATTTGACCCAGGCGCAGGCCGGACCCTGGCAATATCCCTCCCTGCAAGAACGAAGACAGCGGCGTTTTTTCTGCATCGAGATTTCCTCGACAAGTGCCAGCAGACCAGAGCAGAGAGCGAGCGGAACCGCTACGGCTCCTGCTCCAGCCCACATCTACACCCACAGGGCACAGTTCGATCGCGCGCTTGCGCCGAGGTGTCTTCCTTCTGAGAGGTTGTCCCATTGTTCAATAATTATCAACGTGCTTTTTGCCATGCCAGGATACGTGATCACTATTACAGTGGAAGAGACCTTGACCCCTTTCCAATGACCCGCCTCGACGACGGTGACCACCAGCAAGCATGTTGAAGCGAACAATTTCTTCTGCACGCTTCCTAAACACGACGGCCCTGCTTGGCTGGACCTGCGCCCGCTGTCGCAGCCAGCTGCTGCCTCCTCTCTCCAGACCAATCCAGACCCTCATCCGAGCCCGGGCCCAGCGAGCCGCTGCTCGTCGGCATGCTTCTACTACTACACCGTCGGCCACGATCCCCAAGATGGGGCGGTCAAAGCCACGCAGCCGGCGCACAGCAATAGTATTGCTAGCGTCAGCGGGCGGCGGGATACTAGCAATGCTTGCGGCAGCCGGCGAGGACGTGAAGAATGGCTACGAAGCGTTGGAGCGGACAGGGCGCGTGGCGGCTGCGCTTGTGTTGTGCATCAATGAGTAAGGATACTCTTGAGTCGAGCAATTGGATGGATAGGAAACTGAGACAGTTACAGTTACCGCAGCACGCTTAACGAGCGCGAAAAGATACAGGACGACGAGGAGAAAGAGCGGTTACTGTCTGCGTGCCACAAGCGGTGCGCGTTGCGGACGCTCAAGGTGCTGGAGCAGAATGGCGGGATATTTATCAAGCTTGGGCAGCACTTGGTAGGTTTTACGTAACCAGATGATAGAGGGAAAGAAGGCTGACCCGGACAGAGTGCAATGAACTACCTACTCCCGCCGGAATGGACGACGACCTTCATACCTCTGCAAGACAAATGCCCCGTCTCCTCGTTCGAGTCCATTGAGGAGATGTTCCGCACCGATACAGGCGGCGAGCTATGGGACTACTTCTCAGAGTTCTCTCCTGAGCCCATCGGCGCAGCCTCCCTAGCGCAGGTACACCTCGCGACGATTAAGGAGACAGGCCAGAAGGTAGCGGTGAAAGTCCAACACCCAAGCCTGGAACAATTCTCCAAGCTCGACATGTCCCTCACAAGCTTCACCTTCTCAACGCTCAAACGCTTCTTCCCCGAATACGACCTAGAATGGCTCTCCTCCGAGATCGAAGTCTCTCTGCCCAAGGAGCTCGACTTCCGTTGTGAAGCCGAAAACGCGCGCCGCACAAAGGAATACTTCTCCCGTATTCCCGAACTTCCTCTTGTTATCCCTGACGTGATCTGGGCCCAAAAGCGCATCCTGGTCATGAAGTGCGAGACGGGTAAGCGGCTCGACGACCTAGCGTACATGGACGCCGAAGGCATCGACCGTGATGAGGTATCGGCCACGCTGGCGCGCATCTTCAACGAGATGATCTTTGGCGATGGGGCGCCCCTGCATTGTGACCCGCACGGAGGCAACATCGCCATTCGCAAGAACGCATCCCGGGGTCTGGGCAGACCGAACTTTGATCTCATCTTGTACGATCACGGACTTTATCGCGACATCCCGACCGATTTACGCAGGAGTTATGCCAAGATGTGGCTTGCCATCATCGACGGCGACATGGAGCGCACGAAAAAGTACGTCGGCGAGGTCGCCGGCGTAGGAGAGGACAAGTTCCAACTCTTTGCGTCGGCCATCACTGGCCGCGATTGGAGCGTTGTTTCTTCGTCAATAATGAAGCCGAAAGACCCCTCGGAGCAAAAATCCATGAGCACTGCTCTCCAAGAAGGCCTGCTCGTCGACCTAGTTCAAATGCTAGGCCAAGTGCCCCGCATTATCCTGCTCATCCTCAAGACCAACGACCTAACTCGGAGTCTGGATGAGAATCTGCAGACTCGGCAGGGTCCAGTTCGGCAATTTTTGATTTTGGCGCGGTATTGTATGCGAACTGTTTTCCGGGAGCAGCTGGATGAGATTCGGGCGCATGGGTCGCTCTGTTGGCCGCCGAACGCGATTAGGGTGCTGGCGGCGTGGCTGGGGTTTTTGAGGGTTGAGATGCAATTGCGGGCGTTTGAGATGTGGGTTGGGTTGAGAAGGCTACTGGGGCTGAGGAGGATAGAGTTCGTATAGATTTTTAAAGCAGTACAGATACCTTAGGTTGGGTACTTAGAGGATAGGGTATATTAATCCATGAATGAAGGTATATGCTCAATCGTGCTTAGGGTTCATCATAGGCAGTGATGTATTCTTTGTGACTGCCTGGGCGAGGTGACCGAACTTGGGCAGCAGAGCGATGAGTTCGATGACCAATCCGACGGCGAGAGCTTCGTCATCTTACCTTGACAGTATCTGTACAAGGACATTCAAAGTTACGTGTAATGGTTCCGGTTTTGCCAGAGGACTTGGGGGGAGGAGACTCGTTTGATTGGTCTCTGGGTGCTGTTCTATGGGGTCTGTAATCAACAGATACGCGTAGCGTAAGATACTACTCAGGATGCAGCTGAAGGCAGCAACGCCAAGCCGAAGTCACAGCTGCTCTGGGGATAGGATATGGTAGGTATAAAAGCCAGAAACATCCTCAAGAAAGTATTGTTGTCGTTCCTCTTGCATCAGGTATCCGAACCTCTGTCTGGCTCACCATCATTGACCCATGAAACTATCCCTCGTGGGCCGGAACATTACCACCAACTCGAGACCCAGACTCATACATCAACACCCATACTAGCACCACCCCTCACCGCCAGCCCACCTCTCTCAACCTCGATCCCGTAAACACCCAAAATGCGCGGCGTTATCAGCAACCTCCTCGCCAAACCTAAGCCCGACCAACGGCCCTCCTTCCGCGTCCTCCCCCCAACTAACAACCAATTCCACCCCTCCTCCATCAAAACAGCCTACGACTCGCTTCCGGTCCCCCTGCCCCCCAACTTTCTCTCCTGTGACCCCTCCCATCTCCCCCCAGACAGCAAACCCATCACCCTAACGCCCATCAACTTCCCCGCGTCCGGCTTTCCCGAGTACGATGGGTGCGTTGCCATGGTGCTGGACCACGTTTTGTCACCTTCCGAATGCAAGACCCTCCTCCAACTAGCGGAGCAAAGTGTGCCGGAAATTATCAAAGCCGTAAATCAAGGGAACAGTGCATGGAGTCTGGCACTGGTAAAATGTCGGCGGCGGGTATGAGGTGTTGCAGAGGGGGTATAGGAATGGGGAGAGGATTATTTGGGATTGTAAGGAGGTAGTTGATAGGATATGGGCGAGGTGTTGGGGGGTTGAAGGGGTGAGGGAGAAGTTGGCGGTTATCGGGGGGAAGGAGGAGAAGGTGGTTAGTTGGAAGGATGCGGGCAGGGAGGGGGAGTGGAGGGTGAGGGGGATGAATGAGAGGATGAGGTTTTTAAAGTATGGAGTTGGCGGGTTCTTTAGGCGTAGGTGGTCTTGCCGACTGGTATGAGTGAGATACAGGTTGCTGATGATGATGATGATGATGATGATAGCACACTGCGACGGCAGCTACACCGCCCACCCGGACCCTTTTCGCCCCGTCAAAACTCTGTTTACGGTTCATCTCTATCTGAACGACTCGCAGGCTGAGGATCCGAGCGCTGAGCTGGCAGGGGGCTCGACGCCATTTTTTTCGCCAGATGAAACCCGGGGGCTGGATGTCCATCCCAAGGCTGGGCGCGTGCTCATTTTCCAGCATTATCGCCTCGTACACTCAGGGGATGATGTGCGGACTGGGACGAAGTATACTGTCAGGATGGATCTGTTGTATGAGTTTGTGCCGAAGGAGGATTTAGACGATGAGGGAAGGAAGGTGCAGGATACCGACATGGTGCAGGATACCGACATAGTCATGTAAAGGGATGATATTTGACGACATTTTTGTGGAAGTTTGTGGCGCAACTAGGGTTATCATCTTTTGGATACTTGACCTCGAATCATAGTTACATGGAAACCAATGCAAACAACCAAAACATTATCCTGAGCAACGCCACTTTCACACAAGACCCGGTGGCATGGTACCGTACCCCCCCAAGCCCCGCAGTGGGACTGCTGAAGCTTTGCTTGGCCAACCCCACGTCATCGCCAGTGACCACTCACCTTTCACTGTGAGCCTAGAAACTTCCATGCTTCGCCTCAAACAACCTAAAGTCAACCTCACTGACTGCCCCTATCTTTTCACTTCAACTTAAACCTAGAACCTAGTGTAACCCACTTCGACACTCACCTGAAACTACACCTCCCACACTTCTTGTAATTCCATTTCTTCTCAGTCTTACCCTTAGCCCGAAATGCCAACCCCCGACTTCAACTCCCCCACCCTCTTCCCCCCCTTCCTCTCACTCCCCCTCACCACCACCACCATCCCTCCCCCCGGCACAGAAGGCTCCCAAGCCGCCCTAACCAACTTCTCCTCCCTAAAACCCCACAAAATCGAATACCCCGACCCTTCCCTGCAACAACATGACTACTACCTAATGGCCACCGTCCTGCAAAACATGACAATCACCAAACCAACCCTCATCCTCACTGACTCAACTGGGCAACGCTTTGCTCTCGTCTACGCCGACCGGGTAGCTCCCGGTCCCTTTGCCGGGCCCAGGGGAGGAGGTACCGTAGGACCCAATGTGTTGGATTTGGGGAGGAAGGGGTTCAAGGCGGGAAGTACGACTGTTGTGTTGAAGAATGCTAAGAGGAATGTTGTGGTCAGGGAGGGGTGGGATGACCAAATTGAGCGGATGAGGACGGGGATGGGGGTTGATCTCGGGTTGGGGAAAGGGAACGAGTTTAAGGAGGAGGATGAGGAGGAGGTTGAGAAGGCTGTGGGGGAAGGGGATGATGCCAAAAAGGAGAAGGACGGGGGACAGCAAAGCCAGAGTCAGAACAATGGTAACCAGAATGGGGGGACAACAAAAAGAAAACGCAAGCAAGGCTCGATACGGATTAGCAAAGCCGAGGAGGACGAGGTCAAGATCATACCGGGCAAATTGGAGGACGTGCAGCGCGTGGGGAAGTACTTGCGGGAGAGGGAGCAGGACGAGGCGAAGGGGAACTCGTGCGCACAGTGTGGAGCGCAGGGGGGAGAGGATAAGTCGCTTAAGCAATGTACTGGGTGCCGTGGAGTCAAGTATTGCGGGAAGGTAGGCTCACTTTGGGAAAGGCTTTGAAGTTGCGGTTGAGATGCTGACTTTCACAGGAATGTCAAACCAAAGCATGGAACGAAGGAGGTCATAAGGCCGACTGCAAGATCATCAAGGCCATCAAGGCGATCTGGCCGTGATCTCACTCTTCTGGTTTCGATTCTTCACTGGCTCTTCTGAAGCATTATTGCGCTTCGTTCAAATGTACCTAACCCGAACAAATCTATCAACAAATGGATATCGCCGCCAACGCCCAATATGCACCTGGCTCAATCAAGCAAGCTCAAATATATACCCCTCCACATTCACTCATTCGCCCATACTCATCCAAGTAAACGCCCCCACCGTCGTAGCCAACACCACGAACGTCAGAATCGCCGCCCCCGCCTTATCCCCTCCCGTAGGCGGCTTGACCTCCTGCGTGAGCGTATCCGACCTCGAGCCGGCCATCGGATCGCCTTTACTCGTGCCGCCTGTGCCGTTCGTCAGCGGCGGCTTGCTGTACTCCACCAACAGCGCCGACACCGCGCCCAGCACATTCATCTGCTGCCCGGCGCCCTTACTCCCGTCGTACTGCCTCTTCACCCACTGGAACCCACATGTGCGACCGTTCTCCTCGCCAGTGCATGTCGACACGGCAGCCTCGGCGCTGGTCCGCAAAACGGGAAGTACTGTGTCCCTGATGAAAGGGGCAACCTCCGTGGCGGTCGCCAGCCAGCGGTGCAGATATCCTTTAAACGAGAGCATGTCGGTCGTACAAGACATGTGCTCCTCGCACGCCACCTCATAAGCAACGTTATCCCTAAAGAAAGTTCGCAGCGTGGAGTTAACCAGCCCATTCACGCGCGCTGCCCATACATCGCTGCCGTTGGTGTAATTGTACATATAGGCGGCGCCAAGCAGGAAGATGGCGTTGTTGTAGGAGAACTGGGCGCGGTTGATGTCGGTGCAGTTCTGCTCGACATGTCCGCCGTCGTAAATGTTGTAATCCTTGTCGATGTAGCCGACACCGACCATCCAGTCCCAGGTCTTTTCGGCCCAGTCTGCGTAGGATTGGTTGCCTGTGTAGCGGGCTAGGCGCGCGCCGAGGTTGAAGAAGCAGCCGTTGGCGATGCCTGGGACCGTCAGTCGGTTTTCTTGGTTGCGCAAAATAAATAAATAAATATATAAATAAATAAATATATAAATAAATAAATATATAAATAAATAAATATATAAATAAATAAATATATAAATAAATAAATATATAAATAAATAAATATATAAATAAATAAATATATAAATAAATAAATATATAAATAAATAAATATATAAATATATAAATAAAATAAAAATAAAAATAAAAATAAAAATAAAAAATTTACGACTTACTATTCTTGTAATTGTACCCGTTATTCGACCAAGGAATCTGCCATCTCAAGCCCCCTCCACAAGTATCATCGTGCCGGGTCGGACTTGCCTGGGTATTGAACACGGCCTGTGCGAGCGCCAACCACTGCGGCTCGTCCTCTGGTGGATCAGGGAACCCATTTTCAGCCGCCAACATGGCTGACATACCCCAAAACCCTTGATCATCGTTTCCCAAAGACGCGGTCACATTCGGGGGCATGTAGTCGCGGTTTGGGCCGACCTGCCAGAGCATAGCTTGTGTGATGACGTCGTTGTACGAGTCGTCACCCGTCCAGTGCCAGTAATCGATCAGCGTCCCCCACATGGCACCCGCCTCCCACCAGTAGTAGTCGCCTGCCGGAGGAGGTCCAGGTAAGATGCCTGGGGTTTGGCCTGACTCGTTGCCGTGGTAGTATTGCATGAGGTCCCAGGCGACGGTCGCGGCGGTTTCTTTGATGTCTTCTGGGGGAGGGTTAGCATTTAATTGGGAGTTGGAGTTTGGATGTTGGAAGCGTACCAATTGTGTCGAGCTTGAAGGCCGCATAGGTGACGCGGGCGCCCAAGAGGACGGCTGTCGCCAGCCAGCGTGGTGATGAAAGCGAGAGTGGGAGCATCGGATGGGCCGGCAAGGAAGTTCAAGGAAAACTCGACTGACTAAGCGAATGACTAAGTGAGCGACTGCCCTATCCTCTCCTCCTGTACCGTAAAGATAAAAATAAAACGAACGACTTCAGACAGAGGTGATGGCCATTGAAACTTGAACAAGGTTTAGTGATGAGGGCAAGATGGACGGGTGAGCGATTGAAATCCGGATGAACAGGTCATGCTGTGGCCCGGGCCTGGAAAATTAGTGGAACGGACAGTGCCAGGGACATCGCGGCATAGGGCGGTCCGCAGCCAAGGTCAAGGCACTGGATAGACGCACACCGGCAGAGCGGAGGAGTAGTCGTCATCCACTTCCTGTCCCCCCCTGGGAGAGATTCGCTTGGCTGGCATCCCTCAGGGCCTTTTCGACAGTACCCTCCCGCCCTCTCACAGACCCTTTCCAAGTGGGAATATCAGCGGTCTTGTGCAACGCGCAGCCTTCCTACTGATCAGTTGACAGTGCCGTGGAAAAGGTGCCGCCTAAAATGTGGAGTCGAGAAATTTTCTTACAACCTATGTATTGGGAAGAGGGAGGGGGGATTTTTTTCGTTTTTCCATCAATGTTCCCCAAGAACAATGCGACGTGGTTTAAGCAATCTATCGTCATGTCACCGCATTCAATTGTGTTTGATGCCCCTTATCGACACCTATCCTCGGTGAGTTCTCAGACCCATTGTTCCCAATCAGTTGACTTCTCCAACCTACAGACCCTTTAACGCACAGGAAGTACGTCATGACGGACGACAACACGATATCCAGGAAATTCTGGTGCGTCGCAATGCGAAGCGCGTGGATCCGCTGGCGCTCCCACAACCGCGGGTGCCGTTGTTCCTTGGCGATCAACAAGCCTTGCCAAGCCCGCATGACGCTGCCCTGTGCCGATGATCCCGCAGCCAGGGGTTGCCTTGCATTTGGGGCCAAAAGGCAGTGAAGTATCGAGTTTAAATAGATGATTCATGATAGCATTCAAACCTGATCGATTTAAAATTCAGCTTATTTGCGAGCTAGTGCTCGCGCGAGACTGGTGCTGGTTATGCGACTTCTTGTCCAGGAACTGCCTATAAACAGTTAGGGTTATGTGCGATCATGTCCATTTTATCTCCATCGACTCTTTCTTCGGCATCTCGATGTTGTGCTTGGCTCGCCGAAATCCAGTGACAATGCCTGTTGAAGGAACTCCTCCCGAGTAAAAATGTTTCTATAATACCGTCGTTGTCCTCTATCATGTCACCAAATGTTTACGCGGATCTGCGGATATCAGCCTTGGCCTCTTCGATTGATCGATCGATCGGCGTTTTAACTTTCATGCCAAGACGAGCATCAAAACCTCCACCACAAAGCCCCCACCCTTTAGCCAGTGTCATCTTGGCAGCGGGGCAGCCCACCTCGGGAACCTACCCCGCCAAAACGACCGTCTTCACTAGCACAACCACTCTGTCGACCTTTAAAGAAATATCAACATCGAGACCGTCAAATCGTCGATCTTGTTGTAAATCTACATGTAAATGGCTTATACTATAACAAAAAGAACTAGTCTGGACTTCGACGCCAGTAATTGGACGCAGAGATACGTGTGAGAGAGACGAGAATGCTGCCAAATCCCCCCTAAGGAAGACAGGGATGGTTGTTATCAGGCTGAGTACCTCGCGAACGCCTATGCGATGATGCCGCGATGCAGATTGGAGGGCTCAAGCGCACGGAATACTGCAGTGTAAGATACGCGATACACCGTCAGCCGATAGATGATGGCAGCTGCCCAAGATGATTGCGTGCTACATCATCGACCTTGGCAGGCGCTGTCACGCCGTGTCTCAGCACCTCCTCATTTACTTGCCCCAGGTGCTGCCTATTTAACCCTGACCAAACAGCATCACGGCACCTCGTTCTCTTAAGTCAAACGTTGAGTAAGAAAGGAAGAAGCTCAGAAACATGGCCTCTTGGGTCGGCATGCGCGCCACCGCAACCCCAGCCCAGCTGGACGCCGTGGCCCGCGCCATCCGCCAAACCCCCATCATCGACCACCATGCGCACCCGCTGCTCAAGCCAGACGCCCTCGCTAAACACCCCCTCCTCGCCCTTACCACCGAAGCGACCGGCGACGCCATCCACTCTGCTACGACATCCCTGCCCCATCTTCGTGCTGTCCGCCAGCTAGCTTCCGTCCTCGGGTGCGGTCTCTCCTGGGAGGCAGTCGTCGCGGCGATTGAGGACCGCCGCTTGCAGAACCCAGATGACTGGACTGCGACGTGTCTTTCGGGGATTGAGACAATCCTGGTGGATGATGGACTGGATGGTGATGATGCGCAGCCGTACTCGTGGCATGACGATTTCACGAGATCGCGGTGTAAGCGGATTGTCAGAGTGGAAGCGGTCGCCGAGGAGATCATACGAAGGTTGGCACGGAAGCTTGGGGATGATGGGGACTCGGGAACAAATGCGCCGGCGCCGGTGTTTGACATGTTTGTGGAGGAGTTCGAGACGATGGTAAAGACGGCGTTGGATGATCCTGATGTGGTGGCGTTCAAGTCGGTCGTGTGTTATCGGACGGGGCTGGGGATCCCTCTCGCGCCGGATAATGATGCTGCGAGGACAGCGCTAGATTACATTGTGCTATCGACATCGGCGTCGGGGCTGGAGTTGCAGAAGCTGAGGGATGATGCGCTTAACAATTTTATTGTGCATCGGGTAGCCAGCCTGATAAGGGACAGTCCGTCGAAGCAGAAGAAGCCGTTGCAGTTTCATACTGGGCTGGGGGATAACGATCTAAGCATGACAAGTGCTTCGCCGTCACATCTGCAGACTTTCATCAGGGCTTATCCTACGGTGCCTATTGTTCTGTTGCATGCTGGTTATCCGTTTGTGCGCGAGACGGGATATCTGGCGACGGTATACGAGAATGTGTATGCCGACATTGGTGAGGTGTTTCCCTGTGTGAGCCAGGATGGTCAGGAGAGGATACTCCGTGAGATATTGGAGCTGTGTCCGTGGTCCAAGATCCTCTGGAGTACCGATGGCCACTGGTTCCCAGAAACGTACCTGCTGGCTGTGATGCAGATGCGCGAAGTCTTTGAGACGGTATGATCCTCGTTATACCATTGAGAGCGCAGCGGCTAACACACAACAGGTCCTTTGCGACTACGTCCGGAAAGGCCATATCGGCTGGCGTGCCGCTGTCGACCTGGTCCGCGACGTGCTCTTCAAGAACGCCAACAAGCTCTACCATCTGGACCTCGACTTCTCCGAGCTCCAAGAAGACGTCACCGGCGTGCTGCCAGGCGCGTGCCAGACTGACGCCGACCTTCTCCGAACCTTCCTGAAGGACCAGCCAACCCCAGACTTCGTGCGCATCTGTTGGACAGACTACACAGCGACCCCGCGCATGCGAATGGTGCCCTTCCGAAAGTTCGTCACCCTTCTCAACGAGGGCAAGCCAACAGACATCGGCATCACGAAAGCCACGCTGGGCATGCTCCAGAATGACCTCCTCGTACCAGGCGCCTCCGCTACGGGCGAATACCGTCTGCATCCAGATTTTTCGTCTTTGAAGGTGGGCCCCATCGACGGGCACATCAGCATGCAAGGCGAGTTCCGTGAAGAGAGCGGCGCACGCGTAGCCCTCTGCCCGCGCTCCATCCTCCAACGCGCAATCGAATACGCCGCCGAGCACGGCCTCTCCCTCCTCATCGGCTTCGAGGTCGAGTTCTTACTCCTCGAACGCACCCCTGATGCCCAGCACCAATACACCCCCCTCGCAACAGACGGCCACGCCTGGTCTGTCTCCCGCTACTTCTCCCATCCCCGGCTCGCAACCCTCCTCCGCGACATGGTCGCCACCCTAGCCAGCATGTCCATCCACGTCGAACAACTCCACGCGGAATCCTGCCCCGCACAATTCGAGCTCATCCTACCCCCTTTGCCTCCTCTCGAAGCAGTCGACACCCTCCTCCACACGCGCGACGTCTTGCATGCATTAGCGACCCAAGCAGGCTACAAGCTCACTCTACATCCTAAACCCTTCCCCCGTGCGTGTGGTACCGCCTCACACATGCATTTGTCGATTCAGAGCCCGGATGGGGAGAACCCTAACGTATATGGCGCTTTCTATGCCGGCGTCCTTAAGAGGTTGAGGGCAATTTGCGCGTTTACGTATCCCACGCCGGCATCGTATGAACGAGTGCGTGATGGGTGTTGGGCCGGAGGGAGATGGGTTGCGTGGGGCACTCAGAATCGAGAGACGCCCCTGAGAAAGATTAGGGGTAGTCATTGGGAGATGAAGTGCATTGATGGGACGGCTAACCCGTTCTTTGCTGTGGCGGCTGTCATTTTTGCGGGCGCGAGGGGGGTTGCTGATCGAGGGAGGTTAGAGGGGGTTTGGGGCGATTGCGAAATGGATCCGGCGGTGATGTCGGAGAATGATAGAGCCGAGATGGGAGTAAAGGAGATGTTGCCTGCCAGTGTGGACGAGGCATTGAGGGCTTTGAGGGGAAATAAGGAATTAGTGGAGATGCTTGGGGAGGAGGTTGTGGAGAGGTACGTGGCGGTCAAGAAAGCTGAGGAGGGGCTGTTGGGGAGGATGAGCGAGGAGGAGAGACGGGCTTGGTTGATTGAAAGGTATTAGTTCCGTGGCAAGGAGTATTGAAAAAGGGAATATAATTTTGCTGTCTACCTGTCCATGCAATGAGACAACCAACCCAGATACGCCAAAGAAAAAAAAACAACTAAGATATAACAAAAGACTCATATTTACACACTTTACCACTCACTCGTCATCATCTCCCTTCGCCCCAAGCACGCCCTCGCTCCGTCTCGCCCTCCTCTTCCCAATCACTTCCTGGAACCAATCCGTCAACCTGTACCCCCAGTGGCCTGCAACCAGTACACCACTAACAATATTCACCACCTTGACCAAAAACTTGAAAACGCTATCCCGCGTCTCAACGATATTCAGCAGAATTGGCTCAATATCATACTTAAAGAAAATGCCCGGGATGTTCCTCTCCGAGACAGGGTGGCTCTGCTCCGTGACGGCGTATTGGTTGGTGAAGATCGACTGCGAGCCCATCTCGCCGGGGCGACCGACACTGTAGGTCGTTGGGACGATGGAGAGGAAGTACTGGAAGCGATGGAAGTGGTGGCTGGCCAGGTTGACGGTGCGGTCGAGGGGATTTGACAGGGAGGGGAGGAAAGGACCGAAGGAGAGCTCAGAGATGATGTGCGAGAAGTTGAAGGCTGCGAACAAAAGTCAGCGACATCTTCTATAAAAAGAGAAAGGGAAAAAGTTGACATACCACTATGATCCAAATGCTGCGCATTCCCCCCCTCCAAATACCCATGCCCCCTAGCCGTAATATGAAAATCCCCCTGCACCTTATTCAACTCCAAACTCCCATAAATGCGACAACTATCCGCCTGCCCTCCCCTGGGTGGCAGCTTCGGCGTCTTAGCCCACTTCGCTTTTTTCCTCCCCAACGCAACAATATCATGCACATGTTCCTCGCCGAACCCCTCATCCTCGACCCACCCTTCCCCGGTCACAACCCTCCCCTGCACATCCCTCCCCAACCGATGCACGCCCTTGCCATCCACCCATTGCACCCACATCGTCGGATCGCGTGTAAGTCGCTCGGCCGCTAAGATCCTGTCGCCCGCAGCATCCTGTACGTTGACATGCAGGTCGGCGCAACGCATGCGCACCACGATGTCTAAGTTGATGTCGAGGGTGCGGGCGACGCCCTTTTCTACCGCGAAGGTGTGCTCTTCGGTACCGCGCCACCAGCGTGAGAGCTCAGCCCAGAAGAGGATGAGCGCAATCAAGGACATGGCGACGGTCCATTTACCGCCGCCGGAGGTGCGAGTGGTGTATTGGGATTTGGTTTTGGCTAGAGCATATGCGGGTTAGTATTGGAAAGAACAAGGGGGCATAGGGGGGTTTGAAAGAGACGTACGAAAGGCATCGAACGCTTGGAAAATCTTGCCCGACTTGGGCGCGAAGGGGTCCTCGTCTAACTCATGGTGGTGATGCTTCTCACTGGGGTAGCCGTAGCCATTCATTTCGGCTATTTGGGGACGTGACTTCGCCAGGAGGTCACTTTACTCGATGTCTCGTTGTCTGTCTACTATCGTCGCGCTTGTTCGTTGTCGTCGTTATCAATCCTTCACGTCGAAGCTGTAGTTCGTCCCCAGGTCCAAGCTCACCACTAAACCAACCAACTTGAAGCTCCCCGTCGCCGCACAGCGCAGAATTGGATATTGAAAATCCCGTAAAAACACGAATCAGGTCAATTCAAGCTTCCATTTGCACCAAGCTGAGCCAATGGCAACGAAACACCCGGAAACCTGATTGGATCCAACTCAGGGTTGGTGAAAACGAAGGCTGTCACATCACAACCCTGAGAAGAGAACGGGTAAGTAGAAAACAGGACAGCTTGCAACGTGCGCGTGCGACAGATGCGCATTCCGATGAGGCTGAGGGAGTCTGGCTCAGGAGCAGCTTCTTATTGGTTAGCCTTGCTGAGACCTCCTACGGGTTGTGGGTCCTATCCGCGCAAGCTGAGCTTGACACTGCTTGATTGAGTCTATACCACGTGATCTCACCTTTTGTCGCGCGCCTAACTGCGGCTATACTCTCCTAAGCCATCCTCCTGGCTGATTTGGAAGCACAATACTCCTCGGACCTATCTGGCGGCCTGAGCCACTCAGAAATGCAACAATATCCTCAGCGCGCAACTTTGGTTCAAGCGATTACCCAAGCTACCTTACCGCCCTTGGTGTGCCCACTTGACCCAGACTTGCTTATCCCTGTCCGAGCGAACCTTTTTCACTGTAGCGGCAGTACTGGGAGCCCCTGCTCCTTATCTTCTTCTGTACCTGCTTCCCTCTTTGCTTAGTCCTAGACATCGTCTCTAAAGAGATCGGCTCCCTTCTATCAGAACACGTTATAGCTAACAATTAGCTACGATGCGCGACCAGTCCTATCCGTCGAGGTGGTACCGCGCTTCTCGCAGGTCGGACACTCGGACTTGTATAGCGGGGCGCAACGATCCAGACAGACCTCCTGAGACGGGTTCGATGATTGCCAGGCTGCTGGATTAAGAGACAGGAGTTCTCACACAATCAAAGTGGCCGTTGTGGTCACCAGTTGGAAAACAACTGTTTGTATTGCTGACTAGAGAGTTTCTTGGGCCAGATGGCCCTACTTGGAATCTATATACATCTCATGCACTCTTGTGGCTTCCCTTCCTTCTTCCTCAACAGCACAGACTGTTGAGAGTCAACATCCTTGGGTGTTGAGGAACACTTTCCCAATGTTCGGTTGTTGGGGGCGGATATCCGAGTTCGATGGGTTACAACGCCCTTATACTCCGATCAGCGAGTTGCACGGAAGCTACTCTCCCAGACAGAGTCATTGTTGGTCGTGACACGGGGACTTTTAACTTGTGCAGGGAAACGAGCTATTGATCTTAGTACCCTTGCCTTGGTTGCGAATACCTTACTATCGCGCAGCTGATGATGTAGATTTTTTTGCCTTCTTGACCTCTATGAAAGTTAGATACTCATTCCTATTAAGAGTCAAAAGCTAGGTCAACTAGTTATACTTGATAGTTAAGACTCCCTAAGTAAGATTAGGTAGCTAGGCTTAACACGAACCTCTCGGCTTCCTGTTTGTCACCCCCGAGTAACTCATATACTTGACACGGCATCTAATTCTGCCCTGGTTTGTTTGTTAGGTTGTCCTTACTGCAAGCTACAGCAAGGGTATCAGCCAGAGAACGAAGCCAATAGAGTTGAGTGACTGAAGTACCAGCCTTCAATTGAGAGTGCTCAAACTGATTCAGGCAGATGTCCAGAACCTTCAGGCAGCGTGGGTGTGGCTCGCAGAAAAGCTTTACGGTAACTGGAAACTCAAGGGTAGAACTATAGTTCACCCCTTATTCAATTGTTAGTGCGAACCTTTGGACAGGGGTTCTGGTCGGCCTCATACTGTAAACCACATATTTCTTGCTCAAAATCACTAATATTGGTAAAAAAAAGTTGGAATAATTAAGAAATGAATTCTCCAACCATTTATTCCACCTTTTTGCTCTGAAAAGCGTTGTTTTTCGGTTGAGTTGTGGTGTCATTGGGCAAACCATGGGGGTAATGTATAAACATGTGTCCCTGGTAACAAATATGTCAATAGACCTCAACATCCTCCCCACACCCCGCATTTCTTCGGGAGCCTTGTTCAGTCGGAGAACTACCTAGTTGCATGTTTCCAGTCCAACCTTTGCACTACCGCTCTCCTCCATTTGCTCCCTTCTCTCTTCGATTTGGGTTTGATTTTGGGGGGGCAAAAAGGGCTTCGATTTATGTCCGTATTCAGGTATAAAAATGAGGCTTCCAAGGACAATAGCCTTCTTTAGAAGAGCAACAACATCGACCTCCCACCGTTACGTCCACTTCTGCTCTGGTACCCGTACGACTGAAGCAGTCGCCTGCGCAACTCAACGCTGCTCATGGCGAGCACACATCAGTGCATGCGAGAAATCCCAACTGCCGCTGCAGAGGACTCGCTCACTTTAGAGATTATTGTTGGAATGAATCGCCAAACTGGCTTGATTTTCCCAATCATCCTGCCTTTAGTTCTTCATATCATGGGCATCATGATGTTAGTACATGCTGGACGTGATGACCACTATGGATGAATCTGGCTCTATTCTTGAGCGGCCAGCTAATATAGCCGCATCGGCTACCAGGCGTAGAGATGCTGAGGGCAGGCAACAAGAACTGGCAGGGATCATTTTTGCTTGTGCGGAGCTATATGGTTGGTAAAATATCACGCTCTTGGTAAGAAGATGGGATCTGACACATTTGATTTCACCAGCCTAGATGGTCTTGCAATGGAGCTGCTCGTTTTATGGAAAATGATACGGTTCAGATTGTTTTCCAAACGTCTTCCGGAACGCTGATCCACACAAAAGATGCGTTTAAACGAAGTCCCTTGTTCTATGCTGTCCAGAATGCTCGTAAGAGCACATGTTAGATGTTGATCAATAGCATCAAAGCAGGTCTTAAATCTAACACGGCACATCACGAACTGAGAAAGTTGGGATTTCAGGATCTTTTCAAACAAGCTGTTGGAAATGGATCCTTTTCCATTGCCGAGATGCTTTTGGATATACCAGGCATGAACCAGATTTAATCCCATGTTGAGCTGGAGGAGTGCCTGCAAACAGAAACTGGAACCGGAAATGCATTCGCCTTGAAGCTTCTTCTCGACTGTTACAATTATCATCAAGCCACAACTCGTTCTATATAAGAGAAAAACTAGAGTTCTATTCAGGCATTCCTTTACCGCCCCATGATCCCCATCAATGTCCAGGATGATGGAGACACGATGCTCCACAAAAGCAATGAAGCATTGTTCGGTTGATGCGACCAGATAATCTTGGGTCTCCCTCAGCTGACATCAATTGCCGTGATCAATGAAGACCCGCCCCTTTGCATGTGGCTGTATCGAACGCATGCGGCTGGTGGGAGATTGAATGCCTAGAATTGTTATGCAAACAACTTGCAATTGACTTCACGTGCAAGGACAAATGGTGCGTACACCATGATGGATCACGCTGCTAGGCACCCGCGGGATAAATTGCAGGAATTGCTTGACCGTTACAGCGCAATGCATTCTCCAGGGACCTACGTAGGAGGAAAGGGTAGATTGTAGACTAGCACATCGCACGGAAGAGACCTTAGGGAAATGAAACCGTATTGCACTGAGAATCACCATAGGGATTGCTTTCAAGGCCAAATGCATTTTCGTTGTTTCATCGCCCTCTTGACGGGCCAAAATGATTGCTGGGAGCATTTTGGAACTGCCCCTGATGATGCGGACGGGCAAGTAGCCAATTGGCAGGATAGGGGACAAAGCCAACTCTGAGACGACAGCAGATATTTCTGGGAGTGCTTTGGTCAGTGAGCATGGTGGGTGAAACTGAACTCAGGATCGCCTGGCTCTAACTCAGGATCATTCGTATAGGTTGTACGAGAAAGAAACAGGTGAGCGAGCTTCATATTTCCATGATGTCTCACCTTTACGTAGTCATCCAGGGAAATTCCAGTCAATCCGTCAACAGAGATGTCAGTAAACATCAATGAGTCCAACTCTGGGCTCTCTGGGCTTACTAGTTCCCCAACAACTATGTCAGAGAATCAACCAAACACCACCAGTCTTCCCAATGGCGCCATGAACCCACTTAAAATCTGTTTCAGCCCATCGACGATATGATCGAGAAGCGGCTACGCTCCTCGGTACAGCGGGGACAATGGGCATCTCTGGGGCTGCCCCCCCACGACGCTAACCTTCAACTGCCGGCGCAAGCTATCCTGCTAAGGTTTCATATTGCTCATTCAGCATTGTCAAGATGTGTCCCAGCGGATTGGATCGGCTCAACGTGCAAAGGGATTGTCCCATGCGGGCCGAAAGGCGTACTTTGGGGACAGGCTAGGCCATCCAGGAGCGGCTGACTGTGGGTATGGGGTCAAACGGGCTCGAAATCATAAAATCACGTGTCCTTCAGACCTTCAGATTGAAAGAGGATCCTTGGAAGTCAAGAGAGGTGTTTGGGGCCCATACGAAGGAATCGAGGATCAGAATGGGGAGTCATCGAAGACAAAGACTCAAGAGAAGCTATGAAAGAAAACAAACACCCAAAACAGATGACCCAAAGGCGAGGACGCACATTGAGGAGGACTAGAAGCGAGCACTCGCTGCCACGATGTCAAGCATGAACACCATCCACTCCGTCCCAGAACAGTTACCATGTATGTGACGACGCCTAAGAAAGTCAACAAATGCGCCTGGCTTCCAACAATCGCACGCAGAGGACAAAGAACCCGGTATTCCTGGAAGCGAACGAAGCGATCTCGGTGTTCGGCTCATTGTTGTCGAGCTTGACGCGCTTGAGTCAGCAGGGAAGCACTGAAATGGAGTGCTCGGCAGCAACGGCAGACGCTCGGGTAAGAGGGAACCCAAACAAAGTGTGGAGTTTTCTTCCCTGCTCTTCTCCAGATGTTCTCCAGACTTTAGCAGATCGCCCGTTCGTAGAGGCTCTCATGTGAAGTGCGGGGGTCGGGATTCATGTGGGATGTTCTGGCAGTTCCACTCCTGAATTCAGGCGCGAAATCAGGGACCAGCTTGTCCCTCATCATCCTTCACTGTTTCTCTTCCAGCGATCCGTTCGTACATGTTGCATGTGCTTCTCTCTTGCTCGCTACCAGCTCTCCCTGCTTTGCTGGAACTGGCCGTGAGTCACAGTCGTACTGAGAGGGAGACCGAGGAATTGCGGCTCTGTAGGCTTGGCATAGGCCCCAAATGATAGCGTTTTGAGTTTTGTACCTCGGAAAACAACCGGGCCACCCGGCCCTCCCTGCACGAGGGCACGAGTGTGCATGCCCCAGATGTTTCGACACTGTTGTCATCCACTTCCCCAGAACCGACGGGGAGCCGAGCGTTTGGTAAGAGAAATATTAGAAACCTTAACAAACCCTAACCCCAGTGTTCAAAAGTGGCGCTGGGAGGACCGGACAGCATTAAGAAGCCGTCGTCCGTCGCACATCTCCCTTCGGCAATTGTCTGTCAAACGGAGGTACGGAGCTGGAGCTGGGAAGAAGGAGAAGTTCTGAAGAAGAGTTGCAACCGTTCTCGTCGCAGTAAATCCCGGTGAATGACGCGGTTGACAGAGTCTGGAACTGGCGCTCCCATGGGGGAGTCCCCTCGAAATGCGGGGCATTGTTGGACGCCGGCCAGGGATCTATCGGGGATTTGTCGGTTTGATCCAGAATGTGACTGGGTTTCCGTCGCGACACCACACCCTCAGGTGACTTGCGTGTCCAGGACGCGACGCTGAAGAAAAGGTTGGCGGTTGATGAAGATCGTCTCTCTCTCACAGCGGCCATGATGATCCTCCGGAATCGGCAGTCGCTGCAAGAAATTGTTGACCAGGGCCCCGGGCGCGCGCTAAACCAGATAAGGAAGCGGGCGTTCAGTTAAGGGAGGTTAAGGTTGACCGCCTCCAGGGCCCGCCTGGTGGACAGGACGCCGCGTGGCCCGAGCTCTCCTCAACAACTGTCTTTGACAGGCAATTGACATGGGTGAGAGTCTGGGTCCCGATCGTTGGGAAGATCGATTGGGGCGCCAGGAACGTAAAAAAGGCGGCTGTGAGGAAAAAAGAGAAATCAGAAGCGACAGTTCGCTTCTTGACAAGTTGTCAAGTGTCGATGGAATGGATAGATTGGAAACTGATGCGAAAACACAAGGCCAGCGATACGGAGCTGTAATGGCGGTGGCACAGGCAAGATGGATAGGACAAAGGAACACTCTAAGTGACACCGGACACTAACTGGACACTGTGCTCCAGAGCGTTTGTAGAGTATAAGCAGGACCCCATCTTAGCTTTATTTTTATTTTATTTTATTTTATTTTATTTTATTTTTTGCAGTGTCAAAGAGGCACGATTCCAGCCAGACATCGGCTCATGAGCCAGGACGGTCCCGGGATGTACCGAAAGCTCTTCCCAAGACGTCGTCTTTGAATGGTCTCCAAACTGCAGTGCAACCACCGCGTCGAGTCACAGTCGCAGCTCGCCATCCACACCGTAGTCCAACTCAATGTAGAGATAATTAGGCGTTGATGAAGATAATCTGGAAGCAGGGAAACGCGGCAGCGGTTCTCGCACTTGCTGGCGACGGCGATCGGAGTGGATTGGTGGGTTGTCTGGAGCTTGCGTTGAAGAGTCACAGTCACGACTCTCAGTGCTGATGGAGTTCGCCATGTCAATTCCATCCACACCCATCCACGGGAACATCTGGACACGCCTGGATGGATCCCAGAGGCCCACGTCGCACGGCTGGGTGAGAAATTCCCCAGCAGCCCAGCGGACAAGCAACGAGCCACCAACAGGACCATACCCCAGTGACTGCATCCGCTTCAGCCCAGAATCCACTGTGATCCAGATTCCCAGCACCACCCCAGCACGCCCAGTGGAGGTCCGAGAGGCCGTTGAGAAATCGACTTATACCCAGCTTCCCATCCTCCCCCAACCACATTGACTCTGCTTCCCTCCCATCCATCCAATTCCCATATTACTGTCTCAGTGTGTGCAGCATCAGCTGTCCAAGTTGTTTTTAGCCAAGTCAATTGCATCAAGCCAGTTAAATCAGACCAGCTCACCAACTCCACAACCGTCCACTCGCAACTCAAACCACTCAACAAACCAAACACTTGTACCCTGAGCTTGTAGCTTTCTCAACCAGGCTCTCTTTCTCTCCAACTCTATACACAACTACACACACAACCATCACAATGTCATCCAGAATCGCCCCGATGTCCAGACTTGCCCGTGCATTCAGCACAACCCCTGCTGTTTCCCGGCCCAGCCAGCTCCTCCACAATACATCTAAGACTTTGGCTGGTGCGTCAAGGAAATCAAAACTTCCTGCTGACGAAGAAACCAACGCAACTGCAAACGTACGTTACATTCTGTCCCTTGTTAAGCCTACCATCTATAAAAGCAGCAAACCACTAACATCAACCCGTCCAGTACTCCACAACCAGCACCTCCTCCCCCCACCGTCCCTCAGCAGTCAACAATACCCTCCCGCGCCGTAGCAAGCCCCTCCCCTTCATGCAAACCTTTCACCACTCCGCTCCCAAACCCAAACCCGCGCCACCCATTACCATGGACCGCATGGTCCTTCCCAACCTGTGGGCCGAGCCGGCCGAGGACTCGACGGACTTCATCCGGGTGCCCCTTCTTCCGGACAACCGTGTTCCTCCCCCGCCCCAATTCCGTCCCGTCGAGCCGGAACCTTCCCCTGTGCCGGCCAGTGAGATCGTGGTGGTTGCCTCCGATCCACAGACCGTGCTTCCGTCGGCTTTGACCGAGGCCGAGGGGATGGGCATCGGGATTGATGGCGTTGAGCTCAAGTTCGCGCATTTGCTTGGCCGTGAAGAAGAACAAGCTCCTGAGCTGGGGCAGGGTATGATACGGGATATGTGGAAGGGGCTGATGGAGGATATATTTGGTGCGGAGGGGAAACAGGGGAAAAGCGGGCCTGCGCCGGCGGCTTGAGGGTGCGAGGGACGGGCTGGTTCCCGGGTCATAGATGTCTTCACTTTTGAGCCATGAGCTCTTGTTTTGCTACTACCTACCTATCTGCTCAGCTCTTCTTTGTTTTTGCTTTTCGCAGCGGTTTCCTGAGCTCCTCCCGGAAAAGGGACTGATGACAAGACAAACGGACAGACGATGGGTCTTGATGACTTCATTACATGCCTAGCTATGAACAAGTCCAAGATTGTATCATCTCGATGGTCAACTAAGGCACACAAAACAGGGTCTCTTGCCCCAGCTCAACCGCGGGCAAAAATCGTCGCTGGATTATTGATAGCATATATCTGCTTTTAATGAACATTGCTACCATTCTTTGGTTCAGATCTTGACTACACTGCAGAAAACGATTATTCGTGAAGCTGTCTGATGGGTGTTTTGTTTACTCGTAAGTTGCTAGCTACCTGCTTACCCAGCCCGATACCACCTTGCCACGCGTACTCAGCTGCAAGTCCTCTGTAATCCTGCCAGCTCCAGGAATCACACCGCTATTATCCCAGGTTGTTCCAGCCACAAGCACTGGTATCATATTCCATAGGCATCCTTCCTAGCCCAAGAACCAGGCTCATGCCGTAAATATGTAATCTCTGTTATCTCATTACACCACAGCCCTCTCTTTCCCGGTTTCTCTAATCCTCATCCATCTCCCCTCGCACCCGCACCTTACCTCTTCTTAACACTCGGACGCGGCTTGCACTCGTCGCCCAACACAGGATGCAGCATGACCTTAGTCGGATAGTTGGCCGTGTTTCCCTGGTAGCCCTTGGACCAGTCGTAGCTGATGGCGTACGCAAATATGGTGCCGTTGCGGTTGAACTTGGTTGCCGTAATGCTGCCACCCACATTCGGGTAGCCCTTGAGCCGATGCTTCGCGTCCTTGTCCCAGAAGTGGAAGGTACCGTCGCTACCGGCCGTGCTAAACGTGCCGTGTTGCGGGTGGAAGGAGATGGCGTTGACCGCGTGCACGTTGGTCACGTTATTTTGCGGGGTGTCGCGGTGGCATTTGAAGGAGAAGTTCATGCTGGATACTTGTCAGCTATGTGCTACAAAAAAGAAAGGAAGGGAGATGCAAGAGGAACTCACCTCTGATCCTTGTCCTCAACATATTGAATCGCGCAGCGGCCCTCAATACTGCCGATCGCAAATCCCTGAGAGTCGGTAAAGCAGCTCACCACCCGAGTCTGCCACTTGAGCGGGCTCTGCAGGGTCTTGTAAAACTTGACGGGCTCCTTTAGGTTGATGACGTCAATGTAGCGGTCCGCCGTGCCGATTACTAGCAGGTTCTCCTTAACATCCATCGTGTACACGCGTTCCTGGCACTGCACGGTGCCGGCGGGCGTCGCGCTGCGGAAGTCCCAATACTTGATGGTCTTGTCCCACGAGCCCGTCACAGCCATCGGCGTGCCTCCCGCCTCGAAGTACTTGACGCAGCGGATCGGCGCGTCGTGTGCAGCAACCTGCATGGCCTGGCCCGACGCTAGGTCGAGCACCTTGGCCTGCTTGTCGGCGCCGGCCGAGATGACCTTGGTGCCGTCCTGGTCTGTATTAGCAAACGAATAGGATGGATGCTTCTAGGTTAAAGGACTGGACTGACCTTAAAGAAATCTACAGCAAAAACAGGCCCCTCATGCTCCATTTGCACTTTTCCCTGGTTCTGGCCGTTCGCAGCGATCTCATACACGCGCACCTTCTTGTCCCAGCTGGAAACCGCCAGGAAGTCCTTGGGGTCGTTGGGATTAGGATTGAAGGACAGGTCAGTGATGCTATCCTCCGGCGGGCTGCCCAGCTCTACGTCGTTTTTGAGATCGCCCAGCGTGCTGGTCGTCGTCGACGTCGTCGTGCCGAAGAGGCCCGCCATCGTGATGAATCCTACGTTAAACGGAAGCGATGCGCGCGGCTGGACGGTCTGTTGTTGTGGTTCGTCAAAGTAGTGGTCCGCGTTGCTTCGTCGTAGACGCGGTCGCGCCGCGGCAAAGGTTCGGGAAGCTGGTTGTCGCGCTTCCCCGCTATCGTTTTGATTATTAGTACCAACACCCGGTAAACTGGCGCTGTCGCTTGGGGGTTGGTGATGGCTTTGCCGCGAGGCAGGCAGTGATAGGATGGCTCGTGAAGCGTCTCGCTCCGGGTTGAGAACTTGATCCCAGGCGGCATTGTTATCAATACACCGGGGTAGGTCTAGATAGCAGGTCCTTGGCTGCACGGCGGGGCAACATCAAGAAACTTTGAGCTCCGAGAGCAAAAATTGCTTGACTTGCTCAACAACAAGACAGACATGATAATCTCGTCAGTCATCCGAAGTCCAATGAGCTGCTCTTTCTTTTAACTATTCGACTACATCTGATGACGTCGCAATAGCCTTTTTCCAAAATTTCTTGAAGTGACTCGAAGCCTGCTTAGGCGCATGGGAAGAGGTCTGAAACCTTTGCGTCTCCCTGTCACAAGCAGGACACAATGAGCCTTGACTTTTTTCCCTCTCCAACGTGCCAAAAAGACACTCTCTGAACAGAAAAATCTATTTATTATTCTTTCCATAACACCGACTCTCCAGACAATCCCATAATCACCAAACACAGACTACTGAATCTCCTTGGTTGGATATGTCTGGCCGCCAAATCCAAGCTGTTCCGATCTCAGAGTTCTTGTGGGAAAGTGCCAGTTTGTTACCAACCCAGATCCAATTAATTCACTTCTCATTTCTTTTCTTTTGCAAAAGCTCTCTTCCAAAGCTCAAGTCGAAGACAGCCTGAACGACTCAGATTATGTACGGCGGACCGTAATCCAACACTCCCCACCATCGATTAAGCGCGCACAGACCAGCCCCACATCCCACCTCTCCGTCCATAAAAAATTTCTTGACGATTGCTCCCACTTCTCTTTACCCTTTCCTCTTCCAGGCCCCCCTCGTCCAAACAATCGCTATTCGAAGTTCACACACGGAGAGAGTTTTCAACTCTTTCGCAAACAAGCTTTGGGGAAAGTCCCCGGACAACCGTTCCTTTCTCGTCTCTTGGACGCTGAAAAAACGGCCGCGGAAACGCGCCGCCATAGAAGCACAGCGGCTGATCTCGACCGACACCTCTGTTCTCCAGTTCGACCTTCAACCGCCCAGCCCGTCTATTCCAAAGTCGAGACTCACGACCCTTCTTGCCTCTCTTCTGCTTGCTTTGGTAGCCCTGCTCTTTCACTGGGTTGGAGACCACATGGACGAAGATATGAGTCCGCGCTCTGGCCTGGGGAGGGGGGTTGTCTAGCTTGTCGGGTTTATGGGGGGGTTGAGAGGGTAACGGGGTTTCGATTGGACGGTTTTGCTGCCGTTGGTTAGGTAGGGACTGGGAGCGATTAAAGGTGGCTCGAGAGAGTTCGTCATGATCTATAGATATGCGATTGCCTGGTGGCATGGAAACATGTTGCCGGGTGACTCGACGGGGCTCATTCTTGGTGCGAGGGGGGCTTCATAACCACTTATCTGTCTTTTTGATCTTTTTGTCCGTTCGAGACGTTGTAGGAGTTGGTTAGTTGGACACAACTGGTCGGGACAGGTGGAAACTCTAGGTCTCGCGGGAGGCCCTTGTGTCTCAGACCGCTGTTGTTGTCTTGCTGCTGCTGCTGATGGCGTCGCGTGACGGACTAAAGGATCGATGACAGGGGCAGTTCAGGTGATGAGAAAACCATTAAATAGAGTCAAGCTCCGAGGCAACGCCGGCGTAAATCGTCGCGCGACCCAGTGAGGACTCAAATGCGTTATGGTATCTGATGGACTGTCTTCAAGTGGGTTGAGCAATTAAATAGTACGTAATCTATCCTATCCCAAGCTGTCTAGCAACGCTGGGCCTGTTGAAGCCCTCTCTTTCTGTAACCCAACTTTTTATCCTATACCCTGGTTGAATCCCAAACCTACCTTGTAATGATGGTGGAGGAACTGGTCGATAAAGCTAGTCAGTTTCTCACCGCTGCTGCTCGAGCTCCCGCTGCTTGTGGGCAGCCTCAATCTCAGCCTTCTTAAGCTTGGCCTTCTGGCGGGCCTCATACTGGTCCCTACTCTTCATGATGCGCTGCACGATTGTGCCAGCGTTGACGTCCTCGAACTCGTGGTGACCGATCTCGCGGTATATGCCCATCTCCTTTGGCGCGATGTAGACGTCCTCAGTGAACTCCATGAAGGAGGTTGGGCCGTGATAGACGGCGTCTGGTGTGCCCCAGGGGAGGGACGTGAGGTACTCCTTGGACGGGACGAAGGGAGCGCCGAAAATGACCGCGTTGACGTACTGCCGCTATCAGCGAAGTCCTGCAAAAGCTGATATGCTCAACATACCTTGCACTGTAGGACACACAGCCCACGCTCATAAATGTTCATAATGGGATAGTTGACGCCCTTCCACTCATTGATGACATTGTCATCATGGACACCAGCAACCACATAGACCGGGCCATAGTCTCCCCCGCTCTTCTTCCTCTCCTTCACAGCCTTCTCCTCATACCACCCCCTCTCCCTAGCCAGCTTTTCCTCCTCCTGAATAACCAACTTCAAAAACTGAATATGCCCGCTCGAAAACAAATCAAACCCTCCATCCACATAAACAATCCTCTGCCCGGGTCTTGGCCCAATTCCTTTAAACAACTCCTTACACTGTCCCTTGCCCTCCGACCAAAACCAGACATCCACCCAAGGCTTCTTCGCCGTTTCGTCTGTCGCATACAACCTTATCCTCTCCCTCATCGCCTCCCCGTTCGCCTTCCTCTCCTCCTCCGACGCGCCTGGGCCTTCCTCCCCTTCCAACATCTTCTCCAACGACCGAATAAAATGTCCCTTCGTGCACAACAACATCCTCCCCACAAGATCCGTCGTCGAGATCGCCGGCGTGCGCTTAACTACCTTGAACCTCCCAGCGGCTTTCACAAACCGATAGCAGTCCTCCCCAGACCCATCTGATGTGATGTCGTCGCCGTGCACGACGTATTTGCAGCCGAAGTGGGTGATCCAGTCAAGCTGGGTGACATAGGGAGCGTAGGGGATGGAACGGGTTACCCAGCGGCAGGCGTCGGTGGCAAGGAGACGCTCGCGCAGGTTCATGACGGTTGGGCCTTTGTTTTCGAGGATTGCTTCGTCGGAGTGCACGCCGACGTAGAGCTCGTCACCGAGCTGTCGGGCTTGGACGACGGCGCCGGCATGGCCTGGAAAGTAGGGGTTAGGGATATTTGGCTCTTGTTCGGGAGGTAGGGAGGGTAGGGTCAGGGGGGCTTGCCATGATGAAAGAAATCAAAGCAGCCGTCGACCCAGAGCCGGCCTTCCAGCAGCTCAGGGGCTGGTTCTCCTGGGGGATGTTTGGGGTCGGAAGCCATTGTGTTGGAATGGTTGCGACTGAGCTTGGGGGGAAAAGCTTCTAAAGGCTGCTTTTTGAGGGGAAACAACTACTACTGCGTGACTTGGGACAGGAATAGGCAAACAATTAGCAATGTGATGCGAAAGTCACAAGCAATGCTTTGGTATCATGCCGGTGGAACAGCGATGGTGTTGAGTTCGGCCATGAAGGTTGGGTGGGGTGCTCCCTCTTGGTCTTGGAGGGCGAGCCGAGCTGCCCCTCCCCCACACCGCCCAGCCTTCAAAGCACACCGTGCAGTATCACAATGTCTACGGGGTCTTCTACTTCACTCTCCTCAACTCTCTTGCATCTTCTTGACCATACTCACCAACCAGAATCAACTTGTCACGTGGGTCTTTTCTTTTTTTGAGCCTTCTTCCCTTTGTGTCTCCTCCAAAAAGCGGTAAACCGCTTGCATTTGATACGAAGTGTAGAATTTCCCACGCCCAGCGTAGTGCCCACTGGCTAACCGCGCAACCCTTGCCAGCGGACTGACGATCTGCTCTGACCGCCACGGCACGGCGATCACCCGGCGTCGGCGGATGGAGCGGAGGGCAGATGATAGTGTAGTTGGTTGGAACGACGTTGCAACGTTACGGGGTTCAAGAAGGCCTGCGATGGAGAAATAGAAAGGCGGCGACCTATAGGAGCGGTTAGGGAAGCAGAAAATTCCCTCTTTTGAAACCGTTTTGCTGGCAAGGCTGAGCTTGGCAGGCGAGGGTTTTGGGGATATATAAGGTTTTGGGATAGGAATCATCAGTTGTGTCTCAATTGTTTGTGTTTCTTGACGTCTTGTTGTTGGGGAAGAACTGGAAGCTCTGAAGAAGCCATTGTTCTACGGCATCAGTTTCGAAAGCTTGAGCTTGGGTGAATGCCAGCACAGTGCAGCTTGTCATCAGAGCCTTACTGTGAACAAGTACCCCAAGCTGGTCCGGGCTGTTGAAACAGGTTCAGCATCAAGGTAAACACCAAACCACATATCACAAAACGCTTTAATCCCGTTTCTTTATGCTATTCTGCATCAGTCTCTTACAGTCTTAAGAGCACTCGAACTTGAAATTCCTTCCTCAACCTCTCCTCTGACTGGCTGCTCTGTCGCCCTCAGCGGCTCCTGCCCAATCCAGCGCGACAGCGCAAGCGCAGCGAATCGTAGAGCGCAATTGGAGGCGCTAACCAGGCCACGAGGTACCGCTACCGGATCGGGAATCATACGCGAGGTGCGACAACAACCCTCGCCCTTGACCCTTCTCCATGCAGGCGGCTGCCCCTTTCTTGTCGGGTCTCTTTAGCGGGGGCTCCAACAACAGCACAAACGGCAACAACACAACTACCGCAGGTAGAGACAGAGAGAGCAGAGAGGACAAGGACACTACCGCCAGCAGCAGTACCGTCAGCACCGTCAGCACTTGCCCCAGTACCAGCACTAAGAGCACGCACGAGAGCGCCCCATCGAGCATTCCGTCGTCGCCCACGTCCAGATCGCCTGTGCGGTCGCGACCTCCGACAAGCTCGGACCAGGACAACTTCTCCCACCTCAACCGCATCGCCAGCACAACCACAACAAACACCGTCCTGACTAGCCCTCCCGGGCGCCCACTCAATCCTCTCAGCGCCCTCAGTTCGTTGACCAGCCTTATCTCTCGTGACCGAGAAAGAGACAAAGACCGCAAGACTTTCAACCGCAAACCCTCGCTGCACTTTACCCGCCGCAGAGCCAGCTCGCGCTCCTCATCCCCATCGAGCCCCGTCACCCAGGCACCTGGACAACCGCCCCTCCCTTCGATTCAGCTCGCCGGAGACGGCCAGACTACCTCGGTCTCTGGCCCCGAGTCGATCCAGCAGCAGCAAGGAGGCACTGCCCCAGCCGAGGGCCTCTCCAAGATGCTTAGCCGCGGCGCGGTCACTCCCATCTCGGGGTACCCCATCCAGGGGCCTGCGACAGCAATGCTTATGAGCAGTGCTACTGCGCAGCAGAATGAACTCGCTGTGCTGCATCAGCATATTCAGGAGACGGTGAACAAGAGGATATCGACATTGGATTACCTGCGCAAGGCGTAAGCTTGCTCTCAATCTTCCCTCTCGAAGAAAGCTAACACTTCCCAGTCACGAAGGCCACATCTACTGGTTCAACACGCTCCTGTTCGACAAGCCTGACCTTCAACGCATGCCCTACTTCGACAGCCGCAAACTGGCACGCCGCGCAACCAATTACCTCTTGCTTGGCATCTCCCTGCCTGCCGTCATCGACCTCAACTCCAACCATCCCGTCGATTTCCTGCGCAGCCTGAACCATCTCCTAACCGAATTTGACTCCTTCCAACAAAACCACTCAGAAACAGGCCAACCCCCCTCCACCCTCGCTCGTGCCCGTCTCCCGCAAATGTTTCGCCGCGCCGCTGCCCCCGTCTCAAAAGGTCGCCGCAGTAGTTCTGCCGCCGGCCGCGATACGGGAGATTCCCTTTCCGGAGGCATGTCTGCCCTAGAACTAGTCGACTCCAACACGGGTACGGTCGCCTCCGGCACAAGCGCATCCGCAACCAGCTCAGCAACCGGCACAGCCCCTGGCTCCGCTGGCCCAACCGCCGAAACAGCCGGCGTCATGGCCTTCTCTTCCCCGGCAGCCCACGACTCGCTAGACCTCCTCCCCGGCGAGGAGTACACTCACCTTTTGACGCCGACACTGCCCTTCGACCCTGACTTTTTCGAGACCTTTGCTACGCTGTGCGACGTGCTGATTGATACGTACAATCGGCTACTGGCGCTGGTGCCGACGCCGCAGGCGTGTAGTGGGCCCGTGGGGGAGCTGTTTGCCAAGGCCGATTCGAAGGTTAGGAAGTTGCTTGTGCAGGGGGTTATTAAGGAGTTCGAGGAGACAAGTCGGGCGGGAGCCAGGGCAGAGGTTGCGGGGATTGGGAGGGTTGTTTTGAGTGGGTTGATGTGAAATGAGACGGTATTAGCTGGGGATGATTTCAAGGTAATGTAGGGAGGGAGCTTGAATTCTTTCAAGGCGTCATCTACGGATAGGATATGGATTGCGATTTTTTCTGCTTCTATACCTCTTTTAGTAAGTTTTTGCTCTTTTTTTTTTTCGTTCCTTTGGCTTCTCTTCGGTCAACTTTCTCTAAAGGAATATTTCTCGGTCCATGTTTCACGGCATTCCTGTATGTAGCAGCATCTTGGAGAAAAGTAGGGTTGGGTAGCTAGGTGGTGAAGTGCTGGCGTTGAGTCGTTATGAAAAGAATGACTTGGGAAGGTAACCTGGATGGGCGGGTGGGCTTGGGCTTGATTGGATGATATTGATGATACCATAACCATACCACACCATTGCATGGCATAGCATTGCATAGCACATCGCAAAGCTAGGCAGGTAACAAATTTAATGCTGTTGATATGATATTGGCGGCGTAGAATGCGTGAAGTGTGTCTCCTACCATATACGTATTGGATGGGGATCAAATACCCTTCCACAGTGAAAGAATGAGCAGACGGAGGCGTCGGAGGAGGACAAAAGAGAATGGATGAACCAAAAAAAAAAAAGGAAGTAACGTGTTATTGCCCTGCTATGTAACTGGCGTTGCTAGAGGTAGCCCCTATATAAGCCCATTATCCTGCCCTGTCTATCAACTAGGCCACTACAAAACTTGAGCTTGCTTGCGGCATAGTGGCAACACGTTGCGTATCTAATGTTTTGTGCCCCGGTCAAAGCAAACGTCTCCAGGGCTGTCGAGAAGCCACATTACCTTCCTTTCCGTGCGTTCGAGTAGTGTTTTGGGAGGTGGTCAGTCTTTTTGGTGGGGAAGAGGGAATTTAGGTTTCGTCCTATGTCGGGGGTTGGGCTGGGGGGAAGGAAGGGGGGGAGGTTTGATGTTGACGGCTACTTATTCCCGAGAAATTGTCCCTCCCAACTCCCCGGGCTGCTTCATGTACCGGCCCTGGGCCCTCTTACCTCCTCATCTTGCCACACCCGCCAACTTAACTCCCCCATCCCTCCTCATCCACACTCTCAAACAGAACATCTACTCCCGGCACCACATTCGCAAGCATCTCGTCCCCGTTCGGCAAGTCGTTTTCCACTGCTCTTCGGTCGCCTGCCTCGAGTGTGTCGACGATACCAGCGCGTAAGTGACGTGCCGCGAGTCGGCGGCGAGCAACTTCGTGGGGGACAGTCGCGAGGATGGTTAGGGAGGAGAGAGGGGCGATTTGGGACCAAGGAGGGATGTTGAGGAGGGTATCTTGAGAGTGATTAGTATCGTCTTGTGAGTAAATAATGTCTAGAAGAAAAGGTGATATTGGATTGAAAATAATAGGATAGTGAGTGATGAGGCATAAGACAGGACTCGGCGTGAGCCCCTAACCATCGCAACAAGAAAGGCCCTGAAGTAGAGAAACTTACAATTCCCCTCCAATACCACAATCCTGTTATGTCTCTCCACAGCAATAGCATTCTCTCTTGGATCCTTTGCAGCATGATCGAAGTCCGGCGCCCATATTGTCTCTGTGCTTTCAGTCACCGGTTCGGCAAGCCTTTTTACCAGATTCACAAACCCCTCCCCGTCAAATGTGAAGGCTGCCCCGCGACGAGCGTGCGCTTCGGCTGGGTTGGGGAACGTGTCTAGTTGGGCACGGGTGTAGTCTTTATGATAGAAGTTAGACTTCTTGGTTTTGAAAGTATCAGGGGAAGGGTAAAAGAAAGGGGCAGGGATATGTGACAATGGAGAGGTGAACATACGGAAACCGTCCATTGGGACAAATACTGCGATGGGAGGGGAACCGAAATGCTCGGACGACCAGCGAGCATTCAAAGCGGCTGTGAGGTGGAGAGATAGGGTAGTTTTGCCTGCCATAAGGTTAGTCAATGAGTATCTTCAAATAGATAGGGGTAAGGGTGTTATTAACTTACCTGAGCCGGGGATGCCACCTATGACAATCACTGTTGAGAAGATGGTGTTAGACCCTTGAGACCAGGAATAGAAATTCCAATTTATTTTCGGAAGCCTCACAGAATCGCTTGGTTCCAGGCCATTCTTGGAACCTTGCCCACACTGTGTCAACTAACTGGTTGAGTTTGGTATCCATGGTGGCCATATTGGGCACTGAAGGGTTGGGACTGATGTGCGGGGAATGGACAAGACAAAATAAGCAGAGAGTTCTCTGGACGCTGTTATTGTTTATGTTGGAATCTTTAAAAAGTCCGAAAAGTTAGTGAGAGCTGAAATGAGACGAACTGGGCTGTGAGTTGTAGCCAAGCAGGGTGAGGGGTGCGGAGATGAGACGGTCGACAGCGACACTGGCTCCGGTCGGCATGCTCCGCACCAAACCGCATCCACAAGTTTCGACTTCCAGTGTGCTTCATTCCTTCTTCACAACATAATCTGAAAAACATTAGGAGCCAACAAAATTGATATCTCCCCATAGGTTTAACAACCGGATTGTGAACTCCTGGAGTCACAGACCAAATATGTACATTCAAGGTCCCCCCAATCATAGGAAAATCTTATTTACTAATCAGTCATACAGTCCCTGAACCTCAAGTCTCATTCCACCTCAGTTTCAACAAGCCTCACCTTCACTCATTGCTCCTTCAATGACACAATGGATTCCGAATCTGATGCAAATCTTCTCCTTGCACTTGACCTCTCCGATTCAGAACCAGATGAGGCTGCTGCTCCCAAAGGTCAGACCCGTGCTGAGCGCAGCGCCCTCTCAGATGCGGCCTTTCAGGCATTGAAAGAAACGTATAAGCCGAAGGTTGAGAATGGGGAAGTATGTTCACCATCACTTTAGTTTCAATCATCAAGCTTTCGCACTGAGATATTGTCTGTACTGAGCATCACTGACACATTACAACTAGTTATGCAAAGCCCTCCTACAAACCCTTCCCCAGCACACCAAGCAACAACTCCCCAAACCGACAGCCCAAGCTCTCCTCCACGCGGTCGAAGAACTCTACTTCTTCCGGCGCTACACTAAGGCCATTGCATTCATACACGAAGTCCTGGGAGAAGAAGACAACGACGCCAATACCAACGAGGATTCAAAAGCACAAGATGAATCTGAAGGGCAAAGTTCAGGACAGGGTGTAAAGGTGGATGATGAGACAAGGAAGTTATTGATGTATTATAAGGCGAAGTGTCGAGCAAGAGCAGCAGAGCTAAAGAGTAAAGCTCCTCCGACGATTGATGGGAGGAAAGATAGGCCTGTAGAGTGTGCCTAGGTTAGATGATCAGGTTTAATACAGTCCTGTTGATAACAGAAGACGATAACTGAAGTCTTATGAGAGCTCATGTAGCCTTCATGTCTTCCCCTATCCATGAGGATGGTCAAATTTAAAGGCAGCATAAGCACAGGGTCACAGCAACCATAAGGACAACAGATCTGGTTAGGAGGTGGGAAATTCCTCTTATTTTTGCTCATCTTTCCTCTATTTTTCACAACTCTAAACACCACCTCCTCCCCTGCTACCACCGTGATGACGATGCTTGTTGAAAACCATCCATCAATAGAAGAGAGGGGTATGTTATGCCATACATTCAACTAAACACAATAACATGCCATCAACCTAAGACGCCGAAAGAGGGAACGACCATGTCATGTCAAACCATCTTATGAGAAATACATCGAGGAGAAAAGGAAAGACCCAGAAAGTTAAAAACAAAGCAAACCCGTGACGCCAACCCCCCCTTTTTTAACCACGCTTCTATGCCGGAAATGATGATAATAATGACGATGATGAAAACAATGTGAGAAATCCCGGTCTTTTTTGGTGTCCGTCCGTTTTGTCCGTTCGTTCATGAGGGAAAGAAAGAAACCCTAATGATGCTCGGCTTTTTTTGGGACCCATTTTTCGTCCGCCACAACCATTTTTGTTGCTGTGACTCATGAAGAAGTCCAACTAGCCGGTAAGCCCGTCTTTGTTGTCTATGAATTTGCAGGCTGCCGGGGAAAGCTCTTGTTGTTTAATCTATCGGCCGTCAGGAGGTGTTGGCCAACGGTATAATTAGGATGAAGGGTAAATAAGTTGCCAATTTTGACTTTCGTCATTCCTGACAACAGTAAACAAATGCCTGTTGCATCGTCGTCCTCAAATGACCGATGAAACTTAAGCAGCAGCAGTCCGGATGTTGCCAGCTTGAGCCTGCAGCATCATGAGCCTCTCGCGCTCGCGCTCCTCAGCGAACACCTTGCGGCTCATAGCAAGCACAGCCTCGAAGCCCTCCTTGCCCTTCTGCGCGTTCTCGCGGAACCGCTTGACCAGGGTATCCTCAATGCTGTGCTTGATGCGCTGCCAGCCGCCGCAGAGAGCCGTGATCTGGGCCTCCTGCTCAAAACGGGTCTGGTGCTCGTTGAGGGGCCGGTAGACGACAGTCTCCTGGACATTGATGAGGTTGCTCCAAGTGAGGTTGGTGGAGACCATGGTGACGGTCTTGTTGCGCGGGTCGACGTAGGACGTCTCGAGCACTTGCGACTCGTCGAAGTTGCCGCCCATCATGCTGCGCAGCCAGTCGGGCGCGCTCTGCCGGCAGGTGATGAGGCGCTCGGTGCGCAGGATGCCCGTCTCCGGGTCGACAGTCCGGCTGATGGTATCGACTGCGACCACATGTGTCGACTTTTGGTTCCATGGGCAGTACTTGCGCCAGTTGTTGGTCGACACCTCCTCCCAGGAGTAGTTAAACGTCTCGGTGTTGCTGAAGACCTTGACCATTTTGGCTATTGGCTGCGAGATCGATGACGACTAGGTCGGCGAGAGGAATATTAAGTTGCTCTAGGGCTGACGCTGCCTGACGAGAAGTCCTGGTTTAGGTAGTGAGGGTGTCGTGTGCCTTGCGCAAAAGGACGGAGATCGGTGATTCAAAGCCCACGGAAGTGGTACCAAGGCACCCGTGTGTCACAAGAGCCGCTCTTCGGCTGGTAAGGGAGCACGCGACGGGACAGAACACAAAAGCAGCGCGGCAGAAAACTGCAAGTCGACAATCGACCTTCGCGAAGCCGGAACCGGCCTAAGAACTTGCACGAGGGGCTCTTGGGGATTAAGGCAGGTTGGTCAGGGAGAGGGGCCGAACTAGGGAGACCCTCGGATATGATTTTTATTTTACTTCTTTTTGGTGGTGTTGGAAGTGAAATGAGGGTGATGCTGCGGCACAAGCAGAACGCAACGCAAGACCCAAAAGAAGGAGAGGAGGGGATAGATGACTGATGAGCAAGAGGGGAAAAAAAAGACGGTGATCCTCCAACAACCCGCAAAGGGAGGGGTGAGAGAGCAGCAAAAAAGTCCGAAGCCCTTTGGCTTCTGAGACTTTTTTTATCCCGCCCGCATTCAGGCCGCGCGAGACTTTGCGATTGGCAAGCGCGAAATCTTATCGGAAGTGGACCATTGCCGACCAGTGGCGACCCCCCTGTCGCTGCCCGCATCGCTTAGACTTCCAAAAACAGCCATAGCGTGGCGGCCCCAAGAAAGCCAAAGAAAAATCTTCGGAAACGCATTGAAACAGCCAATGGTGAGCGAGCACCCAAACTGCGATTCTGAGCGCAGGCTTGTGATTTTGCCTGCTGCCACCGCCGTGACCGCCATGGCCAGCACCACCGTCCATCACCACGTCTAGTTGTTTGCTTGGTCTCATCTTCGTCATCGGGCTGCCCGATCACGCCTGACTCGTTACCGTCTGATTTGCCCAGAGCTTACAGTATCTTTGTATCTACAACACAACCCCAGATCCGGCCGCGCACTTGTGCAAGCTGGCCGCCACACATCGAAACCACAAATTCTTAGAGCAAATGCTGGATCTCGCCGGCCGCTTGTCCGCACTGGACGGATATCGGACCCCACTCTTCGGTTCGGAGGGGGGGGAGGCTGGGCATCGGCACTCTCTGCGTCCGTCGTCCGTATTCTGGACCCCGCAGTCTGCATTGATGGGAGCCCAATTTCATAGCATGGACAGAATGGTATCCTCATACATTGTATGATAGTAGCAAACATGCGTTTGTGTATTGCAACATCTCAGCCACATGTTTTGTAAACGAGCATGTTCCAGCCCTTCACTCAGTAGTCGTCGCCACGGCTGATGACCTCCTTCACGGTCGGCCGGATGAGGATAGTCTAAATTCCATATTAGCCGAGCTCTCGTTCTCGTTCTCGCGAGCGGGGTCCCCAGAGCCCAGGATCCCACGCCAAGGAGGTGCACTCACATGCTCAAACTGGGCCGTGTACGAGCCCTTCTCGTCCACCAGCGGCGGGTAGTCCTCGACGATGCCGTTCGAGACGAGGTTATTGAGCTGTCCTGTCAGCATCTTTCTTGGTCTTGCTCGCTAGAAAAAAAAAAAAAAAAGAAAAAGGAAGCCTTACCCCCAGCAGGTACTTCTCTTGGCCAAGGCGGTCCAGGAAGCGGCGGCAGAACGGCAGGGTACCGAAGTGCCTCTTGATAACGTTGAGCAGCGACTTGGCCGACGACAGGCGGAGGTCGACCTTGGGAGCATCTCCGCGCAGCGCGTAGTGCGATACCTCTCCGGACTCGATCACGTAGCCCTTACCGGTGCTGCCGAAGGTCTCGATGGCGAACACGTCGCCCTCCTCCATCTTAGTCTGGTCGTGTGTCTTGACGATGGGCACGCTCTTGGTGCCGTGGATGCTGTATGGCAGGATGTTGTGCCCGTTGAGGTTACGAATCGGCTTGACTGGGTACGTCTTGCCGTTGATCTCGACTTCGTAGCTCTCCATCACCTCCTGGATCACCCCGCCGATCTCACCGACGCGCGCGTCGATGCCGGCCTCGCGGATGCCCGCGTTAGTCGCCGCCCGGACAGCCTCCAGCAGCGGGTTGAACTGATCGTTCCACGCCATCGTGAAGGCGCTGTCGACGATGCGCCCGTTTACATGCACACCAATATCAATCTTGATCACATCGTCCTGCTGCAGCACAATCTTATTACCCGAGTTCGGGTTGTAGTGCGCTGCGCAGTGGTTGATGCTCAGGCCGACGGGGAAACCCATGCCGGCCTTGAGCGCATCCCCCTCCTCCAGGCCCGGGTGGCCGACCAGCGCGCGCACCGAGTCCTCGATACCCTCGGAGATCTCGATCAGCGACTTGCCCGGCTTGACGAAGCCCTGCGCCCACTTGCGCACCTGCCGGTGTACTTCGGCTGCCTGCCGGTAGTCATTCAGGAACTCGCTCTGCATGTTGTCCAAGTAGCGCTTCTCCTCGCTCGTCGTGCGGTACCGGTTCTCGTTAACATATTCAACCTCCTCACCCGCGGGATACTTGCCGTCAGGGAAGAGATGTGAGATGAGCACCCGCGGGGGGTCGGACTGCTGTGTCGGCTTCTTCTTCTTTTTCTTGTTCTTCTTCTTCTTCTTTTTCTTAGCACCGCCAGCGCCGGACTCAGGGGCGGCAGCAGCCTCCTCGGCCTCATCCTCCTCGTCGTCGCTCTCGTTCTCCTTGCCGTTTGCCGGCTCCGGAGCATCCGCGCCGGGCTTGACGGCCGCGGCGTCTTGCACTATGATACCGGTCAATTGTAATCCTTTGATGCTTCCATAACACACACATACCACTGAGCTTGCTGAGCTCCTCTGTAGGAACTTGGGCAGCCATTCTGAGTGTCTGGCTTGGAGTAACTTTTCCAGCACAAAATCTGGGTGGGGCGTGGGTACCATCAAGGACGAGGGGGAACTTGCGTGGGGCACAACCACAGTTTTTTTAGTAACATTCTGCTTGAAGTTTTCCAGCACGCGGGTAACGTCACTGCTGGCCTGTGCTTCCCACAAATGGCTACAATTGTGGCTTTTATCCCTAACCAGCGCCACAAAGCTTCCTGATGACTCAGCCACAGATGCCAATGGTTTCGTCACATCCCACCGGAAAAGTGGGGACAATCTATCCCATCCCGATGGCGGCGATTCCATTGATGAACCTCAGCTCGCGCTGCCGCCCTGTCGCTATAATTTTCTCACTGACAACTTTACCTTCATAAGACCCGTATTTAGACCATGCAGCCAGCACCGGGATGAGGCATGCCGCTCCGATACGCTCAGACCGGTGCAGTGTTGCGCCGTTTAGCGACGCCGCGCTTCTTCTCAACCTCCTCTGCGCGCGCCCTCCCCACCCACCATGAAGATCTTCACCGCCTTCACGCAGCAAAGAATCACTATGAAGTCCTTGGTTTGCACTATGATGCCACACCGGAGGAAATTAAAAAGTCCGTTGCCCTTCCTATCAACCCCCTCTCTTCTCTTGGTGTTAACTCCCCTCCAGATCCTTTTACACTCTCTCCAAGCGTCACCACCCCGACCTACACCCGCACGATCCGCATGCCTCCAAGCGCTTCATGCTCATCAGTGAAGCGTATGCAGTCCTCGGCAACGTGGAGAAACGCGCGCGCTATGACCGCGACGTCCTGCGGCGCAATCCCCACACCGCGCACCCACACGGTCACCGGCAGGGCGCAAGCTACCACAGCACGGGCCCGGCCGGCGGCCGTCCGGCATCTGGGCTGAGCAGCCGACGGCGGACGACCTTCACTGGTCCGCCGCCCAGTTTTTACCGAAGTGGAGGGTGGGGCGCGCATGGGGCGAAGAGGCGCGCCGCGCATGAAGAGAGCACGGGGTTCGGCTTTTATGGGACGGCCGCTGGCTCGGGCTCCTCCTCTTCATCCTCCCAAACTCCCGGCGGCAGAGGCCCACATCCCTACCCTGGAACGGGCGGCTTCGCAGGCGGGATGGGCCCCGGCCAAAGTCCCTACCGCCCCTTCGACCCCGAAGTCCCACACTTCGACCGGCACGCGCACGAAATGGCGCAGGAAAGGCGGAACGCAGAGCACAGGATGCAGAGGATGGCACGGGAAAGGGGGATTAACCTGGAAGATTCACAGTCTTCCACCACTATGCCCTTCTGGGCGGCAGCATTAGTGTTGGGAGCTGTGGTCGGGGGGCCTTTCTTATTGAGCGGGGTGTGGGAGAAGATGAATCGGAAAGAGGGCCATGGGAAGAGGAATGGGAGGTAGAGGTATGCTGAGGGGAATAGTGACTGTATTTCGAGGTGTCCTAACTATCTACTTAGAGGTTGGGACAGGGACAAGAGAATGGACAGTACAGGAGTCCAGAATATCATTAGGCTATGGGAACCAGCAGCACGACCGTCAGTGCTCTCTTTGGTCTTCCTCGCAAGCCACAATTGTATATGTAGATGAGAGGGCTTGCTCTGAACCCCTGCACTATGTGCGAGTGCTCATCATTCAGACGCGCATGCTAGGTCCTTGCAACTGCTCATAGTAGTCCCAAGGGCTAACCCCTGACGTTATTCAGCTGAACACTGTCTGTAACCCGACTCAGACTTACCTTGGTTGCCTCACCTCAGCTTTTGCCCAAACTTTAGAAACTTCCAAATTTAAATAAAATACTCCTTCAGAACACAAATACTCGCAACACCATTCAACTTAACTCGCGGCTCATTAACCATCTGCATTGCTTAGGTAGGGTTCGTAATATACAGCGCAGCATTCATGTCCTGAAATGGCTCTCTCCAGACCGGTTACACTGGTGCTGTGCTGCCGTTGTCCGTACAGCTCACCAGTCCTAGGTCGGACCGGCAGCCGGCCGACAGCGCAGAATCCATTCCCCTCCCTGCCGGGGGCAGGCAGCTTACGACTCGAAGGTGAAGCTGGTGCCGACCTGTGAAAGTTAGTATTTATTTGATTCAAAAGCCCTTGCGAGGGAACACACCTTGTGGGTGGCCTGGTCGAGCTTCTGGGTGTCGAAGGAAGCGCCGACGCCGAGAGTGACGCCCTCGCGGAGGAGGACGTTGTAGGCGACAGCAGCGACACCGCGGTCGTTGATCTTGGCCTGTTTTTGGTCAGCTCTGCGTACGTTAACTTTCTTGCTTAACATAACGCACCTTAACGAAAGAGACAGGGTCCAGGCGGTACTTGGCAGCGACCTCGAGGCCGACAGCGTTGCCGCTCTTGGAGTTCCAGGTGGCCTTGGAGCCGGCCTCAACCTGGCTGTTGACCTTGTGGTAATAAGAGGCTGAGAAGACACTCAGATTGTCGGTGGCAGTGATAGCAGCGCTGTAGGTTGGGGCCTGGTAGCCGATGGCAGCAGCATAGCCGGTGATCTTGGCCTGCTGAACGTTGTAGCCAGCTGAGGCGCCGGCAAGGAAGCCCTCGTGGCCGACAACGGCATCGAGGCTAGCAGTGGGGCCCTTCAGGAGGTCGAAGAAGGCACGGCCGTGGAAGTTGCTCTGCTTGAAGTGCAGGTTGAACTTGGCGCCACGGCTCTGGCTCGAGGGCAGGAAGGTGAAGATACCCTCAGCCTTGAGGCCCTTAGCCAGGTTGTCGGCCATCTCGATCTTGGTCTCGAGAGTGTTAGCCGTGTTCCAGGTCTGGGTCAGGGTCAGGCCTGCGTGTTTCCATCGAGTTAGCACCTTCAGCGGCTTCGACGGGCTCAACAAGACCGCCACCTAGACGGGTTTGTCGCTGAGTCGCGGTCCCCTGATGCGGTCCAACTGGCTCGTCCAGCAGACCGGCGACGGTCCTGGATGCTTGTCCTCATTGTGGGGGCGGGGGTATTCACCATTGGCCTTGTCGGTGTATTTGCCCTCAATCTGTTGCAGAGTCAGCCATCTTATTCCCTCACATCGCATCGTATCGCATCGCAAAATTGGCGTACGTACCGCACCAGAGGTGGCGTTGTCATGGCTGCTCTTGCCAGTGACCTTAAAGGCGACATTGTTGGGGGTGTTGCTCTTGACCTCGATGGTGCCGGCGGAGAGGTGATAGAAGTCCTTGTTCAGGAGCTGCACGGCGCACGCAGAGTCAGTTTTCGTCCATTCCCAGCATCTTCAATCTATCAATGGCTCATTTCTAGCTCGCATCCCTGAAGTTTCGGAGGAAATGCCGCTGTCCAGACAGCCGAGCACCCCTCACTCTCCCCCCAGGGAACACTTGTTGGGCAGCCATTTCCCCGCCAAAAAAAATAGAGCAAACGGCCATGACGTACATCATTCGCCGCCTTGGCGATATCAGAGAAGGCCGGGACAGACATGGTGGAGGGTTTGGCGGTGGGCTGGTGCAGAGGTCTGGAGAGAGAGTCGGCGTGGTGTTGAGGGGTTCGAACTTGGAGGTTTGTGTGGGATGGGATGAAGTGTGGATGGGAATAGAAGTGGATGAACGGATGGAGATGCAAAAGTGGGCTGTGCAGGTGACCGGCAACTGGCGGCGGCTTGGTGGCTTTAGCACGGATTACCGGCGGGTTTTGTTGAGAAACAGCTTTGCTGTCGGAATTGGCCCACGGCGCTGCGAGAAAGTCATTGGGACCCTCTGATTGGCCCTTCAGCATGCTTGGATACATGCAGGGGGTGGGACATCCACTCACGCCTCACCGTGGTGATAGCGCAGGTGGAGGTCAGGCTGGTGTAATCCCACCCTAACCCTGAAAACTCTACATCGTCGGCGACGACTTCGAGATGTTATTTAACACTGCAATTGCTGCGTTTCGAAGGAGTCGAATGCTTCACTAGCAAATTCGAACTTAGACATTTCGAATATTGTACGAATACTAGTATAAAAATTCTGAGTTTGCGCTGTTCTCGCTGGCGTCATACTCCCCAACAAGACATTCTGCCCTCCCATCCCGCTCTTGGCTCCGCTGCCCCGAGTTCGTTTTACGCCTGTTGTTCATGCAATCCATCATAAGGTCGTTTCGAGTCCTTGCAGCGGTTACATGGAACCAGCATTGTCAATAACTGTGCTGCTATCCAACCCCATGTTTCACCACATCAACAGCGTCACGTTGCCTTCAAGAAGGCCAGCCATTGGCCAATCGCCTTCACAGCGTTTTAACACCACCACTGAACCGTCCAGCTTGAGTCCAAGACCGTCCTGTTGAGCCCTGACAAATTCTACCCCGATTTTTATTGCAAGTACTGTCGTTATGCTATCCTGACTCAACCCTGATGAAAGGACAAAGCCATCCCAAAACTATGTACTGCTGCAATGAGGACATAAACCAAGCGACTACCCAAAAGTAAACTTTACGCATCGGCGTACTTCGCCTTGTGAATCGAAATAGCTCTGGACGGATATCAGCTGCTGCCCATGTCAACCCCTTCTTGAAATCAAACTCACCTGCCGCTGGGATCGGTCTGCTTCGACCACTTGGGAATCCATCTCTTAACAGTAGAGGCGCAGTGAGGAGGGAAATGCTCATCGAACATCAAACGGTACCAGTAACTGTCAAGCATTAGTCTGAAGCTCTTCACATCTTCACAGGCTATTGGTAACATACGCCTCCTTGGTGTCCGGGATGTCGTCACCCCACTCCGGCTTGGGGTTGCGCATCATCTCATCCGTGACGTGCTTCTCAGCTGCATCCTTGAGGGCGTCGATCCAGCCATAACCGACACCGTCCGAGAACTGCTCCTTCTGGCGCCAGAGGATGCTGTCGGGCAGGTAGGGCTGAGCGTCTGGCTCGTCCGAGGTATCGAATGCCTTGCGCAAGATGTACTTCTCAATGCGCTCGCCCTGGATGAGCTTTTCCTGGGGGTCGATGTTGAGCGCAACCTCAAGGAACTCCTTGTCGAGGAAGGGCACACGGGCCTCAAGACCCCAGGCAGAGGTCGACTTGTTGGCACGCAGGCAGTCAGCCAAGTGCAGATTCTTGACACGGCGCACGCACTCCTCGTGGAAGGCCTCCTTGCTGGGCGCGCCGTGGAAGTAGAGGTAGCCGCCAAAGATCTCGTCACTGCCCTCACCGCTGAGAACCATCTTGATGCCCATGGACTTGATTTTGCGGGAGAGCAGGTACATCGGGGTTGAGGCACGGATTGTGGTCACGTCATAGGTCTCGAGGTGGTAGATGACATCCGACAGGGCATTCAGGCCGTCCTCGATGGTGAAGGTAATGATGTGATGCTTGGTGCCCAGGAACTTGGCTACCTCCAGCGCAGCCTCGTTGTCGGGGGCGCCCGGCAGACCGATCGAGAAGGAGTTGAGCTCAGGCATCAGGGTCTTCGTCCTCAGCTTGTTGTCCTCACCGATGCCGACAAGCCCCTCATCATCATTGCCGTTAACAGTGGCCGCCTGCTCCTCGGCCAGCTTCTTCAGCCTGAGGGTCTCTCGCTGCGCGATCGAAGCAACCAAGCTCGAGTCGAGACCGCCAGACAGAAGGACGCCATAAGGAACCTCGGCCATGAGACGTTTCCTGACGGACTTCTCAAGAGTCTCGCGGAGAAGCTTCAGGTCCGCAGGCTTCTGAGGGATGCGGGAGCCGTCCCACCAGGTCGGCTCAAAGTAGCGGGTGATTTGACCCGTTGCACTGTCAAAGACATGACCGGGAGGGAAGGACTGGATCTTGTCGCACACGGTGTGCAGGCACTTCAACTCCGAGGCAAAGTAAACGGTACCTGGCTCCTTCGACGACCAGCCGATATAGAAGGTGGTGATACCGATGGGGTCGCGGGCGGCAATCGCGCGGTTCAGCTTCTTGTCGTACAGGACCCAGGAGAACATGCCATCGAGATACTTCGGCGTATCAAGGCCATGCTCCTTGTACTAAACCAGCAGCGGATTAGTTGCCCTGTAGCACAAACTGGACTCGAATGTCTCAACTTACCAGCGGGATGATAACCTCGCAGTCCGAGTGTGTCTTGAAGGGGTAGGGCTTCTTCAGGCCCTTCCGAAGCAACCTGTGGTTGTAGATCTCGCCATTGACGGCGAGGATAATGTCCTCATCATCGCTAACGAGGGGCTGCGCTCCACTATCTGTCATTTTGTCAGCATGCTGCTCTAAGCACCGGCGATTAGAAAATTTGACTACTCACCAACGCCAACAATGCTGAGGCGTTCATGGCACAGGACTGCGGGTTGTGTCAGCTGCGATCCAATCTCTCATCAAATCCCTCGTCCGCATCGCATTGGCGTTGGGCCGAGCGAATTGGCCTCGGCATAGGGGGCGAAAATCCATACTTGTGTTGTTAGCAATAACGCTGCCGCCTGTGGATCCCGGGAAGTGTGGTTAGCCTTATCTCTATCCGCAATCGAAAGTTTTTATCAAGTATCATGTCATATCGCGGCTTTATCTTGTGTGACTCAGTTTTTCAAAGGGCAGGGAGAGGCAAACTCACTCCAATCAGGACCGCGATGGCGGACGCTGTGCAAATTGAGTCAATTGCGCGTTCCATCGAGTTAGCAGGTGCAATTTGGGGCCACGTACAGCTTCGCAAGCTTCAAAGCCGTCGGCTTGAACTTCTCGACGTCGGGGTGGCTGTTGCGACGCTGTTAGCCAGGCGCTTCTGGCGCTGCCGAGACAAAGGCGATGGAGGGGTTGCGATAGCGGGGCAACGGAATGCCCCTCCATCCAACGCTCGTCTCTCTCCAACGACTGGCGCACGACGTAGAGTTGGACTTGGAGACGGGGTCGAGCGCAAACAACTCACTTGTGACAAGCGAAGATGCCACACATCTTGACTGATGCTTCACTTGGTGTTGGTCCTAGACTTCAATGACTGCTTTCGACTGGGCCTACAGGGCAAGAAAAGGAGCACGGCGTTATGGGAACAGAGCCTATACGGGTTGATGGCCAGGTCAGAAGAGCCTCGACCTAGGGATCGGAGATGGTGCATTTATAGTTGTGATAGACCCAGTCCCAGCGGCCATAGCCCCGGCCGCCATGGATCGAGAGTCACAGGGCGACAACATGGTAGCTACGTACCTAAGGACGATAGAATAGGACAGGCGCGGATCCGGGGGCTTGCTGGCGCGTGGGTAGTCGTTTGGACAACAACGAACGCTACTGGGACGGGCCAAGCGGGATGATGGGTGTGTGTGGGAGAGGGAAAGAGGGAAAGGAGAGAAGAAAGAGGAGAAAAAAGAGTCACACGTCTCCAGTAAAAAAGTGTGGTGTCCAAAATCGGAAGCGTCGAGACGATACGTCCGCTCGTCTCGCCCACCTTACCTAACCCCAGACGTCCCGGACGGCAAAAAAATTTGGGACCTGGCCATGACTAAGGGACCCAGGTCCAAACCTCAGGGGCCCCCGTGAGAACCGGCGCCGCATCCGAAGGTGATGGCAAAGGGCAAGGAAGCGTTTCCCTACGATCTACATTGCGCATTTGGCGCTTCTATCTCGCTCAATTCGACGCCAATGCCATGGTCCTGTTTGGTGCTCTCTCGGGCCGCCGAGAGCTAGGAAGACAGCTCTCCAGCGGCAGATGTCAAGCAAGTGCGACGCTTTTGCTCTCATCGGGGCCGATGTCGGGTCGGGGAACCATGAGCATTTCGCCGTTGCATGATTGGCCTGCCCCTCGGTGTCAGTTCCACCGTGCCCACTACCTAAAACGGTCTGATAAGGAAAGTTGCCGCAACGTTATCATATCAAGGTGAGTCAAACGACGTCTGGAGAAGCAGCATCAGCACGGCCATACAGTCTCGTCCCATCAATTGTGAGTAAAGACGGTTTCAATTCATTATTCGCGACGACTTGCAATTGCCGGATTTCCGTTGTCTCAGTTCGACTTATGGCGGTGGGGGTCGGGCCAATGAACAGCCTCAATTGACCAACACCAGCGCGGGGGAGAAACCCAGGAGGGTTCATTGCATCCAGAGGCGTCAGTCACGAGGAAGCAGACGTATGCATTCCCAAGGGGCCCAGGAACTATGGAGAAGATCCCGGGCTTGTGGAGCCGTAAAGATGACGAGAGTATGTACTTTCTGGACTACCTAAAGAACGCATTGCGTATCAGCTGGGCAGCATGAGACTCCAACTTGCTAAGGTTGTGTGTGCAGCCCACGCCTGCTCCCAATTGCCGAAAATACCTTTGGCCACCAGTAAGAAAAGAAATTCCGATGTATCGCCCGTGAAAACTCCTAAACCCGTACCACCCATTGCCAATGGTATCCGTGATAACTCCAAATCAAATTCTCATGACTTTTGGTCACCCGCCCTCCCTCATACCGACTCGGCGTGTTAGAGAACGAGACAGTGTCGCGGCCCGTCACGGAGCTGGGTTCTCGCGGACGATCTGTCTGATTTTTCTCTCATATTGGACGCGGTCCTTCTTGTACATGTTGTAGGCCTCGGCCTGGGCCGGCGAATCGGGGTTGGGATCGTTGAGGAGATCCTGGATGCCTAGCAGGATTTGCTTAATGGTAATTGCGGGCTTCCAAGCCTCCTCCTCATTGAGAATCGACAGACACACGGTACCAGAAGGGTACACGTTCGGATGGAACAGCGGGGGTGTGAATTTGCCTGCATATACACAATATACGTCAATCGTGCGTTCGACCACATGATCGAGTATCCGGGAGCAAGAAAGGACGAAGGGGACTCACACTTTGGTGGCTTAGTGGGATATTCTGCAGAGGGAACCAAAAACAGTCAGCATACAGCCTGCCCATCGGTAGAGCCGTGTTCTAAAGCCGTCAACGCGGTCAAAAACATGATGTCGGCTTACCGTCCGGGAAGGTCATGGTGAGCTTGAAGAGACCGCCCTCCCAGGGAGTCTTCTCCTTGCCCGGGATGCCGCATTCCCAAACCTTCAGGTCAAGGACGCCATTAGCGTTCTTCACGGGCCGAGCGTAGAAGCCGAAAGGGTGGTCCCTCCGCCATTGCTTGCTATAAGCAGGCGACCAATGTCAGCGATGAACAGGCATCCAGGGCTGAGCAGGCATCAGCTGGCCCAGCGGTGCCTCAAAGATGGTGCTCAAACCTACCGCTCCTCTTGCAGGCGGTTCTGGCACAGAGACATAATGGGTGTGCTTGCGTGACCGAGACACTGGGAACCGATCGGGGATATGGAAGAGCGTGTGATCAAGGCAACGCGCGGGATGTGAGAGGTCGAAGGCGCTGAAGTCGCGTGGGTAGAAAGACACAGGAGATCCGCGAAGGAAGCTTTCTGGTGTGAAGTTTGCAGATCGGCTTTCGTCGGTTCCACGATGCGCAGGCGCAGGAGAGATCTGCAAGACTGCAAGTTGCGGGGAAGTGGAACGTGGAGAGTTGCAGATTCTAATGGTCTGCGTATGGGGGAAGCGCGTAAGTGGAATAAGGTACGATGAGGCTTTGAGAATGAAGGCTCGCTGTCAAGGATGGGCAATGCGCCGTTGACATGCAGCCATTCAGCCATTCAGCCCTCCGAAGCACGGGCCCTGCAGCAGGCAACCAGGCAAGGGTCCCGGAAAGGAAAGCGGAGAAAAATGACCAGATGGTGGGGATGGCAGGGGGTCTTATCAGTAAGCGCGATAAGTGCGGGGTATGCATGCCTGTGATTCAAGGCTTCAAGTTGACCAACAAATTGTCTACGGCACGCACTGTGTTGGTGGGAAGCCTTGAGGACAGAGAGAAGTCATTATGGGCATAATTTGAAACTTATTCCTCGATTTGAGAATGACATGGTCCGTCCATTGGATGAAACTGAAAGTTCGAGGTCTCCCGTTGCGCCCATTAAATTCCTGTAGCATTTTCGCTCAAGAACTGAAAACATTTTATTCAGTTCATCATGAGCTTCCAGTTCAATGGACAAATACAGTGCAAAAACACACGTTGAACTGCCGGAATCCCGCTCTCGGCGCGGGATGGCCCGGTCATTAGGAAGTGTCATCAAGCGAGCCGAAAAAACATGGGATCGGGAACCTGGAGCCCTGGAACCGGGCCTGTCGGTCGGCCCTCGGTGCGTGGTGGGGCACAAGCCGACGTTTGGGGCCTGGCGTCTGGGGAATTGGGGCTCTGGGGCGGTTGGGGCCTTTGGAGACGCTGAGGAATGAGGGCGAGGCACATGCAAACCCGAGCGAGGGGGTGTCCACGGCCACGAGTGAGGGGTGGGATGAGAGAGAGGGACCCGGCCCCTCCAAAGGCGGGGTGCATTATCTGCGTCCTGCTCCCCTTCCATCCTAATCTCGGACCTGCGCGGCCAGGAGTGTGACCTCACTTCCTGTCGACCTTTTGATCCACCGCTGCTTTGCTTTGTTCCCAAGTCCCAACCCAACCCACGACGACTTTCCCATTCGCCATCACACTGGCACAGTCTCTCGCTACACCCCACAAACTTGGCGCATTCTGCTACCCGCCACATTAGCTCCGGCATTAACATTGGCTCCCCAGCTTTCCACATCCCATTCCCCAGGCCATCCACCGTAGGAAAGACGTGGGGTATAGTCAGCTACGACACACTACGTACAGTTCCACGACGTCTGATTGCTCGCGCGCACAGCAACACAGCCACAAGACAGCACCAGCAGCAATGGCATCCAACACAGATGGCGTCGGCGCAGCAGGGGCGCACAAGAATCTGGCTGAGACACCAACCGTCCCCAGCAGCAAGGCCGAGGAGAAGAAGCCCGTTACTGTAGAGGCTGTGGTTGATGATGGTGACATTCCTGACCCCGACGAGGACGACCTCGACGACCTTGATGGCGAGTTTTCCTATGCGCCAATGCCTATCGTCTTGCCGCGACTAATATTCTCTTAGATATGCTCAATGACTTTTCCGCTGTGAACATCAACCAGTCCGCTGCGGCGGCCGCTTCGACAACAGCCGCTGGTCCTTCCTCTCAGCAAGCTCCTGGCGCAGGCGCTGAGGAGCCCGTGCTGTCAGAGGAGGAGTTTGCGCGCCAGCTCCAGGCCGGTATGGCCGAACTCCTGGGAGAGCTCGAGAGATCTGTATGGAGAACCAATTCCGCACCCACGCAGGCATTGGATCTGACCCAGCCACAGCCCGAAGTTCAGGCCCAATTCGAGAGTATATTTCGAGAACTTGGCGCCGCGGCGTCTGCCAGTGCCGAAGAAATCGCCAAGAATCCTCCTCCGGGTGCCGCTCCTGTGGCCGGCAGTAGCGGCAGCCGCCCCTCAACATCATCTGGCCCCTCCCCGGCTGATGCAGCTTCATTCCAGGAGACAATTCGGAAAACGATCGAGCGCATGCAGCAGTCAGGCGAGCAGGCTACGGCAGCAGCTGCTGCTGAGGGTGCCGACGACTTCCTGACAGAGCTGCTGAAGCAGATGCAGAGCGGGGCGCTTGACGGAGAGGGCGGCGAGGAGGAGTTTTCCAAGATGCTGCTGGGCATGATGGAGCAGCTAACCAACAAAGAGATTCTGTATGAACCAATGAAGGAGCTGCACGAGAAATTCCCTGAGTGGATCGAGAAGAACCGTGGCAAGGTGTCAGCCGAGGATTTGCAGCGGTATGAAGAGCAGCAGACATATGTGCGCGAGATTGTGGCCAAGTTCGAAGAGCCGACCTACTCCGATGAGAATAAGGCCGATCGCGAGTATATCATTGATCGCATGCAGAAAGTGAGTCTTCTTGTCTGAGTTCTGAGTCTCGTCCGGTCTCTAACTCTTCTCAGATGCAAGCCACAGGTCAGCCGCCCGCGGACCTGGTCGGTGAGATGCCATCGACCCAGGATATCCTCAACATGCCGGACGAGTCATGCAACCCTCAATGATCGCTATATGTGCCGCATGACTGGAAAAGGTTAAGGACGACACTCCGTCCGCTAATCGAATTAGGATACCTCGGCGTGGAGGCCTGTGCCTAGTCTAGACGTTCTAATGTCGTGACTCCCCATGTGAGACCCGTACCCCAACTCCTGCATCCCCAACTGTGACTCGAACCAACGCCAGAACACCCATTCGTCAGCGTATATACAACGTGTGCATGATTGCTTAAGATATTCCTGCTTTACCTTTCACAAAAATGAAACTACAACATCTCCACATCCTGCGATGACCCTCCCTGCCGCAGCCGTTGCTCCTCCTGAACAAGCATCTCCATAAAGAGCATATCATAATCCGCATCGTCATCCGAGAATTGGGAAGGGTTGCTGTCCTGTTGTCCCTCCCAGATAGCGGAAACAAGCTCGTCCACTTCGGCCTCTTCCTGTCTAAGAATGTCGTCGGCCATCATGGCGTCTACGTCTTCCCCTTGCGGGTTCTGTTGCTGGAGGAATTGGCGTTCCCTCTGGAGGGCCTCTAGCTCTGCATCAACTGCGTCAGGGTCGTCGATAATGTAGGCTGAGGCCTCGGCTTGCGCGGCGAGCAGACGCTCGCGGTTGAGCCGCTGCCATTCTAGTTTGAGGAGCTGTTATACCAGTCAGCATTCAATCTCTTTGTTGTTTGGGTTGGAGGTCCTTCAGAAAAGGTAGGTAATAAACGTACCTCCTCCTCGCCCCCGCGCATCTCCCACCTCTTGTCCTCCGCCCGCTGCCTCACGTTCTGCAGAAACAGCCTCCGCCGACTCTCCTGGGCATCCTCGCGCCGCTTGAGCAAGGGGTTTAGCCGTGCAGGACGGGTCGCAAAGCGGAATCTACTGGCGCTGTTGTGGGGCTCACTTCCACCAAATAAACTCGGTGCCGGTGGTGGTTGGATCGGAGATGACTGCGACGCACGGAATACCTGATTTTGTTGGTTCTGGTCCTGCTGCCAGCGAGCCGGTGGGCTGCTGTCAAACGTTGTCGGGATTGTCGCCGTCGAATGGGGAGGGGATGAAAGAGGCGAGGAGATCAAAGGCCTATGTTGCTGACCAGGCCAATGTTGGCCGTTACTAACGGGGCCGCGAGGGCCAAAGCGGACGGTAGGAGGGGTGGTCGGCATTACGGTGGTATACATCTTGGTTCGCAGTTGTAAACCGTCGCAAGAGTGGAAAGTTGAACGGAGGGTTTCCCCGGGTTGTGGTTTAATCCGATGTCACTTGGTCGGATGTGGAGTTTAGGATTGAATGGTAAGTGAATTGAAGGCAGGAAAAGGGAAGTCACTGGGTGGAAGGTCTTGGACTGGAGAAGTCGTGGAGCTGAAGCTCGATTGCAAAGGCGGCGTTTGCCTGTTGGTCTCCCAAGGTCACCGTCGTAGACGCGACAGAGGATGCGCGGCGCGTCATGGTGGGGCAGGCCGCGCAACATGAGAGTCGTCTGATGGGATGTACCTGCGCGTGGGCGAACTTGTAACGTACACAGTCTGGGGTATGGGGCGCGTAAGTCGCGGTAACGGAGGTGATGGGTAAAATCAACCCTAACCCTTCCCCTGATGTCTGCCTGGACTTTACTTCGCCACCCATCGTGCCATTACTAAACTTCCATCCATCCTATGAAACATCCTAGCTATCTTTAAACGAGGGTAATCCGGGACGGACTGTAAGGGCTCTAACCCCGTCCGCAGCGAGGGCTGCTAAGCTATCGTGAGATATGCCACCACCAACAGTAACTAATCCCCATACCCTGTCCTAGCACCGTCTCGGAGTCAAACTCACACCTCCAGACCCCGGCGCCCTCCCGCTTCTTGGCCTCCAAGAGGTCCAACACACAGTCAACTTCTCAAAAACAAACACCAAATGCTCCAAACTCAGGTCAATTCCGGGCCACCCCACGCTTCGCGTTTTCAACTCCTAGACCTCCACCCCCTTCTTCATCCCGAACAGGCCCTTTCACCAACCGAGCTCTCTCTCTCAAGCCAGAGCCGCCACGGACACTCTCAGTAAGGGAAATTATCGAAAGTTCTCCTGTCTCGCCACAAGATGGGTCACCATCTCAGTTTCCTCCAGTGAGGGATTCATTACCGGAGCCAATTGAGTTTGAGTCCTCCCAGCTGCCCGAGTCCTCACCCCCTGATGGGTATGTCCATCAGGAGGGTAGGCCACCAAAGAGGAGAAGGATTTCCATTGATATCACGTCAGACATTGAGTCTGTTGTCAGCGAGTCTCAATCGAAGATTCAGGAGCTAGATGAATTACCGGACGTGGTTGATGATGAGTTTGAGGAGGATGTGAATGCAGGAGAGGATGTTGAGATTGATGATCCCGATGACTACGACATACATCATGGAGCGGAAGAAGGGGATGTGATTCCGGAGACAACACCAATAGCTTCTCCCTCTCATTTCTCGCACACACCAATAAGCAATCGTTCACAGAGCCATAATTCTCTATCACCCCCTCTATCACCCCATCCTTCTTCCCCTGACCAACCCCCTGACTCCCCAAGACATATCCTCACTCTAACTCCACGCCCAAAAAGGATCAACCCAAACATGAACTTTCACCCAGCTCCCCGTTTCTTCAACAAACCCTCCGAGCCCCCAGATCCTCACATCTCTCTACTAGCTCCTCTCCGTCCCCCTGCAGTCCTCGCTACCCCAGCTGTACCAGACTCAGTGGCAGCCGCCAACCCTGATCTGCTTTTCTCCCCTGCTCCGCATCAACACCGTCGCAAAAGTGGCGGCACAGGGGGGTATATTGCGGGAGGGCTGGCGGCTGAAGTGAGGGATTGGCTGGTTGGTGTTAAAGAAGGAGAAGCTAAGGCAGGATTGGGAGGTTTGAAGAACTTGGTTGGTCCTTGGAATGAGAAGGTCGGTATTTTGAAGATCATTGTTAAAGAAGTTCGTTCTTCTGGACAAGGCGTTGGTGCAGGGATGACGCTCGTGTTTGGACGAATTTTCCCTGAAGGCAACGGGGAGATGGACAGAGGTGTGAAGATGATTCTTGCCGGCAAGGGAGATCTAGATGGTTATGAAAAGGAGAAAACTGACGGGAGCGATGTAATTTTGGGAACAACGATTGTGCCAGCGACAGTGATAGCTGTTTTACCACCTGCTTGGGAGATTCAGCTTGCTGATGGTCCGTGGGCTGTCGCATATCGATGGACAGTAGTTAAGGGGGTTGATGAGCGGCAACCGAACGGTTGAAATGGATGGAGAAGATGGTGTCACATTGGCTTGTTTGTACATGAGTCAACATAATAGTCTTTAAACAGTACGTCGTAGTGCTGATGAAGGCTAATATTCAGAAGCCTCGTCCTGTCATGCTGATTTGGTCTGAATCTCCGTCAGAACACTTGGAAGATTGGTTCTCCTAACTGTGGTCACGTATAACTTTGTCCTCCAGCCTAATACATTCCGATATACAAATAAAGCAGTACCGTCCTCAGGCATCACGAAGCATATGTATCTGATAGCTAGAAAGCCATATCTGGAAAGACATCTCAGATCCTGAGGAATTCTCTCTCTTAAAGCTGTAAGTGATGTTCGGACAGGGTGACGGCAGTTTCCAGGTGTTGGCAGCCGGCAGAAAATGCCAAGACAGTAGCCAAATAGTGCTCTTGGCACTCCACCTTCCTCTTTCGGTCAGCCAAAGATTGCTTGGAGAGCAGGGTGTTGACACTCTTTCGAAGGCAGACTTGAGTTCAAAACTCTGTGAGATTGCAGCCGAGAGTCAGACTTGGGCTTAGTACATGTAACTTGTTTACTATCAGGTCTGACCACTCTTCATTGATCATACATGGCGGGAGTCTAGCTCTGAGACTTGACCCAATGACAGTGAATCTCACCATGCCTTGTCTCCTCACCCGGCGTCTCCCATGGTCCTCCACACCATCGCTCCTCCAGCCAATGCGTTTTCGACCACAATGGAACTTTAGAAAATCCTACAGCACCAGCAACAAACTATCTGATCCTCTTCGGATTCTGTTCTGCGGCTCAGATGACTTCAGCTGTGCTTCATTGCACGCATTATACCGCGAGTATCGCCGTAACAGCGCGCTCATTCGGTCAATTGATGTCGTCGTGCGGCCCGCTAAGCCGACGGGGAGGGGTTATAAGGAGTTAAGAGAAGGTAGGTTGCCTCAAGACGTTAATTAGTACTTAGTGTATGAATCTAATGTAAAATTTTATAGTTCCGGTGCAGAAACTTGCCAATGAATTGGGGCTCCCTGTTCATGTGAGGGATACGTTCACTGGGTGGAACGTAAGCTATCTCCATCCATGTAATTTGTAAAACGTGACGCTGATGATGTGACAGATGCCTCAACCAGAAGGCGACCCCATCAACCTGATCATTGCAGTCTCCTTCGGCTTGTTCGTCCCTCCACGTTTGCTCTCAGCTGCCAAATATGGCGGGCTCAACGTTCATCCATCCTTGCTACCTGAGTACGTCCCTGTTGACATAAATCCTAATTGCTCTATTTCTTTTCATAGACCTAACTAACATTCCCCTTGCAAAGCCTGCGCGGTCCAGCCCCCCTCCACCACGCCCTCCTCCACGGTGACACCCACACCGGCGTCTCCATCCAAACCCTCTCTCCCACGACCTTCGACGCTGGCACCATCCTCTCGCAAACCCCCCCCCCTGGTATCCCCATTCCCCGGGACTGCACCCTCGTCCAACTCCACAACCTCCTGGCCCCCGTCGGAGCAGAAATGCTTGTTGATGTGCTGCGTCAAGGGAAACACGTCCCTCCGCATGAGGACGTCGTTGAGAATGATGTGAAGGGGAAGGAGGGATTGAGGCATGCGCCGAAGGTAGAGAAGAAAGATGGGGAGGTTAGATTGGTTGGTACCCCGTCAGGGAGGACTGCGGCAAGGGATGCGGTGTTGAGGGAACGGGTTTTGGGAGCGGTGTGGACGCATGTCAGGGTTCCGGGGAAGAAGGTGGGTGATGAGGGGGTGGTGAAGAGGGTGATTCTAGGGGAGCTGAGCGAGATGGATGGATGGAATGCTCCCAGCGAGCTCACAAAGGGGACAGTGACTTTCCTCCAGCAATATCCTCCACCTTCAGCGGGTTCGTCACCCGAAGCGCAGAAGCAGCAGTTCACACCTGTACCTCTCACGACTTATTTCTTCCTTCCTTCCGATGCCGTCCCTAAAGGCCCTGGCGCAGGCGCCGTGGCAGTTCATATGCCGGACGGGTCGTGGCTTTGCATAGGACGCATCAAGGTCGAGGGGTCGACAGCCAAACCCGCGGCGAAGGTGATGAGGAGTTTGTTGAGTGTTGCACAGTAAGAGAAGTATCAGCGTCAATCAGGTTGTCAAACTCACCAGCAGGCGAAAAAGATGTCTGTTGCTTGGTGTCATTGAAGAAGGGAATTCTGTACGAATCAATACCCGAGCTGTTGTGTATCCTTATCATGCAAAATCATTGTGTCTGGTTGGTGTTCAATAGACAGGGAAGCGGGGTCAAGACGAAACCTCATGTCAGTATCAGGCGATGGTTGATGTCACCGTTGCTTCTGATTAACTCTTTGCAAACTCGAAACTAGGGAGTAACTCAAGGACTATAATGCAAAAAGTGAAACAGCAAAAAGCTCACAGACCAGGCCGCGCCGGCGCTTTTCACCTGCCGAATTATTCATGAATGTCCTTCTGGACCGCGAATCTTGTATCGTTCAAGCCTGTTTTCCCAGCTAAGGGCTCTTTGTCTATTCATTGGGGTAAGATGTATCCGTTTGGACGCGCATTTGTGATTTTTGTTTTAACATGGATTTCACTAGAGGGTATAATATCGGGCGGTATAGCCAGCTCATCGACAAAAGATCTGCTCTTGCGAGCAAGAGCACGGCAGTGTAATTGGTCAGTTACGAAAACTCTTCCCTGAGGGCTTTTGCAAAGCCAGAGGCCCTCACCCCCAAATCTTCTGTGAAGACTCTCACAACCACGAGAGTCACCCCTTGAAAATTCGAGCAGTTAGTTTGGCTAGCATCAGCCAGACCCATGACCTCTTGGGACCAAGAGCGGATCAAGTGCGTCAGACATCCGCGGCCTTATACCACTCGACCACTCACATGTGGATGCTTGGATGGATTGATCGTTGAAAGAGGGAACTGCAAAGGAGGTATATACAGTTTTGGACAGGAGCAAGGGGAGAGGGAGAGGAAGAGTGGGAGAGAAGTCCACGCGACTCGATCACATAAGGGCTATTACCACGAGTTTTCAGCATCTCAGAAGATCAAGGTGCTCCTGTCAAGTTATGGTTCCAAATAGCTACGAACTCGTTCGAGCTCGCTGAAGTCTAGTTGAAGCAAGGTTGTGGTGATGAGGTGTGGATGGCGATGCCGGATAGGAGGTGTTATAAGAACAATTCACTTCGTTTACAGCCAGATTGCTTACCCTCACAAAACACACCAATGGTAGATGAGATTTTAAGGTTCAAGAATGTTGATGATCGGAAAACTCTTTAGCTACTTAAGAAGAAGACAACTCTTGGGCATTTTCTCCCCATACCAGGTATCTACCATCGACATCTTGTGTGATCTCCCTGGAGACTATGCTGAAGTAACTTGGTTTTTAGATCCTAAAGACCTAGCGATTGTGCCAACAGACCTGGTGGATAGTAACACGCAGAGTAAAACGACATGATTGTTTTTGGCTTCTCGATGCTGTAGTGACACTAGTCTATTACCAACAAAGCAAGGGGAAAACATAACGCCAACTACCGAAGAACAGACATCTCAATCAAGCAGACTTTACTTGCTGCGATGATTTGTGCATCCGTAGAAACATAGTTAGATACTCTATAAACAAAATGGACAAACCAACTTGCAAAACCGTCAAAAAGCTCACAAGCCAGGTTTAGCCGGCTACAAAAAGCCCTCCCTGAGAGTTTTTACAGCCCAGTACCCTCGTAACAAGAACCTCAGTGGCTAGTACCAAGAGCCTCGCACCCAAGGTGCTACGACCGTAGTCCAGCCCGCCTGAACTGAAACCTTGATACCACAATGCAGGCAGCCAATTGACCCTGAAGATCCTGAGCTGGTTGTCCTGCCAGCCAAGGCGAGGTTCAAACCCACAACCTTCGGAGCCTGCAAATCGACCGAAGCATGGTACTCCGGGGCCAGCACTTAACCGCTTGACTGCTCCATGAGTGCATATGGAAAAGATGGAATGTTGGGAGGGGAAGCGGAGAACGCTTACGAAGCTTTAGGCAGGGGCGACGGCGCGCTTTGGGCTAGAGGCAGCAGCCGCAACGATTTGGATCTTTATCCGAACACTATAAGACCTGACTTTTGCTTCGTGCGGCAGCCATCGATTAACCAACGATCCAGGACTCAACACCCTTCAAAATAACCCAACGGAATCAGCTCACTCACACAGACACAACCATAACTTTACATCGATACTTCACTTCTGTGTCAAGGTATCAAGCATCAGGCCAGTTCATAACCTGTAATAATATGCTAGTGTACAGCACAGGCGGATGTACCGCGTGGATCGTTATAATATGTCTGTGTAAGTGCCAGCAAGCTCGAAGCCAGTCAGCTCAGTGTTGCTCATCATGAAGCAAGGCATTTCTCCTCCGCTGCCAGATTCGTCCCAGTAATAAGTTCGTTACAATACAACCGATCCCAGCCAGCCAGAGTTCCCAAGAAACGCCTTCCCTCGAGCCAAAGATATGCGTGAATATGGTTTGTCACGTAATAGGTAAGTAGGCTGGTTGTCATGTGAAAACTAAACCAGCATGGACTCTGTCCCGGTCATTGTCCGGGGTAGATAAAGTATGGCCAAACCCTCTCACAGGATGGCTGTGTGAAGTGGGTGGTGTTGACTGGACTTAGTCCTTGTGGACGGCCTTGTCCTCGTCGACGCTGGTCCCGCTTGACCCGCTCTCTTCCTCGGCGCCCATGCTCTCCTCAAACACAGGCTCGGGCTCGTTCACCTCGAACTTGGTCTTGAAGTTCTCGAGCGACGCAATGCTGCTGCTGTTGGAGCGGCGGCGGGCGTTGGTGAAGTTGAACTCCTCGTCGAGCAGCTCGTCTTCAAGATTACCCCTGTTGATTGAGGTTAGCTAAGGGTCTCACAGCCATCTGGTGACAAAACATAGAGCTTACCAATTGCAGCGACCAGCGCCGTTCTTCTTGATCTTCTTAGGGTCGGCGTCAGGGAAGCCATGCTTGCCAAAGTACTTGGGAATATGCTCCTGTGGGGCGGCCATGCCGCTAGCCAGAGCAGCATGGTCCTTGTCGTTGTACTTGTGGGAGCGAGTCACTTCACGAGCTGGTTAACTGATGATGTCATGCTGTGCAGACAGAACGGCAACACTCACTTTTGATTAATGGATATGAAGAGCCGATGATATGATTGGTGATGAGAGGCGGGTCAGAAATAAGGTTCACTTTTGAGGAGTGTACTGTTGAAGGTGGTCAGTAAATGCAGAATTGACGATGGCAAACAGCCAAGGAGGGATGGGAGTTAAAGCCTGTTTGTCTCAGGGGGCACACCTTCGGTCAAGTTCTCTTTGACGTCACCGGCTTGGTGTTGGTGATGTTGTAGATGGCTCAGGCAGGGTCTAGAAGGGACTGGTATATGTGGAAGAGGGAGTTGGTCGTGTCTTTGTGATGGGTGTTTGTGTGAGACAATGATGGAGAGCGTTCGCAAATTGTAAGAAGCTGTTGATGAGACTGAAGGAGGGTGGCAAGTCAGAGGAGGGGAAGCTTTGGGGGGGCTTTATAAATGGGCAATCTCTGACAGAGTCACACGTCGAGCTGGCAGCTCGATGGAGTCGTCCAATGGCTAAGCTTGCTCATCCTTGGATCTCCATCACTGGAAGAGTCACCCTGTCACTTTGTAACTCGGCCACTCACAGCCCGAGTTGATCAGGCGAGCACCGTTCATGGGGGAAGCAGCAAGGAGTCCCCTCTGCGGGGACACGGCAGTTTGGGCAGGTTGTTGGGGTGCAGGCTCGACAGCCCGGCCGGGAGCCAGGAGGCGTGTCCCGGAGTCGCGTGATTTGATGCAAGCGGCCGGCATGCCTGGGCTGACACCTTCGACAAGCAACCGCGACCTGCACCGCAGGTTCCGTGATTTTCGCGATACACGACACCGCCAGTTGAGCCGGTTCACGTAGGGTGTAGAGAACCATTGTAAACACTCCCTGGCGGCCAATTGGCTTCATACAATACCAGTTGATGCCCGATATCTGTGGCATTTGTTGCGATCAAGGTGCTGCACTCAACGGTGGTTCTTGGATGCAGTGACATCAGTTCCCCACCTGCTTTCCAAGCGACTCCACCAATCTCTATCGCCAGCCAGAACGGCGTGCATGGTGCGGGGTAGGGGGTGCCGCGCTAAGCCCTCTCTGGCTAGCCTGTGGGGCTTGGCAGGCTGTCGTGGGCAGCCACCGCGCTGGAAGCTTCGTCCCTCATCGCGAATGCGCTCGCAGGAACACGAAGACATCCAAGATTTCGATTTCCAATGCCAATTGCCTGTCCTCCAATCCCAAAAGTGAATACCATATTGATAATGCCACATCTGCTGGTGTGCCCGGCTTGCGAAAGCAGACAGGCGCGCGGCAAGCCCAGCACATCCTTGCCAACCTGAGGCTGATATCGTCGGAAATGTCAGGTGACCGCTGGTGCGAGTCGATGACTCTATGGCAGCTTGCGCGGCAGGTGGAGAGCACCGGTCAGTGTTCGGGACCGTGCCGTGTCGCAATGCCTCAACGGGTCCTCTCAACGCCACGCCACCGGCGAAGCGAAATATTGCATTGCGGAAGGCATCGGGCTGTTTGCACCATTCGGCCGAGCGACGAGTCATCCGTTCACGTCGAGTCATCGCTGCCGTGGAGACCGGTTGGTCCCGTGGATCTTCGCGATGGGGTTTGGACATGATACCCTACATAAAACACTATCATGGAGGCATCTTGCAACGTGGCCGCTTGAGACGATGTTGACATACAGCGCCATATCTCTGGTAGCAATGTGGATGGCCAGGAGTCTGAGTAATGCCCAGCAGATCGGGACTTGCTCACCTCAACTTGTTGATCGTTGGAGACAAAGTTGCCAGGCAAGATGATGACGACGTGATCGTCCAGGGAGCAGTTCGACAAAGGCCTTTCTTCTGAGGTCATTGGTGCAAAGCCAGGCGTTGCTCCTTTCCGTTTTAGTCGGCGATAGCTCAAGTGGCCGGCACCAGCAACAGATCAGGCCTCGGCGATCAGTGATCGGCTCAGTCCTTGTCAGCCATGAGCATGGCCCGGAGATCTTGGTGGGGATTCGGATAACCGGGCCCCAGCTTCGAGCAGTCATGCATCTCCGGGTGTGGGGCCGAGACAGATCGCCATCTGCTCCGGCGCCCTGGCACCTGACCGTCCTCGTGTCTTCCTCGCATCTGCAGAAAGCCGTGGGCTCTTTCCTGGGATACTTTTGATGCCTGTAATTCCAACTGCACATCTACTTACTCTGAGCCATTAGAAGGGCATGTGAGCAAGACATGCAAGCTCGCATGAGATCGAATAAAACTCTCGAGAGCATAATCGATCCGGGCACTGACGGTGAGTTGTCCTGCATGGGAGGACCACATTTCACCGAGATTGCCCACTAATCATGGCTCTCATACTACCAGCAACACCAACTAGGCCATTGAAACCACTATTGAATTATTCGAACCTATGAATCCTTTCATGGACAGTTAACCCACTGGAGCCCCAAGATTGCGCCAGAAGTACTTCTTCCAATCAAACCTGGATGTTTGGCCGGTGACAAGTCACCAACAGCGTTAGGTCTCAACAGCCCATTTTTCTCACAGATTGGTCACACTCGTAGCATGAGCTCTTCAGATAAAGGATGAGTCTCTTACATCGAAATATCATTGGTCTCTTGCTATCATGGAAATTAAACACAGACGATGTTGACTTTGAACTGTCTGGGTCTCCTTCTCCAAGCCGTGGACCCACCCCTTCAACCAATCAGGTGTTACAGATTACGGATTCACAATACCCATCTTGACTCAAAACATATCGACAATTGTCATCTTAAATTTCATCAGTTGTAAAGCCGAAGTATGAGTGTTGAATAAAGACAAGTTCTCTACAGGCTTATTCAGAAGTATGTTGTTGTGTTTTGCAATGTTTGACAGTACTGGCAGCACCACCATTTGTGAATACAAGACAAGAAGTGCTCATCCATCGTCTATCGGCTCACCCCACGTCGGCTTCTTAACATGGTGCGTTGAGACATCGAGAAAGGATATAAGCCTGGGGCGCATCCTTCGACTAATCCAAACGGCCATTCTGCATCTCTGATTGATGAGAAAAAGTCTAAATTACGCCATTCTAGCGTCTCAGTGCCTTGGTCGTGGCCGACATCGGATGTTGCTAAGAGTACGGTGGGCGGAATGTGAGCCTGTTCAATGATGGTGCCTTAAAGCTATCACCAAGCCCTTGCACAACTGGTTTGTTTGGTGAACTAGCTTTTCTTTGTTAGATGTTGATGATTATGATACCTCAAGTGTTTCTAAAATATCATGCAGAGGAGGGTTGAAAGAAGCTGACCCCAAGAAGCCTCATTTTCTATGAAACCTGCACCTTTCTTGTCATGCGTGGCAGGACTTACAATACCACCATGTGTAACATACCCACGTGCCCCCACATCGTGCTTCAAGTTTTCAGCCTTGCGGCGGCGTGTTTAGTGGCAATGCTTGGTAATGCAAACCTGCAACTCCACGGAATTTCTCGCCATTAGCAATCATTATCACCTACCCCGCCAAAACCTTATCTGCTTTTCAAGCCGCCAGTATCTTCACTGTCTTCCTCTTGACCCTCTCTCCATTTACCACCCCCATTGCTTCAAAAATCCTTCATTACGCAGTCGCACACATCTCCAGCACATCTCTTGCAACTTTTCCCCAACAGAATCCTTGATAATAACCTGAATTTAACCTGAATTTCCGCGACTACAACCCAAAAACTCGTCGATATGTCCCCGCCGTCCCTAACCATCGATCTAACCCCCGACCTTGACTTTTCCCCAGCTACCACCACCACACAACAAACCTCTAACAATGGCCAGCAACAACGAACCCTCCTCCTAGCACCCCCCTCCCTCCCCGCCCTCGGAGCCCAAGGCGAAGCCCGTCTCGCCTCCCTCTTCGCTCTCTACCCGCGCGCCGCCACTGACCTGCACATGCTGGACCGACTGGTCTCTGGCCTCGTCACCCTCCCCTCGGCGACATACGACCTCATTCTCATCCTGACGGGCACGCTCGTCTCTGATGAAGAGAGGCAGCTTCTTCGGGATCGCACACTCTGGAACAAGATCGCAGGGGCTGTGAAGCCGGGCGGAATTGTCAAGGGCGAAGATGGGAATGCGGTTTCGCTGACAGGGGACAAGGATGTGGTGAAGGAGGCTGTGTTGGCGGGGTTGGTGGTCAGGGATGGGGGCGGGGAGTTTGGGAAGCCTGAGTATGCTGAGGAGGAGGTGGTACCGTTGAAGCTTGGATTTGGGAAGAAGAAGGACGCAACGAAGCCGGCGCAACCGGCACAGACACAGGCGCCTGCGGGGGTTGGGTTCGTGGACTTTAATGATGATTTGGATTTGGATGCGGAGGACGATGATGATGTGATTGATGAGGAGACGCTGCTTACGGAGGAGGACATGCGTCGCGGGCCGATGCAGCCTCCTCCGGAGTGTGCGCCTAAGTTGGGGAAAAAGAGGAGGGCTTGTAAGGACTGGTATGTTTCACCCAACCCTTATACTTACCTATTTACTGTGAACATGATGCTGACAATGACATAACAGCACCTGCGGTCTAGCCCAGCGCCTTGAGGCCGAGGAGAAGGCTCGTCGCGAAAAGGCTGAGGCCGCTCGCAACGCTCTCAAGCTCAAGTCGGAGGAGCTGACAGAGCTTGACTTTACTGTGCCTGGCAAGACAGGATCCTGCGGCAGCTGCTACCTTGGAGATGCCTTCCGGTGTGCGGACTGCCCCTATCTTGGGTTACCTGCTTTCGTATGTCCATACTTCTTCTATTGTGTTTCCGTGGATCACCGGCTAACAAATATCTGTACAGAAGCCCGGCGAGGAGGTCAAGATTCTCAACAATGCGGCTCAGCTTTAAGTTTGGAGATGTTAAAAGAAAGTTTTAGCGGTAAAGGGTTTAGCACATACGTCCAGTTTTGACAAAGGTTCGGTTTTTTTTTTTTTTTTGGATCACGGTCAGCGGATTTGGTGTGCATAATCGGGAACAGATTCATGGCTTGACATTCCGTAACCAGCTTAGTGGCTTGTCTACACATAGAGGCTTTGCCGGGCATATCTTACGCTGTCCCCTGTGTGTGATAAGTACGCATCAAGAATACTTTGTGATCATCCATAGAGGAGGGACATCTGATATAACATCTCCTTGATAGACACCCAGAACATCAATAGCAACTCATTAGACAAAAAGAACATCTTTCTCTCACGCTCCCAAACGCCGTCAAACCCAAATCCCTACATCCCAGCCAAGTCATGACACGATCCCAATCGCACATCTTTTTACTTTTCCATTTCTGCAGCTTCATCACATACCCTGTCTAAGCGGCAACCTGCGCCTGACTCTCCACCCTCCTATTCCCCCGCAGCCTGTTCCCCGTCGACCCAGGACCGCCCGGCCTAGCCAGCGTGTACTTCGCAAAAGCCCGTGCCAGCGCCTTCTTGCAGCTGACCTTCTGGCTGTTTACAAAGGAATCGACGGTGACGGCAATGGCACGGTCAATGTCCTGCGCGGAGCAGTACTCGGAGAGACGCATGCGGCAGAAAGCTTCGGCGATGCGAATTATCGCTTCGAGATGGCGGACCTGGACAGAATATCAGCAACTGTGAATACTTGAGAGAAGGGGGAAGGAAGACGGGCTTACAGTAATAGGATAAGCCCCCGTAGCCAGACTCTCACGTCGCATATCCGCAAACAGACGCGCGACCTTGTCCTCATCCATATGGTACAACTTCGGATGGACACGCTCACGCGCATACAGGATATACTTCCGCAACAACTCCTGCGGGATTTCGCCCTCCTTCTCCTCCTTGGCAGCCGCCGCGTTAGCAGCAGCCTGGGTATCCGACTCAACCTCCATGGAATCACCCCCGTTAGCTGATGACGCCTGGGTATTGTTAGCATTGCCAGCTGCGTTGGGGTTCGTCCGCGGGTTGGTCGCGCTCATGGGGTGGCTGCGGCTATGTGAGCCGACGATAAACCGGGCGAGGCGCTCATCCTCTTCAGGGTCGACCTGATCGCGGACGACGCAGAGGATGTCGAAACGGGAGAGGATGGGCTCAGTAAGGTCGACGTTGGCCGAGAAGGGCAGAGTGGAGTTATACCGGCCGCCGATGGGGTTGGCGGCAGCGATGATGCCGCAGCGGGCGTGGAGCGTGGTGACGATGCCGGCCTTGGAGATGGAGATGGTCTGCTGTTCCATGGCTTCATGGATCGAGGTGCGGTCTTGGTCGTTCATCTTGTCAAACTCGTCGATCAGGCAGTGGCCCTTGTCAGCTAGCACGAGAGCGCCGCCCTCCAGGGTCCATTCGCTTGTCAGGGGGTCTCGACGGACACTAGCCGTGAGACCGACCGCGCTGGCACCCTGGCCGGTCGCGAAGACCGCGCGGTGGGCCGTTTTCTCAACGTACTTGAGGAATTGAGACTTAGCGGTACCCGGGTCACCAAGGAGCAGGACGTTGATGTCGCCTCTGACGTGGTGGGCACCCTTGGTTGTCTTGGCGACACCGCCGAACAGGGAGAGGGCAATGGCCGTCTTGATGTCGGTGTGCCCGTAGATACTCGGAGCAATAGAGTTGATGATCTTGTCAACGATGTGCGGGTCCTTGGATAGCTGACGGATGCGGTGCTCGTCCTCTTCAGTCAGACGGAAACCAGCCAGCTGGTCGTGGGCCTTTACGATGTTATTGGCCTCAAGAATAGTAGCGAACACAGGGAAGCCGTTGCGGTTGTTGAGCTGGGCATCGTAGCTGTTGCGGTAGATACCTGTAACCTCAATTTCCTCGCCAGGCTTGCACTTGTCGATGAGATCCCACAAAAGGATGACCTCGCGGTGGCGGGGCAGACGACCAGCTGGGACAGTGCCAGGAGATTCTTGGAGGGTGATCTTCTGGTAGTTACGGTAGACCGTCTTCTCCGAGTTGAGCGTAAAGGGACCACGCGACTGGCAGCTTTGGCAGTATGTGATCTTGACCTCCACGTTCGACTCTTGCTGGAAGGGACCGAGCGTGACGCCGCACTTAGTACAGTCGAACTTGACGTACTTGAGCTGGGGGAAGACACCAGTACGCCGCGTAACGACACCACTAACGCGGACAAGGCAGTTAAGGTGCGACTGACGGAGCTGACGAAGCGTGTACTGGACAGGCAGATCATAAATGCGGACATGGATCTCGGCATGAATGCGCTCGTAGTCCGGATAGTGCAGCAGGACGACGTCCATGGCAACCTCGTCGAACAGCTTGAGGATCTCAGCCGGAGCATTGGCCAAGAAGTAAGCCAGAATGGCCTTGGAGTTGGCCAAGTGCTCGTACGAGACCTCCAGGGACTCAGCGTTGACCTCACCAAGGGTACGGATGCGGTTGCCGTAGACCGACGAGCCGCTCTCGTCGATGTACTCGGTGAGGAAGGCCTTGAACTCGCGCTTGATGGTGCGCTGCACGGCAGGCTGAGAAACCCACTCAGTCAGACTGGAAGCCTTGAAGTCGTGGAGAGCCTCGAGCGAGAGCTCCTCCTCCATGATGTCGCCCTCCATGTCCTCATCGGGGTCCTCATCGTACCGGCGCCTGCGGCGGCGGGGCTGAGCCGTGAGATCAATATCACCCTCATCCTCACCGGGCAGGAAAGCAGCCGGGATACGCTGCCGACGAGCGACCTCACGGTCTCTCCGGTTCAGCTTGGCCTCGAGACGGCGCCTCTCGCCGATGTCCATGGCATCGTACTCCTCGTCGTCGATGTCAATATCCTCGTAGCGGTCATCAGGGCGCTCGCGGTAATCACGCTCGAAGCCCTCCTGGAACAGGTCAATGTCGTCCTCGGCCATCTCCTCGAGGTCATCAATGTCGTCCGGGATCTCGACATCTTCCTCGATGTCGTCGTCATCGTTGTTGTCGTTGCCGTGGGCAATGTTGAAGGCCGGCGGGGACGAGGGCATGATGGGGCTGGAGGGGGCCCCAGCCGGCGAGCCATCCTCAGCGTCGGCACGGGCGCGCTTGCGGCCTGCTCTGTTCGGGGCAGGACCCCGGTTGGCTGAGGAGGGGTTTTCGCGAAGAGGAGAACTGTGTTTGTCAGTGGCTGTGGCATAGAGCGGGCTGGTGTTGGGAGATCGACATACCTCATATTGATTATTCGATTTTCAGGGACAAGGAAGATCGAACGAAAGCAAAAACAACAAAAAAAAGAAGTGGGAATCTGGGGTCCGTGATGGTTATTGAGTCTACGCCGGTGGTTGGACGAACAGATAAAAGAGCCGTAAGATTTCAGCCAAGTTTGTGGGGGGGGGGGGGGACGCAGAAGACAGAGACGACACAGAATGCAATTGGGCGTCGAACCCATCTGCAGCTGCCCCCCAGTTTTCGCGTCGCGGACGCGTTCACGCGACGGAGCTAAACCCTTTTTGGGTGGTCCCGTAAAGTGGTTGCTTCGACCGAGTGAGCAAAGGTGGGGTGCGGGCCGATAAGATAGTACATAATGCACCAATAACATTTCACTTCTCTCATTCACTCGGAAGGGACCGACACTGCTACGACTGAGCGACCTCTGCCCTCCCTTCTCTTCCAGCTTGCGATCGCTGACCTTCTAGCACATCCTGAGGAGAAAAGAGACTGGAGCGCAGCTCCTAATATTAGCTTGGTTGATGCAAAATCTGTACCGATTGAGTTTTGATCAACAAATCCGTCCATCACTTCTGACTTCGAGTTGCAATGTCGCCTGCGCCAGTGTCGGTTCGCAGCGATGGCGGCGCTGACGACGCGCCTGCGGTGCGGTCTAAGCAACGCACTCAGAGCATGTCGCAGCAGTCAGACGACTCGCAGACGGCTGCAGAGTAAGTCGCTGATTCATATTCATCTCATTTCTGGCTTTCTCCATCTAACAAGTTCAGTTTCATCCGCGA